GCAAAAAGCGGCAAGAGGTGAGCACTAAAATGGAAAGGGAAAAGTCTCAAGCGCCAGGTATTATCCGGTACATATGTTTCTGATGTGGTTCAGTATGAGTTTGGCCACCAACAACATTGTCGTCGGGACTATGGGCACTGTTGTGCTGGGGTTGAGCTTTAAGGATGCGGCAATCAGCGGGATTATGGGATGTCTTCTCGGTTGCGTTATAATTGGGTATATCAGCACATGGGGACACAAAACGGGAAACAGAACTCTTGTTTGTTGAACCACTGACCAGGCCGGATCATTGATACTGACCAACTATACAGATCACGGCTCGGTATTGCATGGGCTGGTACCCAAGCAAAGTTTGTTGTGTCCTTAACATCTTTACCAATCTTGGATACAGCATGGTGAACAGTGTTGTCGGTGGCCAGGTCCTCTCAGTGGTCTCTGGAGGTCATCTTTCCGTGCTGGTGGGGATTGTCATTGTCGCAGTCACCAGCTGGGCCATGGCTCTATTTGGTATGAAGATTTTCGCATTATACGAACGGTAAGACCATTGCTTATCGAAATGAGCTGCATCACTTCAGAACTTAAACTGATCGTCAAATAGTATCGCCTGGCTCCCACAGATCTTAGTGGTCTGTATCATGGTGGGCTCAGCAGGACCCCATTTCAACTTTGACGATGCAACATCCCTCAGCGCACGGGAGCTGACCGCGAGCCGGTTAACTTTCTTCTCTCTATGTCTCGCTATTGGTCTCTCGTGGGCTCCGCTTGCCGCCGACTACTACGTCTATTATCCATCGAACACCAAGAGCTGGCAGACATTCACCGCGACCGTTCTCGGATCTTTGCAGGGCATGGGAATTTCCGTTGTGATGGGCGTCGGACTTGGCTCCGTCATTTCTAGCTCAGCCTATTATGCTGGCAAATACGGCGACAGCCCAGGTGGTGTGCTGATGACAGCGTACGATTCCCTGGGTGGGTTCGGCAAGTTCTGTGCTGTTATCAATGTACTCTCCCTGGTTGCCAATAACACCCCTGGGTGTTACTCGATGGGTATAAACTTCCAACAGCTCGGAGGTGTGTTTGGTAAAATCTCTCGGCCTTTTTTCACGACCCTCGCAACCGTCATATATACGGCATGTGCAATGGGCGGCCGGAACATGCTATATGAGGTCTTCAAGAGTTTCCTTCCTTTGATCGGATACTGGGTCATCATGTACGTGGTCATCATGATCGAGGAAGACCTTGTCTTCCGACGTACCAAGGGGTATGACTGGACCACTTGGGATTGTCGTGCCAAGCTTCCTATAGGACTTGCAGCGACGGGTTCATTCTTCATCGGCTGGGCGGGTGCAGTGGTTGGCATGGTAAGACTTCCCGAATCCCATATGAGACCAAGACTGACCTTCAACTACAGTCTCAAGCATTTTACACTGGCCCAATCTCTGAAATGTCCGGTGGAGGAGATCTGGGAGTTTGGCTAGGTGCAGCCTTCACGGCAGTCTCATTCCCACCATTGCGGGTATTGGAGCTTCATTTCATTGGCCGGTGAACAGAGTGGAAGATGATAGAGGCAGACAGTTTTGTAGAAATGATTCAGGAGTATATAGTGAAACCGTGAAAATCATGAGAAATGAAGTGATTCAGGGAACAATCAATAGACAATACAAAAGATGTCAAAAAAAACTATATGAAAAATAAAAGCATCAGATCAAACTAGAAAAAAAAAAAAAAGAAGAAAAAGGCTCTGTCAATAAACAAGAGAATACTTGACGGTTTCTCCAGACATGAAAGATGAAAGTCCTCAGCTCCTCACCCGAGGACCCCGGCCCGCGGCCCAAGACATTCACGATCTCCAGGGGTGTACGGCGTACACTACATCCCATGCCAACTCAACTGTATGATGATTGGTTGCGGCAGTCAACAATTAGCGTGAAGGCGGAGAACACTTCCTAATCCCTGCGCTTACATTGGCCCACCGCACTATTTAAGCTACCTGCCAGGTGGTGATTTTACCTCGCTGTGTATTCCATCAACAATGGACGCCATGAAAGACACTTGGTCGGTGGTATCCGAAGCCATCAACCCCCAGCTCCTCCCCTATGCCGCAGGCCTATTACTCGCATGGCCCGTGGTGACAGTCAGCCTGCGATTCCAACGACTGCGTCAAATGCACAAGCAATATGACTATCCCACCCGAGAATCCATGGCCACAATGACCGACGACGATGCATTCAACATCCAAAAAAACGTGGCCCAGCTGGAATTCCCATTCATGTTCATCAAGAGTCTGCAATTTGCCTTGTTCAGGGTAAAGGAGGCCTAATCCCGAGATTTGAAGACCAATCTAACTCAAGAAAAAAAAAAAGACATACGGCATCCCATCAATCTCGACCCTGCTCACCAAAACAAGCCAGTTCTCGAATCCGGAAACCTCCTTGAAGCGCTACGCAGATACCGTCGCTCTCGTACAGGAGATGGTAGGTAACGACCCAACCTCCCAACGCGCCTATCTGGGCCTTGCGCGCACCCGCTACCTGCACAGCGGGTACAGGGACTCTGGAAAGATCCTGGACGAAGACATGCTTTACACGCTAGCACTGTTTGCTCTCCAGCCGATCCGGTTCATCGATCGCTTTGAATGGCGAACTCTCAGCGAGCTGGAACGCTGCGCGATTGGCACTTTCTGGAAAAGTGTCGGTGATGCACTGGATATCACCTATGAGAGATTGCCCTCCGGCCAGCAGGGCTTTGTAGATGGTATCCAGTGGCTTGAGGAGATCGATGCGTGGAGCGAGGAGTACGAGCAGCAATTCATGGTTCCTCATCGGAAGAATCGAGAGACGGCCGATCAGACCACAGCAGTGCTGCTTTACATGCTGCCTAAGGCATTGCATCCAGTTGGGCTGCAATTCGTCTCGTATATGATGGACCCAAGATTGCGCGCCGCGATGTAGTGAGTGTTGGCACGGGAAACTTGAGTTTTCAACGTGGTCCATTCAGCCCCTGGATCTTACACAGTCCCACTAACTACCATGACAGCTACGAGCCCCCATCCGCATTTTGCAGTGCGCTTTTCTCAGCACTGCTGACGACTCGGAGACTGGCTATTCGCTACTTGGCGCTCCCGCGATCTTACTCCCAGCGCTATGTTTCGTTCACTGAAAAGCCCGACAAGGAGGGCCGGTACTTTTTCACCCAGTGGGACGCGGCGCCCTACTATGTCAAGCCTACGATTTGGAATCGTTGGGGCCCGACTGCGTGGCTGACTTGGGCCCTCGGACGGCCTGTACCTGGCGATGAAGGGGACAAGTATTATCCTGACGGGTATCTTATCCCGAATCTTGGGCCCAAGGCGTTCGAGGGTAAGGGAGGGAAGAAATTGGACGAGGCGCTCGAAGAGATGAAGGGGTATCGGACTGGACAATGTCCTTTCCACTGAGTAGACAGACGTGATTTTGATGGGCCCACCTGGGCACCGGGCTCGACCTGACACATCTGGTATAATTTTTCGGTTTATTATGAAAGCGCCATGTACGGGCTATCGCTGCTAATGCGGTTCATGTGAATACTGGATGTAGTCCGCTATCAAACTTGATCATTAAAAATACTACATTGTACGCAGCTAATGCCGAGCAGTTGTTTCGTCAATTGCTTTTCCAATATGTGCTATTCTGGAGGGGTCGAACAAATCACCCATACCAAGCAGGAAAATAGACAAAAAAAAAGTTGAAAATTAGTTGCGCTCAAACAAATTGGTTCAGGGCATGAGCCCAAAAGCCGGTCCGAATGGTAGAGAATGTAGGCTGGACAAGGGTATTACTTTGAACAAATCTCAAAGGAGATTTATTTAAACCTCCTCGTCAACAATGCCCTCATCGAGGCTAAAATTAAGAAAAAGGATATCGTTAGTCGTGACATTTGATAACCGGGGAATCGGGAAATTCTTACTACTCCTCCTCGCCCTCGGAGACGGAGGCCTCCTGGTACTGCTGGTACTCGGAGACAAGATCGTTCATGTTGCTCTCAGCCTCAGTGAACTCCATCTCGTCCATACCCTCACCAGTGTACCAGTGCAAGAAAGCCTTGCGACGGAACATGGCAGTGAACTGGTCACCGACACGCTTGAAGAGCTCCTGGATGGAGGTGGAGTTTCCGACGAAGGTGGAAGACATCTTGAGGCCACGGGGGGGAACGGAGCAAAGAGCGGTCTGGACGTTGTTGGGGATCCACTCAACGAAGTAGCTCTGGTTCTTGTTCTGGACGTTGCGCATCTGGTCCTCAACCTCCTTCATGGAGACCTTACCGCGGAAGAGAGCGGAGCAGGTGAGGTAACGGCCGTTACGGAAGTCGGAAGCAGCCATCATGTTCTTGGGGTCGAACATCTGCTGGGTGAGCTCGGGAACGCTGACCTGGCGGTACTGGTGGCCGCCACGGCTGGTCAAGGGAGCGAATCCGACCATGAAGAAGTGCAGACGGGGGAAGGGAACCATGTTGACGGCGAGCTTGCGGAGATCGGAGTTGAGCTGGCCGGGGAAACGGAGGGAGGTGGTCACACCGGACATGACGGCGGAGACCAGGTGGTTGAGGTCACCGTAAGAGGGCTGGGAGAGCTTGAGGGTACGCATGCAGATGTCGTACAGAGCCTAAGAATCGTTAGTGCTTCCCGACTCCGAATTTCGTCGCCAGATATCTCATACCTCGTTATCGATACAGAAGGTCGCATCGGAGTGCTCAACAAGCTGGTGAACGGAGAGAGTGGCGTTGTAGGGCTCGACAACGGTATCGGAGACCTTGGGGGAAGGAACAACAGAGAAGGTGGCCATCATACGGTCGGGGAACTCCTCACGGATCTTGGAGATCAGGAGTGTACCCATACCGGCACCGGTACCACCACCCAGGGAGTGAGTGATCTGGAAACCCTGCAGGCAGTCGCAAGCCTCGGCCTCACGGCGGACGACATCGATAACGTTGTCGACGAGCTCAGCACCCTCGGTGTAGTGACCCTTAGCCCAGTTGTTACCAGCACCGGACTGACCGAAGACGAAGTTGTCGGGGCGGAAGAGCTTGCCGAAGGGACCACCGCGGACGGCGTCCATGGTACCGGGCTCCAAGTCGACGAGGACGGCACGGGGAACATATTTTTCGCCACTAGCCTGGGAGGTCAAAGACATAAGGTGAGATAACGCACACGGAGGCAATAAGGATATGGCGTACTCACATGGTTGAAGTAGACGTTCATACGCTCGAGCTGGAGGTCGGAGGTTCCATTGTACCTAGCAACATCTTAGAGACCAGATCCACCTGCAGTCGAAACAATGGCAACTTACTGTCCATCGCCATCGAGACCGTGCTCGCCAGAGATAGTTTGCCTTTGAGTCAGTTAGCCAGATGTCAATTGATGCCCGAAATGGCGGGAGAAAAAGTTCCGGATGTTGTAACATACCAGAAAGCGGCACCGATTTGGTTACCCTATAGCGGCCCAATTTAGTTCCCACGAGCCCAAGAATGTTTCGAGGAATGTTCCCCGGGTATCATTGATGTTGAACTTACACACTGTCCGGTTTGGAGGTGAACCTGGAGAAACGAGTTAGCAAAAGATCTGTTTAGAGTGGGGTCCCTCAGGGGCCATGGGAAAACAAGAGACGCGTCTTGAGGGCCAACATACAATCTCACGCATTTTGAAGGAGGTGTCGGAAAGAAGATGAAGGGGAGAAAAAGATTATAGACCGGCAACAGTCAAAGAGGATGGGGAAGAAGAGAAAGAAACGGAGGCAGTTGAGCGGTGTGTGTGGGATCAACAAGTCAACAACTGAACTTCAGGGGGGGAAAGGCCCGATTGGGTATAGCCGCATCACGGGACTCGGGGGAAGGTGCGAACCACACTTTTCTGCGCGTCGTTTGTTTACCGCCAACACGACTACAGTAGTACTACGACGACTACGACTATGGGGGAGAATATTGGCATTTCATTGTTTTCTGGAGCTATGGCTCTGTGGTACTAGTACATTCGTGCAGTCGTAAATTGATTCGGGCTACTCCGAATCACCCCCGTAAAGCATTCCCAGATTGTCCATATCAATTCCGATAGTGGCAAGTCGCAGGTTCAAGGAATCTCACTCGTGAGTCTGGGGCGCATCAGCCTTGGGTTCATCAGCCTTGACTTCCTCCGTCTTGACTTCCTCCGTCTTGACTTCCTCCGTCTTGGCTTCCTCCGTCTTGGCTTTCTTCGCCTTGGGCTCGTTTCGCTCCAACCAATCTCCATATCGGTCGAGGCGTCTCTGTTCCTCCTCTTCGCGTTCACTGTCATACCCGTAGTATCGGTTGTCGGATTTGCGGAATAGTGTTCTGCTCTCATTGATGTAGGCCCTCACGGTTGCACCTCCGAAGTGGCGCCCATCCATACGCTGGGATGTAGTTAGTGACTGAATAGCTTCATTTAATCAATCATCGGGGCCCTACCTCTCGACATCTGGCTGCGTCTCGCGCATCCTTGAAACGGACAGTGATGATGCCAGTGGGCTCCTCGTCGTAAAGGACCACCCTGGTGACTTCGCCGAATTTCTCGCACTCCTCACGCACTTCCTCTTTGAGCTCGATGATCTCGGCGGGATCCTCCTACATCTCGAGTCAGCATTGATTCTGGAATTTGGAAGATGTTCCCTGTGTGAAGGGAGGGCGGGGCGCCGTGACATACCTCGATGAGCTTCAAGGTGAACATGTGCTCTAAGATCAACACATGCTCAGCTCGGGTAGCCTTCCTCTTGAGAGGCTGGGCATCATCATCGCTCCAGTCCGCGAGTTTGCTGTAGTGGCGGAGTTAGCGAAAGAGAAACAAGCTTTTCCAAAGAACAAACTGACCTGTTCAATCGCTGGGTGCGCTCGATGATCTTCTTCTGGTCATTCGCATTCACCTTGCGCTTCTCCGCTCCCTCCTTCCTCTTCAATAGGTACGAGGGGTCTGATTCCTTGACCCGCATGGGGCCACCAGGGGTAGTTTCACCGAAACGGAACTCCGTCTCGTCAAGCAAACTGATTGCGAGATTGATTGACTCCGGTCGGAAAAAAACAACCAACGCCTCCCCATTAAAATTGCCATCTTCATCCTTGTACATTTTGATCTTATGATCACCACTGTCGATCTCTTCCGCGATCACTCCACACTTCGAAAACACACGGTAGATCTCGTCCCTATCGGCATCGAGCGGGATTTGGGTCACCCACACGGCGGTGTTGACACGATCCTTCTTCTGCTTCTTGGCATGGGCCTACAACAAAAACAGGGTCAGCATGTTGTACCCCAATCAATCGCAATCCTCGAGACTCATACCTGCTGCAAAGCGCGCGCACGCGCACGACGCTCACGTGGGTGAAGCTCTTCATAATCATCTGCGTCGACACCTTCGGGAATGTATGCGGACTGCTGCTGACGAATCAACTCTGGGTCAACCTAAGATCGCAAGTCAAGTTAGCACAGAAGCGGAGCAGTCGCGTATGCGATGGGCTTGTCGCAAAACACAAAGTGCATGTCGGCACCGATATACTTACCTCAAGAATCCATCTCTTGAGACCAGTGTCGAATCTGAACTCCTCGCCGTCCTCTCTTTCCAAGATCCAGCAGTTGTCAAGTCGTGACCAAGAGATGCGCGGGTCTTTGTCAAACTCCGCGGGGTCCGTAAGGAACCCGGTAAACCCGGTGGAGCTTCCGGTGGAGCCTCCAGCGTCCTGAGAACGTGAAATTTCACTAGGGGAAGCCATCAGTGCAGAAGAATCGGGTGAAGAGAGGAAGAGGAAGCTCCGCGGAGGTGAGGGTGGATTTTGGCGGAGGAGCGGGTCCCACCGCCGTCAGCGGAGCCTATCCTCGGCCAATCGTGTCGCGGCACCAGGGCTAGGCAACGCCGGCGACCTGAGGCCGTGGCTCCGCTCCTGGGCGCCTCTACATTGTTTCAAGCGGGCTCCTGGAGGCCTTCAATTGGCTATTCCAGTGAATAAATATTCGCATTGGAAGCGTCTTTTTAGACTATTCACGACCAAGAGGCTAGCATCCATGGATATTGTCCATATGCTATCTATGGATATCTCATGCACACATCTATGTCATTGGGTGCATTTTCCGGACAACATGGCATATTCCCTGTTGGGGGGAATCCAAATGCACAGTTCCTGGGGTCAAGGGCAGAGACGAAGTAACATAATTAGGATGAATACCTTCAGCCGGTCAGCATTTGGGCTAGTTTGAGAGAAATGGTCTGTGATCACCTTGCTTGTCTGTGGCTTGGCTTTGAATTTCATTCATATTTGGGTATATTTATGCTAACAAAGTAGATTGAGACCTTTCTCCTTCATTGTAGAAGAGGACCTTAAAAGGCTAGTATTTCTAGCAGAGAAGAAAACACCATTTCGCCTTCCAACCCATAGAAAAGAAGAAGAAAAATGGGGGAAGGACAGACAACCTTGGAACTGGCTCTTGCCAGGGATTAAGTATTAGAACAAAGGAAAGATTCAGCTTCAAGCAAGATTGGTTCATGCTTTAGTGTCGACGGTTGTCTCGCCAGTGGGTGTCATGGTTCGCTTGGAGCCAACCTCACTAGACTCAGTACCGTTGATGATATCGCGTCTGACTTCGACGTAATCGTACTAAAAGGAATGTCAGAAACGATTGTAACTATCTTCGTAGGGAATACTCACAGCAAACTCGCCAATCTCGGCATCGTCGATACCCATAATCTCATCCTCTTCGGGAGCACGAAGACTAAGACCGGGGATGAGGTTCATGAGGAACAGAATGATACATGTTCCGAAGAAGGCATAGACAAATCCAGTGACAGAGTCGGCAAGCTGATATCCAAGCTGGATGTAGTTTTGGTTGATCCAACCGCCGTCGATCTCGGTGGCACCGTCAAGGTGGGCTATGTAATCACTGCGAACCCAAGATTAGCTTCTTCTGACTCGTAGACTGAATAAAGGGCTCACTTACGCAGCAAAGATACCAGTCAACAGATTTCCAACCACACCACCAACACCGTGGACGGCAAAGATGTCCAAGGCATCATCGACGCCAATGAGGAACTTCAGCTTAGTAGCGTAGTTGCAGGAGATAGCACCCACGACACCGAAAATGAAGGCAGCCCAAGGGGTCACGAATCCAGATCCGGGTGTAATAGCAACAAGACCAGCAATTACACCAGAGCAGAAGCCAACAGTAGACCACTTTCGCTCCAGTCTGTAATCCAGCAAACACCAGGTCACACCTCCAACAGAAGCGGCGAGGTTAGTGACGACAGCGGCCATGACAGCACGAAGGTTAGCCGAGAGAGCAGAGCCGGCATTGAATCCAAACCAGCCAACCCACAGGAAGACCGTACCGATGACGACGTGAGTGACGTTGTGGGGACGGTAGTTGAGCTCGTGAGTGCCGTGGCCACGACGCTTGCCCAGCATCAGGGAGTAGGCCAAAGCTGCAGATCCAGAAGCAATGTGAACAGGTGTACCGCCGGCAAAGTCGAGTCCTCCGAGCTTGAACACCCAACCCGATGAGTTCCAGGTCCAGCAGGCGATGGGGTCGTAGATGATTGTGGTCCAGATGAACATGAAGATAATGCAAGGGAGCATACGGCCACGCTCAGCAACAGCGCCAACGGCGAGAGCAACTCTGTATATAGATTGAAGGTCAGTCGTCACTCTAGTAGAAGTATTGCTTCACGGTGAGAACTCACGTAATAGCGGCGAACATGCCCTGGAAAATAGCAAAGAGGAGATCGGGAACCTTGTCACTTCCTACGGAGGGCGCGGCCAGCACGCCCTTGAAGCCGAAGTTGTCAAGATTGCCGATGTAGGCACCAGCTGTGTGAGAAAAGGCCAGTGAGTATCCCCAGAAGAACCATTGGAATGACACCACGCCGACCGACATTATAGACAGCCATATCAGGGACAGAGCCGACTTCCGACGGGCAAGACCAGAGTAGAAGAATCTAGGAAAGCATGATAAGTATCTTCAGTTGTTAGTCAAGACCGTAGTACGACATACCCGACTCCAGGAATCATCAGCAACACCAGGGCGGTGGATATAATAACCCATCCTATATCTCCAGACTAGGGCCATTGTGAGCTGACCTCCATAAAATTTGATAGAGCAACGTGGAGTCTCATACACTATAATAGATGTTCAGGTCATCGTGAAGCGAGTCACCACCCGTGGCGATGGTGCCATTGTAGGCAACTGGGTACTCCGCCATGCTGAAACCCTCGACTGGATCAGAGGTGTGTCACAAATGTAAGCGTTGGGCAAGTGTCACCGATCCCAGAGGCCTGTAGGGTAGTATCCAGGCAAGATAACAAAGAGAAGATATGGAGACGGGGTGGGGAGAGAGGCTCAGTTCTGTGTATGAAAGAAGAGAGAAAAGTGATATGTCTCAGCTACAGGGACAAATGCTGATAATTAAATAACAACCCTGAATGAAAGCCCCACTGTCAGCCAGTGAAAGGCAATAAGACCATTGATCCTAGTGGCGATAGTGAAAATGGCGCTGACTTTTGATATGATTCATCTGATGAGAATCCATAGATGATAGCAGGGGCCAAGACAGCCCTGGTCAGCCATGCCGGGGTTATGGCGGGTGGGCCATATACCCATACCTGATCCAGACCGGAGAAATACGGGCATACGGGAACTATGAAACTGTACTTTTTCCCAGTCTATTATGCTACAGAGCATAGACACTCACAGAGCTGCATGCGCCATCTACTAGTATAGTTCCACACAATATCCCTGCCAGCATGATCCGTTTGTAGATTTCAGGCCGGTCTAAGGGAACTCACAGGGTTTCCGCAAATCCTGCAATGGCCGACTAGTGATAAGCAAGGTCAGAATGTGATAGACAGATTGGTGAATGTTCGTGACAGGTAATTTAGAGAAACACAAATTAACCGGAGAATACGAGTCGCGACATTGCAGCTTCACGACTGGTTGTAGATATGAGGTTGCGGGTGGCCAATCAGGAGCGTTTGCTTATCATTTTGGGGCCGTTGCCCACCTGTGCACCTGGGCAGGTTCAAGGGCTTCGCGTAAAGACTGGTTCATGGAACCCTTTATCCGTTTGGTTTCAGTTTGACAGTTCTCGTTTTGTATGTCTCGGGCAGCCTTGGAACTAGCACTCTTATCGTCCAGAAAGTGCCCATGGATACGAAGTACACATCCCGACCTCATCCATCTATTGTTTATCCATGGTTAACCCCCTATTCATGACTCCAATACATCCATCGAGGGTCCAAGGGGGCAATGGCCCCTTTTTTTCTTGAATATGTATCTAGTTACAATTTTATGGTTCCTGCAGTTTGCATATAAAAACACCCCAAGGATAAATCTCCGAGTGAAGCACGGGCTTTGACGGAGTCCGTTCAAAATGCCCACAAAATGAATACAGATACATACAGATTGCTCCATATGTGTTCCTGACAGCTTAGGGTCCGGTTTCCAACGATCGAACGCAGGGGGAAGTCAATCCCCCCGGGGTGCCACGCGGCCAAGTCTAGATAAGCAGGTGGTCTCTCATTGGCCCCGGCCTCGGCATCCCGACTATGGCTTGGCAAACTCTAGACAAGACCATAGATCTGGTAAATGTATTTATTATAGGCGCTATTGGCCTCCTCGCTTCAACTCCCCATTATTCCATGCATACGGAACTTTGAAATGCTTTCAAGCAACGCCAGTCCGATGCTGGTCTTTGATATGTACTGTAGATTAATGATGATCATGGAATCAATAGCCTAGATAGTAAAGTTGCCTGCTGCCAAGGCTGCATCAAAGCCGTGGATCTACTCCGAGGGTATGAGATAGACCTAATTTCACTCGCGAACCGCTTGGCCTCGTGCCCAGGTCCACAGGTGTATTTTCCTAGATGAAATCGCCATGACCTTTTAGGCGCATGCACGGTACTCCAAAGAGTGTCGTCATTCAATCTTGGAAACGTTGGCACACTGCCCAGGCGCCTAGGTAAGTGTCAGGTGTTGATCCATCTGGTAAGGTTTTCATTCTTACCTACCTAGGTAGTACAGATCGACCCAGAGCACCTGAAGTGATCCTCGATCTCACCTCAGACCCACTGATCGACGGTGTTCACCATCTACCTCTAAATTTATATCGATGACGATCAATGGACTGTAGCTAGGTAAGCGATGCTTGTCAGGGGTAAGGTCTTACGGTACTTGAAGCTGGATACGCTGTACAACAGAGTAGATCTCAGGCCTCAGGCGATGTGCATCAGATACCTTGAAATACGCCTGAATCCACAAGCTGCCCAGGCTGACAGAGTACCTAGGTACGGAGTTCCGATCCCCATGATCAAGAATTGCATGCAAATGCGGCACGTGCAATCACTCTCGCTGACAAAAAGGAAGATAAAGTCATGCAAATTGGCCCCCGAGGGCTTTTTTGAAGTGTACGGACCGGGGATTTGAGCGATGGGCATTACGGCGAAACAGCCTAGTCGTTCAAGGTTGCTCACTGAGCATGACCTGAGCGCTGGTTTGTTTCTCACCCACGTCGTCTTCGTCCCGCTATACCCTCGGGGCGTTTCAATGCATATTTATTCATTACCATTTTCATCCTGCACCGTCCCATAGCCGCCATCGTAGACAGGAATCCATCCTTTCGGGGAACGCGGGCACAGCCTCGACATAGGATCCCAGTCATATTGTATAAAGACACGACAAGGCGTCAATTTTGCCCTCATGAATCCGCGGTAAGAACTGGAGCGTTGTCGTATCTCGCTTAGGGGTTGTACCACGAATCAACCGCCCCAAGAAACCCATTTCGTCCATCGTCGCTCATCGTCGATAATCGATTTCAATGATTTCTCATCAATCACAAGGCAAGAGGCAAAACGAGGTTCATCGTAGATCTACCTGCTTGATCTTACGCAAATATTCAATAAAATGGCTGCGGACTTTGTGAACACTGGCAGTATTCCAACGATTGGGGTCAGAGATAATCACGCCTTAATGTGATTTTTCACATAGTTGTTCAGGATAGGATTCAGTACTCCGTACTGGCTTTGAATTTGATCTCCCTTTTCAGTTGCTGGACGATTCTTTCTAGCACATTTGGCCACATTTCTTCAGATTCAGGTGTATAGACTTTTCGAAAGACGATGAAGCCCCAGGAAAAATTGCATGTGCTTCGCTGGGCTAAGGAATGACGAACATGACCAGCCGTGTTCTTGAACCATGGCTCCTGTCTCCTCTTCAAAGAGACATCTTCGGTGAATTCAGGATGATACCGGCATTGTGATCACACTGAGTGATGATAGAACTTCTCAGGATCTAGTTCCTTGACCTGATCGTTAGGGTTGGGGTCGTTGGGCGAGGCCGAGGCCGAGGCAGATGTGGATGAAGTCATTTGTGGAAAGTGATACATCACAAGATACCCGAAAAGAAGGAGTAGAGAAAGACGGTAGATCACGGAAACAATGCATTCCATTTTGCCTTTACGCAGAGCTTGAAGTCCCGTGCCCACGTGAAAGAGACCGGGCGAACTTTTACAGTGGGAAGATAGCATGGATTCTTTGGCATTTATGGGTCTTGGTTTTGACACTTGTTATGCTGGGTTTACAGTGTACACTCCTTATACAGTAGGGTGATTCGCAAGGGAGTAAGACCATATTGCCAGGTGCTCAGTCTGGAGGCCCTTTACAGGCCCGGGGAGTACAAATGATCACCCGAGTGGGGAAAATATGTTGGACGACCATCCATGACGATTCTCAGGCAAATTGGGAGATCGAAAGCGCCGATCCCATATTGTCTTTCATCCCAGCGTGCCTCATAACCCACACGGACCAGCCTATACGCCTGTTCCAAGTGGACTGGCGTGGTTCCGTACATGTGCCCCTGCGACTGCAGGCAGACGGATTAGACCAGCTCGTAATATACACACGGGGACCAGGAACCTAGGCGATATGTTCAATTACAGGGATGACAAGCCCACGGTAGAGAGTATAAAATTCCACAAAACTTGATTCGGGGAAGATTTGAACTCTGAACACATGTTCCCAGTTCCCATCGCTGAGCTTGACATGGATGATACCTGGGTGAACCTACAACAGAACCAACCACATAGCAGACATTGCGCATGGAACCTCTGTTAATCTAAGTCGCATCGCAACGGAGCCCGGTGATTGAACAGCGGAAATCCATAGGGCGGGGAAGGATCCGGGACAACCGTTTACCGCCACAGTGCACCGCCACACCCCTATCAAGGTCAATCTTACAGGCCCCAAGGCTTCTGACGGATCATCACACGGCATACGGAGTACTCACCATGGAGCACCCGGACATCCCTAGCCCTGATTCAGACGGCTCGGGCTCCTCTGATGACTACCCTCCCCAATATCCCAGAACAAATTCGAACTTCGAGACCGAAGGGCAAATCCAGACGCCTGCCACTACAATCACCTCCTCCCCTCCAACCCATTCACCTGGCCTTACCCCATGGACTGCTACACCGTCATTACGACCGCGCGGATCTAGTGTCGGGGCTGCCACCATCCTCGAAAACCCCGATGGCCTTGCCATGGCCAGCGACCCGCGAGTGCAACGCCCGTCCGCCCCAGTAAGGACACCCTCGAATACCTATGCCCCCCAGCGACGACCACCCAAGTATATCAGCCTCCAGGAAGATCGACAAAGGACCCCATCAGCGAAACGAGGTACTCGACGCGACCCGAACGCGCAATACCGAGCTCAAGAGAAAGCTTACGTCCAGCGAATCCGGGCAAATCCACAAGCCTGGTATCACCACTTCAAAGACGCACAGTCAAACAGCATGATCGAAGGTGATGCCGACCTAGAGGATCCCTCCCCGTCGTCCGAAGTCGCTTTCGATGATGATTCCTACGATCCCGATACTCAACTTTTCCTCCCGGACGACAATCTGCCGACGACCGAGGAGCTCAAGCACCCCAAGAACCAGGAGCGGCTGGAGTGGCACTCTATGCTGGCTTCAGTCTTGAAGGGTGATGTGGTCAAGCAAGAGAAGATGCGACTTAACGGGTCGGCGGAATCAAAACGGTCGGCGGCGCAGAGCTACGCCCTCTGGATCGGCGTACGAGCAAGGACGTGCGGGCGAAGCATTCCTCTGCAGCGAAAGTTGATTGAAGATGCCCGCTCCCATCTCGGTCCGATAATTGAAGATGTTATTGGGTTCCAAATCAAAGGCGAAACCGAGATTGGAAAACCACCCAGACAACAAGTCGAAGACATTGTGGAAAAGGTTGAAAAGTGTGAAGTTCTTTACTCTTCGTCCAAAGAGATGGAAATCGCAAACCCTCGTGTTGCCTCTGAAGAGTTTATCTCCAGCCGGGCTGCCATCTTCTCATGGCACAACATCACGGCTCTCATCAACACCGAGCTGGCTGTACTGCAAGGTTGGGTTGGCAACGAAGCCCTCAACTTCAGCGAACCAAGAGTCAAATCTGCGAAGAACGATCTCTCTGACGGCTCTTCATTCCTTGATCGTATCATGAAAGAGGACGGTCTAAAGACGCTCCAAGACAAGGACGGCATGCTTCTTAGCATTCTTGCCGTGGTTCATAAAGCCAAGAGTACTCTTATTGAGAACGCCGAAGCGTTCGCTGCGCGCCATCTGCCTCCATATATCGAGGAACTGCTGACCCTGATCAACTTCCCATCTCGGTTGATCCAGGAGATCATCCGCGTCCGTCTGTCCTATGCCAGGAACATGAAGGACCCGGCCTCGCAGGCCCCTATTCTCATTGATCAGATGATATCCCAATTCCAAATTCTTATGAAAGTGTCAGTGGACATCAAATTCCGCTATCTCGATGTTTCCAGACCGGAACCAGGCTGGGATCTACCGCCTTGTGTCGATGAGAACTTCGACAATTCAGTTCTAGATGCCATGAAGTATTACTTCCGGCTTCTGAATTGGAAGCTGAATGCCAACAAGAACACCTTCAAGGAAGCCGAGATTCTGGAGCAGGAATGGGGTTACTCATATGATATTGGCCGCCGCCTTGAGGGTGGTGATATCGAGGTGGCTGAGCAGTTCAGGTAGGCATCGTGATTCAGATGATGTGGTGCATTGAAGCTAACATGGATACAGTGCCCTGACTGCCAGGTCCCTCCAGCGACTCATGATTCATTTCGAGCGTGAGCTCGTTCCACGGCCCAAGGAAACTGTACAGGATATGGACAAGCGATACAAGAGTATTCTTGATTCCACTCGCATTCGTCAACGCAAGCTATACCGGTTCTCCAAATTTTTGTGTCAGTTGTTCGAAAACGCGACCGAATACAACCTTACTGTCGACGTTGCGTATGATTTCTTCGAAGCTCTTCTCATCTCCGACCACTTCCTCGTCACCTCGCCTGTATCGTCCGGGCAGAAGGGGGTTTACCTGATCGCACATCGTGCGTTGTGGAATCGACCTGCCGACATCCAGGCTATTCTTTCTACCTCTTTCAAAGAGGACGACACCATCCTAGACGGTCATGTTCCTTATGTTCTTGCCATTCGGCCTGAAAGACCTCTGGCCTGGGCTGGTAAGGTCATGGAAGTGGGCTTCCTGGAGCACCCAACCGATGTGAGACTGGGCAAACTACGCCTGGTGGTGGGCGGCATGCAGGAACGGCTGCAAAATGCTCGCATGGAACTTACAGTTCTCACGGGCATTCAACTTGACATGGTCATTGAGCAACGTGCAAACCTTGGTCGCGTCAACGTTGAGTTAAATAAGATCAAGAAGATTTCTTTCAAGCTATCCATGACCATCATGGACAGCGTCTCCATCATCAAAGACCAGTTGCGCGAAAGACAATGGGAAAATTTCGACTTGATTCAAGCCTGTTATTCATTCGCAACAGAATTTGGCAAACGTTCATCCAACTACGTTGATGCTAATAGACGTGCTATGAACAGTGCCCGGCTAGTGGAGTTGGCTTTGGATTGGGTTTCATTCATTTGTGACGAATGTGATGCTGCAGACCGCAAGACTTTCAAGTGGGCTGTGGCCGCTCTCGAGTTCGCAATGGCGATCACCTCTAGTCGGCATTTGCTATCCATGGACCAAGACCAGTACAGCCAATTCCGATTGAAAGTCGCTGGCTGCATGTCTCTCCTCATCTCCCATTTCGATATCATGGGCGCTCGGTCTTCGCTTGCTGCCAAGAACGAGAAGCGCATGGAAGAGCGCAATGGAGTTCGACAAATTGGTGCCGGTCGGATCATCAGTGATGAAGAAGCATCACAGCTCGTGCGTGACACTTGGCACGCACGTGTCACGGAGATTGAAGATAGGAGAATTGAAGAAGACGCGAAGCGCCAGGCTCTCGGAAAGGTCTTGGAAGGCTCTGATGAGGCGGACCGATCGCTCACTGTGCTATCCTCATCTGCTACCAACGTTACTCTGCGTTGGCAACAAGGTCAATTCATTGGAGGTGGTACCTTTGGTTCGGTATACGTGGCCATCAATCTGGACAGCAACTACCTGATGGCCGTGAAAGAAATTCGCCTGCAAGATCCCCAGCTCATTCCTAAGATCGCCCAGCAGATCCGAGACGAGATGGGTGTGCTCGAAGTCCTTGACCACCCGAACATTGTATCCTACCATGGCATCGAGGTTCACCGTGACAAGGTTTACATTTTCATGGAATACTGCTCGGGTGGCTCACTTGCCAGCTTGTTGGAGCACGGTCGCATTGAAGATGAGACGGTGATCATGGTGTATGCGCTCCAGCTCCTGGAGGGTCTGGCATACCTTCATGAAGCTCATATTGTTCATCGTGACATCAAGCCCGAGAACATTCTTTTGGATCACAACGGTGTCATCAAATACGTCGATTTCGGTGCCGCTAAGATCATCGCTCGCACGGGTCGCACTATTGCCCCCGTGGACAACCCCGGAAACCCCAACTTCAAGGATCCAGCCAATAAGGACGCAAACGCCCGCGGCAAGAACCAGAAGACCACGACTGGAACCCCAATGTACATGTCACCGGAAGTCATTCGGGGTGACGCTGCCAAACTGGCCAACAAACAAGGAGCGGTGGACATCTGGTCATTGGGCTGTGTGATTCTCGAAATGGCCACTGGTCGCCGACCCTGGTCCACTCTAGACAACGAATGGGCCATCATGTACAACATCGCTCAGGGCAAGCAACCTGCGCTCCCATCCCGCGACCAACTCAGTGATCTGGGCATTGACTTTGTGCGCCGCTGTTTCGAATGCGATCCCGCCCGTCGCGCCACTGCCGCCGAATTGCTCCAGCACGAGTGGATTGTCTCCATTCGCCAGCAGGTCGTCTTGGAACCCCCGACCCCGGGCAGCGACTACAGCAGCAGTTCTGGATCCGGCACCACCACTCGCCAAAATTCTGCATATATGTGATCCTTCTGCACATCCTGTCAGGACATGACAACTCAATTGTTCAATTGGGATGTGAAAGCATTCTACATTCCCCACCACACTCGCTCGATCTCGTCATTCTTGAATGACATCCATCGCATGTGATACCCCTCGTCTCTTCTATCTTGTTTTTTTCATGTCGTCAAAATCTTCTCATGATATCTATCTTACCACGATCACGTTCTGTCATTTCATACTATGGGACTTTTATTCGCGCATCTCGGGCCCCTTACTCTTTGACTCTTTTGCATTTATCCCATCGCACGTGTGGGGTTTTATGTTTGGCGCGAGGATCTAGCATTTCTCATTGGCTATATGACACTCGGATATAAACGAATTGGGCTTGTCGGTTTTAGCAAGTATTTCTTTCAGCTGTTACTTATTCTAGCGCATATAAGATTAATTTCAATATGGTTGCGTTTCATAGTACTCCGTAAAGCGATGAATACGTCTCAGCACATCCATGGATTTTGTTTAACAGGTAGCTAAGACACGCAGTCTACAATCAGCCTTGGAAATGCCTACGGTAATACCCATTGCCTGTCCCGCTGCGCTGAGGTGCACTAGGTTCATGGGCTCTGCTGTCTCGAAGTGTATGATCCAGACCCGTAAAAGGACTCAAGTCTTCCATTCTAGACTCATATTCTCGTGTGGAGTCTCTTACCTATGTCTTTCCAAGGTTGGTACCTAGGTATCCACAGCCATACGGAGTACAACAAGACGATTTAATTTTCCACCTACAAGGCTACTTCTATGACTCGGTGAGCACCCGAGCACAGAGAGGCGGTATGTGCCCGTGTTAGGTCACACTATGTACCGTGCAGTACCCGAGACATCGACGGATGCAAGGGGCACCTGTGGAGCCTAGTGTCAACAAAGACCCAAGCACCTGTCAGCCCATGTCCACGATGTTTCTTCTCAAAGTGAGTGCCGGTACTATAATGACTCACCTGATTGGAAGGCCGGGGATCTGCAGCAGGGATTCTGAATAGACACTACTGTACTCCGTACTCCGTATTAGCGCGTCGGTTTACGGAGCAGGGCTCGGTCACGCCCGGAGGATCTGCAATGCATGAGCGACCTCGGGAGCTGTTGGTGGAGGGTTCCTTTGACCAGTTCTAGCATTTAGGCGGTTACACAGACTACTAGTATTTACTTACTCCGTAGTGGAGAGTGAAAAAGGAGGTTCGTGAATATGCGTTTTATAAGCCCACTGCAACTTGGGAAATGAGATATCAAACAATAAGTTAACATAAGATATGTTGGAATAAGAGCACAAGGAATGAGATGAGAAGGTCAACTCCAAGGGGCGTTTGTGATGGCCAAGACCAGGTCTCTGGAGAATGAGAACGCCGATTCATAGATGAAAATATCGTGAGGCATGACAGATAGTAAGAGGATAGGTTTGAGAGGCAGACTTCTGGGGAGGTAGTCCTTCAAATCAAGTGGCCTGTGAGGCCAAGCAGATTTTTCGAACAAAATTCGGATAGTGAGGGTCGATATGGGTGGTAGAGTATATGTGAGAAGCAGCCAACATGAGAACTTAGGGATTGATGGATTTGAGAAATCCAAGTCTCTCGTTCGGAACGTTCGGGGCATGGGCCAGAAAGCACTGCTGAGCCTGGCGTCGAACATGAAATTGAGGAAGTAGGGTATTGTTGGGAGGACGAATCAAGCGAAGAACCCAGAAAAAGTATAGTTGTGCACCAGCAGTCAAGAGGGTAAGTTTAGCGGAACTCGACTGATGGTGCGCATCCACGATGCTCGACATGCTTGAGCTCAAGCTGTTGGAACCTTTGATAGAAGTCAGCATCGATTGACTGGCATTGTGGAAACTCATGCTGCCGACTTACCGCTCGCTTTTCGAATGGAAGTAAACACCGCTCACAGTTCCTTCAACCTGATTAAAGCAGATATAGTAGAATCCCTCGAAACTGGCCCCTGAGATTGTCCGCACCCGGTGGTCGGGGACTAGGAAAGATTCTTTCCATCTCATGAATATGTGCTCACGTTGTGCGAAATTCCTGTATGTGAAATCCGGTCGTTTGGACTGTTTGGCCAGCGGACGGTAGGCTGGGAATCGACTCCAGTGGTTGTGGTCGGTCTTGTCCGATGCGCCCCATTCTGCGTTCCGAGTCTGGAAGGTGTGTTTGGTGCCAATCATTTCTCCCTCGAAAAATGTGGTTAGGGTAGGATGATCTTCGGTGAGGCCTGTGGACAAAAGTACGTCAACAAGGAATCCCATGCACGTCCCCGATCTTCAGCGAATCACGAACCTTGGATTCGAAGGTAGCCGCAAAGATAGGACTCCGCCATATCTACGTGCTTGATCTCGACATCAACTTTGTACACCTGGCGATCGCTTTGTTGTGTTCCAACGAATTTGCTCCCTGAGCGCAAAAAGGAGGATGTGTGGTTTGACAAAAGCTGCATATCATTAGTAGGGGTTCAGTGGCGCAGCCCGGGGCAGGGTCAGCACTAACCCGAACATTAGAAAACTCCCAGCTGAGCAGGGAAGAGCTTGACTGGGGCAGTGTAGGGGACTGGCTGCGGGTGCATGTCGATTCGGCAGGGGAGATGGCTCGGATAGGCTGCGGCTTAATGTCCACGATGGGCACCCGCTTCTCTGCCTTAGTTGGCGCTATCGCGGAGCCATCTTCGGAGTGCCTGACTATAGATGGCCTGTTGGCCCGCGGTCGATATCTTGCGTTGACGGGCTCGCTGGATTGCGTGTCTCGCCTGGCGCTCCTATCCGGCTCGGGACAAGTGCGAGTGGAGATGGTCTCGATCGGAGTGCTGTCGCTGGGGGTTGGCATGACGGATCAAGGTAGAAACAACAAAAACATTGAACTTTACGAAGGCGCTCCAAAGCAAGATACAAGCGAAATGGAAAAAAAGTGAGAAGATCAAGGGAGATCACGATCAGCGAACTAAGGTCTTTTAAGGCCTTGAGCGCAATGCGGGGACCAGTGGGTCACCTGTTGCAGCGCCTGGCGCGCCACTGCAATATAATGGTTATGTAATCCCGCTGCCTGATCCCCCAGGCAATATTGGCATTGGCCAATTACCGTCGCCCACCGAAATACACTGTATGGCATGACCTGTCGCTTCTTCTTCCTGTTTCAATTGAATTTGACTAGTTTTCACTGGTGACGTACAAAGCATTCCTGACTCCTGAATGATCGTCTACCGCTCCACTAGACAAGATCCAGGCCACTTTACCGCATTTGGTGTGACCTCCACGCCCGGGCAAGCCCGATCTATCGACATTTGACTCTGGGCACACACACCCGTGGACCACCCCCTGCCCAAGTGATATCCATTGGAGGTACTCCGTACATGGTCTTTCAAGCCACTCACTCAATTATCTGCAGGGACGGTCTAGTGGCTCAATTGGGACTCCAATGGTCAAGGCAAGGCCCAATTGGTTAGAGGAATCCAGGCCGGGGACGTTTGGCTTAATTGGAAATACAAACCACACCGTGGTGATGCACGGGCAATCCCTTCCCAGAACATGCCAAATGTCATGCATGCACCTCCAGCCTCGTAATGTTTGAGTTTCGCGGCCCGCCAGGTTCAAAGGGATTCCGCAGCTGGCACACCATGCTCAGCCCCTATCCACAGGCCGATCTACCGTACGCGAGCAAGGAGTACTTGATATTATGTGTTGACCTTGTTTTCAATTTGTCGATTGTTGTGGAATACTGATGAATAAATGGGCTAGAATTTGGGGAAACAAGAGTCTGATCAAGTTACCAGCCTTCCACATAGTCCATTACTTTATGCCCACTGAGACAATAGGTTCATCAGCTTCCTGTCTCAGCCCGTGGGAAGTGGAAGAGAACGAATTTACCAGTCGGGCTGCCTCACACCAATTTTCGCTTGTACGGTGTCAATGGTTGCCTCGTCATGCTGTACTTGCACACAGGGCGCCCGAGCGCCGCTGGCGTTTGCGGCGTCGCCAACAGCTCATTAGCCGCTGCGCGTCCTACGACAAAAATATATACCTACGCGAAGGGCCCCCAATCCAGTCAAATATCTTTTGCGTAAACAAAAGTAAAAACCTTGGAATTCAATATACTGGAACACTCACTCAGATACGAATCTGATTTGATTTGATCTAGCGTTCTGATCTCAATATATAAAGAGCTATAAATAGAGGTATCCGAGCACGTGGTTTTATACGCCCCAACATCCACCTGGCGTGGATCTTTTGTGAAGGTCTACGCAGTATGATTTCAAGCCAAAAAATAGAAACCTTGGAAATTGGAAGTATGCACCCGTGGACTGAATACCTAGGTACGCCAGCCTCCAAGGTTCCAAGGTTATCCCGAGGTCTGGTGCTATGTGTTCGGATAACATACTAGGTACCTAGGTATCATTCATCATGGATGGATGGATAGGACAGTTTAAGCTTTGCAATCAAGGATATTCAAGTATTATCAGAAAGAGGGCCGGTCACAAGGAACTTGCTATGTTTGGTATCATTCCATTGTTTCTGAAGCCGAAAGTTTGAGCTTGCTAAAGAAACCCTCAATGAACGCCTGTTGACCATCGTTAAAACAAATCCACCACGTCTTCGATTTTATCTATGCGCTCAGCCATTAGATTGGTTTGATCTGGAGAGCAGAAAGTGTTAGAAGGCGATCTAGACAAAGAGATATGAATTGACGGTACCTTGAAGTGAAGGGAGATAAGAGAGAAAACGAGGGCTTTCAAATCTTGCACAAGATAGTAGAAGACTCGCAGTCCCTCAGGATCATCTGATTCTGTCACATCCACCAGCGAGCCGATTTTCGCGGTCTGTAGTCACGGTATTAGAATAGGTGGATGCATATACACCGTGGATAGAAAGCATACCTCAAAGGAGATGTGCTCGTTGCCAATTCGGATCTCGAGCTCCTGGCGCCCATCCTTGTTCTTCTGAGGCCACTTGGAGTCGTCCTCCCTAAGCTGGGTCAGCACATGTGCTCGTCGCATGGAATTGAGAGATGAGCATACTTGAGAATTTCGCTGTCCTTGATGATGCGCTTGACTTCTTGCACCATGGCATCGCTCACGCACACTGTTTAATCCCATCAGCTTGTCTGCGGTGCCTTCAACTGATCTGCCCGCACTCACTCTCTTTGCGGATGAGAGAATCATTGCGGTAGTTGGAGTTATTCGCGTATCGAACGGCGGCACTGCTACCTTCGGAGATAGAGCGAAGATCAAATTCTGCGTTTCCATCAGCAACAAAACATAGAACAAGACACAGCGTGCGGACTTACCTAGGAACTCATGTCCAAACCGCCCAGAGTGACCTGAGCTGCGAGGACTGTCAGCAGCTGAGGAGACCTGGGCTCTCACTCATCCTTACTAGTATCGGAGATAGAACGGCTCGTTCGACATTTTGGCGAGTCTCAATTGTTCCAGTTCAAGTGCAAGAGAGCAGTCGACGTCAAAGTGGCAGTTGAAAAGCGGCGGGCGGACTTGGAGGCTTATGTCATCCACACAGCCAGATTAAGGGACAGGTTGATGGTCCCTCCCCGTTGCGCATCGCATATCCTCTAATGATTTCAGGGCTGGCGAGGGGTGCTGCTTTACACTAATTGCTTGCTTTTGATATCCGGCGCGGACTCTTGAATTCCGGGAGACTCACCCTAACTGTGCGTGTTGATTGATGTGCTGATGTGTCCCCAAAACAACCCCGGAACTGACAACTCGCAGCTCTCTCTCCCGCTCCCTCAATCCCACCACCATGGCGTCGTTCCTCGAAAATACCTACAGTTTGGTCCATCTGGACAATGCTGCTGACCAGCCGACTGTGCAGGAGCTCAAGCTGCAGCTGGAGAAAGGCACCGATGAAACCAAGTTGGAAACCATGCGGACAATTATCACCATCATGCTCAATGGCGACCCCATGCCACAAATCTTAATGCACATTATTCGCTTTGTGATGCCCTCCAAAAGCAAGCCTTTGAAGAAGCTGCTTTACTTCTTCTACGAAATCTGCCCCAAGCACGATTCCACCGGCAAGCTTAAGCAGGAGATGATCTTGGTCTGGTAAGGAAACCCCTGGCCATTGGTCTTTCGAATTCTCTCTCTAACGGGCTTCCTCTCGCAGTAACGGTATTCGCAACGATCTTCAGCATCCCAACGAATACATCCGCGGTAATACGCTACGATTCCTCAGCAAACTGCGCGAACCCGAACTTATCGAACCCCTCCTCTCCTCCGCACGCTCGTGCTTAGAGCACCGCCATGCTTATGTTCGCAAGAACGCTGTTTGGGCCGTGTCATCTATCTTCCAGCATTCCGAGTCCCTTATCCCAGATGCCCCCGAGCTGCTCCAGGTGTTCCTTGAGTCGGAGACAGACAGCACCTGCAAGCGCAATGCGTTCGCAGCGCTTATGTCTATCAGCCACCAGAAGGCGCTCGAATACTTGCGCACCACATTCGACACTATTCCCAACACCGATGAGCTACTTCAATTAGCAGAGTTGGAGTTCCTCCGCAAGGACGCAGTGCAGAACACACAAAATAAGGTTGGCTTTATGGATCCTAGGAAGTGATTTTGAGGTCACTAACATATTTCTAGTCCAAATACCTGAAGCTCATGCTCGAGCTCCTTGATGCGTCCACGAGTACTGTCGTTTACGAAGCCGCGACTTCTCTTACTGCCCTCACCAGCAACCCAGTCGCCGTCAAGGCTGCCGCTGGCAAGCTGATCGAGCTCGCCATACGGGAAGCCGACAACAATGTGAAGCTTATCTGTCTTGAGCGTGTCGACCAGCTCCGAATCCGAAATGAGGGTGTTCTGGACGATCTGACTATGGAGGCCCTGCGCGTCCTTAGCAGCCCGGATATCGATGTCCGGAGAAAAGCCCTTAACCTCGCTATGGAGATGGTCTCCAGCAAGAACGTGGAAGAGATCATCATGCTGCTCAAGAAGGAGCTTGCCAAGACCGTTGATGAACAATATGAACAGGTAGGTTTGATCTTTGCCTCGCACGATTTGGCAATGCTAACCAATTCCATAGAACAGCGAGTACCGTCAACTTTTGGTGCAGTCAATACACTCCTGCGCTATCAAGTTCTCCGAGATTGCTGCCAGTGTCGTTGATCTCTTGATGGATTTTATTGCCGACTTCAATAATAACTCCGCTGTCGATGTGATCTCATTCGTCAAGGAGGTCGTGGAGAAATTCCCTGACCTGCGTAGCTCGATCATCGCCCGTCTAGTTTCGACTTTGAGCGAAGTTCGCGCCGGAAAGGTCTACCGTGGAGTCCTCTGGGTCGTTGGTGAATACTCCCTGGAGGAGAAGGATATTCGCGATGCTTGGAAGACCATCAGAGCCAGTCTTGGTGAAATTCCTATCTTGGCATCTGAGCAGCGCCTCCTGGATGAGGTTCCTGATGACAACGCCTTGCTCCTAGAGCAGGCCAATGGGCAATCGAAGGCCGCGCCTACCGGATCCCGCAAGGTGCTTGCGGACGGCACATACGCCACCGAGAGCGCCCTGACCAGCCAGTCTGCTGCTGCCGCCCGCCTCGAGGCCGTGAAGGCCGCACAGAAGCCTCCATTGCGCCAACTCATCTTGGACGGTGACTACTACCTCTCCACGGTCCTCTCGTCAACCCTGACCAAGTTGGTCATGCGCCACTCCGAGGTGTCTGAGGATACCGCTCGCACCAACGCCCTCCGTGCTGAAGCCATGCTCATCATGATCTCCATCATGCGTGTCGGCCAATCTCCCTTCGTCAAGGCCCCTATCGATGAGGATTCAGTGGATCGCATCATGACCTGTGTGCGCTCTCTGGCAGAATTCTCCGAGAAGAAGGAACTCGAGGCCACTTTCCTGCAGGACACCCGAAAGGCGTTCCGGGCTATGGTTCAGGTTGAAGACAAGAAACGCGCTGCCAAGGAGGCCGTTGAGAAGGCCAAGACTGCCGTGCAGATTGACGATGCCATCCCCATTCGCCAATTCACCAAGAAGAACTCTGTTGAGGGAGCCGAAGAGATCGAGTTGGACCTTGTCAAGGCTACCGGGGGCGATTCCACCGTGGAAAATGTCTCCTCTAAGCTCAGCCGTGTGGTCCAATTGACCGGTTTCTCAGACTCCGTGTACGCGGAAGCGTATGTCACCGTTCACCAGTTCGATATCGTTCTCGACGTCCTCTTGGTCAACCAGACCACCGACACCCTGCAGAACTTGTGCGTCGAATTCGCAACTCTGGGTGACCTGAAGGTTGTCGAGCGTCCCTCCACCAACAACCTGGGTCCTAGGGACTTCTTGAACGTCCAGGCCACTATCAAGGTGTCTTCTACTGACACCGGAGTTATCTTTGGTAACATCGTCTACGACGGTGCCAGCTCAACTGAGACCCACGTGGTCATTCTTAACGACATCCACGCTGATATTATGGACTACATTCAGCCTGCTCACTGCACCGAGACTCAATTCCGGACTATGTGGACCGAGTTTGAATGGGAGAATAAGGTTAACATCAACTCCAAGGCCAAGACTCTCCGCGAGTTCCTGAAGCAGCTGATGGAGAGCACCAACATGGCTTGTTTGACGCCCGATGCTTCACTCAAGGGTGACTGCCGCTTCCTTAGCGCAAATCTGTATGCCCGCAGTGTTTTCGGTATGTTTCCCCTTCTGACATGACTCCTTTCCCGTCTGGATCCTCAACTGACCACTCTGCAATAGGCGAGGATGCACTAGCAAACCTGAGTATCGAGAAGGAAGGAGATGATGGACCCATCACCGGATTTGTGCGCATCAGAAGTCGCTCGCAGGGTCTGGCACTGAGCCTGGGCTCCCTGAAGGGCCTCAAGGCGGCGGCGGCTTAAGTCGATGTTTTTTTCAAGCGGTTTGCGGTCTATATCATGTTTCTTCTTGTTTCCCCCCTGGCTTTTACCGCATTCTGTCCCCATATGTTCATTTGAGACGAATTTGTTTACTTATATGTCTCTTTATTTTGTAGATGAGGTGGATGTCTCATCGGGAGTAGTGGATAGAGAACAATTGCTTTCAATTTTCAAGTTCAATGGCCGAGTAGAACCAGGGTATGTCTATTTAGAAAGTACTCCAGCATATTAGCCATGTAGCTGGGGTCTGAAGTGCAATAAAAAGCCAGCTGTTGTCCCGAGGTCCAATGTTGTCATCGAAATGCAGGGACCAGCCGGGCCCACCGGAACACCGCGGCCTCCGAACCTGCAGCTGCAGATGTGCCTCTTTTGTCCATCTTACTCGTCCTTTGTCTCCAGAATGTGTTGATTCCCTATCCTTATTGAACATGTCCTCATCAGATCCCCTCGCTCAGGGGCCGCACGACGTGGCGTTGGTCCTGGACCAGTCTGTCTCTCTGACGCTTGGCACCGACTCGCTCCTCATAGATGGTATGGCTTGACCCGTTCGCAAAATACGAACAGGGACTCACTGAACCCGCAGATAGCCGTACTGGCCACAAAGCAGACCGATATTGCTGGGGGCTCCTCAAGTCTAGTGAGTAAGCTCCGATTCTCCAACGATCCTAGCGAAAGGATCGCCCCATCCTTATCGCGGGCACTGCCGTCTTAGCGGGTGAACTGACCAGGCGATTCACTACTCAGAACCAGAGACCACCCACGCGATCTGCCTATACAATATACTTGGTGCCGAAGTGACGGCCTCGAATCTCGTCATCGCATACGCCGAGCCTGCTGGCAAGGACGATATCTCCGTCACGACCGTCCAATATCCAATTACCGAAAAAGAAAAGAAAGCCGTCGATGACTGGGTCCAAAAGTTGCTTGAGCTGGCTTATGGCAAGGCGCTGCGTGGCAAGCGCTTGAAGGTCCTGGTCAATCCTTTTGGCGGAAAAGGCACAGCGGCTAGCTTGTACCAAACGTACGCAGCGCCAGTCTTTGCAGCAGCGAAATGTCAGGTGGATGTCGAACACACAAAACACCAGGGCCATGCAGTTGACGTCGCAGAGAAACTAGACATTGACGCCTACGACGCGGTGGTCTGTTGCTCCGGCGATGGATTGCCACACGAGGTCTTCAACGGCTTGGGTAAGCGGCCAGACGCTCACAAAGCTCTGACGCAAATCGCCATTGCATCCCTTCCATGTGGCTCAGGGAATGGGCTCACTTGGAATTCTTTCGGCACCGGTAGCGTCTCGATTGCCGCGCTGGCAATTGTCAAAGGATTGCGAACACCTCTAGATCTCGTCTCCATCTCTCAAAAAGATTCGCGCAAGCTGTCTTTCCTCTCACAATCATTCGGCATCGTTGCCGAGTGTGACCTGGCCACTGAGAATATTCGATGGATGGGGGCTCAGCGATTCACATATGGTTTCCTAGTCCGATTGATGCGGCAGACCATCTGGCCATGCGATATTGCCGTCAAGGTCGAGATCGGCGACAAATCGGCAATCAAAGAACACTACGCGGCGTGGTCTACACGCCCCGCTGAGGAAGATCACGATAGCAAGCGACTCCAAGCCGCTGCTCTGTCTCCAGGTCTCCCGGAACTGAAGTATGGCGGCGTAATGGATGATGTGCCTCAAGACTGGGATGTCATACCAGGTGAAACCATGGGCAATTTCTACGCAGGAAACATGGCCATCATGTCCAAGGACACAAATATGTTCCCTGCCACTTTGCCTGACGATGGACTCATGGATGTTGTCACCATCGACGGAAGAGTCAGCCGTGGCACCGCAATCACAATGATGAATGAGATCCCTAGTGGTCGCTTCTTTGACATGCCAGAACTCAACCTTCGGAAGGCATCTGCTTTCCGTCTGACTCCCCACCAGAAGGAAGGATATATCAGTATTGACGGTGAGCGGGTGCCTTTTGAAGCCTTCCAAGCCGAGGTTCACCAGGGCCTGGGCACCATCCTCACCAAGTCGGGCCGCCTCTATGAGGCGGAGGGTCCCCGCTAAGTCGTACGCCCCCCTAAATATGCACCCAAGGGATGTTGTTCCCAGCCTCTATCGTCTTCTCTCAAGTCGCTTTGGGAGAGTCGGGATATTTCATTTATCATACTTCTCGCCCCTTACCAGATCTTTGCATCCACCCATGATACCCAAGCGTCAAAGATTTGGTGCACATCGATAAGTTGTATTAGAACATCGGCGCTCTGTGACCGGACTGCAGAGTAGATCGAAATCAAAAAAAAAAGAAAGATGTCAATACATCATGTGCGCGTTCCTTATCAAAATGTCTAGCAATGACTTTTATTTTACCCCATCTAGAACTCATGATAGATGGGATCGCTAGCACGCTGTGCAATGAATTCAATCTGTTTATACAAATCCCTTCCATTCAGCAAGACAGTTTACTCGAATCCGCCCCATTCCTCCTCACTATCTTCTTCCTCGACTGGTCTTGTCCGAACGCCCCACTCGTACAATCGGTCATCCTCCAGGGCCTCGGTGGCCCTCGTGCGAACAGGCTTGTACTGACTCTCGGCGCGCAGCTTCTCCAATGGTCGCAGGATAAGCTCAACAGGAACATCACCCTTGATCTTGCGCTTCGGGGTTTCCTCGTCCTCGATAGCCTCTTCCTCAAACTCCAGAACCTTCTCCAACTCATCGACCCAAATATCGATAAGGTGGTAGCGCAGACCATCAGGTCCATGCGGCATAGGGACGTAATTGGGATCTCCTTCCTCCATGTCCTGGTCCTGGTCGTAGTTCAACGGACACAAAGGTCCCTCCTCGATGATAGAGATATAAGCCGCGAGATCGGGGTATTTGGCTTCAACGTCCTCGGTATCATCCTTTTCTTCGGCGGTCTCGGGCTCAGCCTCAGCCTGCTTCTTCTGCTTCTTGCCACCCTTCTTAGCGGCATCTGCGCGCTTGCGCTTCTTACCATCTGCGCTCTGCGTGGGGTTCTTCACGAACACCTCGAATGCCACGCCGACATAGAAACGAATCAGCATGAGATATTTGTCTAGACGGAGGCGGTCGAGGGCGTGGTAATCCCGCCCAATAGTGATCCAGAAGGCACGCAGGAAGCGATGAAGGGTTGCGCGAGGAAGTGAGGGGACGAGGGAGTAGGAGAGAGCGCGGGCGAGGGCTTGTTGTGTGAGGGGTCGGTCGGAGTGATAGAAGCCTGTGGGAGTTAGTAATGTGACAGTCTTCAAGAATAAGGGAAGCCATACAGTAGAAGAGACCTTTCCAGAGCTTGAGGAGGTCCACGAGAGTCAAGTCATTGCGCGAGCGCACGAATTGGGTCAGAGAGTCAAGTGCCTTGTCGCGGACTTTGCGGTCTAAATTGGCGAAGATTGATCAGCACTGAAGCAGCAGAATATGAGAGCAGTATCATCTTACCGCTTGAACCAAGCTCCCTAACAAAGGGAGTCTTTTGGCCGTCCATTATCACGGCTTAGTCTCAGCGATTGGAGATATTTGCAGCTGGATCGAATCGTATGGTGTATGCTAAAGGAACTCTTGATCTGGGCCAAGATACAGATTCCCTGGAGGTGTGTCAATGTCGAAGACAGTCAGAAGCACGAGAAAATATCGGACTGCTGTCTAGCATGGAGATCGAAGATTGCGATAAATTATTTTTTTTTCCGCTGCGATAAAGTGTTTGCACTGTTTGTCGAGCGTTGGAGAATTGTGGGCGGTGATTGGCTGGGCTTTTACAGTACGAGTGAGACCCAGCAACTTCACTCTTCACTCATTCTTTATGCGAGCTGCATGGAGGGCAAAGGTCATGCGAGAATACTTCGGTATTCATGGCCTTACTATGTCCTCTAAATCTGGTGTCAAATCCTCCCAGGAACGACTCCTCACAAGTGATGCAACCGGCTTCTCCGGACAACAACGATGGAACGATGCCGCTGTTGACATCACCACTACTACACTGGTCGAATAGGAATCCAAATCCTCGATGCATATATTTTTCCACGGGTCTTTGGGTCAGGTCGATGTCACTATATATCGTAAATTGATCCACGGGATCACTGGTTGGAAAATTCACATATCCCACGGCACTGTCTTCTTCCAATCACGATCATTCTTCTACTACGATTTTCTCTGTGGATCCAGGAGTGAAGGCGTGAATTCTGACAGGTTCTTCTAACCTTGGGAGAACTTCATTCACCATGCCTGACAGGGATGGGGACCACGATGTGATAGAGCCCGATTCTTCAAGCGGCAGCGAGGAGGACGTGCCTCAATCGGAGATTGGGGCCCGTCCGGTAAGGAACAAGCGAGATGGACTGGTGTTCGACTTCATCGGGCCAGAAGACCTGGCGGAACTGGCTCGCATCGCATCGACTTTCCCCCTACGTCGTGCTTCTGATTCTGGCGTGTCAGGAATGCCGGATGCCGAGCGGAAAGACACACTAGAAGATGTCGAGCTGGGAGATCCAGTGTTAGATCCGACTTCTGATCAGTTTGATCATTACAAATGGGCTCGAATGATGTTGAAGCTGATGGACAAGGAGGGAGTGCCTGTGCGGAAATCGACGGGCGTAGTCTGGCAAGATCTCAACATCTCTGGGACTGGAGCCGCACTTCAATACCAGAATAATGTTGGCTCGGTTGCCTTAGCTCCCATTCGGCCCCAGGAGTACATCTCTTGTGGAAAACGATCTACCCAAAAGCGAATCCTGCGCAACTTTGATGGCGCATTGAAGAGCGGCGAACTGTTGATCGTTCTGGGGAGACCAGGAAGTGGATGCTCGACCTTACTCAAGACTCTCTCCGGTGAGCTACACGGACTCAAACTGGAAAAGGGATCTGATATTCAGTACAACGGTATTCCGATGGAGAGGATGCACAAAGAGTTCAAGGGCGAGGTTTTGTACAATCAGGAGGTTGACAAACATTTCCCTCATCTCACCGTTGGCCAGACCCTTGAGTTTGCAGCAGCAGCTAGGACTCCTGAGAATCGACTGAACGGCATCAGCCGCACACGTTATGCGAAGCATATTACCCAGGTGGCAATGGCAGTGTTGGGATTGAGTCATACCTACAACACCAAAGGTATGCTGCAACATGCCCTAAGTGGATGTCCTGAGACTCACACTATCCGCAGTTGGCGATGACTATATTCGTGGAGTTTCCGGAGGGGAGCGGAAACGAGTCAGGTATGTAATCATTCTTGAGAGTCGTCCATAGTACGCCAGGGCTGACATGAATGCTTAGTATCGCAGAGATGGCACGTAAGTTGGAAAAGTGGTGAAGCTCTTCCACGGCTGTTACTAACCCTCACACAGTTTCTGGTGCCCCTGTTGGTGCATGGGACAACAGTACCAGAGGCTTAGACTCTGCAAGCGCTTTGGAATTTACCAAATCCTTGAGAGTGTCGGCCGACTTGAGCGGAAGCTGCCATGCGGTTGCAATCTATCAGGCTTCCCAAGCGATATACGATATCTTCAACAAGGTGATTGTTCTCTATGAAGGCAGGCAGATCTTCTTCGGTCCATGCAATCAAGCAAAAGACTACTTCTTGGAAATGGGCTGGGATTGCCCGCCACGCCAAACAGTCGGCGATTTCTTAACCTCCGTGACAAATCCCCAAGAACGTAAAGCTCGCGATGGGATGGAGAACAAAGTTCCTCGAACGCCAGACGACTTTGAGAAATACTGGAAGAGCAGTCCTCAGCATGCTGCGCTTCAAAAGGAGATGGAGGAATACAGAGAGGAGTATCCAGTTGGTGGATCTGCCGGCAAGGATTTCACTGCGACGAAACGATTGCGGCAAGCGAAGCACGTTCGCCCGAAAAGTCCCTATGTCATTTCAGTTCCCATGCAGGTCAAGCTATGCACGAAACGGGCTTATCAACGGTTTGTGGCTGAGTGCCTCCTTTCGTTTACCCAGCTGACATTCTTTCAAGCATCTGGAACGACAAACCTTCTACCTTGACCACCGTGATTGGACGCATAGTCATGGCCTTGATCATCGGGTCAATCTATTTTGGGTATGGCATCTTGTCGGGAAATTTCGACGGCAATACTAACGCACATAGAACACCCAATGCATCTGCAGGATTCCAAAGTAAAGGAGCGGCGCTTTTCTTCTCAGTCCTGTGAGTACCAAATTTCGTGGAAATGAACAACAGTCTGATGATATCTTTTAGGATGAATGCTCTGATCAGTATCACAGAAATCAACTCTCTGTATGACCAACGCCCAATCATTGAGAAGCAAGCGTCTTACGCTTTCGTTCACCCATTCACGGAGTCACTGGGCGGCATAGTGGCTGATATACCAGTGAAGTTTGCCGCTGCTATAGTATTCAACATCATCTTCTATTTCTTGGCAGGACTAGTGAGTTAAGTCACCAAACCCCGTTGCAAGTGCTAACAAAGATGACAGCGATACGAAGCCTCTCAATTCTTCATCTTCTTTCTCTTCACTTTCCTCAGCACATTGGTAATGTCATGTGTGTTCCGAACTCTAGCCGCATCTACGAAAACGCTCTCCCAGGCTATGTCTATGGCCGGTGTGATGGTTCTAGCGATCATCATATATACAGGATTTGTGATCACAGTACCGGAGATGAGCAATATTCCTTGGTTTAGCTGGATCCGGTGGATCAATCCAGTCTTCTATACCTTTGAAGCTTTGGTTGCAAACGAGTTCCACGGCCGCCGGTTTGAATGCTCGCAATTCATTCCCGGATACCCCAGTCTTACCGGAGACTCTTTCATCTGCGCCGTGCGAGGTGCGGTGGCCGGAGAGAGGACAGTATCTGGGGATGCATACATCCAAAGTCAGTACACGTATACATACGCGCACGAGTGGCGAAATCTTGGAATCTTGATCGGGTTTTGGATCTTTTTCTTGGCGGTGTATCTGCTTGCCTCTGAACTCAATTCGTCTACGTCTTCCAAGGCAGAGTTTCTTGTTTTCCGACGAGGTCATGTTCCAGCCCAGCTCCGACATCTCGAGAAGGGAACAGGAGAATCCGGCTCGACAGAAGTTGGTCAGACGGAAAAGAAGCAGGCGGAAAAGAAATCCGAAAATGACACGCAGGGATCAGCTATTCCTGCACAGCATGACATATTTACTTGGAGAAATGTCTGCTATGACATCCCAGTCAAAGGTGGAGAGCGTCGTCTCCTGGACAATGTTTCCGGCTGGGTCAAACCAGGCACCTTAACGGCTTTGATGGGCGTTTCTGGCGCTGGAAAGACAACACTACTTGACGTTCTGGCTAAGCGAGTCTCCATTGGTGTCGTCACAGGGGATATGCTCGTCAATGGTAAACCGCTAGACACCAGTTTCCAGCGGAAAACTGGCTATGTCCAGCAGCAAGACTTACACCTTCCGACCACCACAGTCAGAGAGGCGCTCCGATTCAGTGCGATGTTGCGTCAGGCAAAGACCGTTTCAAAGAAAGAAAAATACAAGTATGTCGAAGAGGTGATTGACATGCTTGGTATGCAAGATTTCGCAGATGCTATTGTTGGAACACCAGGTGAAGGCTTGAACGTCGAGCAGAGGAAACTTCTGACTATTGGCGTGGAGCTGGCAGCCAAGCCTGCACTTCTCATCTTCCTTGATGAGCCTACGAGTGGGTTAGACTCGCAGAGCTCCTGGGCAATTTGCGCCTTCTTACGCAAGCTCGCTGAGCATGGGCAGGCGGTTTTGTCGACGATTCACCAACCGAGTGCATTGCTCTTCCAACAGTTCGACCGTCTACTCTTCCTTGCCAAAGGAGGTAGGACTGTCTATTTTGGAGAAATCGGTGATCAGTCCCGGGTGCTATTAGACTACTTTGAAGGCAACGGCGCCAGGACGTGCGACTCATCGGAAAACGTAAGCATCACCCAAAACTCTGGAGGGGTTTAAAGCACCAACTGACTGAATTAGCCCGCGGAGTACATGCTGGAGATTATCGGTGCAGGCGCCTCTGGGAAGTCCACGCAGGATTGGCCCCAGGTGTGGAATCAAAGCCAGCAGGCCAAAGGCGTTCAGGCTGAAATTGACCGGATTCATGACGAGCGAGCTTCGGCAGAGACCAGCAATGAGGGCCAATCTCAACAGGGTGAATATGCAATGCCGTTCACTGCACAACTATGGCTCGTTACCCATCGGTCTTTCCAAGCCTTCTGGCGCGAGCCATCATACGTGTGGGCGAAGATCATGCTGGGAACAATGTCATCTCTCTTCATTGGATTCACATTCTTCAAGCCTGACAGCTCCCTGCAGGGATTCCAAGATGTCTTATTCAGTGCGTTCATGCTGACATCGATTTTCTCAACCTTGGTGCAACAGTGAGCAACTCATTAGACCGAACTTCCTCCCTGTTTGAGCTAACCTCAAGCCTACTAGAATCATGCCAAAGTTTGTCGTTCAGCGGTCCCTCTACGAGGTCCGCGAACGACCCTCAAAGGCCTACTCGTGGGGAGCCTTCCTCATAGCAAATGTTATCGTCGAGCTACCATACCAAGTCTTTGTCGGTGTGATCAGCTGGGCCTGTTACTACTACCCGATATACGGCTCAGAGCAAGCGTCCCATCGACAAGGTCTGATGCTGCTATTCGTGGTACAGTTCTATATTTTCACATCCACTTTCGCATCACTCGTGATATCCTCGCTACCAGATGCCGAAACAGGTGGAACAATCGCTACCTTGATGTTCATCATGACGCTGACATTCAACGGCGTGATGCAAGCGCCGTCGGCTCTCCCTGGATTCTGGATATTCATGTACCGTGTATCACCCTTGACGTACTTGGTTGCAGGCATCACCGCCACGGGCCTGCATGGCCGGGCGATTCACTGCGCCGCAGCTGAACTGAGCGTTTTCAACCCCCCTGCTGGATTAACGTGCGGTGCATACCTCGACCCGTACGTCAAGGCCGCTGGCGGTCAGCTGTACAATCCGACCGCTACAAGTGGCTGCGAGTACTGCCAACTGCAGAATGCAGATCAGTATCTATCTGCGAGTAATATCTGTGAGTCTTTCTTGTCGAGTTGAAATGTTGGATCAAACTAACTTCGCGCACAGTTTACAGCGAGCGTTGGCGCAACTTCGGCATTGGATGGGCGTACATTGGGTTCAATGTGGCTGGCACTGTTCTGCTCTATTACATGTTCCGTGTAAAGCATTACAATCCAACTTCATTGGTGCGCGGGATTGGGCAAGGGGCAGCCTTTGTATGCCGGGTCTTCAAGCGGCGGTCTGGACAGACACCCAAGGGCAAAGAGGCCAACAATGGCCGACTTGTTTGAAGCCCATTTGAATTATCAGCTGGATTGGTTATTGTATTTTTGGGAAACAAAGACAGTATCATTTTCGCATTAACTCAGTTGATCACCGATAATTCAAAGCAGTCGCCTAGTATTATAATCAAACATCTGTCGCAAATATCGAGACAGCATGTGTAGGCCATCAAAATCATGTTGGCTGGTATGATTTGAGGGATTGAGAGCTTGAAATGGGACAAATCATCAATAAATATCAAGAGAGGGGAATTGAGGAGGGAAATTAAGCAGGGACTCGGGGTATTGTGCAATGATGCCAGCAAAGAAAAAACGCCAGAACGCTGAAAGTCCAAGTAGACAGCAGAGGGAAATTAATCGACGATACCTGCATGAGGACGGTGCAGACAGCTCGAGGCACTAACGTCGGCGCCTAGATTGAGGGTTATAATTAGGCGCCACGACCAATGCATTGACAACATGGCCGTCCTGCCATCCCTGCTCGATCAAGGGTTGTCTCTCATTCAGGAAGTGGCCCAGGTACGCAATGCGGACCCTTTTGTTCTTATCAAGCTAAAGAGCGCGGAGTTAGCAAAAAGCCTTGATGTATGAACTGGTCGTGTTCACTACCAACCTTCGCTTCATGATGCACTTTTCTGGCCAAATAACCCACGGTCTGGCTCTTGTTCACAGCGAGCGAAAGATCCGGACCACCCTCACTCAACCGAGCCAAAACGCGAATCAGATTATGTTCACTGGTCTTCCCTTTCTCATCACGACGTCGTTCCGCGTCAGATATCAATTCGTCCCCGGAGGCGTCGTCTGTCGCAAGCTTACCATCGGAGAGCTCCTGGTAATCTTCATCGGCATGGTCCTCCTCATCCTCGTGGGAAGCAATCATGTTCTCTGGATCACTGACGATACACTGTGGCAGTCTGTAAAGCACACCCTGCTCATCGTAGCACCCTTCGCAGAGATTCCCCGTCGGAACGGTAATGCCGGCAGCATCAACGATGCCCTGTGCGGTGGTGATATCGCCGGAACGCATTAGTGCAATAGCCGTGGAGACTGCAGCCCAGATCTCCGCCCGCCCCGTGACACGCGTATCGAAGAACTCATCTCGCTCACGATCTAGCTGTGCGCGCGTCCAGGTCCGCCGCTTACTAGTCCACAGATGAGCACGTATCGGTTCATTGTAGTGTTCTTTCAGAGGGAGATTTGGCACCCGATGCTCCGAGGAATTTGCCTGGCCGCTGGTGCGATTCTGGGTTTGATGTCGAATTGAGGGTTCGTCGTCAGTGCGCGACAGTACAGAGGCGCAGCAGCCCTGGGAATGTTAGTGTGTGACATCCAGGCAGTCGAGCCAAGGGAATGCTGATGGGCTCTTTCGTGGGAAATTACCATGTTGTTTGCGACCAGGAACCTCCATGTGAGAGTTGGAGGAGGGGCGATTGCGACTTTAGTGACGATCTCAACTCCGCTATGGGGCCGAAGCACAGACCTTCTCCATTAGGCACTCGACGATCTCAACACAAGTGCATTCCAGGGAGATGTCAACAACCTCATTCTGCTGCCTGAAGTCGATGATCTGCAGAGCGCATTTGCGACCAAGTTTTATTGCACTTTATGTACGGAGTACCTAAATGCGCCATACAGCTATAAGCACAGCTGCGCCCTCGGGCAAATGCTGCAAAGATAATTGGGTCAAGAATTGGTCTCATATGTACATTTACTCTCAGTCTCCAAATATAGCCTTGAACACTGCATCCCCCGGCCGCTCAGCCTCTAGGGCTTCATTTCGCTCTGGCTCAATCACTGTGGGCGGTGCCGCAGTGACAGTCTGACCACTCTTAGCTGGGTCAGAGCCATCGGCACTGGGCAAGTAGCCCAGGGAGTCGATCAGAAGTTGATTCATAACGTCCTGCGATACCAGTTCTTTGGGGCCCGAGTCGGCCTGGAATCCACCGGACTGGAAGCGCGTGCCTGGCGCAGAGGTAGTCCCAGACCGCTCCCCGGGATCCGACTGCACATTCGAAGGTGGCTTGACATTGAAACGCTTGCATAAGAGCCGGGATGGGTAAAAGTCTACTGTGCTTCGCGTCATGTGCCCAAACATACCAATCTTAGCAGCCGCCACTGCCGGGCTGTCTGGCTTTTCGGCAGGTTTGCTGAGAGGCGAGTCCACGGAGTCTGGGGCATCCGAGGCTGCTTTGGGGGCGGAAGAAGCTGAGGTAAAGCGGGATGCCATGATTCCAGAAATGGGTTTGAAAACCTCGGCCGCTCGGCCAAACTCTTGCATCTCTGTAACCCACTCATTTGTGGTGGCCCCGTCTGCTTTTTCCGGGAGCGTTTCTCGAGTACCGGCGCTGATCTCCAGGAAGGTTCGGTATCGCGCACGTTTCTCCTCATCCTCTTGGTAAGGCATCCATCCACCGATGCCCCGGGCCAAGGCTTGGGCGGCAACCTGCTTATCAAGCTTTGGTACAAGGTCCCAAAGATCTTTTCGTTTCTGCGACTCGGGAAGTTCGTATCCTTTGGGGGCCTTTTCCCCCATCGCCGGCGGCAGATTGGTCTTCCCTGTAAGTTTGGCGATTTTTTCCCTTGCTTCGGGTGTCATCCAATCAAAGATAGACTTTCCAGGCAACTGGGCTTCGCCCAGCAGTGCTGCTCTGGATGTGGGGTTAAGTGACGAGGCTTTAGCGGCGTCGGCGGTTGAAACGTAGCTCGATTGGTCCCGTGTTTCTGACGAGACCTCTTTGGCGGATTTCCAATCACTTGGTATTGTAGGAGGGTCATATTTCTTGTCGGATATGGACAGACCCGATAGGCCGTCCGCGAGAACGAACCCGTCCAGCGGAAGACGTCCATCGCGGCATTTTCTGAAGCCGCCACTCCCTCGTGAAGCTGCAAGCTTCTTTGATATGAACACAGGTTTCGAGTTCAGAAGGGGATTTGATGATGCGATGGTAGGTTTCCCATCGTCCACTTTGCCCTTCTTCTTTTTCTTCTTGTCTCCCCCGATTGTCTTGTTGTACGAGATTTGAGGTCCCAATGAGTATGGATCCTCGTCATCTGAGCCCGTGTCATTGAGGGGGCCAACACCAAACCCTCCCCGTCGCGAATCTTTTCGTTTCGTAGTTGGTTTGTCTTGGATGGCTAAACGGTTGCCGAAAAACGAGTCCGTCTGGTCCGAATCGTGCGTAGTTTCGCTCTGTGGTTGAGTTTCAAGGCGCGCCTCGCCTTGAAACCCAAGACCTTTGCGGTCAGTCTTGCGAACGAACGCCACCATGGGTGGGTTTTCCGGCGCGAAGAGGTAGGTCTCTTCATCGGCACCTGGGGCAGAGCTCTCGTCCAAATTCGCTTTGCGCCGCACTTTGGGCCCGATGCCTTGGCCCTCGCGCCATCCCATCTTTTTGAGAAGCTTGACACCCATGGTTTCTCCTCCAGTTTTCAATATATCCATGAGCCCTGCCCTGCGAGTGGCATCCTGTTCTGTAGATCCGAATCCTGCGAACTCGTTCGCGGTCCGTATTTGTCGCGACTCCTCCTGTTCTCTGAGGTCATCATCGTCCATGTAGTCTTCTGGTCGTTGTTGCTCTGCTTTCTTGGCGCGATTCTGACGAGAGGAAACGAATGTCGCGGGCGTCCATCCCTCCTTCGAGCCGACGGAATTAAAATATCTACCAGACGTTAATGTTTGTCCCTGTGAAGCTCATGGAGTTTGATGCTACCGACCCTGCGCTAAATCCACCCGTGAAGGCGCCATGCAGACGCTTTCTTCCTTGCTCATCTCTGACATCTTGTTGCCAAACCGGGACAAATGAGCCATCATCGCGAACACTCTCGTCGAGTGGTGGTAGTGGGGTTCCGAAGAAGGCGTATGGGGATTGCTGTGCCTGGAGATCGGCCTCGAGGGCAGCGCGGTTGCGTTTGAGGGACATTTTCGAGTGAGAATCACCCACAAGGGGAATTTGTCACGTCATCTGTATCAATGATATTAAGAAGAAGAATCGCGAATCTGGAGATCGGTAGCTGAGGAAGCTGTCACATCCACTTCCCAAGGTTGGCCTGAGGCTCTGTATTACCAAATGTCTGAGTCAGCATTGGTGGACCCGTGGAACTGTCCACGGAACCATGGGTCGGGTGAAAGAAAAAGTCAATCTGCGCCGTTTGTTGTGTTTGTTTTTGTCGACGAGACAACGAAGAGTTTGACATTCAGAATAAACTGCAGTACGGAGTATTGCAGGCTGGGCTAGACGAACAGAGTATCCAGCACGGAAGACCCTGTATTGGCGCTGTTCGGGAACGCCCAATCGGCACGTTCCTTTGCCCACGAGTTGGATCTTCGGATCTTCCCCTGACTTCCCGCTTCAGGAGACATGATATTCATGTCTATACTACTCGGCTTCAATGGAGTGCTGGGACAAAACAGTCCTCGAATATACTGTAGTAATCTCCGTGCCATTTTAGGCTAAACTTATCGCGGAGTCCGTGGGTCAAATACAATAGAAGGCGTATTCTCTATAGGCTGGAACTTTGAGCGCTCGCCCCCTCAAGCTTGGCGGGTTGGGGTTAGGGGCGCAATTTCTTAGCCTCGCGCTCCTTTTCCACTCCACTGCTCTCTTTCTCAGTCATGCTGCTCTCATAGCCCTTGTCTCTCGGTGTCGCTTCAGAACAGAGTTCGTGGAATCTGCGCGCAATCCAGCCCGCGGGCTTTTATTCTACAGAATGTTCGGTCAATTTGCGCCGAGTCGGAGGCGGTTCTACCTGATTTTGGCCTGCGCCGCCACCGTGATATGCCTCCTCAATCTACTCTTTCTCACTCAGACAGTGGACACCACTGTGATCCGACTCCCCCACTTCGGCTTGTTCACGGCGACGACGAAACCCGTGACGGGACAGTATGCGCTCGATAAGCATCCGATCGTCAACCTGATGGCGGGGGCGGATCGCCAGTGGGTGGACTACGAGAACGATCGCTCGACAAATTTCCGACAAACCGTCGCAAAATACCGGGAGACCTATGGGCGACACCCGCCTCCGGGGTTCAAGGAGTGGTACATGTTCGCCCGCAAGAAGAATGCGCACAACGTGGATGATTTCAAGCAGATCACCGGTGACTTGCGGCCTTTCTGGGCGGTTCCACCAGCCTTGATCCGGAAAATGGCTGCCAAACTCATGCACAGTGATGGCATGATGGGTGTCCAAATCCGCGACAACAAAGTGGTGCATTCGGAGGAAGAGGGGTGGAGGGTTGAAACACTGAGAAAATCCGTGAAGCGCCTCGCTCGGTATCTCCCAGATATGGACATAGCACTTAACCTTCATGATCAGCCCCGAGTCATGGTATCATGGAACGAAACGCAGGAGTACCTCCGCGCCGAAGTCCTGAGCAGAACCATGCCTCCCGATGCGCAAGACCAATTCACCCGGGACATGAAGTATCTGACTGCCCAGGAGCCGGACATCGAGGAGGTGGATCCATCCTGGTCTTCTCTTGCCGGGAAGCTCTACATGGATACTGCTCAATACTCTTGTCCTCCTGAATCCCCCGCGCGCAACCATAACATCACCGTCGAAGAGGCCAACAAGGCATACAAGTTGTCCTCGGGTGGTTTTGTGACCAACTTCACCGCTTCCTCTGATCTGTGCACTGTCGGGCCAGCTCTCGGCAAGAGCCATGGGTTCTTGTTTTCGGCTTCCAGTAACCTTGTAACGAGGAAGCTGGTCCCGGTCTTCAGCGAGTGCAAGGTTAGCGTGAACAACGATATCTTGTTCCCTGCCAACATGTACTTCATGGACGACAAGCGCTACACCTACAACTCGCGTCATGACTATGAATGGGAAGACAAAGAAGACAATCTTATCTGGCGCGGCGTTACATCCGGAGGCGTTCAAGTTGCCGATAACTGGAAGAACATGCATCGTCAACGCTTTGTACAGCTCGCAAACAGCACCGAGATGGCCAACAAGACAGTATCGATTCTCTCTGAGACGAGCACGAATCAGTACCACAACCAAACCGACTTCGAGCCCAGCAAATTCGCTGCCGATCACTTCGATGTTGGCTTCACTGAAGCATTCGGATGCATTCCAAACTGCTCTTTCTACGATGATGTGTGGACCCTCAAAGAGCCAAAGGACTTCAGCCAAACATTCAAATCCAAGTACCTCGTCGACATCGACGGTCACAGTTTCTCGGGCCGGTGGCGTGCCTTCCAGCTTAGCAAATCGATGGGTATCAAAGCGACCATCTTCCGAGAATGGCACGACTCTCGTCTCTTTGCCTGGCGCCACTTTGTTCCCATGGACAATCGATATGACGACCTGTACTCTATCATGACCTACTTCGTCGGACTGGGATCTCGGAAGACATCCACCAACGCGACATCAATCAGTGAGCCCTACGTTCCCAATCACGACTTTGAGGCCGAGGTAATTGCAGCCCAGAGCAGGGAGTGGGCACAGCATGCATTGCGGGATGAAGATCTCGATATCTATCTCTATCTACTTCTTCTGGAGTACGGCCGCATCATTGATGATAATCGCGATATCATTGGATACAGTGGTGATGGAAGTGAGCTGGACCAGTTCGACGAGCAACATCCCTTTTCCCCGGTGATCCAGAATATTGTCATTCCTCCCTCGGGTGACCATGAGCCATGAATCTTGTTCATATACCTTTCTTTGTTGCATATTACCGAGCAGCCTGTGTTTGATTTCAACCATTTATGTCTAATGACCAACTTAATTTTTTTTTTCTTTCATTCTATTTTCTATTTACAAATGCCTGGTCTCCAAGTAATTGTTTTAAGCACCCCATCCACGGGTGGGCCCGTGGATGACTTGACGCATAAACCAAGTTGGCTTTATAGATCTGACCATCGAATGAACTTAAATCAAAACCCAATGGATACTCTCGACTTCCAAGTCGATCATTGTAATTTGTAGCTACTGGCCCTCAATTTCAAAGACCAGACCAGGCAAGAGCTCAACCTTTCCTTGCTTCAGTCCCCTGAAGACCAGCCTGACAGAGTTCTCTCCTCCCGACAGAGAAACACTTCGTGTGCCAGCAGCCGATCCAGAAGGAACTTGATAGTTCCACGGCCCACCAAATATCGCATCATAAGCCCCCTTGAAACGAGAAGCCTCCCCCTCGGGAACATGGACTGACACAGAGGAGATACCCTGCACGCCATTGGGGTGTTGGGTGAGTTGTGGCTCAGCCTCATAGGGAACACGATTGGCGCGAGGAGTTCTATCCAGGCACCAGAACGGTAAAGAGCCGGGAACAATCTTTCCATGGGGTTGCTGAGGTACGCAAATCGCCCATTTCAAAACTGTTCCGTCTGGTTTGGTACGACCGCCGGCGATAGGATCAGTGTAAGAAGCTTCCGTATCTGCCTTTTTGAACCGCTGCTGCACGGCGCTGAAGTCTTCTTCCGACCGTAAAGTAAAGGCCCAGTCGATGATTGTGTTCTCTTGTTCATTACCCCAGCGATGGGAACGGCGTTTCTCCGGGTCGATGTTGTCGAAGAAGGCGATGAATTCGAGGTACACACCGTCCGGAAGAAGGATCAATTTGTTGGTTGTGAGTCCATCGGCGTGGTTCCCGCCGGGTGCGAGGGTGAATTGACCGTCGACCTGCTTGGAGATTCCGAGGAGGCTCTCGTGAGAAACGAGAATAACGATGTGGTCAAGAATGGGGGTTTGTAGGTCTGGCATTTTGCAAGTCTAAAGGGGATCCGATGAGATGGAGGAATGGTACATTGAGAATATCTGATCGCGGCATCCCCGCATGGTATTTGTATTCGAAAAAAGTTGGAGACCCCTCACTCGGGAAATACCAAGTTACTCCGACGGAAAGCTCTTGTACATTTCTCTTGGTGCTCCGACTGGATTTGCGGACAACGCAACCCTAACTCGCAGGCCCTGGTTATGACATCCATGCATCTTCAGAAACATCTAATCGCGAGCATGCAAGCTTAAGAGTTCTTCTTTCAAAAGTAAACAATTTTGGAAACAATGAAGCTAATATAGATTCGAGTCTGCCCAGAATAGCGTGCCTAGTGGAGATTCTTGCCTCATCGCCACTACTGCAGATGTGCTGGATGGGTTCGGTCGTTGTTGACCACCCATGATCACTGCTTCCAAGTTGTACAATATTCGACCTGGGGGCAATATAACAATTTTCGTACCTAGTATTGACGTGGCTTTATGTGGTTTCTAGCACTAATTGATTACCTATGTAAGCATGGCATGTCACGCAAATTCCGTGGCACCTGAGCATGACAGGAAACTCGGGAATATATATTCTTGTATATGATCGTCCTCGGGTCATCCATCGTCCTTACAAGGTTGAAGTTGAAGATCAACCCTAGGGCAGCCGGGCCATTGTCGTATGCAAAAAGTAAAAATCGGCATCAATGGAGGTCTGAACCTTCAAGTTGGAACAGGGGGAAAATAACATAAAAAAGCCAACCAAGGATGGCTGTTTCAAGCACGTCCTGATACCTAGGTAGACATGAAAATGGCAAAAAGATAGTGCATCATCCGTGAATCGAACACGGGCCTCGTCGATGGCAACGACGAATTCTACCACTAGACCAATGATGCTTGGATGTCTGGTTGTGGGATGTTGGGACTATAGCCGAGTTCTCAAACTCGGGTTGCCGAGACCCACTTAGGGTATTCTTCAGACTGACCACGGAGTAGTTACTGTATGAGACCATTAGAACATCAATAAAAACGAAACTACCTATGTAGATACTTCTGAGGTTCGAAATCAAGGTGAAAATATGAAGATTTGACAATGATGGGGGATAATTAGTACTTATTCATGTTCGATGCTGGTGGTTGACTATACTAGGTACCTAGGTAGTTTCCTCGAAGGCCGGAAGTACTAGGACCTATAGTTGAAAAAACCTTGGAAGGTTGAAAATCCGAATTTAGCTACATCAATATCATCGCAAGTCATAAAACAAACATATGGAGACATACAGACTCAGAACTCGGGAGCGACAATGCTACTATGTAGGTATGATGCAACCGCCGAGATGAGTGGGCTCAAAACAAAACAAACCAAAACAAGTCAACGCAGGAAATCCCTAAGCAGTAGATTTATACACCTCATTTGTACACTCCAGCAAAGTGATGTCTAATGGGTTGAACTCTACAGCCACAGAACCAGACAAAGACCACCTAGAACTGAGCCACACCAGCGATCAAAGAGACCATGGCGATAGTAAGAGCAGAGCAATAGTAAGAAGCCGAAGCAGCAGAGACAACACCGACCGAAGAAGCCGCCGCAGAAGCCGAAGCCGAAGCCGAAGCATAGGCCGAGGAGCTAGCCCGTGCCGACGAAGAAGTCTTACTAGAAGCCACAATCGAGCTAGAGTTCGAAGTACTCAAGTTCGTGGCAGTGGTACCATTAGTAGCCTTGATGCTAGTATACGCACCCGTCTTATCGGTATACTTGTATGCCGAAGCGGGGTTGTAGTTGATGATATCGACAGACTCGACATACATCGTGAAAGGCGCGGCGGTGTAGTCCGTCTCACCACCAGCCCACTCGATCGTACCCTCCGAGTTATCGGGGTCGCCACCGGCCCAGATACCGATGCGGATGCGCATGGGTGTCTGGGGGTAGTTGGATCCGTCGACGGCGTCGGCGTACTCGAGTGTGCGGACGACTTCGCCGTCGAGGAGCCATTCGATTCTCTCGGAGGTCCAGTCGATCGAGTACGTGTGGAAGGTCTCTTCGGGAGTGGAGACGGTCACAGTTGTGCCGCGGTCGTAGGATGTGGTGTTTCCTTTGCCGAAGTAGTCGGTTTGGATCTCGGTGTCGTAGGTGCTGATTTGCTCCTGAGATATGTGAGTGATTGAACGGGTGGGGTGGTGGATATCGACTTACCCAGTCGATTTCGTCGAGATCATCGGATTCGAGAATCCAGGTGCTGACGATACCGGTGCCATTGGCGGCTCTCATCTTGACGTCGACATGGCCGAAGAAGATGTAGAATTCACTCTCGATGGTGGGCGCGTCGCCCTGCTCGGAGATGGTGAACTTGGCACCGAGGTCGGTGCTGGTCACAGTGCCGGCGGTGGTGTTCCAACGACCCAGAGATCCGGAAGTGAAGTCAGTGTTGTAACGGTACTTGTTGAGACCAGTATCCGCTGGGCAAGTCTCTGCGAGATAAAATTAGACTTGTTTCAGATCTGATCGAGAACGGGACACACTCTTGAGAGGGTTGCAGCTGGTTGTAGTCTGCGCGGTAGCAGTGGCAGCCAGGGCCAAAGTGGCCCACTGATAGTAAGACTTGAAGACCATCCTTATAGTTGAAGCACTGGCAAGCGAATGAAGTGAGACGATCGACAGGAACTGAGCGACCTCGGGCGTCCTCCAGGAATTATAAGCGCAAGTCGACTCTGCCAAGCAGGAACAGAACTGGAAACATAAACTCTGGGTTCATGTTTTATTTTCAGACATGCTGCGTCGATATGTTGCCCCCCAACCCTGGAACATCACCTCCACCACGACGCAGATGCAGACAGCCACATTAACGGGAGCGTGCTATTGGTGTGGAGGTGAATCACTGTGGAGCATTGCAGAGCAGCGGGTGTCTTCATTCGCAACAGTCGAAGCGATGGTTAAATTAGTCGATTGCTGCTCCACTTGATAAAGCTTGGATGGAAGATGACGGGGGCAGCTTGCGCGGATAGCCCCAGATGGTTGGGGGCGAACGGGAAGGGCTACGTACGCCCCGTGAGAATATTTTCCCATCTGGTATTTTGCCCCGAGATGGTCTTGTTCAGTCGGATTTTTGTCTGTGACAATTGAAATTAGTTGCGGAGTCAATAGATGTTTTGTTTGCGATTCAATAGTTCCAGGCCGTGTGCCAATCACGTTGGAGTGTCAGGGTCGATCTTAATGGATTTACATCACTCGGTTTTATGTAGAGCGAACTGTTCGGCTGATTGACCGATCGTCGGTATGGCAATGCCGTGGAGAAGATTCTTGTGGACTATATAATGTAAGACGTATCAAAATGATCTATCCTTTCAATTGAAAAAGAATATATCAGCCAAGAAAGTAGTAGTACAAAAGAGCTCCGTCCAACTATACAGTACAAATCGCATGAAAATAATCGCTGCGTCAGTCGTATAGGTATATTAACAGAAGAGGCAGAGTGAAAAAAAAAAGAACAGGGATCTTTTTGAGAAACCCAAGATCCTCAACAAGGCCCATCACGGATGCGCAAGAAAGTCTCATACTGCTTGCGAGTCAGCCGGCGACACTTCTTGCCCCAAATAATCATGGGAATGGTCGTCATGATGAAGATGAAGCTTAAGCAGCCAATCGCAATGAAAACCTGCGACAGACTCTGCGCATCCAGCCAGGTTTCGGCAGTGAATGTGAAAAGACACCCGATAGTATTGTTGATGACCGAAACACCAACCATGCCCTCGAGAACCATTTCCGGGTACGCGTCCATAAGATAAGCCATGCTAAGGTCGCCCGCGCAACCCCAACCAAAGCCGATAAAGCCCAGGCCGAGGTACGGCAGGGGCCAGTCCCAGCCTTTGTCCGAGCCAATACCGAAGAGCATGAGACCCGCCGGGCCGATGAAAGCAACTGGCACAAGGAGCCACAGACGCTGTTCGGCTTCAAAAATGCCGTTGTTCCGACGGGACATCCAGACCACGAAAAAGTCCGAAAACCATCCGCCGTAGATACAGCCGATGACAGCGCCAATCAGAGTCGGGACATTCATGATGCCCACTGCGGCATCACTGTAGTTCCAGGGCGCTTCGTACCAGTTGTCCTCTTCGACGGTGAGATAGAAGGTCAACCAGGCATCTTGAGCGCCCCATTGAAGACCCGAGTAGAGAACCGCGGGGAAGGTGAAGATGCGCAGCGTGTGGAACAGACGCCGGCAGTATTGCTTGAAGCCGGTCCCAACCAGGGTGGGAGACGGGGTGATCAGAGCGATGCGCTGGAAGTAGGTCTTTCCCTTCTTCTGACCAGACTCCTCATCGGGATGATTGGCTGGGGCAGCCTGCACGTTTGCTGCCGTTTTTTCCTTCTCGTCCAGCGAGAGGTCCGCCGATGGCTCGGGTTGACGGGGAGACGCGGTTTGCCCGTGCAGGGGGTTGTTCCGATCAAAGAATGTCTCCTCTAGGCCGAAATAGAAGATGAAGATCAACCCCCCTGAGATGATCGCGGCCAGCCAGCCAACCCATCTCCATCCCAAGTAGCTGTCGGTGATGAAGCCCGCGACCAATGGCCCGGTGAAGGTACCAATACTGGTTGCCAGGACGTACAGACCCAGCACCATTCCTCTCTGATGCTGGAAAAAGAGGTCCGACAGGGACAGCTGAGCGAGAGCCTCGGCGCATGATTCTGACGCGCCAACGAATAGCTGGCCCCAAATGTTATCCTGAATATTGTGGATACGGGCGAACCAGATCGAGCCAATGACGGAAAACATCAAACAGATCAAGTATGATATGCGTCGTCCATACAGGAACGGCGCCGGACTGAACAGCAATGTGGCATATCCAATGCCGACGAATAACACGCCGGCCGCGATGTTGATGTCGTTCCACGTGATGCTCATCTCTTCAATCATGCCGTTGCCCGCCGTCCCGGCATCGTTTGCCGTTGCCGCCGTCAGAGCGACAAATACCAAGACCAGAAAGGAATGCCAGTAACGTCTTGGCTTACTCCAGTTGAGTGGGTCATCTGGAGAGTCGGTAGGGGATGGAATGAGTTGGACTTGGCCGTCGAAGCAGAGGCGCTCCGTTCCATTGAGTTCTTCCATGTCTAAGATTGGAAGAGAGAAATCCTCCTAAGTAGGGCAGTCATGGAGACATTGTGCAATGGAATCTCTATACCGAGTACTTGGTGGTGAACTAAAAAAGCAAGAAAAGAAAAAAAAAAGAGAGAGAAACCAGGCCATAAGAGTTTTCTACGCGGTGGGGCCGAATAAGCAAGGCTAAGCATTTCTACGCGACTTTCCTGCCCAACCGTCTTATCTTCATCATCACCCATACCTGAGATCCGCGATACCTGAAATACTTGAGATACTCGCAAAGCCTACAGGTCAGGAATTCGATCGCCAGTCATGTGGCTGATAAGATGCAGCGGCTGGACTCTCCTCTTTCAGTGGCCCCGTGACCCTGGGCTCGGCGTCTGCCTCATAAACACCCTGCTCCGTACTTCGTTCATACTCTGTACTTCCATACACACTACTACTAAGGATATCGAATGTCAACTTGTCAACTCAGAATGGCCCAATCTTTCCACGTCACCTCTTCCATCACGGGCAGTAGTCCCTTAAAACCGAGTAATTGTGGCTCCGACCTGGTTGCGCCCTTCGAAGCGACAACTCTGGACGAGTTGGCGAAGGGACCAAACGCAGCGAGGTCGGAGTACAAGGTGGTGGTGGTGGGGGCTGGGATCTCAGGACTCCGTGCCGCGGCCGTGTTGCACCGCCACGGGTGCGAGGTGGTGGTACTCGAGGCCCGGGATCGCATTGGTGGAAGAATCCTGACCAGTCGGAAAGGGGATCATGTCCGAGATATCGGTAAGATAGTGCCTGGGGGTCTTTATCACGGGGGATATTGACACCAAACAGGCGCCGCGTGGATGCATGAGACCTCCCAAAACGGGTTGGTGAAACTCATCCCTCAGTTGGCGATCCCATACTATTATGACGATGGGTTGCCGCTCTACTTCACCCGAGAAGGCCGGGCGGGATCCCAGTTCAAGGCGAAGAAAGTCGCCGATGAATTCGCCGACTATTGCGAATGGTTTTATGAAACCAATCCCGATGCTGAGGATCGCCCGGTCCATGAATTTGCGACCGAGTTCGTCCTCCAGCATCAGCTGATCACCGAGGACGAGCGCGATTGGGCTCCGCAGGCGGTCCGTGAGGTCGAATTGTGGATCGGCACAAGTACCGATCAGGCCTCGTCCAAGCATTTGTCCTATTTCATTACCGAGCGCAATCTGTATATGAAAGGCGGGTACGATCGGATCGTCAACTGGACTGCGGAGCCTCTCCGCGGCGATCCCAGTATCATCCGATTGAACCACAACGTCGAGAACGTGGAGTGGAATGAAAACGGGACCGAGCAGGCTCGAGTTCAATACAAGGATGCCGATGGAAACATCGGCTTCGTCGAGGGAGATGCAGTGATCATGACCAGTCCGCTGGGCGTCTACCATCACAACCTCATCTCGTTCAACCCGCCCTTGCCGAGTGACATCCAAGAGGGCATGGCCAGGTTTAGCTACGGCGCCCTGGGCAAAGTATTCTTCGAGTTTGCCGAGGTGTTCTGGTCAAAGGACAACGACCAGTTTGTCTTCTATCCGTCTCCCGAGGAATCGGACACTTCGTCTAAATCATCAGTGGATTCCCACACCAGTATGAATTCTATCATAGAGAAGGACAACATCCTGAACTACGCCACAGTCACCATCAACCTGTGGATCATGACCGGCGGCAAGGAGCTGTGTGTACAGATCGCCGAACCGCTAACACAACGCATTGAAGCCATGGAAGACTCCAAGGAAATCTACGCTTTCTTTGAACCGCTTTTCAAACTCTACCGTACGGAGCCATACAAGGCCCTGCCCCGTATGATCAATGTTGAGACAACACATTGGACTCAGGACCCGTTGGCTGGGTATGGCAGCTACTCGGCCGACAAGGTCGGAGATGACCCGGAGCTGCTGGTCGGCGCCTTGGAAAACCACAAGGAAAGTCGGCTGCAGTTTGCGGGTGAGCATTGCACTCTTGTTGCCAATGGCTGCGTGCATGGGGCGTTCAGGACGGGTGAAACCGCCGCTACGAACCTACTCACGAGCTTTGGCATTCCATTCGATGGTGAGAATGACATCGGATCGAAATGATTGCTTTCTGGGAAGCCGTTCATTGGCTTCAATGCACAGCTAGAATATGCACAGTGATAATACAAGGAGCTATGTTGCACACATACTAGAAATTTATCAACTTGAATTTGGATAACAGTCATCGTTGATCTCTGACAATAAGATTGGTAATAGGCAGCCTGCAAACCCTCAAGGCTGCATTCCCTTCTCTTTAAGCCGTGAAACAAGAGTTTGATGACTCTCGCCAAGTTTGTTCATCATGGTCTGGGGAGCCAAAGTACTCGGGTACAAAACCTCCAGATCAACATCGCGAACCAAAATGGTAAATTGATCGTCGACTGCCTTCGTCGTTTGCACAATGCTCCCTCGCCCCCACTGTGGCTCTGAGAGGACGCGGAGAATCACACCAGCACATTCCAGGGGTGTGAGCGCCCCTGTTGCAGAGACAGCATCACCGAGCCTCGTTTCAAGCAAGGGGGTCTGTTTCGGCAAATTAGATCGCCATTATCCGTAAAAAAAAGATCTCTCATGTACTTACGGCGACAGCCCCAGGACACACAGCAGAAACACGGATACCGAAAAGATCATTCAGCTCCCCCAGACTCTTCACAAAGCTCACAAGTCCAGCCTTGCTTGACATATACAGCGGGCTAGCCAAAGAGTGAACATAAGCAGCCATACTCGAGACAGCCAGAAAGTTCCCCTTGATATCTGGATTGCGGCACCAATAATCGATTGCCAACTGCGCCAGCCGCACTGGGGCTATGTAATTGATCGCTATCGTTGCGTACGATCCCGGGCTTGCATCGGGCGCATCCCTAGATTCAGGTGACACCCCAGGTGGTCTCCAGAAGTCACTGAACGGTGGCTCATAGACACCTGCGATATTGGCGATGATGTGAACGTATCCGAATGTTTCCAAGGCAGTCTCCCACAGAGAAGTGAGTTGAGACCAGTCCGTCACGTCTGTCTTGTGGAAGATTGCGCCCACGGGACTTTCGTCGCAGATTCGATAGCTCTGGAGTGTTGATTTTGCTGCTGGCTGGAGCTTGAGATCGGCAAGGACAACACTGCAGCCGGCTTGGAGGAGAAGCTCGGCTACACCGTGCCCAATGCCGGAGCCAGCACCGGTGACGATGGCAACTTTGCCCTTGAAATCATAGACCGACATGGTAGTATTTCGTGATCACCGAGGGATGCTGGACTGGATTGTAAACTCTAAGTCTTAGCACAAGGAGGCGAAACGATCACCAAGGTCTACAGGTGGATTGGATTGGGCTGTGAATACATAGAGGAAAAAGCAAACACGATTTCTCGACAAGTTTTGCCTCAACTCGTCATTGAATTGTGATCTGAGTATGAGATTCGTTAAAGGCTCTTGCATGATGCAAGTGCTTATTGGTCTTCACTCGATCGATCAAACTTGATCATGCGAACTCATGCAGGGTGACGAGAGACGTAGCACCGCGTGGTTGAAACCTTGCTCCATGCAGGTGGAGGCAAAGGCAAACATGTGGATCAAGGCAGGTTTGTGATCTGCAATGGGAATTTATCGTTGATGTGGATGTGATAACCGTCTGAAGTCCCCAGGGCTCGACCTGAGGCTCGGATGGCAAACAGGGCATAGGCTGACGGATCTGGGCACCTGAGCTGTATACTAGTGATCAGTTTGACTTCCCTGGGCAGGTGGTCAGTGGGGAGTTGTATGCCTACCTAGGTAGACACTTTCTTGGAAATTTACTCCTTAGTAGTGCTCAAATCGCCAAGAACAGCAGTTCTAGGCACTGGGTAAGTCTGCCTCACACAATCTTCTTTTTGGCCTATTCATCCCACAGCAAAGTGGGGACGCGAGAGCAAGACACCAAGTTAAAAGGATCAAATATCAACAATAATTAAGTTAAATACACTTCTCAAGGCTTGGTAGCGGCAAAATTGCCAGTCCCCAGGATATCACCGTCCTCCACCTTCCCAGCCTGCGCACGGTCAATGCGGAACTGGCTAGTTTGGAAGAGACGGGGCATGCTCGTTTTTTCAAAAGGAATACCCTCAGAGACCATCTTAGCCAGCTCCTGAGCGGCCAGCCAGATAACTGGCATACCGTGGCCGTTAAATCCAGCCAGAATGTACTGACCATCTTTATTAGGGACGTGTCCGATGTGTGGGTTGGAGTCGTATGAATAACCCATCACACCGGTCCAGATGTTGTCCACCTTAGCACCAGTATCTTCCCAACCGCGGTATGTGCGCTGCATATAATCATCGTAATAATCCTTCGCCGAGTCGATGAGAACGCTGTCATTCACGTTGTCGTACCACTGTTCTTGGAATGGCCGGAATAGCTTGGCGGCACCGCCGACAATGATACTACCATCAGCGCGAGGAACGAAGTATGATAATGTGCTATCTTCAGTGCGGTTGATGTATGAGTTGTTAAGGAGTGGTGCTGCGGTGCCCTCGGGGACAGTGATGCGGCTGCAAATGCCTTTGCAGGGGATGATGTTCTTGCCGTATTCGGGAAGCAGTCCTGAGACATATGCGTTGTTCGCATGGACGACATTATCGGCGTGCATTCTGCCTCGAGGTGTCTCGATTATATATCCTCCTTCAGGTGCTGGTGTAATTGATGTGACTGGCGTATGTGTTTGCAGGTTGACCCCAAGCGTGAGGAGCTTCTTGACGAGGTGCATGATGAATTTGAAAGGCCACATCGTACCGGCTGTGAAGCTTGCACATGCTTTTGCGCCCTTGACGCCACAGATCTATCACGATGTCATTAGAACCGCTTTTCTCATGTATCTCAATCGTTCGATTTAGCGGATAGACTTACTCCCTCAACTTGTTCGCCAGTATAAAACACCACATCATCCATGTATTCAAAGTCTGCAGCAACCATACGGTCATAGACCGCTTTAGCACTCTTGGCAGCGTCTTCATTGCACCAAACATCAACAGAACGTGCAAGAGTGAAGTCGCAATCGATATTCTCGCGTTCAATGACCTTTTTCAGGGCACGGAGATTTGCGATCTCAAACTCTGCAATCTCGGCACCAGCTCGGTCTCCCGCCCGGTCCATATATGTTGGGATGTGACCGTAGAAGTCGGGTCTGCAATGACCGCCATTGCGGCCAGTTGCCCCCGAGCAGGCACCTCGCGCTTCCAGGATTGTGATAGACTTGGTCGAGCCACCATCTTTGGTCAGGTGGTAGGCAGTGCCGACACCGGCAAACCCGGCCCCAATAATCACAATGTCACTGTGCTTGGGGAGATCCTCGGTCGATCGGTGGTCACGTAACTCATCTTGGTGCGTTTGCCAGAAACAATCACCAGGGGTATGAGTGGGAATGCAGCTCGGGGTGCCAGCTGTGGGCAATGGTGGGCAATCTGAGTGAGGCATGATGTGAAGAGAAACCGTGAGAGCTCTGGAGACCAGACTTATTTGAAGCCAGGTTAGCGGTGAAGTCGACCTTATAGATCATCGGGGCTCCAACATCCGGCGCGTGTGAGGTTCTTATCTGCCGTTATCAATCAGATCAGGAAAGAGCGGCCCACCGGCCCGGCATTACGCCGATTGGAAAGCGCGAACCATGGAACGCGATATGCACTCTGGGGACCTCCGAAGGCAGTCTATCGTCCCCGCATATTCCAAGGTTGCTGCTGTCGACCAATTTGTCGCGATATCTCCGGAGATAGCTTGTCATCCAGCGGAATCGATGGCAGCTGTTAGAGCTGCCAGCGACTTGAAAGAGATGACGTCAGCATCTGGCCTGGACACACACCGCCAGGTACCACGTCCCAACTCCCGATCTCGGTCCAGCCCCATGAGAAAGGAATGTGAGGAATGTGAAACAGGGGTAGGATTGGAAAAGCGGTCAGACTTCTCTGAGGTCAGCTGAAGGGCCTCCAGGGGTCCTCAGGGGGAGAGAGCACCAGATTACCCGAGCTCTGCAGACTTTGATTGCCGCTGCAGGGCTGGAGTTCTGGACGGGGCCGACTTCGGTCTCTGAGGACTGTCAGACATAATTTGCGCTGACTTGAATACACAGATCTCGAGAAGCGTGCATAAACTGTCCATTGTCCATCACACTGACAAGATTCCAATGAGCTCCACTTTGAATTCTCTTTACCGAGAATCAGAGACAAGGCCCCGGAAAGGTTTTTACCCACCCAGCACCAGATGAGGCCGTTGCCTTGGTCCTTCCAGCCATGGCAACTTACGTGTGGCTCGGGCTTGGTATCTGTCTTTTTGATTTGCTCTGTCCGCGCGTGGATGGACAATAGACTAATCAAAGGGAAAGACAGTCGCAAGTATGCCGCGCTGAGCCCCCGTCGTCACCACCGCCAAAGAAGACGCCTTCACAATCAATGGAAGGTGCGATTCAAGTGAGGTGATTCTCAGGATTGCCATAAATAAGCCGAAAGGCTTGATGGATCAAGGCGTTGATCCAGGCTACAAGTGCCCTTTCACTTCAACACGTCCTCTGAGGCCTGGATGGGCGGGGTCTGGCCTTCTGGAAGGCTTGCATTTCACCAGTGGCGGGACAGAACGCTGGCGGGACAGAACGCCGAATCTGGAAGATGCTTGGGATAGCTCCAAGGATGCAAAATTCGGAGGGGTCGGTCTTGTTGCTTTCATCCACTTGGATCCGATTTTCCTCAAGCCCAATCCAAGTCGTATTGTGCTAAGCCTTCATGATGGTGCCAATGATATAGATAGGAGAGCAACCATTTCAGAAAACTTTATGCGAGTATTAGACCAGTGCTCTCTTGTGTGAAGAGTGTGGGCTTTGTTGAAAGGACCGTTGCCGACCGATGTAGAGGGATGAGCCCCGAAGGCCAAAGTCCACTGGACTGAAGTCAAGCAATACCGTGGCGACAGGGAATCTGATAAGATCGAGGCTGAAGGAAGGCAAGGGGCTCGGCATCGGATCGCAAATGGTGGCGACATCCTGGGGTATTTCCTAATTCGGAATCGGGCGTTCTGTAGTGATGTTGCTGCCCAAGGGAATACAAACAGCTGCCAAATAAAGTCACTAGGACAGCTCAATGGGGCAAACTAGTGCAGAAGGCTGACGTCGACTGGTTCTGCTGCATGGCAATGCCATTTCGCCGATGTGGTGTCAGTGAAAACAAAATACTCTTGCAGGAATTGTATTCAATTGAAGTCGACGATTCGACCTCATCGTAAAAGTCAAGAATTGAGCTCGAGCTTCACTGCCAGCAAAGGGGGAGATGTGAAAGAGCTCCAAAGCTGACTAGAAGTGGATGTGTCAAGATCAAAATGGTTGTCTTAGAAAAGCCGAGCCAACAACCAGTCCACAAAGAAGCTCGGTTAAGGCGGCTACCATAGTAATATCGGACACGAAAGGTGAAAATCGTTGAACTTTTACATAACTGTGAAAATTTGACGCAGCCCTGCAGTCTTGGGTAATTGACCGCACTGCTCAAGGAGAGATTGAGGGTATCACTAGAATTCGTGAGCACGGCCAACTCTAGAATGCTGGGAACGACTGGCAAAATGTTTTGAGCCCCGCAAAAGAACCCCATGCTGTTCTGTCATCTTGAAAGAATGGCAAAAGAACGAAAGCTAAGGGAAGAACAGGTAAAAGATCAACCCCCTAGTCCAGCGTGTCTTACTAGTCCAATATGGGTATAGTAGCTTGGATCTTGCTATTACCATGCTTGAGTCAAACAAGAAAGCTGGTCATTTCGTTAGTCTCACTCAGGGATCGAGGTGTAGCTCCCCTGGCACATTGACATTGTCGGCGTCTAAGCTCCCGCGGATGATATCTGGACCAACCCTGGTAAAATTTCGTCCATCAATAGATCCCTCTAGCCTCAAAGGAGAGCAACCTATCGAAAGTCAATCTGGTAGGCAAATGGGTGTTTTATTCAAGCAGTTTCGAAACGGTAGAAATAAAATAGGCAACATGCAGCTACCGATTAGTCTCACAGGCTGCAGCTCTATGCAATGTATTCTCGCCGTTGACCCATAGGTGTCGGGCTAGAATTGCACATGCTCAGCAAACCCATATTCATCTCCACTCTACAGAAGGCAGGTGTAAGATTATCTCATTATTTCCCGCATTCACAGTTCCAGAACACCCGTCCCCGAGCTCCACTTCTATTTTTTCTTTCGCGCGAAGCACGGAAATTTGCTTGGCACCCTGCAATATTCGCATGCTTGAGCCAGCAACACTGTACTAAACGAAAATTTTAGTCATTGAAGACTGACCTCGGGCCTCATACCTAGGTAGGTCCACGGCTGTGACATGTACTTGATTGCTGTAGCGACACTTCTATTGGTATTCGGGAAAATTGCGCTGCTCCGAATATTTGCCAAGAGTGGTAAAGCACTGGACCAATCTCGAGCCTGGCGAGGGAGTGATAGAAGTGTCGGCTGAGTGTTGTGACATTGGGTATGGGTGTATGATCCGAGCAGTCCACAAGTACTTAGTCAAGGACCATCAGAAATCACCCTCTTCCTGCATACACATGGAGGCCATGATTGCCATGCAGTGGCATGATGCGCGCAGGGTCGTTCCGCTGCACCTTGAAGATCCCTGACAGAATGCAATGTGATGGCATCGCCATCTACTCCGTAGAGATCCCAGAGATCAAACGACCCACCACATGTGGCTCCGACACGGGTCGCCCCGGAGAGGACACCGCCGGGGCAGAAAGCACAGGTTGCAAATTACCCGATTAAGAACTGGTCGCTTTCATGCGTTAGACCGGCTATCAACCGGCTTAGATATCAAGATATCAAAATGCGGAGATATGAAGATATCACATTGAATTGCCTCCAAAATTCGCTCCCAAAGTCATGATTGAGTTACCATCAGCAAACCGAAACCTCGCATTCAGCGGCCGCCGCGGCTACAGTCAAATGCTCGGCCCACACAACACCAGACAATAATGTAAACGACCCCCAAAGGGGAAAGCGTGGTCCACCGCGCGGGTGCGGTCCGCAATAATTCGAGGACCCCCTGCGATCAGTGCCTAATTTCTTACCGCTAGCAAAGTTTTTTTTTCGTGCATTTATTTGACTTTTTTCTTTTATCAGAGGCGTAAACCTGATTGTGGGAATAATATCCCGGCATTAGCCAACGAGATGTAGCGGATTGTAAATTGGTCATGGTGAACGAGTGAGGAATATCTCCGAGACCAGGCCCGGTTCAATTGGTAGAGGTTCAAGGCCCGATACTACAAAAGACATGCATCTCGCCTGCAGGGCTCAAGGTCACTCTTTCGGTTTTTCTATTTAAGTTTGATTCCCATGAGGTGCTCGAAAAAATGTCACCTATCACGAACCACAAAGACAATAATGGGATAGCCCCCACTTTGTTCGACAAGAAGGTCCCCAGTCAAGAAGACACCGAGATGCGGAAATATAGCGATGTGGAGAATGTGGCCGGCCAGCTCGCGGAATGCCATGAGGTCAAACAGGGTCTTCATCAACGCCATATTCAGATGATTGCCCTGGCCGGCACTGTGGGAACCGGTCTCTTTCTCAGTTCGGGACGTGCGATCGTTAATGCAGGCCCCCTCGGGGCGTTCCTTGCATACACCATTATCGGAGCTACGGCTTGCAGTGTTGTTTTCGGCGTGGGTGAGATGGGTGCTTTGGCACCTCTCAATGGTGGTGTTATTCGATATGCAGAGATCTTCTGTGACCCCGCACTCGCATTCGCCAACGGGTGGAATCAAGTCTACTCGTACATCGTCTCAATTCCATCCGAGATTGTCGCAGCTGCTGTGATCATTGAGTTCTGGGTCACTGTGAACAACGCGATATGGATTACGGTGCTGGGTCTTCTTATGTTGTCAACCGCCTTTATCTTCGTGCGAGTATATGGCGAGCTTGAATTCGGATTCTCGATTTTGAAAATCATGCTTGTGATTGGAATTAATATCATGGCCTTGGTGAGTGGAGTGCACATGCTGTTTCAATTCCTATGCTAATGCAATCCCATAGGTCATCACATGTGGCGGAGCCCCAAATGGCGAGTCAATTGGATTCGCCTACTGGAAAGCTCCGTATGGCCCTTTCGTCCAATACCTAGGAGTGGGAGGGTCTCTTGGTAGATTCCTCGGGTTCTGGAAAACATTTGACAATGCGCTTTTCGCCTACTCTGGCATTGAGAATATCACATTGGCTGCCGCCGAAACTCGAAACCCTCGCCAGGCTATTCCTATGGCTGCACGTCGAATCTTCGTCCGCATCCTGTTGTTTTATGTCATTACGATATTTATGGTCGGTCTGATCGTATCGTCAACAAACGAGAACCTGCTCGGTTCGACTGGAACCGCCTCGCAGTCACCCTTTGTCATTGCCGCCCGAGAAGCTGGCATCAAGGTGGTACCTTCAATAATTAACGCAGTCGTCTTGACTTCTGCCTGGTCATCGGGAAACTCGAATATTCGTGAGTTGCACTACCCCCGTGTAAATGACGAAATTTCTAACTCCCTTTCTAGTTGGCGGCTCCCGTATTCTCTACGGTATGGCCAAACAAGGCTTTGCCCCCGGTGTTTTCAAGCGCATCAACCGCTTCGGCGTCCCATGGGTTGCTGTCGCCCTTTATGCCGTATTCATGGCTCTGGGATACATGACGCTGTCAAGTTCTGCAAGTACAGTCTTTACCTGGCTGCAGGACCTTGTCTCCATCTCAACGTTGGTAAACTGGATTTGCATCTGTGCCGTGTACCTTCGCTTCTACTACGGATGCAAAGCACAAGGTATTGATCGCCACACTGAGCTCCCATGGGCCGCGCCCTTCCAACCCTACACAACCTGGTTCTCGTTGATCGTGTTCGTGCTCCTCTTCTTTACCGGAGGGTTTACGACCTTCATGCACGGCCATTGGAGCACGGAAACTTTCATCTCGACATACTTCAATCTGCCATTCATCGTGATTGTTTACGGTGTTTACAAGTTTTGGATGAAGACGAAGATCATTCCGCTGGCGGAAATCCCGATTCGGCCTTTCATTGAGAGTTGGAACAACAACCCCGAGCCAGCACCCAAGCCTAAGCGGGGACTTTGGAAGCTCAATGTTCTTTGGTCATGAATCTGTGCAGTCCTCTTATGCAGCGTTATTTCTAGCATAAATATTTAATTATTGTTCACGAAATCGTTCTCCATCTAAAAGTTGTAACGCCTATCGCTACCGTCTCCAGGGATGACACTCATACACAGGTAAGGCAAATATGCTATCTCGGCTGTCGATTCCTGTTCCAAGGTTGGGGCCCTGGAGGGTTGCAGTGCAGAACCTGGAAACCCACCGGAAGATAAGCTTCGGAATGTGTCACAATCCTGGAAGGCTATCTCGCTATCAACGAATGAAACGTATCAGTCACTTCCCCAAGCTTCCAGGGGCCGAGGGAATCCGGGGGTTGCATAGACCAATGACATCGAACCGGGCCGATATGTACATTTTGGGCTTAGACCCGGAAGCCACGTTTAGGGCTAAGTTGGCGCGCCGGTGCGGGGGATCAAAGGAATACCAGAGGAATCTTCATCTTGTCAATGTCCTTCAAATAAACAGCTCTCAGTCCCGAAGCCTCAATTTCTTCTTCAAGTCAATTGGCAAACACCTCATCTTTTTCAAACCTCTCCACCTCCTTACAAAAGAGCAAACACCGACCCATTCCTTCATACCCCGCACCACCTCCGAGATAAACCACTCCCACCATGCCTGATAAACACGTCGTATTCGACGTCGTTGGCACCTGCGTCTCCTTTGATGCATTCTACAACACCATCGACCGCGTCATTGGCTCGCGACTTCTAGCCAAAAACATCACCGCCCGCTCATTCGGATTCACCTGGATGACAGCCGCAGAACTCGAGTTCACATTCCTTTCAATCTCCGAGCGCTACCGACCCTACAAAGACGTGATCAAAGCTCTATTCTATCGATCCCTGTACATGTGTGGAATCGAATCCCCCCGCACCTTCGCCACAGATGCAGAGCGCGACCAGTGCGTACAAGGCTACTCGGAACTAGAGCTGCGACCTGGAACAGCCGATTGTTTTGAAATTTTGCGCAATGCCGGATTCACAGTTTGGTGTTTGACTACTGGTGATGCGAAGCGGGTTCGTGGATACTTTGAGCGGGCGGGTGTGGATATGCCGTTGGAGAACTTCATTACTTGTGATACGGCTGGAGTGGCGAAGCCGGCGCTGGCGGCGTATAAGCCTGCGTTGGCGCGATTTGCGGAGGACGACGTGAAGTGGTTTGCGGCGGCGCATATGTGGGATGTTTCGGCTGCTGTTAAGGTTGGGTTCCGGGGTGCTTATTGTACGGTTTATGAGAAGGAGTCTTGTGCTGAGTTGTTTGATGCGGAGATGGATGTTCTCGCGGATACTCTGCCGGACATGGCGAAGAGTATTGTTGCGGCTTCTACGTGATTGTCTCATGAATTTGTGATTTAATATAATATAATGTGTTTTCCTTTACGGTCGCTCATTTGCATGTGTGACCTTGAGGTCATTCCAAATTACGTGAGTGCTTTCGACAGGTTCAGTGTTGTACAATTGTGTTCATGCAGTTGTCTCTCAATCTGTTACATATTGAGGGTTTGTGATGAAATGCTCCAGCACTTGGGCTTCGGTGTAGGTGGGCCAAGCAGCAGACGGAGACACATTTTCGGCACCAAAAATGGACATCTCAACCAGCGGATCAAAATTATCCAGAACGTCCATATTATTGTTACCCAACCCACTGTGATGAGCAGCCAAAGAGTGTTGCTGTTGAGACGAAAATTCCAAGGTTTCATGCTGACCACTTTGGATATTGGAATTCCTCCGTGAGAGATCAGCATTGATCCCTGTAATGTGAGAGCCCCAGTTTCTGAAAGCTTCATAATCAGAGACAGGCAGGCTCTGGGTGCTTTCGGGGCGAGGAGTCTGTAGCCCAGCGTGCAAGCGCGCAAGTGCACGCTCGAGCGACTCTATCAATGAAACTTCAGATCTTGCCGATTCTCCAGCAGCCGACATTTCTCGGATCATATCCAGACCACCACAGAGAGGCTTGCGGAACTTCTCGGAGAAATTCTGTATCGAGTAAGCTATCAGGACCAGCAAGGATGCCCGACACGAGCTATACTCGATATAGGAAGCTCGTGCCAGACCAATACCGCTATCTCGTAAATGCTGGCATATTCCCAAGGCCTCAGTTGCTGCTTCAACACAGGTATCGATCAGATCACCGCGACCAGATATCTGTCCTCGATCACTGGCCCGAGAGTTGAGCTCGCCGATGGGATCTGAATGGGCAGGAGAGCTAGCGTTGGAGGCTGATTTGTCCTTTTTGAGTAAGAATGGTCTTCCGACGAACATTCGAACTAGACAATAATCGAGTCGTAGGTGCATGACTGAGCGCACCTGCTTTGGTTCTTGCGTATCGATATCCAGAACATCCTTTGGAAGAGAGCTCCACCAATTGGTCAAGGCTCCCTTCCGAGTGACTAAACGTGCAACGATTCTCGATGCTTCGTCTTTGTGACAGTTTCGTAGAAGATTGCTGTACACAAGTCAGCATCGCTACCCAACGGGAGTGGGGAGGCTTGCAGCCTTACATGTCATGAAAGAGGTCCTCCAGGAAGTGAACCAACTGAACTGAGATGGAACATCTTGTGATGTTCCCAGGATGATCTTCAATGTTCAGCCCTCGGTGAAGGGGAATGTTCGCATCGACATCTGACCTCATTACAGACAGTGGTCGGCCATGAAAGATGGATATTTTCCTTGAGAGATGTAAGCTGATGTGCAGAAAGAACAGAGTTTGTGACCGTGCAAACCTCTCAAGTACATAAGCCGTCCACCAAACGCGATTGCGAGCCTCGATCAGAGCCCCCGTAAAAGCTTCATTCTTGCACTTTCGATGCATGCCATTTTGCATTCCAAGACGCATGGCCAGATTGATATAAATGAACCCTAGACCAGATGCATCGACAGGTAACGCATAGTATCCAAATAATAAACAGGCCTGGACACTCTCCAGGGAAGAGATCTCAATGATCTCAGGCAGCAAACGTATCGCCTGCTGGTAGAACGCCGCCCCCACGTCATCTTCAGAGAATGTGGATCTCGAACCCCTGTCCGAGTCTTGGCGGAGGGATTCAAGATGTGCATATTGTGTGCCGATCGCAAAGACCGTTAGGAGAATGCTTGTCGTCACTTCATTCCCTTGTTGAGCAAAGTTGTGTGGGTCGTTATATAGCAAGTCGAGACGCTCTTGAAGCCAGCCTTCGTCGACAAAGAAGTAATGAGTCTCTGCGTATTTAAAGAACGTCTTGACTAGGAAACCCGCAATATGACGAGGAGGGCATGCGGAGATTGCCGTGGATAGATGATTGTTCGCCGAGCGCAATTGCCGTGCGCGTGGGAAATTCGACGTCGGGTCAGTATCCTAGAAAGTCTCAGCATTCGCGCATGCATTTCAATCGATTCTGACCATACGCGTGTCCCTGGCTCTTTTATCTGGCTTTCAATATGGCTTTTGACTCGCATAGAAAAGTTCCAGTACGAGAACTCCCCAGAAAAGTCTATAGAGATAAGCATTGACCCGTCACTTCGCAGGAAAAAGAAATAAGATTGGGGGCAAACGTACGAGTTGTGGTATCCCCAACGGGTACCATTGTACACGCCTCATCGTCTATACGTAGTAGCTCTCCATCTTTGGGCTCTGGAAACACAGTGCCTCTATCCCCGTTATCGGCGTCAAGTGCATCTGCCAGTCTAGCCAAGTTCTTTGTGTCCAGGGCGATGCCTTCGATCGTTCGTTTCAAAATGCGTTCCATATATTTAGAGCGTTCGATCAATTCACGAAACTCAGATCGTGCTGATTTTTCTCTTTCTCTGTCAATGTTCAGAGCCGCTCTGTGTCTCGGAACCACCACCACTCACTTGGGAATATATTGTCGAAACTCGCGATTCCTCGGCGCTAGCCCTCTGAATTCACATGGCCGCTGAAAATGCGAACACCGCCTGCAGGGGGATCCACCCTCACATTTCTCCTTCAGGCGTCGACACTCGTCGCAGCTGCATGCGCGTTAGCCGCGGGTCCTCTAGCGGTGTGGGCACTCACGCTCTTGCCGCACGTTTTCTGTCCATGATCGGCGCAAAAGCAAAGAAAGCTAGAGAGCTTGGAGGGAGAGAGACGAAGGAATACAGAGTGTGGGGTTGGCCCCGTGACGCGGAGACAGATAAGAACCCCCCAATCAGACGAGCACCGCAATCTCACCTTTTCCAGACGTTTCGGATGCCGCGCGGGTAACGCTTGTTCATCTTGGATCTTCTTTCTCTTCTTTTATATCACAGTTGGGTCAGTATTTGCCAGAACAATGATCGAAATACCAATGAATACTGCTCAGACCTTCAGACTCCGATGCTGATCGATTGAGGGGTACCCATAGCATACATCCCACCAATGTATTACCATGTCGCCCAAGTATGACTGAGTCCGTCCAGTGTCCACGGGTTAGATCTTCCATTCTAGATAAATTCGGCAGAACCTCAAGCCCGCAGACTGCCCGGCCCCGAGGTCCCGGGGGAGTCGGGCTCCCAGTCTGGCCTAGGCCAGGGTTCCCCGCCAATCAAAACCAACGGCCTAAGTTAGGTCCCAAGGCTGAAGACTTTCGACCTTTGATTCCCCAGGCTCACTTCAACCTCAGTTGATTTTCAAGGAAGTAGATCAACTTGCTGTTTAAAACCAACCGCCATACCCAGCCACACACACAAGCACACACATACGTTTTCAGCGTCATTCACACAGACCGAAAACTCGGCACTTGGCGACATGATCTTACCAAAGCAACGGGTTTACGCCATTGTTCCGCAACATGGCCCGTCAATCGAAAGCGAAAGATTACTTCTTCGACCAGTGGAAGACTCCGATGCCACTGCACTATTCGGAATTCGCTCGCTTCCCGAAGTTGCAGCAATGAAGTAGGTCAAGAGCCGCGCCTCCATTCAATAATCGCAAACGAAGCAAGAGATCTGGATACTAACAGCACCAGCTGGCCCAAAGAACCCTTCAAATCAATTGAACAGACTCGCGCGTGGATGTCAACCAAAATCTTCACAGCTGGTCCCTCCGATGTCATCGGGCGCTCCTTCAACTATGCCATCATCGACAAATCCAGCCCAAATCCACAGCGCGTCATCAGGTATCTCAGTATCAATCAGGTAGCCCCTTACCCTGAGATTGGGTATTCATTGCACCCTGGTTCGTGGGGAAAAGGCATCGCAACGGAGGCTTTGCAATTGATGCTGAAGATGTGGTGGGCCCTGCCACGTCGGAAGCAAAACGAGGATGAACCCCAGCCCAATGAGCCTGAGAAGGCCTTTGCTCTCTGCGAAAAGATAAATTTTGGAAGCCATCGAGTACTTGAAAAATGCGGCTTCAAATTGATTGGTGAATACTCATACGGGGGAGATGCTCTTTTTGTGTTTGCGTTGGAAAAGCCGTGATACCTAAATGAGGATGCATGTCAAATACACTCCATGAACCGAGCACATTCGTCAATATCTGTATTCTATGAGATCAACCAAAACAAGTGAAAGTCAAAGATGTCTCGGGAAACCATCTCATAGCATTATTACCAATAATTTTCGCATCTCATACCCTTTCTATTCAATCATACAGAAATGCTTATTTATTGGATTTCACAGCATCCAGTATCACATCCGCGGCCTTCTCACCAACCAGGAAAGTGGAAACAGCGGTAAACGTCCCAGGAATACGGGGGTAAACAGAAGCGTCCACAACACGAAGCCCAGAGACACCGCGCACTTGGAAGTCAGAATTTAAAACCGCCATGGGATCATCATCAGTTCCAATAGGACAAGTGCAAGAAGCATGATGACCCCAAGCAGTATTTTTGATGTAGTCGTGAATTTCCTCATCGGTCTTCACATCTTCACCGGGGAGTACCTCAGACAAGGGGACTAGCTGGCGATCGAAGGCCCCACGAGCAACTCCAATAGCTTCAGTGATTGCCGTTAAATCCTTCTCATAGTCCCCGGAACCCGTATCAAAGTAATTAAAAGCAATATCAGGCATGTCAAGTGGATCCGCTGAGCGGAGTGTCACGGACCCAGCCTGGTTGCGCGGGTGTGCTTTCAAGATAGCCCAGGTGTACCAGTCATGGCGCTCAGTAATGTTCACACTATATCCGGGGAAATAACCGCGGAAGTTGATGGGCCCCCCAAAGATGAAAGCATCGTAGCCATCGTCTGCGGTGACGGAACTCTTGTAGAACATAGCTCCTATGAATCCAGAAGACGAATAGGAACCACGGTCTCCTAGAATAGGATTCTCCCAGCGTTTCAGACAAGGATCATCCTTTTCGCCGAAAGTGCATCCGTTCAGAATAGTCCAATTTGTGGGAGCGTGCGCAGAAACGGCGACCTCGTAATGATCTTGTAGGTTTGTACCTACACCGGGCAGATCAGAAATAACTTTAATGCCGAATTTCTTTAATTCTTCCTTTGGGCCGATGCCACTCAGTTTCAGCAGTTGAGGCGAATTGTATACACCGCCGGCGACGATGACCTCACGCGATGCAGTGGCGGAACCAGGTGTTCCCTTGCCGGCGGTTTTGGAGCGAGGACTGGCACTGTAGAGGTATTGCCCGTCGAGGAACTCCACTCCAGTTGCACGTGGCGGGCTCACGGTCTCATCAAAGGTCACCTTGGTGGCGTGGCAGTTCATTCGAATATCGAGAGGGTATTTCTTCGATCCGTCTGGGTTCTTGGCATCCCGGACAGCAGTCAGGAATTCAAGTGGGCTATTGCGAACACCACCGTTGGCGGACGAGGGTACTTGGTAGTATCCAGGGGTAGTGTCGCGGTGCTTTGAGTCTGCGTTAGCATCCCCAGCTAGAAGTGTGGCCAAATTGAACACCGAGCCAGTGATATTGCCCAAAGAAAAGGCACCGCCGAGGAGCAAGCTCAGTAGCTTGGGGTCTTGCAGAACAAGATTAATGGGTGCTGTACCAACGCTCAACCAGCCATCGTATCCGTGGCCAGCAATCAATGGGAGCAGATACTGGTTATTCTCCAACCGCTTGAAGTATCGGCGCATGTTCCGGGGTGACCAGCTGCTGTCTCCAGTGAGTGTTGCAAGATACTCGAAGTCAGATTCATGTGGGTAAATGGCGACAAGGGCGTTGTGCGTCGTGCAGCCTCCAAGGCCTCCAACTCGGGGGTAAAGTGCTAAGTGGGAGCAGGTCAGTTATCGTGGAACTTGCTATTCTTTGAAGATATTGGTGACCTACTGCCTTTCATCTTTGAGCCCTCCGGTGGAGTGAGTCCGGTGTACAATTGACCTTCCGGGGTCTCATATGATGTCTTGTAATCTAGAGCCTGTCGGTCATCATCTGTATAGTGCCGCACATAGAAATTCCACGCCAGAGATTCATCTTCCGATGCCTTGGCTGAAAATGCTGGCACTGTATAGTTGATGTTCTTTCCTTGATCGTCGCCACTTTCAATAAGCAATGTCTTATGTCCAGCGAGAGCTAGGCGCGCTGCCAATGGACCGCCTCCGGCGCCTGATCCGATAACTATATATTCATGGCCAGACAACTCGACGGCGTTGGTCAGCCCAAGAGAGGTTATGGCCAAGACAGCTAAGTGCGAAAAAAGCATAGCGCCTTCACTCTGAAGAAGCCTGAGTGAGTGAGAGGTGAAAATGGGGGTTGGGATTGTATTTCTACGATCTTCAGACCTTCAGGAATTACCCCAGACCAGTCAGCTGGGCTGCCAAGACTAGAATCAATAGACTGAAGCACGATTGAGTTTGGGCGATCTGGTCTATTTCCGGAGATTTCATGGGCGATTCATCGGCAATGACAACCTAGCCCCCAATCGGGGATAATTTCTCTTCGGTTCTCATTACCCCTCGCCGATCGTGCCGTTTCTGGCGAATTGAAAGGAATGAATGTGTGTTTTGATTTGCGGTGTCGCCCAAATAGGACTGAGCTAAACCGCATTATTGAAGCGGGAAGGGGCCCTAGCCTCATTATTTGAGGGGGTCGGAATGTGAGAAATTGCCTGGAAATGAAAGACTGTATGACAGCGAATTAACTCGTTGAATCTGTGTATGCCGAGCTACGGAGTACATAAAAAGCGGTATTACTCAAGCGTGGGAAAGTTGACAGCCCGCTCACCTTTGGCTTGGAGGCCTGAAGCGTCCCACTATAGGGGTTCGACTGGTACAGTTACGACTCATGAGATGGCTCCGACCTTTGCAAGATGGCTCCAAGATTAGATTCGAGTAATACTGTACAATGTATTTACCTCGGGACATCCACGCCGTGCTCCATGTGGTTTTATCCCCTTTGCCCTCTGTAGTTCGGAGTACTGGAGTGATGGAGAGAGTGACGGAAATGGAGCCATTGATGGAATACCCGATATAACACGTGCTTCCCACACTCGCGAAGTCCTTTCAGCTCCTGGAGAGGCTCCATTTATCCAAGAGAATACCGAGTTACTTCGTAGATATGTATGTGTGTGTATGCAAGCAGCAAGATTGACGCTCTTCTCCCCCGAAACCCGCGCCCTGTCGGGGCTCGTTTCCTCGTTTTCCTCTTCAACCCTCTCACTCCTCAATGCAACATAATAATCGACGATTTGACCCCCTACTGCGCTGATTCTCTTCACTCACTTGTCCCCAAAATTTCGATCAGGAACAACGGAACAAAAGCAGTCCCCCATAGAGAATGATCGCCGTTTTGAGCCAAATGTCAACCACTAAGTCTACAGCAAATGAAAAGGACCCTTTCCCTTCAGATAATCCCCCCTCTCGACTTGGGGTATTTCCTTGCTTTGCATTCATACGGCTGTTAGACGGCGATTGGAAACCCAGCCCGACCACACTCCTTGGAAGTATCCGACATGACGAAAAACAGGGATGTCAATTGCAACTTTGATTCGAGAATCAAATTCAACTGTCTGCCCAATCGATCGTACTCCGTTACAAGGGTCACAAGAATAGCCCTTTATCTGATGTCCCGCGTGAATTTGCTCGTTGCACCGAGGGGGCAGGCACAGGACACACATCAACGAAGAGAACAAAATACAGAAGCTCATCATCGACCAACGGGCAGCGATAGCGTTTGCCTCGGAAGAGCATGCTTTATCCTGTGAAGCCCACCTTCGTGGGGTTAAATCAAATTTGACGGACCTCTTGCCGGAGTTTGCGGTCGGAAAATCCCTTGTTGCAAGATGTCCTCGCAGATAAGCTGATATCTCCGGTTTTCGTCTCCGGTCAGACAAGTTCGATGGAAATAAGCCGTATGTCCTTGAATCGTATCGGGCAAATACCGATGGGAGTTAGTCCGGCCCCTGGGGGCCCGGGGGCTCCAATTGCTTAACTCCGACCTGGTAAGCTGACCGCTACCATGACACCCCGGCCCTACCCTGTGGGCCCCACAGATTCATTGTATATAAACCACGGTTAGTATGGCCTCTGGTTGACAGCACATATATGAAGAGCAATTGAACGAAAAGTCGCATTGATCATGACTGCCATGCCTACCAAGCCCTTGAAAAAAGTTGCCATTGTCGGAGTAAGTCCCGTGAACTGTCCACTATCATTCATTGCAAGTAAAGACCTCCGGACTGACATCTCTAAGGCTACTGGCAGAATCGGGGGTGCATTTGCTGAAGCCCTTCTCAAAACTGGCCAACACACGGTCACAGCCCTTACCCGACAAGACAGTGAAGCCAAAGCCCCCGAGGGGTCCAAAGTCGTACGAGTTAACTACAACGACGAGACGTCGCTGATCAAGGCACTCGAAGGCCAGCAATTCCTCGTCATCACCCTCTCGGTTCGGGCCCCAGAAGATCTCCATGGAAGGATAGTTTCAGCTGCGGTGAAAGCTGGTGTCCCGTATATCATGCCAAACGCCTTTGGATCGCCCCTTAGCCCCGAAGACGCCGAGCAGGACGAGGGAATGGGCAAAATCTTCACCGAAAGGGCCCGAGAGGCCCAAAGCGAGACATCATCTTCAATCACCATGCCTTGTGGCTTCTGGTATGAGTGGAGCTTGGCACTTGGAGAGCAATGGTTCGGATTCACGATCAAAGACCGCAAAGTGACTTTCTTCGACGATGGCAAGAAAGTTATGACCGTCAGCACATGGGATCAATGTGGCCGAGCTCTGGCCAGCTTACTGAGCCTTCCAGAGTCAGGATCCACTCGATCACTTGCCCAGTTCAAGAATAAACAGGTCTTGATCAAGAGTTTCCGGGTCTCCCAGCGTGATATGCTTGATAGCTTGCATCGCGTTCTGAAGACTAGTGACGCCGACTGGGAAATTACCTATGAGCCAGTTGAAAAGCGCATTGCCGATGGAGTGGCAGAGATGGCCCAGGGTAAATTGACTGGATTCGCCAAAAAGCTCTATGGAGCTGGGTTCTTGTCCACCAATAAACAAAGCGATTTTGCCGCCCATATGGAAGTGGCAAATGGAGTCCTAGGACTGCCCGAAGAGAATTTGGATGAAGCGACTCGGAGGGCAGTAAAGATGCTAGAGAGCGGTTGGAATCCTTTTCCAGGAGAAGCTTTGGCTTAATATAATTTAAAATTGAATGTGAATGAGATGTTTGGAGAGTACATTAGCTCTCATATGAAACTTAAGACATTTCTCTGCTTCGATATAGCTACCTAGGTAGATTCTTCGATACTATTATTTAAGTACCTCTCTCTCCTAGAACCTTCAGGAACTCTGCCAGCAGGTCAATAAATATTCAAGCAATCCTCTAAGAGCCAAGTACACCTTACCACTGAACTCGATGGTACCGCTGTTATTGTTATCAAAGTGCTTGATGTGTTTTGCGGCTTCTTCGTCGTCCATCTCGTAGCCGTGCTGCCTGGCGGTTTGAATAAGTTCGTCAGGGCTTATGCGACCTGAGAGTTCAACAAGTCAGTTGGGTTTACTTGAACCGAACGTTCACAACATACGATCGTTATTAATGTCCTGACACAAACTTGTGTTAGCGGAATTTTCTTTTTTCATCAAGAGATGATACCCAGGTGGGACTCACAGCGGCTGAGAAAATGTCCTTCCATTTCTTAATCTCTTCGCGGCTGTATCGACTCTGTTCGCGTTAGCTTTGAGGTATGAGAAAACCCAATAAGCATTCACCATCTTGATGTGTATTGCTCGTTTCCAACTTTGGAACTTGGATAATTTGCTTCAGAGATGGGAATAAAAGAAAAGAATTATAAGTTTGTCGGAAGATACATTTATACCCCAGTCCAGTGCTGTCCTGGCGTCCAGGCCTGCCTGGTGGATCTAGTATGCCACACCATAGAGTCATAGACTCTTGACACGTCACGCACTGGGTATAGATAGACTTTCGCACTTCGAATCGAGTTTTTGTCTTGCATCTCGATCTGCCCACATCCTTGAAACTCTAGTGCAGATGGTGGCTGGCTGATTAGTTACGATTGATGGAGTAACCCCGCCATTGCTCCAGGCTAAACCCTCGTACGCACCTCAGCTCAAAACATAAAGTGACTACAGTTTCCTTTTCCTTGGAGGAAACGTCTTCCATATCAGATCGTAAACCAATCTCTATCAATCCCACATGCTCTTGTTCTGCTGACCGACTTTTGAGGACCACGGACGTCAAAAATGTGAATGGAGTATCGTTACCAAAATCGGCAAAAGCTGAACGCATAAGTTGTGGAGATAATACTCATCTGCATATATTTTCATGTATGAACAACTTGAATTGCGCTGTTCAAAATTCAAACGAGTCTCTCCATGTACATAGTCCGGCTCAGCTCGAGGTCTGCCATTTGTCAGGTGCCCAGACGCCGGAGTGGGATTTGCATACCTACAGCACTGAGCCATGCGGAGTGATGTAGAGGCTGCATGAGTGAATCATATTCCCCAAATTGGGGATTCAGAAAACATTATCGAGGTCATCATGCTCTTGCCGCTGCGTACAGTCGAAGTTTTCAGACGATCGAGAGCGAAAACAAGATATGTAGGATGAGATGGCGAATGATATCTATAGTGGACCTGTGCGGGTCACTCGCCCGATTTCAATTCTCCTCTGCAGAACTAACCTCAATTTCTCATGGCTTGAGCCCAGTTTTCTCGGAAGTGTCCCACCTATCTTGCAAAGGAACAATGTACGTGTTTCGCCATGTGTTTTTCGTTCCCGCCATCCACAGGTGAATATACGAATACCAACCACTTCTTGAATTGTTGATTTCGTGCCATCCGATTTATTTCTTGGTTGATCTACTTTGAATCCAATTTGAAGACCATTTACTTTCGGGTTTCCAATTCTGGAGTCATTCCGAAGTACGGGGTAGATGTCGGGGTCCGGTGAGTTGATATATCATGTGAAAATGAGGCATACTAGTATCTGAGAAGCCCTCTTATGATCCGTGGCTATATCCTCTTTTGGAGCTCAAATTAATCGCACAGCCAGGAACTTTGAATTCGATGGATGGGATACGAGCATCTCAGCAAGCCATAATTCTGCCACAAGGCGGTCTAAGAGGAAGTGAATAGATGATGTCATCCCGCTGTCTCGCCCCACCAACTTCTCTTGACACTCCCGAGGTCCCAGAAATTCCCCTATCTTCCGGGATTTTTCAGGTCAATCCGCGCAATGTCCGAAAAAGTGAAGGATGCTGTGGCCGCCGAGGCGAAGACCACCCGGATACTTGTTCAAGAAATAGTGATGTCCGGCGCATACCTATATCCGTTCAAGGTGAGTAGACATGCTTTTCGGAGAAGCTACGCCGATCTCTGACCAGAGTGATTGGATTTGACAGGGAATCTTTTTCTTCGCGACCCACAAAGATCTATGGCGCCCTTTCATCGCCCGCGCCGGGCGCACGATCACCCTCGGAGTGGGGGTAACGAGTGCGATGTTCTTCTTCACATACGTGCCGCAGATGGCTATCATGGCTTTCACCAACGGCCCGCTAGCCGCTATTTCGGCAGCCATTTTAGTCCTCAGCGAAAGCTCCGCCATTACTAATGTCTTGTCGCGATCATTCCTCGTCGAGGACGCTCTGATCGACACCTTCGACGGTACCCTCGTCGCCCGTGACCAGGAGCCTCTTGTCGCCCAAGGTCGCGAAATCAAATCACGATCAGGCGGACGAGATGCGATGGCGAGACTCGGAAAGATATTCACTCGACCTTTGGCGAGGATGCATCCACGAGCGCTGCTGCGGGCCCTGATCATCCTACCCTTGAACCTCATCCCCGTTGTCGGAACCGCGTTGTATGTTTTCGTGCAAGGAAAGAGGGCGGGGCCTGGATTCCATGCGAGATATTTCCAGCTCAAAGGGTGGAACTCTACGCAGCGTGAGGAGTGGGTCAACAACAACCGGGCTGCGTATACTGGGTGAGTGCATGTCTTCTCGGACATCGGTTTTCCTCCCTCGTATGGAATCTGTATACTTACTAATGCTTCATCCAGACTTGGCATGGCTGCGTTCCTCCTGGAAATGGTACCATTCGCGTCAATGGTCTTCTCATTTACCAATACCGTCGGTGCAGCATTATGGGCTGCTGATTTGGAGAAAGCAACGAAGTAAATTTCGGTTTATCTATCACACAAAGTCTTCAAAGAAAGGATTTCCATCGTTGTACTTTCATCGTGCAAATCTGACCTGATATTTTCGGCTGAGCCCGTTGCCACGTGGTGACATCCCAATTTCCTTCGCTCCAAAGTGCGGTAACTTGGGCAGTTGAGCTTTCACTGAATTCCGCGGTTAAACCGATTCTATCTACCACTGTGAACAGTGATCGGCCTCTGCCCAGGTGGGCATCGCCTGATGTGCTTCGTGAGATAACTAACTCCCGTATCTAGTTCCCTCAATCCCGAGCCTTGAAGGACTGATCTTGGAACCTAGACATTCCAAGGTTTCTGTAATTCTGAGTCCGTTTCACGTAGCTGTATGTCCTTCCCCCATTGCTTCGGGTCAAAAGAACCCCCCCGAAGCTCATCCGGTCGACCGTTCCACATGAAAGAAACTCCCTCGATTGTTTTCTCGGTACTACCGTCATCATTCAGAATGTTAATCAAGCAACCTTGAAGTTGATATTTATTCGATTCGTAGGAACGCAGTCGATCGAGTCGCGCCGGCGATAAGAGTCCGCATACCATTCCATCAACTGGATTAAGTGGCTTGTCGTCGAGGAGAGCAGGGTAGGGGCCCCAAAGTTTGATTTGGTAACCAATGATCCTAGCAGGGCGCATCAGAAGTGGTGGCCTTGACAATCCCAGGACTTTGCATAGTGTATCTGGGTCCATCAATGTCCCGTAGAAGAAACAATATTCGTCTCGGATAGGGTCTTGAGGCCAGGAATTCTCGGCAGAATCGTCCCCTGCAGGCAACAATGTCGGCCTTGGTGGGTCTGTTGAGGCGTTGGCCTGCATGAATTTGCGGACCATAGCGGACGGCCGGGTGCGCATGTCGATGAAGATCCCGACAATGCGAGGATCAAAGAAAGTGAATGATGACGATGATACTTTGGCGAGGAGGGGAAAGAAGAAGGTTGGTGGAGGGTTGCTATACATCCATGGATGTCCATGTGCGTGCCTGTTTGCCCAGGTGTCCACGGGTGCCTTCAAAGGCTGGGACCTACACCCCCGGGACCGCAGCCTAACTTGTAAGACTACGCCATCCCAGTACAGGCCCGCGGGCTCCTGGGAGCCCCAACTCATGGGCCCGAGCACTAAAGCGGGAACGGAAAGCCTGGAAGTGGCAGAAGAAATTAAGTATGGGGACCTGAATGTAGATTGTGAGGTGGTATTAACTACAAAGACCTAGGTATCCTCAATCAATGAAATCTCATTTATCTAGCTAGATACATAAACAGTGGGACATCGGGACATTGCGAGCTTTTCCACCTGGGCAACATTGAAGGGTTCTATACCCCATCAGTCATCCAAGTCTTCCCACTCATCCTCATCATCTATATTCCCGAGAGCATGCTCAAAGAATTCAACCAAGACATTGAGAAAGTCCTCTGATCGAGGAACGTGGTGTGTCCCCAAAAATTGATGCAAATGCCAGTCTGTGCAAGATTCCAGTAATCGCAAGGACTGGTCTGCTTCAATGGTTGTATCCATAGTACCGAGGACGTGCAGAGTCGGGATCTCAATCTTTGGATTATACAATGTCTTGTAGCAGGGGTGTTCAAGTGGAAGACCGCAAATTGACACCACAAATTCCAAACGAGGGTGGCTTGTCTATGCGGACACTCAGATTTATATTCACCACAAACCTCGGGATAAGATTCAATGAACCGCAAACAGCAGGCACTTACATTTTGAACTCCAAGCTTCCGACAGATTTCCGCTTTTCGAGCAAAGAAGCCAGTATAGTGGCAATGGTTGCCCCTGTGGAAAACCCTATTATACCGATAAAAGGGCCGTGAGCATCCATGAAGCGGAAGAGGTACTCAATGGTGATTTCAAGACCTCGTATGCGGTCACTTTTAGGCTCGCCATGTCCCCATGCCCACATATGATCATTGTTTTCGGTGAGATCGTCGGGATCAGCAGGCAACACCCCCGATGGATAATGAAACTCGAATCCATCAAGGGGACCTCGGGTTGGATTTTTGGATACAGTGTCCAACAAAATTTGTCCAACACTTTCTTGTAGGAATTGGGATTTGCACCGAAATGAATGTCCAGACTGACCGTGTCCTATATAAGATGTTGTTCAGATCATGTTTGGGAAAACCACTTTGGAAATCGAAGAAGATCGCTCATACCATGAAGCATCAAAAATTTAGCAGAGGATGGCGCTTCAGCCCGCGATTGTTGCAAATCCGCCATGGTAGTCTAACGCAAAGACTGAGAATATAATCGGAACCGAGGCTTCGGGGGAATGATGGAGAATAAAAGATAATTGCGTCGCTGGTGGTGAGAATCTACAAAAGATTTATTGAGGGAATCATCGACCGATAGTTAACTCTTTATATGCCTTAACATTGGGCCCCTCAGGACTTTCTCAGGTATATTCTCAAGTTTCACACCATTGAAGCCCATCCAAATGCGCTTGTGTGGTTACACAGTCAGGCTTTACTCGCACCCGTGGACGGTGATCGCAAACCCCGGATTTGAGATCGTTGGCTTGCCACAGCATTGAGAAGGCGATCAAGCAGTGTTTTCCACTGATTTGATTTCATGTCGATCATGACAATATCAATACCTAGTAGCCTGTGAGACCTCCAAGGTCGGATTCAGCAATGTCCCTTCAAAGTAAGCAAGGAGCTTGCATGATTGGGAAACATGGACAGTAAAAGGTTAGTGGTGAACGGAGCCATCCGACCGTGTTATGCAAGGTATCCTACCTAGTACATGAAGATGACCAAACTAGTCAAGGTACATGCTGTAAGGTCCTAAGATTCTACCTCAATAGGAAGTGAAGGTGCCTAGTTAGGTGAAAGCCTTCGAAGATCGGAAGTGTAAGGTTCGATATGACCACCGAGCAAACACCGAGCGAATTGCGCTCAATGGGAAAACATTTACTACGTGCTGAAATAGGTGGAAAGTCTTTATTTTTCAAAAGTTATATCTTCCAATACAGCAGCGAACACTGGAAGCATTGTAGATCAATCGGAATCCTGCAAATGAAGAGATATACTAGGTATGTCTCCGCCTCAAAGATTCAAGCGACAGTAGATACCTCTCAAAGTGTCTTCTTCTCAAACTCGATAAAACAAAGGTCATCCGGCAGAGCCAAGCTCTCATGTTTTTCCCTGGGAAAAGGCGTAGTCTCGCCAGTTTCTTCATAGCCCTGACGGCTATACCAAGCCATGAGCTGATCGCGCCCCGAGAGAACATTCAATCCAAAGCAGTTCACACCCCATGTACGCTGACCGTAGCCTTCAGCATAAGCGAGGATCTGACGCCCCAAGCCCCCGCACTGCCGGTTTTGATCCACTGCCAGCATGAAAAGCCGAGCATGTTGGTCATCCAACTTCGACGTCCCGATCGTGCCGGCAAGGGCGCCATCTTGAGTGGTGGCCACTAGCAAGACGCTTTCTGGCTTTGCGATCATGGTCATGATATCGTTGACGTGAATGCGAAAGTCGGAGCTGATACCCAGTTTATCGGTCCAGTTTGCTCTGGTATCCTGCGCGCGAAAGGCGGACTCAACTAGTTGTTGGAGCTGGGGTGCATCGTCGGATGTTGCCGTGCGAAACTTCAGTTCGGTTTTCGTCATTTTGTGAACCGCGACGGATGGGAAAGAGGGATGAGGCTTAAAGGGGATTGATGAATAAACTGGGGGGATTTTCATTCAAAAGTGAAGGGTTCTATCTATATTTGTGTTCCAACATGTGTATGGCTGAGCATGATATTGGATGTTGTCGAAAGGGCGTCGGGGCTCGGAAGAATCATCCGCAGGGCGTAAGCGTTAAATATCGCATGTTCATCGGACCTTACGGTGGCTGGCGGCAGTAATGGGTTCCGGTGCTCCAGGGCGAGATGGAAAAACCATTAAAAAATAGAACTGTAATTGTCCGAGTGAAAGGAATTGAAACATCTCAATTTGCGTTATGTTTCCTTGCATTTTTTGGTTGGTGTAGTGGACATGGTCAAATTTGAAGCCCGACAGCTCGCAAGCACTAACAAAGAGCCCATGAAACGCACGAGAACAATTGTAGTCTCCGGAAATGGGGATGATAGATGATCTAGTGATGTCTCTATGATGCTGGGGATTGGTTATAAAAGCAGACGGGTGATGGATACACGCCAGAGTATGAGACAGCGAGAGTGCCAGGCAGACAGGCATGAATCAATACCAGGAAGATATAAACGGCAACACTCATCCCCCAACAGATAAAGCGGGCTTGTGATGAGAACAGAGAGGATCAGCCACCCGGGCAGAGTGTAAGTCAAACTCATAGGAAGTAAAATGTCTGATAAGGCTGGCTTCCGGTACCTGGAGGGTGGGAGGATATGTGCCTTTGGGGTTAATTGAAGAACCCATCAATGATAGCACTGACTATACTGCCATCCCCATCGAAAGATGGCACATAGACTGCTTTTGACGATGAATTTTGTTGAAGGTGTTGTGTCGTGAAAATCATGGGCCGACAATGTCACCCGTGTATCCCAAGAATTCTCTTCGATCATCGCAAATGCGAGCATATTCCAAAAGAAGGCGGTATGTATAGATCTCCATATCTTCTCTTCGGAGAACCTTCTCGCCCCAGGCCTTGCCGGCAAGAGCTATCTTGCGAGCAACTTCATCGCGCCCACCCAGGAAGTATGCCATGATACCATAGAAATCGATATAGGTTGTGTCCATGGGAACGAAATGTACCCAGGGAATAAGCCGCGAGTCGTGCCACTCATTATAGATGGTAGCCTTGATGGGGAGCGATGTTGACAGCATGAATCCACGATACCGGCCACTGAACGAGTTGCCATCAAGATCGGGCAGATACTTGTAGTTGTACATCTTCTTCATCGGCATGCCGGCTGCGATTTCAAAGTATGGATCGAGGTATGGGCAAGTCGGGTCAGCCTCGTTATAAGGCGTACAAACCAGATGGTTGAAACCGGTGTCAGTGTGTTGTTCAAGGAGCTCTGTGACAAAGCCATCGCCATTCAGTTTGTAATCGGCATAGTTTGGCAGTCGGAAGTTGATGCCGTGGCTGTTGTTCTGTTCTGCTTGTTGGACAGATGTCGCGTTCATCATGGACATGAATCGATGTCTTTGGAAACCAGTCCAGTTCGGCTCACGGGCACGCCCGCCCGTAGCAGCGCCACGCCATACAGCCTTGTTGATCTTGGCGTCCCAGGCACCACCGTGTTCGTTCTCGCCGCCGGAGTAGTGCTCATTTTGTGCCCAGTACATTGCCGGGGGAAGAAGGATCTCGTTGTTCATGGGAAGTTTGGAACCGCCAAACAGCGGGAGTAACTTATGAGAGGTTGAGACGGAGACAGGCTCGAGGAAGGTTCCGTGCAATACCTGCATCTCTGGGCGGACGCAGGGATCCTTTGCTAGCGTGAAGTTGCCCACATATCCGTGGTAAGAGATCCGCTCGAAGTTGTCAAATTCCCATGGAGGAGTACCAAAGTCGATCATTGGAAGAGTGTTGTTGCGCGCAGGGCTGCCCGGTGGACATCCCACCTTAGCCATCTGCCAATATCCTCCTTCCGGGGGGATTGTGAACCCAGGATCGTATGCCTCCACATCCTCTTGGTCCCATTCGTTCAACGACATGTACTCCGAGATAACATTGCTCTGACTCGGCATGATGCGATCCCTTAGCTCTTTCTGGATGTATTCGTTGACGGTTTCCCAAGGAACGACTAATCTAGTTTCGTCCATGACATTGATCGGCATGTCGAGATCAGGGAGATAATCTTCCAGCTTCGAGACGAGATCGTGCCACGAGTCCATCCAATTTCTCGGTTCGTCGGTTTTCAAAATTGCGGTGTTGTTGCGAATGACGACCCGGGTAGGAATGCTTCTCGCCTGTCGCCGCAGTTCCTTCGGTTGCAAAGCCCAGTATGGAGTGAGATCATGATAAATCTGATCGAAGAACTCTTCGATTACCAATGCATTCTTGTCTTTGGCGAACTCAAACCATTCTGCGAATCCGGGTGGCGGGTGTCGTCCGCGACGAGCTCGATATCTCTCTGCAGCAGTTGCAATGTCGTGGGATTCGGTGCTCAGGATTTCGTCGAGGTCCGTTTCCGCGGTGTTCATCAGCGCATCGATCGGGTGGCTTTTGTTGTACCCATTGCCCGCGTGGAAGGTCGAAGAGGTAGCGGTACCGCTGTAGTAATTGTCGCTGGCTGTATACCAGACCAGAAACAGTGTGACCAAGGCCGAAAAAGCAAGGGCTCGACCGGCTCGGGAGGTGAGTGTTGGTAACATTGTGCCCAGTGGTATCTAAGATACAGTGTGGATTCTGAGGAATCGCGTTTGAGCTTCACGTTTCACAAGCGACCATGCCTGTCGTTGGAGATATCACATGAAGTTGAGTGCAGTGAAGAAGCTTGAATCTGGGGGAAGGGACGTGACAAAAGCCAAAACTCAACAGCACGTTTCCGGTTTCCCAGTTTCCATGGACTTGGGGAGTCTCTTAACCGGATTGGGAAAGATAGTTGGCAGATGCAAATAAAAGTGGGTCCACTTGCCCGTGTCCGGTCCACTCGTGGTGTCTCGCCTGTTTCTTATTCTTATGCTTATTCTTCCTTCTCGCTTGCTCATTCTCATTCTTTTTCCACTTTTGTTCTGTTTTTTTTTTTTTTTTTTTTGATGGTGGAAACCTGTTCAAACATCGTATTCCCATTGTGATATGCCACTGAAAGTGTGGTGGTCCTGATCCATTGCCAAGACCGAGCATCCACGCCTGTATGAGGTCATATCACGGGTCTTTTGCATTATCTCCACGGGCGCAGGCTTTAGACTTCCAAGGTTTCCACTTTATCTTGGGCCAAAATTACATTCGTCCAACCTCAGCATTCGTACCTCGTTTCACCCGCATTGGGGATGACCAGAGTTGGACCCTGACGATGTCCTGACAGGGCTCCACTTTTAATATTTACAGTGTCGCATTTCTCGCTCTAGCCTCTTGCAGCGTCCAACCAGGATTCTTTGGCTTCTATTCTTGTGCCCAGGGTCCTAAAATACACCAATAGGCCAGTAACCTTTGTTCTCCCTCAACGCAAAAAGTGCAAATAGCAAGAAATTAACAACTGATCTTGCAAAGAATTCTCAAATGATCATTTTGAACAGGAGGGCAGTGTCTGATTAGACAACAACCTCGGCCATCTTTTCTACTCAATTCTGTCTGACACTCGGTCAATGCCCCAGTGAAGCCGGTTTACATCCTCACTGCCGACTGTCCATTGTTGCGACCCGGTGATTCCTCTCCGAGCCAGCCTCACTACCAACGGCCAGGGCCGACTTCCTTCCATCCGCTTCTTCAATCCACTTGATAGGTCCTGGGGGCAGTTGTGTGGTACCTTCTTGCAGCCCCAAACACTTTTTAATCTCATCTTCGAGATCTGGCAGCTGACCATGAGTGAATGAATGGGCTCCGCCAAACTGTGCAGGGATATTGGCATCATCGATATACTCCCGCAGCGTAGGCAGGACTTCTGATCGGAGCAGGAAGACAATCTTCTCTGCTGTAAATGGGTCGACGTAGGGCTTCAAGTATTTCCAAATCGTCGGAAAGTACGAAGGAGAATTGCATACCTATCCAATTTGATATCAGCACACGATGTAGGTGGGAACGACCTAAGAGCGCGAATAATTTACGCACAAGCACCTTATCAATACTTTCTGGAAAACACGTGCTCAATAGCCAACTGATATCCTGTATCAAATTTTTCGCGCTCCATGCTTGCTTCAGTCCCATGTTTGTCGCGTCCACCAGGTATAATGAGCTGGTGATGGGGGTCGATTTCTCCGGTCTATCTGGCATCATAGAGCACAAGGGAATAACAAACCGACTCACGCTATCCACATAGGCTGCGGCCAGTTGGAGCATGTTAGGACTGGGGGGCTTCGTATCGGACTGCGAGTATTTCCATTGCGCAACTGTGCGTGTCTTTTCCCAACCGGCAATAACATCTTTGGTGAGATAGTCAAGGTCGTAGAAGCAGAGAGGTAGACCCTTCTTGTCTCTGCGACCAGTCCAATGAAAGTACTGAGTATATGTCAGGCTGGATGTTGCTCAGGACTAACAAGACCTCACTCACTAATCGACGCGCATTCTCAAAATCGGCGACTTGAACCAAGTCGTAAAGTCTGATGATTTGATTTTCCTCGCGAAATCGTTTGACTTCCTCGAAATGTTTGATCGCCTCATCGTGGTCAAATTTGCGGGCGGTTAAAAAGCGCCTAACATCAGAGTAAGCGCAGGAACAGAGATATTATGTGGAAGGCTTGTGGCGCCATACAAAAGGGTCGGCTGGTCTAACAATCCCTCGGCGGAATCTCTTTCTTCTAAGCTATCTGGTCGAGCTAAGAGGCCTTTTTGCGAACACGACTCGATAAACCTTTTTAGTAATTCTTCGCGATCAGGCACCACTTGCTCCTTGGTTTCGACCGCCATAGTAATCGATGGCGATGGAGGGCCAACGCAGCGTTCAAAATGGCTCTGGGTTGTTTGAAGGCTATAAGACAATAAAACTGTGAAGCCGACGGAGGAGTAGAGGTGGCTATAGGGGGTGATGCGTGATTCAGGCTATTAGCGGGGATGGGGGCCCGATTCACCTTCGGTATCACATCTCACATCTGCAGGGTGATGCACACAGATCTCGATCAGCACTTCAGAATCAGTCACACAAGCCACACGGGGTAGCACTACATCTTACTTCCCCACCTTGAATTATTTTTGTGAACATCAGACCTCTGTCCCCGCTGTACAGTACTAGGTAGCTTGTAGCTTGCTCTCCAGCGCTCAACTCCTCTCATCATCCGTGAATAGTTATTTACTGATGTGGCCAAACTTTCCAAGACCGGACTACTGTTCTATGCAACTGAAGAGCCAGCATTGTGCGCATTGCACGAAGCCATGGAGAGGTGAATTTCACCCAGTCACGATGCTCAAAGCCATTAGGGACGAATGGCTTGGTAAATTTCTTCTCTATCAGAATATCAACTGAGAGGCCTCGAAAACCAAAACCGATGGATATTTTGCTGAAACAGTCTCAGGATCCGCCATTAAGTGGCCGCGTTGGGAATCCGGCGCCTGATCCAAGGCCATTTATGCCTTATAAAACAGGCAACAACACCACTCGGGAAACCTCTTCTGATTGGTCCCCGCGAGTTTCGGTCGGAATCGCCGTCAACACAGCACTTGGACCTCGACTCTCTCCTGAAACCCCCCTGCGAATGATCAAAAATGGGTTGATCGCTGCATGATCACGCTACTTCAGGGCTGTCAGATCGCCATCTACCCTCAAGCGGGCTAATTACCGCTAGCGCCAAACCGTCAAGCTCCAATAGGTGGCAGTGGATGCTCCCTACCTCGTATAACCCCTACAGGGTGCCGATTGAGGAATAGCGTCAAAAAAATGTGGGCTGTAAGTGTGGATGAAAAACAGACATTTGTGCCTAACTTCTTGAATAGCCTCATTAATGAACTCTCTTTAGTGACGAGAAGCTTGAGGTTACCCTACAAGCAGGGCTCTCTCGCCGCGTGGATGTGGGAAACGTTGCCCCTGGAGTCTTCGTTACTCGCAGCATCGGGCCGCCTGCGGCAGTACGACTTGCTGAGTGAGACCGGAGATGTGTGGCGCCCTGACGTTGCCATTGGCTTGGAGAGGCCGGCCCCTCTCTTCACAAACCTCAGCCGCTTCTGCGCTACAATGGATCTTTAGGCCTCAAATAAAATCCCGCGCGATGCCTCTGGGACTTCTGTTGTTTTTCTTCCCCAGCACTGGACCTTGAACCTGGGGTCAAATGCAAGCAAAATCTTGCGATTGACCCGAGAAGGAAAAAAGAACATCTATATGACACAATGGATGCCGTTGAAACCGACGAGTATAATCTGCAGGATGCATGGGACCGAGTGTGTACATCGTTTGCGCAGACGACCAAAGTCGACCTGACCGCATCGCCTAAATTCTCTGTCGACGAGGTCCTGGATCAAATCAGGGGCAAGCAAGAAGACGACGATGAGCGAAACAACAAGTACAAAACGGCAAAGGATGTCATCGGCAAGACCCTGAAGTTCGTGATGCTCCTAGGCGGAATTGCCGCCCAGGGCGCAAGCATGGTGAGCAAACATCCCAACACCCTTCCATGTAGTTTATCTTTCCTCACACCCCGTATGTAGGTTTTTGCGCCCAGCAGCCTGTGCTTCAATGCAATTTCATACCTCATCAACACAGGCGCCAAATACAAGCGCATCTTCAGCAGTCTGACCGAATTGTTCAGACGGATCTCCGACGTGCTGGAGCGATGCAAAATCTATCTGCGTTTGCCTGCAAACGCTGTTGACGTTTCTCTTCGTAAGATCATCAACGAGGAACTGGTTTGCTTTGTTGATATATGTGCACTCTCGATCAAGGTGCTGAAGGGCCACAAGGTCTTTACTGCACTCAAAGTGTTTGCCTTTGACAGCGATGAAGGTGTCAGCGGACAGTTGGCCCGCCTGGCTTCGCTGGTGGAGCGCGAGTCTCAAATGCGAGGCACTCTCGGGTTTGAATCCCAGAAGACAACTGAAAGGGGAGTCATCGAAACTAGAGATGGTACTCGAAAGATCAACACCACGGTAGACAAGCTCCTCAGTTTTGAAAAGAAGAGAGACGCAGACACTGCCACAAGAAAGCTTCTGGATAGTATTGACTCCAGCCTTGATAACCCAAGTGAGGCTTTCAAGACTACACAGCTCGTCTACAAACGTCTGTTGAATGATCAGGTCCAGGGGAGCGGAGAGTGGCTTGAAAGCGACCCATCATTCACGAGTTGGGCATCTACAGAAGAATCTCCTTTGTCGGTTCTCGGTATTTCCGGGGGCGAAGGGTACGGAAAGTCATTCCTGTTTGCGACCATCATACGCAAACTACTGGAAGCTCACTCCCACCCTGGGGATGATCTGACCTGCACATCGATCGGCTACTACATTTTCCAAGAAGAGAAAAAGACATCCTCATTGGCTCAGGCTCTCAAAGTTCTGGCCTGGCAGATCGCCAACAAAGATATTGTTTATCGCAAAGATCTTGGCTCTGCTAAAACAGAGGGAATCAACCAAGTCAGAGATTTGTGGGATGCACTGTTTGCAAAGTCTTACAAGAGTGACTCAACCTTCTTCCTTTTGATGGATGGGGTAGACCAGGCGGACAAGAAGCAGCTCAAAGAGCTCGTGCATCTTTTGGCTGAGATACAGAAGGAGATGCAGATGAAATCTGCTGCTTGGCCTCAGTTCAAGCTCCGCATCGTTCTATCGGGCCGCGACGAGACCATCGCGAAGATCAAAGGACACGTGGGAGACGGAATCTCCGTCATTGATGTGGCTTCCAAGAACAGTGATGACATACAAAAGTTCATCATCGAGCGAATGAACAAAATGGAGATCTTCAGTGGTCAGTCAGACCAAGTGCTTTCGCTGCGTCGGGAGATTCTTGAAAATCTTACCACCCAAACTCGGGGCGATTTTGTCAATGTTGGATTGCTTCTGCACGAGATCAGCGGCAAACAACGACCTGGCGAGATCAGGGACATTCTGTCTCGGTCGGGGGGTAACAGATCCGACACAATCGTGCGTAAGATCGAGCAGTTAAACGAGACGCTCAGTGACGATGATATTTCGGACTTGAATATTCTGTTGACTTGGGTGGTGTTCTCCATTCGAGACCTAACACTCGAGGAGCTCGAATCAGTACTCACCCTGCGAACGGGAGAATCATCCCTCCGCCCCCTGGCAGATAAGATCACGGATCAATATTCGTCGCTGTTCACGATAAAGGGTGAGCCGCACCCAACCACGAAAGTGATCCCGATCACCTCTCGTGTGACACTCGTCTCCGACTCCATCGAGGGATTCTTGCGGACCAGAAGTGAATCAGAGTCTATCGAAGACTCCCAGGAGCTGACCCTGAGTGGGGATGTCAGCGAGGCTGAGGTTAGAATCGTCCGCCGCTTCCTCGAATCCGTTTGCGACCCCAGACTGTTTGGAAAATTCGGCTTTGATGAATTCTTCCAGCGAAAGCTCAAGGGCAAGACTGCTCGTGTCGGAGTTGACATTGAGACTGCCCATTTGAGAATCTTGGCAACGTGCTTGGAAGCAATCCGCTCCCAAGACTCGCCACATCTCGCCGCTCTTGTTCGCTATGCATCTGTTTATTTCCCAGAGCATCTCAAACAAGCAGATCCATCTCTCACACAGCCCCAGCACAAAACTGCACTGGGACCGCAGTTGGTCAGCCTCTTCACGGACGCGAAGATTATCAGAGAATGGTGGACGCCAAATAACCCTTGGCCGCGATTCGATTGGATTTATAGTGATGGGTATGCCGAAGTTTCGTTGAAATGGCTGCAAGACTCTGCCGTGACTAAGAATCTTTCCGATGAAGAAAGTAAATGGGTGAAGAGTCTGAGTTCAAAGTCAGAGCCCGATGCGGACATCCTGGAGCATATTGCTCGATCTGTGGCTGAAGCATGGCTTCAATTGGGTGCGTACGATGTCGCAGAATCGTTCGCAGCAGTTCATGGATATATCACCAAGGTATGGATCAAACAGCTATCAATACATTTCAAGGAACTACGTCTGACCCATCTTACAGATTGAAAACCGCAAGAATCCCGAGATCAAACGATCAACAGAAGACCCCAAGGCCGAAGAACTCGACGCCTCCCAGATTCTAGAGGCAGCAGAGTGGGCCCGCAAGAAACTTGGGCTCGAAAGCTTTGGTTATGAAGAGAACCGTAATTTAGCACGTACTCTGAGAGAGTACGCCAAGCACGATGAAGCCACTGAACGGTTCAAGCTTGCCTCTTCGCTTGAAAAGTACAACTGGTTCTCACAGTGGGGTCTTGCCACCTGTTATGCCTACCAGAAAGAATACGCCCTCGCCATCGAGACAGTGCAGGATGCCATCAACACGATCCGAAGTGGTGATGTGACAGAAGATTATGAAACACTACCAGAGCTGGATCGCGACTTGGCCAAGTGGAACGAAGAGGCTGGCGATAGCGCCACAGCGTTCGCTATCTATGAAAAGGTCATTCGCGAAAATCCCGACGACTATGACGCAGCTTTGGATATGATGCTTTTGTTCCATAAGGACAAGCACTATGAAGGGCTGCTCGCATTTTTGGAATCGCTTAAGAGCACCACGGATGAACGCACCGGCCTCGATCGCCGAACCACTGCATTCCACGTGCACTACGCCAATGAAGAATACCACAGTGCACTGTTTGCACTCGTTTCCGATGGCAAGGGCTTCGATACAATCTATCAAAGCTATGAGATGGCAATCACTGCCGCTCGGGAGCGTCTGGCCGAAGGAAGAGAAAAGGGTGATACCGACGAAGAGAACTTCGCTAGTGCTTGTCTCGCCCTTCTGATGCACAACCTCGCATTACTTTGCTACGAGAACGGCGCAGACGACATTGAACGCCGGGAATTCGCCATCGACCAGTGGGTGCGCATTCTGCAGATACAAGAAATATCGGATGAGTCGTATCTCACGGTCGCGAAATCCTATGTTCGTCCAAAGCTTGCAAAGGTCTGCTTCAAGGAAGCAATCCGGGATCCAGCCAATGGTTCAGCCTACTTGGAACAACTCGAACAGCTTGCTGCAATCACTGCTGCTGATGGTGATGGCATCGGCCAATCTGGCACTTACCCGTCAGAACTACTTGCGTCGTACCACGCCTTGCAGGGTAACGACCAAAAGGCCAAGGATGCGGTCCGCACTCACGTCAAACGCAACATTGATATTTTATCCGACGATGACCCTCTCAATGATTGGCGAGGATATCGAGGCTTGGCACGATACTTCATGTCTGCTGGGCATGATGCAGACGCTCTCGCTGCATGGTCTTTGATTGTTCCTCATGATGACGTAGACACCAACTCCGATTCGTTGGATTCACCATCAGTCCCGAAGCCCAAGGGACCTTTGACAGATATTTGTGACGGCGAGTGTGACACTGAATGGCAATACGCGGACGACATTTATGTTTGCCGGGAGTGCGACTATCTCGAGTTGGATCTTGGGTGCTTGAATAAGCTCCAGAATGGAGATCTTGAACCTCATATTTGCGGCAAAGATCACAAGATGCTCCATGTTCCATCGTATGATCCGGCCCGCGGCAAGGAGATTGGCGAAGGAAATGTGGCGGTCGGAGAGGAGATTATCTCTGTGGCAGATTGGCTGCAACGCATCAGGGAGCAGTGGGGTATTCGAGCTTGATTTCGGGGTCCATCACTTGTTTTTCATGCATGAAGCACTGCCTCAATTCTTGACTACGATAGCCTTAACGCATAATGACTTGAACTTTTACGCTGGCAACTGGAGCAATCCATGTATCGCATCGTTCCACATTGCTGAAGCACTATTTCAACAAACGACCTTGGAACGGAATGATTGTAAATACAATCTTGATATCCGGCAACAGTGTTCTGAGATTCTCACATTGTATTTTCGAGGCTGAATGTGTAGATTTATCCATCCATGGATGGCTCCGGGGATATTCAACGTGGACTTCCACGTGTAGACTAAGCGGCGATAACCATGGAATCTTGGGAGGTTCCAAGGTTAACGGAACCATTCCGTGTTGGTCTTGTATCAAAAATCAACCTCCGAAATACTGTCCAACAGAATAGCAGGCATTTTCTTCCTTGCGTATCTCTCGGAGATCATGACGCAGCCGAATTATCGCATTTACATTACGAACATCTCAGTGAATCCCCAGGTTGCTATCACTCCGATCACTCCGATCACTCCGAGATGTCATGTTTCCCCGGAAAGGCGCGCCAAGCACAGCCAAGCCACGACCCACGATTACCGACCTGTCTCCGCATTTGCTGGGACTTCCAAGGTTGGGTTATCCCGATAAGCAGCACAAGAAAGACTGGCTGTTTGCAATCGGTGCCTGCATACCGGCATAATATGTCCCCAATAGGCAAGCAACCTCCGCCAAATACCAGAAGCGTCGGCATTCTAGTATCAACATTGGACGCCGGATAACCCAACTTCAGATAACGTTCGCTTCGTCCCGCTGATAGCAGTCCACTCTCTTTGTTGAGGAGCAGGCAGGAAATTCCAAGGCTTGATAGCTTGATCAAACGATTCTGATTGCCCACCTTGACACGCTAGACGCAATCTCAGCCAATCCGATTTAACCATTGCGCGTCTTGGTGCTGGACACTTTACGTAAAATGGCATGGAGATCTCGAATCTTTCTCAATGATGCTGGGATGAGAATCGAAGTATTGCATTGCGTCGACTGGAGCCCACCATGCTTGAACCGAGTACCCGATCGAAGATAACGACATGAGGCCACAATCCAAAGGGCATCCGGATAGATCGGGACTTCTACAGGAGTTTGAAGGATATAAAGACACGGGGCCTTGAGGAGGACTACTCATCCCATACTTCAACTCGGTCTCATCATCACCTCAAACTATGAAGAGTTACCTACAGCATACCCTGCTGGGGCTAGGACTCACTGGTCTAAGCATCGCAGGAGTGGTACAACGAGACATTGAGGTGATACGAATTCATACCCCTGGAGATGTGACTGCCGATTCTTTGCACAACATTCATGTCGAATTCTTGGACACCCAATTTGAAGGTCAATTGCAGCTCGTTTACGGAGAGTGTGGAATTGAAAATCCAATGCACGGTCACCATGAGATTGGAAGTACATTTGTGAAACGAGACGCGCATCCCGAACGATTCGTTTGGTCCACGCCGTCTGATGCGCCGCATTCACACTGTCTACATGCCTTCTCTGGATCCACGCTCATGGGCCGCTCCTCGCCCATCATGGTCTCGTCCCCATTGAAGAAACGAGAGAATATCGCAGACGTTGCAGATGCCATGGGCCCTTGGTTTGATGGAGTTGCATACATGAAATCAAAGAAGAACGACAAAGCATTCGTCTCCAAGGCCAAGAACCACTCGGTTGCCATTCTGGGTGGTGGAATGTCTGGCTTGATGACTAGTCTGCTGCTCGAGTCTGTTGGCATCCATAACTGGCATATCTACGAATCATCCCAACGTGTTGGAGGCCGCATCCGCACAAAGTACCTGAACGACACAAGTCCTGATCAATACCAATACCAGGAAATGGGTCCCATGCGATTCCCTGTCAGCATCACATACGCCGATACCAACGAGACTCTTGAGATCATGGATCACCGGATGGTCTTCCAACTGGCTGATGTTCTCAACAAAATGAACAAGGATAAGCCAGAGCTCGAAGTGAACTTCATTCCCTGGATTCAGAAGTCTCCTAACGTTCCTGCTGCCTCCGGAGGCAACCGTCTACCCAATGGACAAATTCCAAGCGCTGCTCAAGTTGCCGCCAACTCATCTCTTGTATACACTGCCGCTTCTGAAAACAGCACTGCTGCTGCAGAGGCACAGGCTGACTACGAGAAATACACCGACCTCGAAAACAGAGAAACCCTTCGAAAGATTGCGACAAACATGTACCAGGCTCACAAGCAGGCTGTTGAAGATGGTATGTTCCACTGGTCCGAGGCCGGATATCTGCGCTACGCGATGGGCTACGATGCAAATCTCACCGACTACGTTGCCGGCACCACCGACTCCCCACTCTGGGGCGACTTTTACGACGACGTCTACTTCGCCGCCACCAAATGGCGCACCATCGACAAGGGCTTGGAGTCACTCCCACGCGCCTTCTACCCTCACGTCAAGGACAAGCTGACTTTGAACCGCACTGTCCAAGGCCTGATTCACAATGAGACTTCTGGGAAGATTGCCGTTACCTGGCGAGATGATCCCCTTCAAATGATCCCAGAAAGCAAAGAATACAACTATGCCGTCGTGGCCGCACCTTTCAGCAAGGTCCGACTTTGGGATCTCCCGCGCTACTCCTCCCTCCTCAGCCGGGCCATCTCAAGCCTCAACTACGACCCTGCCTGTAAGATGGCTCTGCTATACAAAACTCGCTTCTGGGAGCACTTGGATAATCCCATTTTGGGCGGCTGTGGCTCAGTAGATGTTTCAGGTGTCGGAAACGTTTGCTACCCATCCTACAACTTGAATGGTACTGGACCTGGTGTCATTCTGGCCTCTTATATTTCTGGCACACCGGCACGATCCACTGCTGCGCTCAGTCCCGAGGAGCACGTTGCTCTCATTCAACGGACTATGGTTGAAGTCCATGGCGAGATTGCAGCAGAGCAGTTTACTGGTATCTACGATCGCCAGTGCTGGGAGTTCGACCAACACCAAGCTGGTGCTTGGGCTGATCCTCTCGTCGGTCAGCAGGAGCTTTATTTGCCTGCTTACTATCAGACTGAGTTGAACACTATCTTTATTGGCGAACATACTAGTTATACCCATGCTTGGATCTTCTCTGCTTTGGACTCTGCGGTTCGGGGTACTACACAGCTACTCCTGGACTTGGGTTTGGTTGATGAAGCGAAGTCTGTTGTTGAGACTTGGATGGGTCGGTGGATCAAGCTTTGAGTCTTGAGATTTGGTAGATTTTATAAAGCGCATAGATTTACATAGAAAATCATATTCTTGCCTGGGAATGAAACTGAACATCGCGCTTAGATTAAAAGATGTTCCATTGACGGGACACAAATATTACATACGAAGAAGACGTTATGCCCAGATGGAGATACGCTGACAGCTCTAGAAGTCCCTGTGTAAGTTTATGAAATGTTCGTTCCTAAATTCCAAGGTTGTGACATGAGTAGGTTTTTTGTGTTCGAAGTGAACCTATTTATCTGAGAATGCCGGACTCCGACTACCTCTAACGCACATGAATGTTGATCCAAATATCTAGACCAACTATCCGCCCGCTACTTGGGGGCTGCTCAAGCTACCTCATTGTGAATGGCCGAAAGTTTAGGCTTTGCCTCTTCATCAGCTTCCATGGGTATCTTGAGGCCTGCACTTCCTCCCACCAATGAATCTGGGCCGTCGAAGATCAGGGAGATTTCCTCGAGCGAGTAGCCCTTGGTTTCAGGGTAGAAGAAGTATGCAGTAACGCCAAACATCACCAACACAACAATGAACACAATATAATATTTCCAAACAATCGCATTTAGTGCAATCGGGTTGACGAATGTGTTGAAGAACATGCCAACAATAGCGGCGAGCCAAGTGACGGTCAGGCCTCGGGATCGCAGGCGGTATGGCCAGATTTCGCAAGGGTAGGAGGTAAGGAAGGGCGTCCTGGTAGTTCATAGGTTGGTTAGAAGGTGTATACATGGGATCAGGTAAAATGACAGGACTCACAGAGCAACGCAATATCCTGCGAAGAAAATGAAAAGGAAGGGGATGACAGCCCCGCCTGTGGCAGTGTCACCCGTTGTTGCGAAACTTCCCGAGAGGGCTGTGACCAAAACATAGCTCACCAACATGATGGCAGCCGAAGCTAGGAATAGGGGGCGGCGTCCAAGTTTATCAATCAGAACCGCGCCAAGGGCAGCAAACATTAGATCCCACATCTGCAAGCAAGCAGAAATGAGAGTCTGGTCTCGGACTTTGGTGACCCCGATTGAGGTCAAGATGAGAGATAGGTAGTATGAGATCACACCATTTCCAACCCATTGGGAGAACATTCCCAAGGTAATGGAGATCATCAGGCGACGACGGTTGCCAGGAGTCTTGAACATCTCCGCATAGGAACCGTCACTGCTCGCCGCCTGTTCTGCACGAATGGTAGTGACAATCTGCTGGTATTCGTAAGCCACCAGAGGCGAGGAAGCGTCACCTGCAGCATGATGCTTTGCGAGGATTGCACGCGCTTCCTCCTCTCGGTCTACCGAGACCAACCATCGCGGACTCTCCGGGGCGAGGAGGAATCCCGGCAAAGCAACCAGAGGCACGAGTGCCTGCAGTAGCGAGGGGAGTCGCCAAGACCACTCTGATGAGTATGTGCGCGAAGCAAAGACCACCCAGGCGGCGACTGTTCCACCAACATACCAACCGGACATGAATAGGGAATTGAGGATGCCGCGGTGAGTCGGGTAGGCAATCTCATTGATCAGGAGAGGAACGGCGTTTCCAAATAGAGCAGAGGCAATTCCCAAGAAGAAGCGAGCCATAAGGAAGGCTTTGTCATTGGGCGCGGCTGCTTGCAGGACGCTGCCGAGAATCAAGAAGATGTATCCCACGTATACTCCTGGCTTGCGTCCGTATCGATTGGCGATCCAGGAAGCACTTGGGTATCCAACACCAGTTCCAAGCCAATAGATTGCGTTGATCCAGCCGAGCCAAGCGCCGGTAGGATGCTCCATAAAGTCTTTCCATTGATCCAATGCCTCAAGTCCATTCATCAATGAGCCATCAAACCCGTTGGCAGATGAGTACATCACCAGGGACAGGATGATGAGATTGAGACGCAGAAGGTGCTTCTTCTTCCACCATGGAGTGTCGTCCGATGGGATGACAGAGTCCAGGTGATCAGCCGGAGCACCTTCAGGGGAGGCATTTGGGGTGTGGGTGCCCATGGTGCAGGTATCGAGGATGCCTTGCAAAGGAGACCTGGAGATACGTTTCTAGGCACCAAGCAAGCGTTTCATGAAGAAATGGAGACAAGGGAAACGATTTCTTGGGAAACCTGCAGTGGAATCGACCCACAGAGTATCCGATCAGTGAGAGAATAGACCTGAGAGCAGAGAGAAATGCAGGGATTGGGTGAGGCTTTTATTGATCGGAGATGGCAGCGTCGAGTCCGACTGCTTCCCGATGGGCTCATTCGAAAAGCATGGGTTTTAGACCGATTCCTCTGTCCCGGGAATCCTGAAAGGGTGCTGGCGTGGAAGGCAACTGACGAAGGATGGACAGATGAGCCAATCAATTGGGGTTGTCTTCGGCCCAAGTCGGTGTTTCACCTCCCCCCGCTCACATGGTCGTTCGGGATTTGTCCGGTACGTCGAATGCGGGATGAATTTGCGGAGGACTGGGGACTGGGGTCGGCATCCAAGCGCCTCAGTTGCCGGGACGGACGCGGAGAAACGGAGAAAAGGAGAAAAGGAGAATTAGACGCCAATCGTCATGTGCCTCGCATCGGCCCGCTTGCATCCCGAGAGCTCGCGGTCATACGCGAATTGTCGAAAAAAATGGGTATGGAAACGATGGGGATTTATAGCAGGCTTCTTCCTCGTCGCGGAAAAGGTCACACTTTTCTCTCAGTCGAATCTATTCAAAATGCCTGCTGTGAATGTTGCACCCAGTGTGGACTCATCGTTTGCACAAATCGCAAATGCTGATATCAATACACTGCTCAAACAACTCACACAGGAAGAGAAAGTCTCGCTTTTGACAGGTAAGTGCTTTCTATCATGCAAAGAATGTCTCTGACGTCTTCCAGGCGAGGATTTCTGGCACACTGTCCCCATACCCAGATTAGGGATCCCTTCCATTCGAGTCTCCGACGGTCCCAACGGAGTGCGAGGAACCCAATTCTTCAGCAGCGTCCCCGCAGCATGCTTACCTTGTGGGACGGCGATTGGAGCGACTTTTGACCGAGACCTGGCGGTTGAGGTTGGACATATCCTAGCCGCCGAAGCAAAGGCCAAAGGGGCACATGTCATTCTTGGACCAACAATCAACATTGCACGTGGCCCTCTCGGGGGAAGAGGCTTCGAGTCATACTCGGAAGACCCGGTTCTCTCTGGTATCCTTGCGGGTCACTACTGCAAAGGATTGAAGGAAAGAAACATCAGTGCCACCCTCAAGCACTTTGTCTGCAATGACCAAGAGCATGAGCGCATGGCTGTGAACTCGATTGTCACTGATCGGGCAATGAGGGAGATCTATCTCCTCCCTTTCCAGATCGCCATTGCTCTCGGGAGCCCCGATGCCATAATGACAGCATACAACAAAGTGAACGGTGTACATGCACCTGAGAACAAGACTTTGTTGCAAGATATTCTGCGTGGTGAATGGGGCTGGGATGGGCTGGTGATGAGTGACTGGTAATGCCTTCGCTGTGAATATTTGTTTTTTCAGACTAATACAAGATTTGCTTAGGTTCGGAACTTACAGCACCTCCGAGGCTGTGCTTGCAGGGTTGGACTTGGAGATGCCTGGTCCCCCAAGATGGCGCGGGGCTGCATTGACGCATGCACTTGCTGCCAACAAGGTTCCTCTTGCAGCATTCAACGATCGCGTTCGTGCAGTTCTCGAACTCGTGAAAAAAGCAAGCAACTCCGGGGTCCCTGAGCGGGCTCCGGAAACTCAACTCAACCGACCCGAAGACCAATCTCTGCTCAGAAAGATTGCGTCAGAGGCGATTGTGCTCTTGAAGAACGATGAAAATATTCTTCCACTAGACAAGACCAAGAAGATCGCTATCATCGGACCCAATGCCAAAATTGCTACCTACTGTGGAGGCGGAAGTGCGGCATTGAATCCATACTACACCGTGACCCCCTTCGATGGCATCTCGGCATCAGCACAGGGTGAAGTCAAGTTTGCACAGGGTGTTTACGGTCATCAAATGCTCCCACTTCTTGGCAAGAAGTTATGCACCCATGATGGCCTTGCTGGGTTTGCTTTGGATATCTACAACGATTCACCCAATGTGGCGGACAGAAAGCCTATCGAGCAGCGGCACGAAACTGATTCTATGATCATCTTCATAGACTACAAACACCCGGATTTGGAACCTGTATGGTACGCAGATGCAGAGGGGTACTTCACCCCCGAAGAATCTGGAATGTACGATTTTGGCCTTACTGTCCAAGGCACAGCAAAGATGTACGTGGATGGGAATCTCCTCATCAACAATGCCGACGTGCAAACGCCAGGGACAAGCTTTTTCGGTAGTGGAACCGTGGAAGAAACAGCATCATTGGAACTTCAGGCTGGCAAAAAGTATAAAATCCTTGTGCAATGGGGATGCGGCAAGACTGCCACTTTCAAGGTTCCCGGGGTAGTCGATTTCGGACATGGTGGATTCCGATTCGGGGCATGCAAGCGCCTTTCACCGCAGGATGGAATTGCAGAAGCTGTCAGGGTGGCCTCTGAGGTTGACCAGGTGGTTCTCATTGCAGGACTGAGCGCCGAATGGGAGTCGGAAGGTGAAGATCGCTCACATATGGACCTGCCGCCCCATTCCAACGATTTGATCTCGAAGGTCCTGGACGCAAACCCCAACACCGCTATTGTGGTACAGTGTGGTACACCTGTGGAGATGCCGTGGGTTTCCAAGGCCAAGGCCATTCTTCATGCGTGGTACGGAGGAAACGAGACCGGAAACGCTATTGCTGATGTCGTGTTTGGAGACGTCAACCCGGTAAGTACTTATCCTTCACACCAACGTATTCATAACGGTTTCACCTAACATTTGCTCTTCCTACAGTCTGGCAAGCTTCCTCTCACGTTCCCTCGGCGTCTGAAAGACAATCCCACATTCTTCAACTACCGATCCGAGGGTGGTCGGGTTTTGTATGGAGAGGACGTCTATGTCGGATACCGATATTACGATGGACTTGAGATGGAAACACTATTCCCCTTCGGTCACGGACTTTCATATACTACCTTCGAGGTCTCAGATCTCGAAGTTGCAATGAAGGGAGAAGGACAGTCACAAATCAAGTGCCAGGTGCGGAACACAGGATCAAAAGCAGGTGCCGAGGTGCTTCAAGTGTATGTGGCTCCTATCTCGCCTCCAATCAAACGGCCTGTGAAGGAACTTAAAGAGTTCCACAAGTGTTTCATCGAGGCAACCTCGGAAAAGACTGTCACCATTCCCTTGGATCTGATTCGTGCCACAAGCTACTGGGACGAGAAGAGTGGCAGCTGGTGCAGCCACAGTGGTGTCTATAAGATCATGGTCGGAACTAGCAGCCGTGGAGACTTCTTGGAACATTCCTTTGACCTTCCGGAGACAGTGTTCTGGTCTGGGGTTTGATAAAACCTTGAAATCGGTGTATAAAAAGTTACGTACTTGCATATACCCAGGTATAGAATTGATTTACTTTCTTTGAGTCAACAAAATCAGCCGGTGAATATCGAATCGTAAATTCCACGGCATAAGATCATCCCTGAATGCGATCTGTATCTACCCAGGTTTGTAGATGCAGTGTGTTCATACCTTCACTGCTGTCCAGTCGGGACAACACATCCGTAGAGAGTTGGATATACTCGGCAGCCTTTTTCGATATAGGATCCTCCGGAGGAAATGGACAGCCCAGAAGACTTGCCACAACATCGCGAACCTTGTTTGCTAAATGCAAACCATTCGCCTCCAAGCTCATCCGAGGAAAGTTAAACAGTACGAAAAACAAGTGATGGGAGAGTTTCTCCCTCTCGACCCAAAGTGATTTTTGATCCAAATCCACCACCTGATGTGTAGACGAGCGACGCTGGGGGTGTGACTGTGCGGCTTCTAATTGATCAAGTATGAGACTTTGAAGCCAAATATGTGTAACATGTAGATTTGCTCGTATCGATGCAAGCTGCAGCTGAACCGTTTTCTTTCTTTCGTCGGCGTCGTGGTCGTTGACAATTGCCTGGGTTGGCTCCCACATCTGGAGAAAGGAGGGCATATTAAGTCCAAGATACTGTAGACAATTCAAACGTTCTTGGAAGTGTTTGATTTGAAGGCAAGTATCATTGGCCCTCGCACAAGGACAATGGCCTCCTATTGGGCTTGGTCCAGGGTCTCTCATCGCAGCCCAAAATATGCGGGAGTGAACGATAAAGCCCGTCACTAGACATGGCTCAGTGGTTTCTGGTGCGAGCACCTCGTTCTCAAATATCAGCTCGTCGTCCACTTCAAGTGGCATGAGGTCTTCTGGGTTTATTGCCTGAAGTGCCGCTGGGTCCAGATAGGTGAGTCGCTCGCCGTGTAAATTTTGTAAGTGTCCATGACTGGGGTTTTTGATCCTTGGTAAGTGGATGGCAAGCATATTTGATATCCTAGGGAACACTCACACAAAGCCGTAGAACATAACCCAGAACCCCTTCTTGCGTAGTTGTTTCTCAATGCAATTCAGCCCAGTGTATTCAGAGATACGGTGCATTTTGAGCAGACGTGCGAGCTGCATCGCTTCAACGGTAAGCATACGTGACCAATTCTGGTCTCCAATTTGCATGAAGGATGCGAGAAAGAGATACGAAACGGCAAACTTCTGAAAACTGAGTTGGTCGAAGTATGAGGATGTTCTCAATCCTATTATCTTCTGATAACAAGCATGGACAAAATCCTTGCGTGATTCGAATCTTATTGCTCCCGGATCTGATTGGTAGGCTTGGAATCTGCTCGCCATGGTAGCCACGACCAGCGCGGCGATGGCTACAGTCAGTGCAAGGAATCCATCATCTTCGCGGTCTCTGTCTTCCTGAAGAGCCTTTTGAAACGAAGGACGATGTACCAGGGGAACCATGGGATATATGTAGTCAAGGTAATCTTGCATGATGTTCTTGAATAAGTCCCGGTCACACAGGTCTTGGGTTCTGTGCGGAACTGTCGGGGCGGGACATTGCGTCTGGGTGTCTGAGAGGAACCTTCATCGGAATCAGAAAATACTCATGGGGTTTTTTCCAACCCGGCAACATACCTCTTTTTAGGTCCCCTGGTTCTTGAAGGTAACGCAAAAGTGCATGCTAAGTTTAAGCGCTCACATCGGAGGCACGACAATGAATACCCGGACGATTGGGCCTTGCATTTCACCTTGCGTTTGCGGCATATATCACAGGCTTGTGTTGATAATTCTGCGCGAGGAGCATGAGTCGTTTGCATTGTGAGACCTTATTCAACGTGAAAATAAAGCAGCTCGTCATTCTCGACCCCCGGGGCCTGAGTCGTTTCGCGGACGAGGATTGGCCAATCAGAAGGTGATCATGTGACCATCCAGATCGGCCCCGGGACCAGTTGACCCGGGCCCCCCGGGGCAACTGCCAGGGTGACCGGGGCCTAGACTTTGCAGCCAGGTGGGTTCTGGGCTCTGGGCTATGAGCTCTGCTACGGGTACAGAGGTACGGAGTACAATATGGCCCTGGAGTATCTTCAGTACTCCGAATGTACCGCCAAAATCTGGATTATTGATGACGATGCCAACCTTGGAAGCAATGGTGATTTTGTGCTCCCTGTGGTCCCATGAGTCGCCACAAAAGAAAGGCCTTATGGGCTGCGAATACCTACATAGGTAGGAGCCCAGGGCCCATTACTCGGCCATTCGTGGGCCCTGAGGAGCGGCCCTAAAACCCAACCCATTAGTGGGCTGGTGGGGGAGTCTACCGGGCCGGGGTCCGGGGACTGGGGTCGACTTTGGGGGGTCTACGGGTCCCACTCGAGGTGCCCGCATCTGGATACCCGTGGACCTGGGGAAGCTCCAGGGCTGTCAACATAGAGTTGCCTCGCTTGTATCAGACGAGCAGAATAACTTCAACCCTGCGAATTTAAGCTGAACCGTCATTGACTTTGATGGCCCTGGCCTCGTGGAGGTGAAAATATTTCCGGGTGACGGATCCCAGCAGCACGCAAAATTGGAACTGAAATGAACTCAAAACGCCCTGGGGACACCCTCACACATCTCTGATTGGTTTGGATACGAAGCAGTCGCACCTGCCCCGCAAGGTTTCAACACCTCTGAAGCCTTCCGTCTTGGGAACCTTGGACGACCTTATGTCATGGGTCCGGGGTGCACAAAGTGTAGGATTTTGCACTGTCGCTCTATAAAAGTCTTGCTCTCTCCCTTTTCAATATTGCCAGGGTTATATTTGCCACACGATGTCACAGCCGTCTTCTCCACAGGAGTGCTCCGCGAACCTCGCTCAATCCAAAGAACGAGAGTTTTATAAGTAAATGACACATGCGTTTGATGAGACCTGACACTTCCAATGGGAACCGCGCCAGAACAAGCTCAAATAGACTAATGGTCATATGTTCACTGGTACCTACCACCGTACCACCCGAAAACCCGGGCTCTGCAACATGTCGGACCGATGACCCCCTACACAGAACATGTCGCACGTTCTTGCATGGACCCAGCCTTGACGGCATTTGCACAACTGGGAGCCTTGCGGCTGAATGCGCAGCGGGCACTGATCTCGCTGTTCGGCCCGGACAAGCAACACGTCCTCGCGGAAGCAACCCAAACCCTGAGTTTGCAGGATGACGCCGACCACAACTCCCGCGACCACCTCTGGGTGGGGAGTTGTACTCTGTCATATGAACGAAGCTTGTGCAAAGCGGCCATGGACTCTGTTCAGATGGTAGCAAATGCTAGGGACCGGATATTCGTCGTTCCAGACCTCACCATGGATGACAGTTTGAAGAGCCATCCGGAAGTAATGGAATTTCCAAACGTTCGCTTTCTAGCATCTAGTCCAATTATAAGTCCGAAAGGCATTATCATTGGCGCCTATACCATTCTAGATGATCAACCGCACGATCATCTAGATGGCGAGATGTTGAATTTCCTCGTCAGTATCTCGATGGCTGTGATGGACTACCTATCCGCTACTCGGTCCAAAGAACAACAATTGAGGAGTGAACGTATGCTTGTGGGTCTCGGAAGCTTTCTGGAAGGGAAAGGAAGTCTACGCAACTCATGGCTTATCGAAAAGGATGACTATGATTACTTACTCGAGAACAACACCCTTGTAGAAGGCCACGTTGATCCAACTCAGCAGCATATTCAGGTTGCCCACCAGGCAACCTCGGTCACGCTGAACACCCCTGCAAATAATCGTCTACCTTCTCGTCCATATAGCATCTACATCCCTGAGCGCGAGGGCAAACGTGCATCCTCTCAGGAAGCTATACCTCGGAGTGCGGATACTACCGTCAGGGACAGGGAAACACACCCAAACACCGGAAGGGAGCCTGAAATTCCTACCTCACATGGCCCAAAACGATCCCCGTTGCCTAAACGATCACCCAAAGAAGAATATACAGCCAAGATCAAGGACACCTTCTCCCGTGCATCTAATCTGATTCGTGAGAGTATTGAGGTTGAGTCGGTGGTTTTCTTTGGTGCCAGTTTTGGATCTAAAGATGCACCGCTAAATGATAACAGGTCTGAAAGTGATACCAGCGGAAGTCTTGAAAGCTGCTCATCCGGATTCCGTGAATCTCAACGATGGGACCCGTTGAGCCCGGAGATACCTGATCGCTCTGGCAAGATCGCATTGATCCCATGTGAAATCTTTGGATTTGCGACTTCGGATGCCTCTAGCATCAATGGTCAATCAACAGACGACAACCAAATCGTGTTAAATGAGTCATTTCTCGCTGCTCTTCTGCATCGATACCCCCGCGGGAAGGTCTTCAATTATGCTGCGGACGGATCAATGTTCTCCGATGATTCCAGTGAAGAGAGTCCCAAAAGGTTTCTCCGAGGCACCAAACTCAAGAGTTCCCAGAGAGCTCGAAAGTCGTGGATGCGCCAGGATGCCTCGACTCTACTCCAGGTCTCCCGGGGATCTCGAAGCATAATTTTCGCACCCCTGTGGGATTCGCACAAGAGTCGATGGTATGCAGGCAGTCTGACATGGACACGAGCAGCGTATCGCGTTTTCACGCATGATGAAGAACTTTCATTCCTCTTAACCTTTGGGAACAGTGTCATGGCAGAGGTCCACCGGCTTGGAGCTCGTTTTACGGATCGCGCTAAATCCGACTTGCTCGCAGGGCTCAGTCATGAACTTCGATCTCCTCTTCACGGCATTTTTGGAACCTCTGAACTTCTCGGAAATACGATCTTGGATACGCTACAGCGAGGATTCATTCACACAATCTCTTCATGTGCTTTCACCCTCCTCGGCTCGATCAATCAGCTTCTTGAGTATGCAAGTATCAACGATATTCTACCGAGCTCGGTCAGAAGTCCCCGTGATGAGATAAACCCTGCATCAGAGAGCTCAGTAGCCGCCGCGCGACGCTCCTCTCACGCAGGCAAAGTCGACACTGACTCTTGTGTTGAGCTTGATAGTGTCGTTGAGGATGTAATAGAGACTGTGTTTGCTGGTCATTCATTTGTCGATGGCTCGCAGTGGTCCCTTCGCCATTCAATCGACTATTCGACATTGAGTCGCGATCCTCTCGACATAAAAGGCCCAGTCAAGATAGTATTGGACATCGACGGCTATCACAACTGGAGGTTCTCAACTCGGCCTGGGGCTTGGTATGTGATCATTACCAATGTTCTTGGAAATGCTTTGAAGTTCACCCGCCAGGGCTACATCTTTGTCTCAATGAAGGCTATACCAGCCGAAGGCGTAGACGAAGCCCAGGCCTTGAGCTCGGAAGTTACAATAACCGTCAAAGATACTGGATGTGGCATTGAACCGGAGTATCTCAAGAAAGGCTTGTTCACTGCATTCTCACAACAAGACAGTACAACAACAGGCAATGGTCTTGGGCTCAATATCACCCACCGCACACTGAAATCTCTCGGCGGGGATATTCAAGTGAGCTCACAAGAGCACGTTGGCACTGAAGTTGTCGTGACTGTAACACTCGATCGTGAGGTTGGGGATGAAGCACCCGATCAAGCCGACAGCCAGTTTTCACTTGTCAACGCAATCAAATTGACACGGACAAAATCCATTGGAATTTTGGGGTTCGAGTCATCTGCTCTAGATACCATTTTGCATACATGCCTGCGAAAGGTTTTCCGAGACTGGCTTGCCATGAACACATATATCATGGTCCCCTTCGAAGCACAATTCACCTACTGCGACTTTTACATTTCGCTCCATGAACACCTCGATATCGGAAATCTCGAGATTCAGGAAATCGCGCCAGCTACGAAAGAGCGATTACCCTCGCCGCTTATCATAATATGCTCTTCCCCCAAAGTTGCACATGCAATGTTCACAGAAAACCGAAGGCGAAAGAATCCCGCTGTTCTCGAATTCATCAGTCAACCTTGCGGCCCTCGCAAACTGGCCAAGACGTTGGAGACGTGTATCAGACGCCAGCAGAAACGACTGAATTCAGTATCAGATGAAGAAACACCTGGCCTTCCTGTGGCCCCTTTGGTCCCTTTCGGATTGAGCAAGTCCATGACAGAGTCTTCGGAAATCTCGCCGAGTTCGATGCCTATCACGGAACCCCCAATGAGCCCGACAGACTACGCAGCCAGCACTTCTAGAACATCTGGAAGCCACTCGCCCAATTATCCAGATGATCCTCGAAGTACTCGTGCCATACCCAAGGATGAAATATCCATCGGGGCAAAACAGTCTGAGAAAGATGACGGCATAGCAATTTCCGAAAACACGCAACCTCGAACGGTCGTGCTTCTTGTTGATGACAACGACATCAACATGAGGCTTTTGATCGCTTTCATGAAAAGATTGAAATGCGACTATGTGATTGCCCAAAACGGAAAGGAAGCCGTTGACAGCTTCAAATCCAGCTTCTCAAAAATATGCATGGTACTCATGGGTATGTTTTGCTGTTTGTGTTCTTACTCACAGTCGATTTATACTTCATAGATATTTCCATGCCAATCATGGACGGCATTGAATCCACTAGACTAATCCGTCAGTTCGAGCGAAAAATGAACATCACACCCCGTGTTACCATCGCTGGGCTTACTGGCCTTGCACAAGCCGATGTGCAACGTGATGCGATTGCTTCTGGTATGGATTTGTTCTTGACAAAGCCTGTCGGACTGGATGGCCTAGTGCCGATCATCAAGGGGGCAATGGCCAAGTATGGTCCCGCATTGCCATGATGGCACAGCGAATTTTGAGTAGAGACTTCGGAAGTGAATAGTTCCAAATTTGATGATCGATTGATGGACGAACTGATGAGCGGTTACCTTGAACCTTCCGTGGGCATGATATCTCTACTAACGACACCACGACCAGCCGGTGCAATGGGCAGTTTGTTTTCACAAGGATACATGGATGTATACGGTGGTTTTAAGTACTTGGTAATTCATCAAGAACAATGAAATTGTGATATTATTTCGCTAAGTACGTAAAGTCGTCATAGGAATATCTGAGGGTTCCGCCGGAGTTGTAGAACGTAGAGTTTCTCGAATCATGAACCTTAGTTCTTGGCAGCCTCTGTCGTGGTATTAGTATCTTTCTTTTGACAAATTGAGGTTCAAGCTCGACGTACCCTTGTGGACATCAGCCTTGGTGTCGTGGGACACCTCGTCCTTCTTGTCGACGAGGGCATCCTTGGCAGCTTCAGCACGGGTGCTCAGCTTGGCGTCATCGTTCTTGGCGACGTTCTTGTTGGCCTCCTTGGAAGCCTGGGCACCAGTGCCCTGGACGGTCTCAGCGACGTAGTTGGCGGCGTTCTAATCAACGGGTCAGTATGCAACCAAGTGGAGCAGATCGGAGCGGTGCGTACCTTGACGGTCTCCATTGTGAAGTTTGGAAGTGAAGTTTGGAAAATTTGGTGTAGAAGTAGTAGTAGTTGTGATGAGTGTAGAAGATGAGAAAGAAGTGAGAGTGAAAGATCCAGGTATTTATGCTGCTGGATCTAGGAGAGTGACGTCATCCATTTCCAGGCCCAGACTTCCCCAACGTCAAAAAGTAGCCAAGTTCACGGTTGCAGCGATTTCTTGGAATTTCAGTGGCTGAAACAGAAGCTCTCACCCGCCGGTTATGTATATCCTAGTACTTTCGACAAATCATATCCATGTCTCTGGCATTTCGGACTCGCCATGAGCACACTGATTTGCACTCCCTTGACCCCGTACTCTACACATGATTCGCGACTTACCCTGCATCGAATATTCTTTGCATTTTACATACATAATGTCGCCTCAATACTCGTATAGTCCTCCGAGTCGATGATTTACCCCACGGCCCCACCGATCGGACTAGAAGTGGATGACGTCTACTGCTGTACACATTGTGTCGCTCGTTTTTGTCATCATTAGTTTGTTGCATGGTTAGGTCACGTGCACGGCGGACCTCCTACTGTGACGGACGATTATGTAATCCTTAGGTTTCCGTACGGAGACATCACGTGTGAGAGGTCAGTCCCTTGGCCGCCCGCAGGCCCCATCATTACCTAGTCTTACATCCTATTGAATGAATACTGGACTTGGCCCCACAAAAGGTTCTGTTACCTGACAGTTTTCGTCCTCGTATTACGACGACTGAGTGTTACGTTGTCTGGTCTATTACATCCCGTTTCGTGTCTCGCCCGCCGGGCTTTGATTCACTACTCGGTCGGCCAGCGTTAGCTTTACCCACTTCTACCTATCACCAATTGAATTGCTGTGCCGGACCCGCTGATCTTTCGGTGCCCGTACGATTACTGCGTCTGTAATACGACGTTTGTGTTTCTTGTCAGGTTGTCTTTTACCAAGTCATTACTTGTGTTCGTCAGATTGGACGTGCAACATCCTCCGCAACCATGTTTTGCATGTGTGGCATGGTCATTGAACGCCACAGCACTTGAGTTTCTCGCGTCCCATGCTAATGCTGGTAGATCTTTCTAGAACCCAGGGCCAACTTGCTTCTCGCGCTTGGGGCAAAGTACCTAGGTGGCTTCATCACATCTGCTATCGAGACTGCTTCCAACCCTGAAGGGTCATGCACCATGTTCACCCCCTTCCCACATCGAAGCATACCTAGGCACGTAGCCTCTCAGGAGAGACACAACCCGTCGGCTAAAATGTCAGAGGTTACTCGGTGCGGAGTCAATGGACTGATCGGGATCGGTCTACATAGTTCGCAGGACAATCGGCCTGTCCAGCTCGATGCAGATGATCCCAATGGGGTTAGCGCGCGGGTTCCTTGAACTTCATATGACGTCATTGAGGCGCTGCGCCTCCAGGGAAACAGGGGAGTTGGCTTTCTTCGCTGATCCCATCGAGATCGGTTTGGCTTCCGCGAATCAGTAACGACCCTGGAAGTGACTGGCCTGACTCCTGGGACGTCACGATCAGCTTGGACTATTTTGTTGACTCCCAACCTTTGAAGGTTCCGAGGTTGACAAGAGAAGTCACATGTTTCCTTCAATTGGATCTCTGTGTGGCGTTGGGCATTCTTGAGATGCTACATACTTGAGAGTGGTCATCTGAGATCGCTTTGTGAACCTGCAAAAATCTTCATAAAGGGGTAGTTCCAAGGTGGGGTCTCAGTTGATCGAACTATGAGTTCCCCCGGCAAGCGACTCAAAATCAATCCTTATCTGATCAAGGAACTTCTGTTGCTGTTCTAAGGACGATGGTTTCAAGTGCCTGGCTACGCCCGTGGACGCTCCTATCCGAGCTCCACGGGCTTGATGGTACTTTCTACCTTCATTTTCTCCGGAACACTTCAGTGCGAACTGGAGGGGTCTATGGCTTTTTGATGCACGGACACAGTCATGTCCCCTTCGTTCGCCAATGAGTAGTTGGAGAAAGTCAAGGCGGCCTCGGTATGTATTTATACCAGCCCGGGAGGAAATGTTGCATACGTCCTAAACGGAGCTCGAGTGCGCACGCTGAATTCATCGGCTCACTTGGGCAAATAGAGCTGCAGGGTAACATAGCATCCGGTGAACTGATAGCCAACCCGATTGATGGGTTTGGATAAATTAGGCTCGAGTAGGAAGTACTGAGTACTATGTGCAGCGAGCGGAGGTGGTTGAAACCCTCCCATTTCAGTCTGCGTGGCCGGACAAATTGTACTCCGTGCTGATCGTCAACTGGTGAAATCAACCAGCTTCTGCCCAGGTGTCATTCATCTTCCACTCGCAGGCCATCTATCCTAATTGTCTACCATGAGTTCACAACGATTACCTCGTACACCATCGCCCGTGCCAACCCAAGACCTTCATACCACCGGTGATAAAACATGGACCTCCCGCGACGACGCTCTACGGATACTTGATCGTGCAAGTTACATGACCAAATCGCAGTTTGCACAAAATATGAACCTTTCATACGATCGCGTCAGCTATATTATCGAACGAGGACATCCTACACCAAGAAAGGCCAAGGGCTCAAAGCCCGCCTTATCAGCCGAAAAAACACGAGAAATCATCAACTACATCACTTCATGTCCAGAACATCGTCAATTGACAAACAAACAAGTGATTCAAAACCTCAACCTCAACGTTCATCACGCTAGGTTAAGCCGTGCTCTTGCACGGCATGGTTACCGTCGAAGTCTTGTATAAGGACCAGATTTCAAGTCGAAAAATCGAGAGCTCTGCGTTCGTCGATGCTTATCTTGGACTGGAGGACCCCGCGGTCAACTGGTCAACTGGCGGGGAATTAGAGTGCTTAGTCATTGTCATGTATTATATAATACAATTATTACATAATATGCGCTATTTATAGGCGACACGTGATCCGTGACTAATCGCCGTTTCATCAAGGTTCAAGTCCACGAACGGGTGACGTGGATGTCAGGGCGAGTCTCGGGGTAAATAATCCAGAAGGTACACAGAGCAGATGGAGTATGGAGTACAGACACTCGTAAATACAAAGTGGAATTGGTAGGGGAGAAGGCCCGGCCTGGAACACAATTTGGGTATCAACTCGAAGCTTAGAAGTCCCCGTACTCCAGGGCTGCCCAGGTGCGTACGACTCCGTAGACGATCTCCGCATCCCAGCCTCCTATTACTCCGTACTCTTTCTCCCATCCAGGTCCAGCCAGGTCAGCCAGGTGATTTCTTTCATCGCGCGTGCACCCCGGGACCTTTTGCTTTGGCCCTTCGAGTCCTTGCACCGCCTACTTTCGCTTTCGGGGCCGAGGGCGGTTTCCTTTCTCCCCGCTTCTTTGACCGCTTCAACCCTCATTCCCCCAAATATCCATCATGTCAGCTCCGACGACGAAAGCACCGGTGGTCCGAAGCCATTCCACGTCATCTCGTCCCTCGAGAGCAACCTCGGAACTTCCCCATCGAACACGGAGTGTGGCAGTCCGTCCCTCCAACACAGCCCAGCCTCCCCCCGGTCACTCTTCACATTCGAAAACATCCCACGACCGACGCCCCCCTTCGAATCACGCTCAACTGGACTCTGTCGCCCGACGCGACCTGGAGGCGTCCAATGTTGCCCGAGTGCCGTCCCGTCGTGAGGCGTCATCCGACCGATCCCAGGAACGCCCCTCCACCGCTCGCACGGAAAGTGCCCGACACCAAAGGAACCCCTCATCGGGAGGTCGTCAAAGAGATAGCGTCGATATGACTCCGAGTTCAAACGTCCAAGAAACCTTGCAGGATGCGACCGCCGCAAATGCCGCGGCCGCAACGGCTCCCCCTCGCCGACGGACTACAATCACGACCCCGACAGGGCAATGGGCTCTGGGCAAAACGATAGGTGCAGGAAGTATGGGAAAGGTTAAATTAGCGAAAAACACCGAGACTGGGGAACAGGTATGTGGATTTGACTTCTAATGATCTCGCAATATTTACTGACTACGGTCGCAGGTTGCCATCAAGATCGTGCCACGACTTTCGACCGAGGAGCACCGTACCACCCGGGAAACAGAAAGAGCCGACCGTTCAAAGGAGATTCGGACGGCTCGAGAGGCCGCCATCGTCAGTCTGGTGAACCACCCTTACATCTGCGGGATGCGGGACGTGGTCCGAACGTCATACCATTGGTACATGCTATTTGAATATGTCAATGGCGGGCAAATGCTGGATTATATTATCTCGCACGGCAAGCTCAAAGAAAAACAGGCTCGCAAGTTCGCACGTCAAATCGCCAGCGCATTGGATTATTGTCACCGAAACAGCATCGTCCATCGCGATCTGAAGATTGAGAATATCCTGATCAGCAAGACCGGCGATATCAAAATCATTGATTTCGGTCTCAGCAACCTTTTCTCTCCAAGAAGCCTGCTGAAGACGTTCTGTGGTAGTCTTTATTTCGCTGCGCCGGAGCTGCTGCAGGCCAGACAGTATACGGGTCCTGAGGTCGATGTATGGAGTTTCGGAATCGTGCTCTATGTCTTGGTTTGCGGAAAGGTACCATTTGATGACCAGAGCATGCCTCAGTTGCACGCCAAGATCAAGAAAGGTGCCGTGGAGTATCCTCCGGGTCTGACTGCTGGTAAGTCATCGTCGACGTCCATACCATTCTTCCCATCACTGATCACTTTCTGCAGAATGCCGTCACATCATCTCACGCATGCTGGTCACCGATCCGAAGCAGCGTGCCAGCTTAACCGAAATTATGAACCACCCATGGATGAATAAGGGCTTTAGTAACCCCCCAGAAAACTACCTGCCTCAGCGTGAGCCTTTGCAGCTGCCCCTCGATCAGGAGGTGATCGAGAAGATGACCGGCTTCGACTTTGGGTCCCCAGAGTATATAACAGCCCAATTGACAAAGGTCCTCGAGTCAGAAGACTACCATCATGCGATTCGTCTGAATTTCCGCGAACAACAGCCTGTCTCTAACCATCCGGAGCGCAAGCGGGGAGTCTTTGACTTCTACAAAAGGCGGAATTCTGCCGCAAGTCGCGATACTCTTTCTGCCCCCTCAGCCGAGGCTGTGCAACTCGGCAATGACCCACTGAATGCTTACAGCCCGTTGATATCTACCTACCATCTTGTCAAAGAAAAGCTTGACCGCGAACGCTCAGAGGCGCGCCCTGGAGCCCTTGGCCTGCGCCAGACCCCCAGCGAGGTCCATGTGGCTGATCTACGACCCCCAGAGGCTGCTCATACCAACCAATACCAGCTGGCAGGAGAGAAAGACACAGGACGGCGATCTCGGCCTCGGGCTCGAACCCATGGTGAAGAAGACGTCATCGAAGGAATCAAGTCCCATCATGCTTCTTCGCCGTCTGCACATGCAGTTCCAACTTCGCAACCCGATACCCCTGCAAAGAAAGAAAGCACGGCGGCTGGTATCTTGAGGAGATTCAGCACTCGCAGAATCAAAGACCGCAGCCGCGATGTCGAACGCGAACGAACCAGTACTCCAAACACGCCCACACTCAATGTCCAACCCCCTGCCGATTCGGCGTCTCCGATGCACCGTGGCTTCAGTGTTAGAAGAACTCGGCGGGGAGAGCCATCTACAATTGGCACTTCTTCGAATGACAGCCGTCCACAGCAGGATCATCTAGCGGCTCCTGGATCAGGTGACCGTAACGCTCGGTCAAACAAGTTCTTGGAGAGGTCCACTAGTGTCAATTCGGCGGATTACCGACCCCGGCGGGCCGCGCGGAGAAGTGATGCCGAAGCACTGGATGTTTCTCCAGACCCTCAAGAACCTTCTACCAGTGGCTCTGATCAAGTTGGCGCCAATAACCAGAAAGATGCGGCTCCCCCACGCACCGGTGGACGTACCCACACCGCGCGCACCATGTCACTGGGTCATGCCCGAAGAGAGAGCATTCAGGCCCGTCGGGCTCGCCGCGAGGCTACCCGAGAGGCCAATGTACCCGAAGAGACGGACGCAGACATATCCGGCGTTGGCACAGCCCTGGAGAGTGCCAACGAGGGAGAAGATCTTTCCAAGCCCGTGTTCCTCAAGGGACTGTTCAGTGTCTCAACTACCAGCAGCAAGCCATTGCCGGTCATTCGCGCCGATATCATCCGTGTCTTGCGACAACTCGCAGTTGAGTATGTCGAGATCAAGGGCGGGTTCAGTTGTCGCCATGCTCCCAGCATCGACCTCGAGAAAGTGGTTGATGTCGCCCCTCCCAGTCCCGAGCGTCAGGGGCCATCCTCTGGACACCGCCGTCGGATCAGCTTTGGTGGTTTACTCAACCACGATGACAGCCGTGATGACAGCCGCGCGGGATCATCTAAACTCCGACATGCCCAAGCCGCGCCGGACCGCAGCTTCACCACCAACTCGGACGTTTCGGAAGAATATATTGCTCGGGACCATGGGGCCGGTGAACGTGTCGTTGGTGAGACCACTACTCGCGTTCAGAGTGATACCGGTGAGAACCTGGTTCTCCGGTTCGAGATCTTGATCGTGAAGGTCCCGCTCTTCTCTCTCCATGGTATTCAGTTCAAGAAGGTATCAGGTGGTATGTGGCAGTACCGGGAGATGGCTAAGAAGATCCTTGATGCCCTGAGGCTATAACCCATTTGTTTCTATCCTAAGAGGTCCCGCTGAGGGCTTTTCAAGAGGGCTTTTGCCCCATGGTTTCCCTTGCTTTTTACGTTATGATTTTTTCTTTCGAGTGACTCTAGTCATCATCCGTTTGCATGAGCATGCTTCCCGCTTGTTGTCATTATGCCCATCTTCCTTTTTTCGCTCATCTCATCAAAAGCTCACTTAGCTTCATTAGCCTTGCTATTTCTTTTCCATCCGACACAACTTGCCTATTTCAGGGTATTCTCGTCGACTGAACTTTGCTCATCGGCTTGGGTGGTGTCTATTAGAATTCAGAAAAGGCAATTGCGATGCTAGCGTTTGTTTACTTTGCGCTCACATCATCATCTTTTCATCCCTGCAGAATTGGAAAACGGCGTTATGTTGGAATAGTTCATGATGTCCATGTTGTCTTTTGCATCCCAATACTTGCATATATATTTTTATCTGTTTTCATTTCACTATGTATAAACTTGGAACCTCGGAAACAGATCAGGTTGGACGTTAACCTTGAAGAAGGCGTGAAAATAAGTTCACGCATTCTTAGCCCAACTGAGAGAACCGCTAAGCTGTAGAATTTTGGAAGCTCAAATACCGGGCCTGCAGCCCCGGAGAGTGTAAGGCGTCGCCCTCCGGGCGGTCACGCAGGGTGTACCTAGGTAGGTAGATAAGCTACAAGCCCATCCCCGGGGGTCGAAAGTTCCAAGGTTTGATTCCCGAGGGGCCCGGGTACCTAGGTAAGCCCAAGGCTGTTTTGTGGTGGGGGGCGCGGCCCACTGCCCAGGTGCCAGTGGCACCCAGGAGGTCAAAACTCTGCCCATACCTGCCGCCTAAGGGCTCACCGAGCTTTCAGTAGGGCCTGGGGCCTTGCGCTTTCCAAGGTTCTAAGTCACTCCACCCCCCTCCCCCTCTGCTGGTCAACAAGTGTTCATCCCGGGGCTACAACGCGCGTGATAAACTAAACGGTGTCTTTTGAGGACCAAATATTTATTAAATAAAAATTAGTTGGTGCCTTCCTTGACTATGGCACAACTACGAACCTTGGCCGCGTTACCGCATATACTACCCGGGCGCTGTGGTCCCGCAGCATTGCGGCCCTGGGCCAGCTCGCCAGTTGACACAACGATTTCAAGATTGCATCCTTTCGTCGCATGTAAGGGCTTCCCTAGAAATTTGACACAGATTCCTAGCATGGTCTCTAGCTGTGATCTAGGAATTTTCCTTTTCGGATAATTTCTCAGGTTGAAGTAAAGTGAGATTTGAAAGGCGAAAATTCACTTGGTTTCGGTGCCGGGGGTTGCTACCTGAGCGCACTCCCAAACTTCACAGTTCACCTGGAGCTGCTGGCTCGGGGCATCAGATGAAGAATTTAAGGGCGACCACCCAATCTTTAGGGTCACTCCTCGGGGGAATAGCCCGGGAGTGCTACGCTAAGAATGATCAATCATGCTGAAAGCTAGTGGCAGCCATCCCTTGGGAGGCATCCCGATATAAGTCACGTGACAGTTTCTCTACCGAACAATATTTTCCTTTCCCCGTCACCCACGCCGCAGCTATGCTATTAGGGGGGGTTTTAAAGCTTCCAAACTGCTTTAATCAATTTAACAAACCCCTTTCTCTACTTTTATTTGAAATAACTTGGAGTAAAAAATTTTCTGCTGAGTAAGCAAAGGAGGGGGCCTCGCCATTGGTTCCTGGCCCCCGGGGCCGCCCCGGGGGCGGCCAACGCCCAGTGATTGTGTGCCAAGACTTGGCGCCGCGCCAATCTGCCAACTACATTGGAACTTGGAAGCACTTTTGAAAACAAAATCAGGAGCTTATCCCAAGGAAAACTATATCAATCGATAGCGAATACATATCTCTACAAGATGGAGCACTCTCTGCCCCCAGAATGCTGTTTTTTGACTCGAAAATCAGAAGAATAGATTGAAAGAGAAAAGTTGCGCGCAACGCCTGCGGAGACCGACATTCCGGCTCCCTTTGTTTGAACCTTTCCCAAGTCAATCAGTTTCCACCTGACAGAACCGCCCATTTCGATAACAAAGCATCACCTTTCATTTATGAAGATAACATGAAATATTTCGAATGATTGGGTAGTTTCAGGCGCGAATATCCCAAATTTAACTACAGAACAGAACAGTCTCGTCTGATGGGTCACAAAAAGAAAATGAGACCTATCTATAAATTTGACGTGCCAGTCACGTGATGCTGATCACTGCAGATCCCCACAAGATGTTCCTCCCTTTTCAACCTCACTTCTATCCTGCCCCCCACCTTCAACAGCATCCCACGCCCGCCACCGACGAGATATTTTCGTCTGGTTGGTCTCGTTCGAATCGGGGCTCTCGGGAGATTCTATTCGATCTTTTTTCGAGGATTTTAGCGCACCCTTTTCTTTGACCCTATCATCTTTTCCGCGTCCCTGTCCTCGGGGGCCTTTTTTTAATCATTCAAGCCTAACTATTGAGACCTCCGGGCACTCATTTTCTTCAAATCACTTACATTGAGACAATTTCCTATTTGGGACTCTTTGTGGAGATATATGTCACGTGTCTTGGCACTCGAGTCACGAGCCACGCGTTGACAAAGCTTCTGCAAGCTTCACCAGTTGACTTGCATCATGGCGACGCGGGTCCCTCTCGGATCTGATGCCAATTCAAACCGCATTTTCATTGATCTTACGAATAGCGATGATAAAGAGATTCCGGTAAGCGACTTCTACAGTCTCTCGCCCCAAATCCCACCCTCTTTCTGCCCCAATTATATTCTTTTTGGCTATGCCAAGAGAACATATTAGCCCATTTCCCTTAGTTTCACTCTTCTCTTCTGCACCCCTGCATATTGCCCGGGGCGATATGTTTCGTCTATAAATGCCACACCATAGGCATCATATTGTGACGCCTATTGCCGACCTCGCCCACCTAGATATCAAGGCCTTCACTTTACGTTTACTTATTATGAATATAGGTACCAATCCCATTCGTGACCACATTGGCACATAGATCACCGGCTAAGGTCTCAAAGGTTGTTCCTTCAAAGAGAGGTCTAGAACCATCCGATGGACTGTCAGATGCCTCTAGTGACGAGCCCGTTAGGGCTGGACATACCCGGAGACCACGTTTCTCCCATTCTCAGAACGTGACACCAACCCCATCTCTGCCAACCGTTAGCGTTGTCATTCCCTCGCCAACCACGCACCAGCGACGCCAAATTGCGTTAGCTTCTACGGTTGATTCCCCGTATGTCAATGGCATGTCTAAACATTACTTTCCAACCAACGACGAAGAAATGAGAGTAGCAAAGGCAAACTATCCTTTTCATCGAACACGTGAAGGACGCCCGATTGACCGCAAAAACGTCTCTTTACACTTCAGAACGGGATCGGCGTCTCCGTTGAGATTGGAATCGACCGCAGATGACCACCATCTTGCAAAACTGCGTCATAAGCTCCAAGAAAAGCTTGATGGTATTGAAGGGCCTTCCATCCTACCTGTGGTGTCGTGTCCGAAGCTTCTCGCCAAGTTAGCTGATAACTTCGTTTTCATTAACGAGTACCAATACCGTCCGGGTGTGGAGCCTCTCTCGGAAGACTTCATCTGTGGCTGCACTTGTATTGGTGGGTGTGAACCAGCCCAATGTGATTGCATTGCCCAGGAAGAGGAGACCGAGGGCCTTATTGTTCCTTATAAAAGGTGTGATAAGAACCCCAGGCTCTATGTCATTACTGAAGAGTTCTTGCATCGCAAATCCATGATCTTCGAGTGCACACCCAGCTGCAATTGCCAAGGCTCGCGGTGTTGGAACCACGTCGTCCAAAGAGGAAGGACTGTCAGGTTGGAAATCTTTGATACTGGTTCTCGGGGCTTTGGTACCGTCGCCTTACTACCACTTCACACGTTCTTTCTAACGCTCCCTAGGTCTCCGTTCCCCAGACCCCATCTATGCCGGCCAATTTATCGACCATTACCTCGGCGAAGTGATCACAAAAGCCGATGCTGACGCACGAGAAGCTCTATCCGAAGGCAATGACGGGCAGTCCTACTTATTCGATCTGGACTGGTGGGTCGGATACGAAGACGTCAACGAAGAGACCATGAACGTGATTGACGGACGCAAATTCGGCTCCGCGTCCCGATTCATGAACCACTCCTGCAACCCCAACTGCAAGATCGTGGCCGTGTCCACGAAAAACCATAGCGACAAGCGGCTCTACAACCTTGCCTTTTTCGCCTATCGCGACATTCCACCAGGTACCGAATTCACCTTTGACTACAATGCCGGAACAGAGAATACAACCCCGCAGAGAATCGATCCCGACGCCGTTCCCTGCCTCTGTGGGGAGAGCAACTGTCGTGGCCAGTTGTGGCCTAATAAACGCAAGGGCAGGGGTGTCTAAAATTCTGCATCATTTCTATCAACGACTTCTTGATTATTCGCATTATGCATTATGCAATTAGCGGTCCTGCATCCTTGCGGTTTCTATCGCATCTCGAGACAGGCGTTTGAAACACTTAGGGTCACTTTCGACCTTTTCGCATGGATGCTTTGTTTGATTTACAATACCCTGACGAGTTTCATTTATGTAATATTATGGTCGACTCAGAAATAATCACATTTAACCTTTAATCCATCTCAATATCACCTGGGCAGCCTGAAAGCCTCGGAATTCTCCGTTTATGAAGTAAACCACTCAGCCAACTCTCTTGTATGATTCTTCAGTGACTCGAACACTGAACATATCCAGGTTAGTGTCATACTAATAAATTTTGATTTTTCATATAATGAAGTTTGCTTCGCGTTTAGATGCTTTCCCCAGGTGGCAACTTGAAAATAGTTAATTAAAAGTTGATAATTAAAGGTACCTATATGCCCATGTGATTACTCCGATGGATCACTCATGCAAGATATATACCTGGTAGTATAAAAGAGCTCAAGGTTTTGATACCTAGTATGGATATCATGGATATTCCAACTTGGAAGGTTGGATTGTTTCAATACTACTGGGTATATTAGTCAATAGGCCATATTTTGTCCCAGGTAAGACTTTACCTAGGTATAGGTTTTGAGTGGTATCAAGTAGTTCGATTGAGAATCTTCCCATTGAATTTGACCTTTATTGGTTTTTAAAATTTCCCCTTCACCCTGGTAAGAATGATCTGTTCACAGGTTTTAAAGTTGACTGGGGAGTTTTGACGTCCTTTCAACCCTTTCTCCGAGCCATAAGGTGTCATTTGACAGTTAAAGACACTCGGTCTCCTGGATATGAACTCCTTCCCTTTCTACCTAGGTAGCTAGTAACCCTTCTCTCCACCTAGATTAAAGGATAGATTGACAATCGCATCGCTTGGTAGAACAGATATATTCTGGTAGACACTCGCCAATATAACAATTAGATAATTAAAGTAGTATTCGGTACAAAGAATTCCACATGAAACAAAACCTCCAACTATACAGATCTGCATTCTTCCGAAAGCGGAAATCTCTCGGCATGCCGACCACGAAAACAAATGGTGTATCATAAAACCGCTGAAACCAGCTCAAGCACGGCCCTCCATGACTTCAAAAATGCCCCCCATCACAGACGGCTGCGTCTCGCCCTCCACAGGCCGCGGCTCCATGAGCCCCAGCCCCTGTCGCTCAATCGGGTTCCCATCACACCGCGACCGTTCTTCCGTGAGAACCATATCGATCTTGGACGGGCGGGAACGCAGCACCATCATTGAGGAGCGACCGCGGAGGACGGCGCAGGGGAGGACGCCGACGGGCTGGGTGTGGCCGTGGATGTCGGAGGTGGGGCGCGGTCGTGTATGACTTGCGCTTGTTTCTGTGTTGCTTTCTTGGTCTTTGGATGTGGATTTGGAGAAGGAGAAGTTTAAGAAGTTGAGGGAGCTGGAGCGGTGGAGGGAGGTCGGGCTTGAGGGGGGTGAGGTGGAGTAGTTGGAAGCGGCGCTGGGTGATTTAGAGTGGGAGCGGATGGCGGTGCCCAGAGAGAGGAAAGGTGGGATGTTGTGCATATTGCCGTTTTCGGTATAGGAGTATAGAGGATGGAGGATGGACGACGAGGGCCTCTGAGGGTCAAGGCAATTGTAGTCAAGTAGATGGAAAGCCAATTTGATTGTCAGCTATGAGATTTAGGATTGGGGATGCTGGTTTATTAATACTGAGAGGATTACAAGGTTGACTGCAAGGACTATGCTGCAGGGAGAGTTAAGACACGGATGCGGAAAGGCATTTTGTCGCAAACGGGAACATTTGAACATTGAACATTGCTGGATTCTGAAGCTTCGGGGCTGAGGCTTCCATTCTCTCAGATCCAATGAGAGTAGAAGTATCCATGCTCTCTTCTATGCATCACAGACAACATTGAAGTTCCCTGAACCGTTGAGCTGAAGGGAAGAGATATTTCCTAATCCGGCATCAATATTAACTAGTTCGACCCACTTGACTCAAATCACTAATTGTACATACAGTATACCGGTAAATCATCTCATTCCAATTATTTGCTTCATCTCTATAGAAACAATATCGATTGGTCACGCCGGTGCTATGCAAGTTCTATAATGTACAAATCCTTCTGTACGGAAAATAAGAAAATTGATGAGAATGTTCCAAGCCTTGCCTCGTTTCCAATGGTTTCGTGTGAACGTCAAAGATGGCCATAGATCATATTCTATTCAGTGGTTCGGTCCCCCGGCCGTCGATGCGTGAAACTACGCCGGATACTTTCGCCCCAGGCGGAGTTGTCCAGAGAATTCATGACGTCTTGCGCATTCATCGCACTGTTCTCGCGAGAATGACGGGCCGAAGATGTCTCATGCGTTTCAGTCGTGTCAAAGGAAGTGCGGTTGCCATACATCTCCCGCGGCGTGCGCGATGGACTGATACTGGACCATTCCCTCGTGGGTGTACTGGAGCCAGATCCAAGCCCACCAAGGTTGGTATCGAGGCGCGGAAGAGTTCCATGCCGCCCGCTGGGGCTCGACTCAGCCCGTCGGTGTTGCGAAACAGGCGAGAGCATGGGTGGGAAACCAGAGTCGAGGTCGGGCTGGGTCTGCGGCGTCACGGCGCCAGAAGCCAATTGGTCTTGATCTCCAGCCTCGTCGCCTTCGTCGACAAAGATCTCGGGGACGGTGAAGGTTGGAATCACGCTCAATCGACCGTTCTTCTTGCGCTCGATCTGGCGGCGGAATTGCCGAGACCAGTACAGAGTGTCAAAGAAACCAACGACGGTGTTGCGACGAACGGCCTCTTCCACACGCTGGAGTCGGGCCCGGCGACGCAAGAATTCCTCCAGACGCAGGCTCTTGCTATCGCTGATCACATTGTGATGCGCGAGAATCATCAGGCACTGATGGAACGAAATGCCGCGGTCGGGGTCTGCGGACACAAGGATCTCTTCATAGAAGGTGTTCAATCGGGCACGCCGTTCTCGAATCGTCTGGACCGGGATTCTGGCAATGATACGAGAGAGCTCGTCAAGATCCACGCCAGCCGAAACACGGGAGTTTGGCCTCAAAGATTGCCGGGGCTCATTCAACGAGACCATCGAGGTCCTCGCCATTGAAACCATGGAGTTTCTCTGAGGTTCCACTCGGCACTTCTCCAAGATCCTACCAACCGTGAATTCACCCTCGTAGATGCGTACCGCAAAAACGCCTGAGAGCTCACCCAGTAGACGCGGGAACTGATCTTTGGATATGAAGCCCGTGCCATCTGGATCATACGTAGCCCACGCTTGTTTGAACCGGCGGATCTCTTCACGGCTGATTGCGTAGAGCCCGCTGCTCCGCTGGTACACGTAGGAGAAACTCTCGAAGATCAGTGAAACAAAGAGGGAGACGAAAATGTACATGCTGATCAAGTTCCATGCGATGAAGAGGCACCGGGCCCATGCAGCACTTCCGCAATCAGATGCAAGGAAGTTGGAGTCGTACGTGCACATGGGTGGGACCATCGTAGCAAAATCCTCCATATACTCGTTCCAGCCTTCTCCACAACTCGCTCGGAAAAGCAAAATCAGAGATTTGGGTACATCCCGGAAGTTCTGATTGTGATCTTCATTGTCGCCGAATTTCGTAAGGCCGAATGCTTGGTTCATCGCGATGCCGAACACCAAGAACAAGACGAACCAAGTGGCGAGAAGGTTTCCAATCACCGACAGACTGGCTGCGGCTGTTTTGAAAAGTTGGTCAAGCTGGTTGTTGCGCGGGATGAGCAGCAGAGCGACAGAGACAAGGAAAAGCTTGTTAAGCTCCACCACGACATGTGTATTGTATGAGAGATCCAAGATGCATGTAACAGCAGCGCCAGGGACGGCGATTAAAGAGTAAATGTCCCACGAACTTCGGCTGAAACGATGCCATCCAAGGCCAATCAGTCGGATCAAGATATTTGCCACATAGACAAACATGAATACAAAGAATATGATAGCTATTGGAATGAGGTCAGTCTCTTGCTACAAGCCACGCACCATTGGAAGCACTTACCTCGCGTAGTCTCCCACCAAACAGGCTCGGGGTAGTACTCGACCACAAGTAAGAGCAAGTGGATGCAGAGAATGGATGTCACGAACCACGCCCAACGACCGGTTTTTTTGACCGAGATGCGATAGCACCAGAGCCGGAACTTCTTGCTCTTGTCATCGAAGGAGCGTTTTGAGGGCGAGATCTGTCGGAGAAGTTTCCGCAGCTCCAACCAAGAGCGTTGCTCAGCTGTCAAAAAGGCAACACCAGTTTGCTCAGTGTAGTTGCGCATGAACACAGAAACGAACAGCGTCAAGACAAACACAGCACCAAGCAAGTTGAAAATGACGAAGAACAAGCCGTTCTCAGGCGCGATCATGTCTTGTGGCTGCATCATCTTTCCAGTGATGCCCATGACATGTTCCTGGACGTCAATCCAACCTTCCTGAGACACAATCTGGAACAGAATGAAGAGAGAGTCACCAAAATTATCAAAGTCATAGTATGAGTTTGCGGGCACCCGAGGAGCAAGGACATCCCAATTATACGGCGAACTCGAGTATTCACCCACACAGTTAGTCAAATTTCCGGTGAAATCACCATCATTGCAGCTGACCAACTGTCCATTGAACAAATTGACGCCGTAAATCGCGAATGGGATCAGGAAACTCATGGAAACGGCGGCAGCAGCCACAACTTTCCATCCTCCAACAATGATTACTGAATGGAAAGTATCTTTGGCACTGTCACTGACATTCAACAAGCGGAGTGCTCTCAGCGCTTTGAAGGCGCCAATGGCTCTGGAAACATTCCAATCCTCTTTAAGGGAGCCACCGACACTGATCCAAAGGGTGATCAGCACAATACCGTCGATGAATCCCCAGGAGCTTCGGAAGAACGCGTTTGGTGTCCAGAAAAATCCGTCGGCGATCACTTTGATGGACGCTTCGACCGTGAAAACAACGGCAAATCCCAGATCTGTATAGACGAACCAGTTGCGGTCAGTTCGGAAGTATTGTCTCTGGTACAATGGCGTCGTGATGCAAGCGAGAAGAACCATGGCGACGATTGCCGCGTAAATGAAAGCGGAAAAGCAGTACCAAACTGGCTTATAAGGATCAACACCCTCAACTCGCTGATGACCACGGCCTGGGCCGACGATCCTTTGGCAGATCTTTCGAACAGGATGAGCCGGCTCGAAGAGGAAAAGTGACTTGTTGTAAGTAGGATGCTTGATCAAATAATCCCGCTGATCCCGTTTCCGTTGCTCTGCCGCAGTGACAACTTCTTGAGCCATTGTTCGTGGGTCGAGCTCTTCATAAGCACGAGAGAACTTCAGCTTCGAATAGAAAGGGTTCGGTTCCCGGCGCATAACGAGCGTGCTGGCTTTTGTCCACAGCATTGAGATCCAGCCCGGCTGGATGGTATCTTGCGCGGCCCCTTCTGGCATTGTGCTTACTCTCCGTGGGCCCTTTGGTCTATCATGTTCCGCCTGGGAAGCTTCCTCGTCCAGGAACTCAGTCACCACGGCATCCTTCAGCAGCAATGCCATCGCCGCAGGGCCTGAGTCAAGTGGATCTTTATAACGGGCTGAGTCTCGCCCCAGTCGAAGAATCTTTGAGAGCGCAAGGTTTCCCTGGGGAGCTCCATGAACTTGCTTCTGCTCTAAGAAGGTACGGACCTGGTGCATTCGTTTTTCGTCTTCTGACACATCAAAGCTTTCCTGGATGACAGCAATGAACATGTTTAGAATGATAAAGTTGGCAACGATAAACCAAAGAACGAGGAACGCGGCCGAGATCCAGGCTGTGTTGAAATGAGTAGTGGATGAGGTTGCATTGTAGAGAATGGTGGTCCAGTTCTCACTTGAAAGAATCTGGTACATTCCCAGGAACGAGTTGTATATGTTCGAAAACTGAATCATGATGGGGTTTCCGCCTGGATCTTCCTCTGGAATTTGACTTCGGAAGAGCTGTGTCGCAAAGATGGCAGACAGGAATGTCATCAAGAAGAGGAAGAAGATCAGGTTGAGAAGACCCACGGTATTACCGAACACGACCACGATCAACTTTCTGGTCACAGAGAAAGCTAGGACAACTCGATAGACTCGGAGAATCTGGAAGAGCGTAAGGACTGTGTATGGGCGGCCTGAGTTTCTGATGGGTGGCAGTTGAATCACACAGGTGATGATCACGAGAAACAGATCTACCAAATTACGTTGTCGTCGGTGGAAGGTTCGCCAATCCGATGCGAATCGCAAGATGATCTCGACGAGGAATATCAGGGTCATGACAAGCTCAGTGGTATCGATGAACTTGGCCCGAGAAGCGGACATTGAGGAGCTTCTCAGTGCTTGCACTATAAGGTCGAAAATAATCAGGCAGATCCAGATCCAGTTGGTACGATCATAGAGGCGTTTGAGCGGACTAGGCCCTCGAGCCATCGTCTCGTCCTCATCGACATTGTCGATTTGCTGAACAGCAAAAGCACTGCGCTTGCTTTCTTCTCGGATGACTTGGAATGAATGCGTGATCACCGCAACTAGCAGATTCACAAGCCACAAACTCAGGATGACGAAGCCACAGGCAAAGAACAAAGCAGCTGCGAGATAATCGCTATCGGTGGTGTAGTATAGCAGGTCGGTGAAAGTGTTGGAGCTCATGATGACAAAAACAAGCTCCAAGGAGTGCACAATGTTATCAAAACTCATGGTTCCATTGTATGGATTAACACCTTCCACACAGACGGAGCCTTGGGGACAGATGTATCCTTTCGGGCTAAATCCGGAGTCATTCCCGTAGGGGTCAAGCCACGGCCTCTTCTCTCCGGTCGTGCCATCCAGATACCCTCCACAGAACTGCAGAGTGTCCCATGCGTCATTCAAGGAGTAATTGCTCCCCCCTTCGGGGTCAATCCACTCACAAGTCCTCCTGAAGCTAGACTTGAAGCTCTGGATCCCAATGATGGCAAACAGAAGCCAGAAGAACCCGATGAGGAAAGCAACATGAACTAGCAGAGGTGCCGCTCGTTTGAGACTTCGAAGGATTACCTGAGGGAGCTAGTCAGTATCTCAGGAATATGAGTTCTGCAACCACAAGTACCTACCGAAGTGCCGTTTGTCATAGCCAAAAGACGCAAAATGCGAAGACAGCTCAGCATGCGAAAAATGTACAATTGGTGCGTCTTCTCGGCACCGGACCATGTAAGTACAAAGGATACCCAAAAGGCAACCACGGCGACAAAATCCAAGCGGTTAAAAGAGTGTCGGAGAAAAGCACGATGGGCAAGCCTGACACGACGCTTGTGCAAAGGATCATCATAGACTTCGGTATCCAGCGCGTTCATCCCAGTGAACGTACGCAGAATGGAGGCCTGTGGCTCGGCCTGCAGTACTGATGATTTCTTGGTCGTCATCTGCCTGTGTGGTGTAATCAGGTTCCTGCCCTTCTCTGCAATGGCTTTCCTGACGCCGAGGCTGCGGTTCAGTGTGCTGTACTCGACGGGATTGAAGATGAATCCAGATACCAGGATCTTGGAGCCGATCTCCAGGGTATAAATGATAAATATGACAAGGAAAACATAATCGAGGTTGTTGTCGCCCCATGCCAACGGTCTTGCGTAGCTAGCTAGGGAGTCTTCCACCGTCAATAAGATGGTTTGGATGACAATGACGATGAGAATAAAAGGCTCCGTGTACGAGTTCACCAATATATCACATAGCCACAGGCGCAGTGGATTGTTTGGTCCCAAAAGGCCGAGCGACCTGCCTTTGAACGGGTTATTTCGCTGTTTCCACATCTTGCTTGCGCGCTTTTCGCGAGCGGCTTCGGCCTGTTGGTTGGAGATCTCATCATAGTCGACCATCGCAGGCAAAACCGGGGGCCCATCCATCCGCGCATTCTTATTGAGTTCTTCTCTCTCAATCGTCTGTTGCACGACTTCCGGTTCGTTACTCAGGTTAACCACACGCTGTGACATGGATTTGACCATGGAGCTGGCACGCTGCAGCGCCCCTCCCGAGGCTGACGGAGACAAAGAGCGCGAGCGATCCCGCGCACTGCTGCCGCGACGGCTTCCTAGTCCCTCTTCTAGATGGGGGAGATCATCGCCGAGTCGTGAACCACTTAAATGTGAAGAGTGGCCCCCAGTGTCTGTACTCCGTCTCTCTGTGCCGGCCGCGCCGCTCATCGGTTGGAGGTATCGAGGATCGGTCAGGCCTACCCTGTCTTCGTCCGCGGGGGCATTGTAGCCACCGTGCGGGTCGTGGGGATCGTACGGATCGAGGGGGATGACATCGAGGTCGGAGGCAGCATCGTCGAAGCCATGAGACGTGGAAGGCCCGCTGATGGACGCCCTCGACTGCGGTGCATCGAAGCTGAGGCCCACTGATGACATCGCTTGCGCGAACCCTCCAAGGTCGTCAATCGGCGAGGTCACGTCGGTGAAGCCAGCCCGCGGCTGTTGGAATGGATTCCTACTCGGTCCAGCCGAATCGACGGGGGAATCCTCTGCGACACTCTCATAGTCCTTCCGCGACCCCCTTCTGACTAGCGATGGTCGTGAAAAGAGACTGGTCCCCGCGCGAGCTCTGCCACGCTCGTGGGCCTCTCCTGACTTGGAGAGGTCCTGTAATGGAATCTGATTTGGCGGAACGTTCTCATCATTGTCCCGGCTCGGGCTATCTGGCGCCATCGTCATTAGATATTATCGAATCGCAGACATCGCAGGCTGGACGGGGTAGATCGGACACGGTCGCAACACGCGGGCGGAACACGAAGGAAAGATATAGCAGAAATGAACAATGGACAAGAAAAAGAAAAGTCCCTCCCTGGGTTGTGTTACTGGGAGAAGCAAACGTCTCCGATCGCAACTGCACTTTGGCACTAACGGCATGTGCTGCGGGAATGTTTCTAGCGGAACTTCACTGTCCGAGGAACGTCTACTGTACGGTTTCTGTCTTTACCATCGGTCTCTTCCAGTTTCGCTACCTTTTACTCATTTTGCTGTTTTTCCTACTCGATTTCTGGGTGTCTACTGTAGTGGACTCTACGTGCAAGGGATCTTACGGAGGGCCACAGGGCTGACGAATGTCCAAAACAGTGTTGCCTGAGTGGACCCCCAAGCATTTCCAAAAATAGCGTCAACAAATTGTTCCTAGTTGTCCATCTGAGTATCATTGTCCGTAACATGCTGCCGAACACCATCCAGGAACGCATCTACCGCATCGCCACCACCAAGGGGGACTCCACCTCTCCGCATAAATCCACCATTAGCGACCGGAATCTGCAAGGCTTCACTAATACTGGGAAGCCCGCCGTCCCGGAGAGCCACTGTGAGACTAGCCAAGCTTTGCATGAACTGGGGGGAACGCAGCACTTTTCGGAGAATATCCTTTTTCTGTGATAGGTCGAGGGAGAGGAGCGCAGCTTCGGCAAGTTCGGGGTCTGTGTCAGCTTCGGAGGCCTCGGCATTGCCCTGGGCCAGCAGTAGCAGCGCGGGTGGGAGGAAGCTCAAAAGATGATCGGCTGTGGGGGAATCCGCAGAATCAATAAATTGCAATGTGGTCGCAGGGGTAAGTAGGTCTTGGAGTGTCGTAGATGGTCGTTCAGGATCTTGGGATTGGCTCTGGCGTTGGCCGCCACCCAGGGACTTCAAAAAGTCCTGGACAACCGACGCGGGGTCTTCGCCCGAATTGGCTCTGCAAGGACACATCAATTAGCTTGGAGGGATCATGTCAAGGCTCCCAGAGGTGATGTACCTACGCTCGTCCACCGTCGGCACCGCCCTCTCGGGATTCCTGTCCTTCCTCGCGGACATCACCACCTGTAGCGTCCGGGCCAGCACCACCGCTGCCGGTACTGTGGTGACGGGTTGCGTCGTGGCCTGTGCCTTCCACGTCTTCCATGGTCTCGTCGTCATCGCCGCCGGATGACCGACGGGGCAAGTTGGCAATCTCGTGCTCAACATCGACTTCCTCGCCCTGCAACAAGACATCCACGATTTCTCCGAGCTTCAAGTCGCGGGGGCTGAACCAGCTGAGATCGCCGTTCTCGTGTTGGGTGTGAGATTGCATCCAGAAGAGGTATCGTTGGGAGCTAGATGAGAACTTCAAGACAAAGACACGGCCATTCGTGGCGTTCTTGCCACCAGGCTTGTAAGGAGTAAAGCTTCCATCAGAAGGAATCATCACTAAGTCGAGCTCGGCATCCTCGAAAGAGGTGCCGCGCGAGCGCCAGCAAAAGTGGACGAGATCATCTTCGGAATAGAGGTAGACATAGCCGGGTTCGGGCTTGGGTTTCACGGAGGAAGTAGAGGTCTGAATCATCGGGGTTAGCTGCATCTGCACAAGCTTCTTCGCTGAATCATGGATCCGATCATCTGTCGATCAGAATAGCTTCGAACAGTAAAGCTCACTTACATCGAGGTCACAGATACCCGCTTTGAAGGTGATGATGGGATCTATCGACATGCTGGAGATCTGTGTCTAGCAAAAGATTTGGAGGTTCGAAGATTGAGTATGAATGGAATTCGCCCGCTCCAGCGTAATGGGGATGAAAGGTGGGGAGGATGTGGGAGATGGACTATGCAGAAACAGTGAGAAGCTGCGAGCGGTATACGTCAGTTGTTTGGACCGAGCAGTTCTGCAAAAGTGGTCGGAAGGTCGACCGTAGATTGTGGCCCTACAGATAAGGCCACAACCAGAATCGGACACCGCCACTGAACCTGGGTTCTGCCGGACTTGGGCGAGGTGCAATCTGACCGCTGACCGATCGGGTGACTCGTCACGTGGGGCCCACCGAGCCGAATAGAGTTCACGTGATCCTTCGGTTAAACACGTGATAGGGCTTCGTCCGCACAACCCTGGAGGAATTCCCGCACTGGCTCCGGCTCCGCTAAGCAGACAAGTCCTCACCCAAATCTCCAACAACCACCCGACAACCATTTATCCTTCGCCAAAAGCCATCATGTCGGACGGCCAGACGAAGCAGTTCGGGAAGAGCCAGAGGGTCGTGCCCGCCGACAAGGCCCAGAAGTGGTACCCCGTGGATGACCAGTCGCAGCCCAAGAAAGTCAGTACACCTTGAACAATCGCAACGAACAAGAGGAGGACATCGACTGGCACCTATCTACCCGGATGATAGCAACGATTACACCGGTATCTGAAATCAAGCGCCTACGTGACCTACGGGCGGCAGACACCGGTGTCAATCGGCGACACATTTATCGCAACGTTATCTTGTGCGATTTCGAAGATCATCCGGGGAGATCGGGCCATGGCTATGGAACGTCTTGGGCATCATCGATTGGAAACATTGGGATTTGGGAACATTCGAGACTGACTGTTTTGTGCGTTTACAGGTCCGCAAGACTCTGCGTCCCGCCAAGGTCCGCGAGACCCTCGTTCCCGGCACCATCCTGATCCTCCTCGCTGGCCGTTTCCGCGGCAAGCGTGTCATTCTCCTCAAGAACCTCGACCAGGGTGTTCTCCTTGTTACCGGTCCTTTCAAGATCAACGGTGTCCCTCTCCGTCGCGTGAACTCCCGCTACGTGATCGCCACCTCCAAGCGTGTCGACATCTCCGGTGTTGACGCCAAGACCGTTGAGAAGACCGCCGCCCCCGGCTACTTCACCAAGGACAAGAAGGCCGAGAAGAAGACCGAGGAGGCTTTCTTCAAGCAGGGCGAGAAGGCCGAGGTACGTTTCGGGTCTTGAGATGCATCTACCAAGATTCATTACATGCTAACCACAATGCGTTTTACAGAAGAAGGTTGTTGCCAGCGCTCGCGCCAGCGACCAGAAGGCCATCGACCAGTCCATCCTTGCCGCTATCAAGAAGGAGGACTTCCTCGGCTCCTACCTCGCCACCACCTTCAGCCTCCGCAACGGCGACAAGCCCCACGAGATGAAGTGGTAAATGTGTGGTAGCCGCGGGTTCGGTAGATAGTTGGGGAGGACCATATCCAACGAGGGGCGGCTCGATTGCAAATCGGCATCCTTTCGCGACATTCGGGGGGCCGGTTTCATGAACCATGTCATGTAATTCCTACGGGATCCGTCAAAACACGTTTTTCACTTTCTTATGATCTGCGGTTGATTCGGTCATCCGGTTGTTGTTCTCGTGCTTCAAGAAACCAGTTCCCTTTGCGCAAGGCCGATCTTGCATGAAGCCGCGCTATGAAGAAATACTTCAAGCCAAAAAAAAAAGATTAAAAAATCACCTCGTTCCAGCAGGCGGGCTGGATTCTCTTTTATGTTTAGTATGACTCCCCTTTTCCAGGTTCAAACGGCAATCCAAAATTGGGCAATTACTTTGGTTCTTCTGTAATCACTGTTCACACACTCCGGAGTACATGTAATAAGGTTATATGCTGGACTTGTCTTAGACCGAGTGGGTATCTGGATTGTGTGGAACTCATCTGTATACCGCAGATCTCGAGATCTACTTAGTACATAGTTACTTGCCCAGGTACCTAGGTGGTTTTTGCCTTCTAATGTCATTTCCAACCTTGGTATTTTGATGTGTGGGGGACCTAGGTACTAGGTAGTACTTTGCGGCATCATGGATGCTTCTCGTCGAGCATCGGTGCCTTTATTGAGTATATATTGCTGTGGACAAACCTAGGCACTGCTGATTGATAATGTCATACTCCGTACGGAGTACTCCAGAGGCTCCAGGTGATCTTTAATTTGTATCTCATCTTGTCCTAAAATGGTCTAGTGTGGCTCAGTTTCACACAAAAGCAGAACACCATCTACGTACCTAGGTAGGTAGTATCTAAACACAAACAAAAACCCGCTGGCTCGGCCTTGAAAGCACTGGGCATATAGGATATCAAGGCTGGTTCCCATGTATCCTACGTGTTAACTAGGCAGTCTGGGCACATTTTCCAACCTTGAAACCTTCAAGGTTGGACGGAAACTGCATATGAATATATATACTTCGTTCAAGGTTGTACTATAACTCAACGTGAAATATTAACCTTGGAAGATATCCATGGATACTCCGTAACAAAACATGTTTTCTTTAGGTAGAACCGAGAACAAAAAGACATACATATGAGAGTGCTTTCAAAATCGAACAATTAACAATGCTATTTTTTAAAATTCAAAATAAAAAGCGATTATTGGTGAAACCACCCCAGGGCTGTTTTTCCAACCCAATCCCGACGGAAGATATCCATGGATATCTAGGGAAAACCCCAATAATGTTGGGGACATTGATATATATCAAGCCTACTAGGTACCCCACTCGCAGCGCGCTCAGGAAAGATCGTGGAAGGTTGATGCATTTAATCCTGCTTCTCCTTCTCCTCATCCCCTTTACCCCGATTCCAGGGTTTAGCCCTCCAAAGGCCAAAGGAGCCCGTAAATAGTCAGCGCCGACCACGAACTGACTGTGCTTGAACTTTCGATGGCCTCACATTCGCATTACTCTTCTTTTGAGCAGCTTCATATGCTCGCTTGGCCCTTGCCTCACGCTCCCGCTCTTCAGCATCATCCGTCGCATCATCAATAAGCTCAGCGTCTCCGACGGTTGTCTTGAAAATCCAATCCATGATGCCCCAAGGACCGAAGTTACCCTCGCCATATGTAAGCAAATGCATGTCCATGCGACGTGCAATGCCAACCAGGAAGAAGTTGGTTGGCATGACGGTGTATCCAGAGTAGGCGAAGGTCTCTTCAACAGAGATAATCACCAGATAAATCAGATAGGTGAGCATGTGGAAGCGGAACATCACGGCCGGCAAATAGGTTGGGATGAAGTTCGACAACAGATAAGTGAGTGGGTGATCATAGTGCGCGGACAATGGGAAGGGAGCATGAAGCTGGTGGTACCAGAAGTGGTGGAACTTGGTCAAGATGGAATTGCTCTCATGAAGAGCATAACGGTGAATCCCGTACGTAAGAGCCTATTCGATGACAGAAGGTTAGCATGTTAGTCAAATGAATCAGAAGGGAAGTATGGAGATAGGGAAATTGTCAGTCTTACCTCGCGAGCCAGCAAGCCTAGGATCAAATCTCGGACCATCTCATATGGCATCGGAAGCTTAAGAGCCACCTTCACCGTGCTGCGCATCTTGAATGCCTTCACGCAAAGAGCCTCGATTACCCACTGGAGCATGATGGACATGAACAGGTTGAGCAGCGACCAACCAGCGATCTTGAGCTCACGCACTCGGATATTGCGTCTTCGTTTACCACCGGGCAAACCAGTCGCGCCTTGCGCCTTGATGACCACTGAGGCTGAAGGGGTCAGAATGTCGAATAGGAACATGATGATAGACGGCAATGCATAGAATATAAGTCTCACAGCGATCGTTCCAAACATCTCGACCCTGAGAGGGGTGTGTGATAACACCAGTGTGGACCATGTCATGTAAAAGAACAAGAAGTTCAGGGTAGTGCTGTAGGATGAGAGCACTGGAATCAGGAAGACCGAGAGCATCGGAATGCAGAATAAGGCGTCCATTTTGCTTGTAATCAATGATTAGACTTTTGTTGTGTTGTAAATTCGAGTTGAATATATTGTGTGATATTTTGATGGTTCTTAAAGAGGGGAGCAACCTGAGTTATATGCACCAGCAGATTCGGTTGGTCAAAGACGAGACATGATCAAAGCCGAATAAAAATAGGCAAGGAAAAAAAAGGCAGTCGAGGACAATGCAAAGAATCAAAGAGACAAAGAAGGTAAAGAAGGTAAAGAAGACTCGAGACTAAGAAAAACATCGCATGGAAATTGGGGTGGCAGGATAACGATAAGCCTATCACCCGCCTACGTCACCTACAATGTGGAGTCTATCAACTGCCCTGAACACTTTGAACACTCTGAAAGAGGTGCAATTCCTTTATTTAAGAATAAACGCAAACTTCAAACCCGAGTCAGGTAATCTTAGGAACAGTCGGACGTGAGGGGTATACTAATACAACGGGCCATGCCAAGAGGATCTCAAAACACCTGTCTATGATCGCGGGGAATTTTCGGGAAGCCCGTTCTTCTTTCCCCACGCATATGCCTTGCCACGAAGATCCGGAATAACCTGCAGGAACACGAGATTGCTGAGCCAGCTGAGCAGGGTGTCACCGATGATGCTGTTTCGGGGGCTGGGCCCAAGCGCAGTACCCTTCATGAACGCGCCGATAAGGTTGGTGGTGACAAGATACTCGCCCCGTTCCAGGGCAGCGATAGAGATCTTTGCGACCTCCTCGGGGGTCTGAGGCTTGTCAGCCTCCTCCAGCTTCTTGGTCAAGTCAGGCTTGATCTTCTGCTCGTTGTCAAAGCCGGGGCTGGTGATTCCCATTGGGAAGATGTTGTGGATCTTGACATCGGCAGCCGGGGCCTTGCTGTGGTGTCGCTGAGAGAATGCTCCGTTGTACATCTCGATTTCTTGGCTGAGAGTATCGGACAGCGAGCGGATGGCTGCCTTGGCAGACGAGTATGGCGAGTAGCCAGCGACGGGGACGAATGCAAGTGTGGAGCAGGTGAAGATGAGATGTCTCCGAGAGAACTTCATCTGGCCGCTGGGTTCAACAGGGGCGAGCCAGTTTCGAAGAGTGGAATGGGCCGTGTTGGCGGCAGTCCAGTAGATGGTGTCCATCTGCTGCTTGTGCTCTTTGATGGGCACATCGATGAAGAAGCCTGGGCGGGAGAAGCCTGCGCAGCACCAGACGATGTCAGGAGCGGTTCCAGCGTTCCAAGTCGTGGCTTCCGAGATGACTCGATCACACTCATTGGGATCTGTGAGATCGGCGCTGATATAGTGGAATCTCTGCTTGTGAGAGTTTGCCGCATTGGCCTGGATGATGGGTGAGTACTTCGATCAGATGAAAAGATCCAAATGCCTCACCTTCATTTCATCAACCGCAGCCTGAAGCTTTGTAACCGTGCGTGCAACCACGATCACATTTGCACCTTTCGCAGCTAGTTGAGTTGCGACGGCTTTGCCCATGCCATCAGAGCCACCAGTGAGGACAACCGTCTGCACACAGCCATTAGAACGTGTCAATAAGGGGGCACTCCTTTCCTACCTGGCCTTCAACGGCGAACTCGTTTCGAGATCCGAAACCGAACATCTTAGCGATAGAGTAAGCGATAATAGTGCCAAAGAGTGTATAGAGTCCAAGAATAGGCAGTGGTGTTTGATAAAATGTAGGGTGCAGAGAGAGTGAATGAGGAAGATTCCAACGGAGGAGCAGCTCGCGAAGTTCCATCATGTACCTGACCTCAGAAGTGGCAGCTGCGTCCTCGAGCTTTGGAAGGCACCAGGTCGGGGAGGAACGAGTAACACGCGAATACCGCGAATACCGTGGACCGTTCTGGTTTGGACCCTTTTGAGTGCAGTGTGGTAAAGTTACCAGTATTGGACATACGATACATGCAAACAAAGCAAAACCTCCAACTCGGGACTAGTGCCACATAGGCGGTGAGGGCTCAAAAAATAATTTTATCACAGGCAGTTTATCTCCGGTCTGGGAAAGTTGATTCACTGTCGCCGATAATACATCACCACAATGGGTAGCAAAAAGAGAAAGGCCGGCCGTCCGGCGCAACAGAAATCAGCACCGGAGCCCTCAAAGTTCGACATCGAAGAGCGATTCGACGACTCCGAAGACGAATTCCAGACCGGCCGCGATCAGGTTCTACTCGATGAGCGCCCAGAGACCAAGAGACGGCGCAGAGTTGCTGAGGAAGGTTAGTTATACCGAGTGATGTACTTGCACGGTATCAAGTCTGACTGATTTATGCAGAGGAACTGATCCAGCCATCCGATGAGGAAATTCTTGGCTATGAATCCGTCGACGAAGATGATGACCTCGAGGACGAAGAGGAATATGACGACGCAGATGATATGGACCAGACGAAAAAAGCGGACGACTCAGAAGAGGAAGACGAAGGCATTGCCGCTTGGGGCTCCTCCAAAAAAGATCTCTACAATGCGGACCAGATCGACACCGAGGCCGATGCATTGGAGGAAGAGCAGGAGGCCAAGCGATTGCAAATGAAGCAGTTGGAGGCTATGAACGAGGCCGACTATGGGTTCGACGAGTCTGAGTGGGCGGACGCTGGGAAGGATGCCGAAGACGAAGACGCTGGCGTGGTCACTGAAGTGCTCCCGCAAGTGGAGATCACCGAGGATATGAGCACTGACGAGAAGCTGAAGATCCTCAAGTCAAGATACCCCGAGTTCGAACCGCTGTCGAAGGATTTCGTTGATCTTCAGAGCGTATACAAGGAGCTTGAGGAAGCTGCTTCCAATGCTCCCGCGGAAGATGATTCTGCAGACGAGCCACAACCATCTTCAGTCCCTGTGATCAAATTCCGCGCGCTCTCTGCCTACCTGGGTGCCATCAGCATGTACTTCATGCTTCTCTCCTCCCCTTCCCCCGACGCAACCAGTGAGCATGTCCCGATGACCCCCGCTGAGCTCCGTCAACACGCAGTCATGGGATCACTCGTGAAATTCCGCAAACTGTGGAACACGGTCAAGGACCTCCAGGAGGAGGTCTCGGATGACGAGTCAGACGACGAGTCTGTCATGCAAGAGATCACAAGCCAGCCAACCAAGGCCCAGAAGCAGTCGAAGACAGAGAAGCCCAAGCAGAGGAAATTGACCAAGGCCGAAGCCAAGGCAGCAGCAGCACAAGCGGAGGCTGAAGAGCTCCGCGCCGAGCGCATTCGTCAAACAGAAGCCGGTCTCGCCGACCTCGACGATCTGGCCACCGAGCCCTCCCGGAAGCGCAAGACTCAAAAGACCAAGAAGGTCGCCAAGGACGACGATTCTGACTTCGGTGACGAAGACGCTCTCACAGCCCACGAGGCAGCAGAGAAGGCCAAGCAGAAGCGCTCCCTCCGCTTCTACACCTCCCAGATCGCCCAGAAGTCCAACAAGCGTAACGCAGCAGGCCGGGATGCAGGCGGTGATGCCGATCTTCCATACCGCGAGCGTCTCCGCGATCGCCAGGCTCGTCTCAACGCCGAGGCCGAGAAGCGCGGTAAGAAGGCACTCAACCCCGACCAGCAGCTCGGCGGTGACAGTGACGACGAGGATCATCGTGTTGCCAAGGAGCTCCGCCGTGGCGAGGGCGCCAAGGATGACGACGACGAATACTACGATATGGTGGCGTCGCGCTCCAAGAAGCGCAAGGACGACAAGCAGGCTCGCTCAGACGCATATGCCGAGGCTGAGCGTCTCGGTGGACAGGTCTATGAGCAGGAAGAGGTCGGCCCTGATGGAAAGCGTGCTATCACATACCAGATCCAGAAGAATAAGGGTCTACACGCGAAGCGCAGCAAGGATTCGCGCAACCCGCGTGTCAAGAAGAGAAAGAAGTATGAGGAGAAGAAGAAGAAGCTTGGTAGTACGAAGCAGATCTACAAGGGTGGTGAAGGCCGTGGTGGATACGGTGGTGAGCTTACGGGTATCAAAAAGAACCTGGTCAAGAGTGTCAAGCTGTGAATATCTGTTCGATCATAAACTCATGTTTTCATGGCGTTCACTGCGGGCAGTTCGAGGCATTCGTGTATATAACCCCGATGTTCATCTTTTGTTTAAATCCAAGTTTCAAAAAAGGATCTTTTTTATTTCGAATCATTCCAAGGACGATATTTGCACGAGTTACACATGACTATCCAAAGGCTGATTGGGACGAACTAATCATATTTTAGCTCCTAGTCAATACGAGAAGGGCTGAAGAGTTAAACAGCAATTTGATGCTGGTAAGTGTATAGATCGACAATGTAGCCTCCAGGGCTCGGCCGACTGATGACATGCAGCGTGATTCATACGATACTGGCTGTGATACCTCATACCTGGCTCCTATTGCACTTAGCTTCATTGTCCTGTTTTCTGGAACAAGCCCGCGAAGGCTATCGTAGCAGTTGCGCCAGAGCCACTTTCTGAGAAATCAATCTCGAGGAAGCTTCTCGCAAGAAGGTCCTATTATAAAGCAGAGTGAGTCACTTTCTTGACGTAGGGATGTTATTCACGATTACCGCATCTTCCAAGTCCCCCATTTCCTCAGGAGACAGAGCAGCACATGCTGCAACGAGATTCTCGCCTCGTGCCAACAGAGATGTGATCTCATTTGCGCGAGAAACAATGGCCGGGTCGATACCGTTAATTGCCGCGCATCTAGAGATTGTAAGACAATTGCAATGAGGCTGATGAACATCACCACAAGACCGAAGGGCTTACATAGTGCCGAAGCTCTTGTTGCTACGCCCAGGGCGGAAACTGTCTGGGTTGTGAGTACAGAGTTCAAGCCAGTCAGCACCAAGCGTTCTAGCACGTACTTGTACAGGTAAGTGACCTGATCTTCAGGTTGTTGCGTTTCCTCGGAAACTTGAACTTGCATGTGCCCAAGTTGAAGCTGTGGTCTCCGGGCGAGGAAACCGTTCTCGAATATTTCGTGGAAGTGCGTTGCTGCAATCACCTTCGCAGGATTCTCGTGGCTCAACAGATACTCGAATACGCCACAGGCAAGCCCAATGCCGTCTTAAAATGTCAGAACTTGGAGAAAGAGAGGCTACCATGGGGAAACAAACCACTGTCGTTGGTGCCCTTGCCAAACTCATCAATGAGAACCAGACTACGGTTCGTAACTTGTCGTAGGCAAAGAGATATCTGCTGCAGGTCGTTCATAAAAGTGCTCTGTATCTGAGCGCATGTCAGACCAAGACCCACATACTCGACTTGTGGTCTTCGATTACCTTAGAAACGCTTTCTTGTGTGTTGAGCTTGGTCAAGATCTTGTCTGTGATTCCCAGCTCCGCACTTTCTGCAGGGACAAAGCTGGGGACCAGATCAAAACTCTTGTACTTTCATATTTGGCGTTCTCAGGACTGGGAGTACATACCTTCCTATCTGGGCAAGAAAGACAATCAAAGCAACCTAGCAGTAAATTAGATGATGGTATCAATTTTGGTGGAGATAGTCAATCACCTGCTTGATGTAGGCACTTTTTCCCGAGTAGTTTGGACCGGTCAAAATCAGCATGCTAGGATCACAGTCCACAGAAGCAGCAGCATCATCGGTGCTGAGTGTATGACCGGCAACGAGGTGCGTATCATTTGGCACATACGATGGAACACTCATTTCTTGGAGGATGTGCCTAGTAATTATCAGCAAAACACTGACAACGCGGGTCGTAGTTTCGTACCGGCCACCTTTGATTTTGATAACGTTCTGATCAACCATCCGTGGTCTGACCAATTTGTAGAAGCTTGCCGCTTGTGCAAGGGCTAAGAGACTGTTTTGCTCAGGCTGGTAAGTCGTGGCCTATACATACTATTCCTTCACGACTTGCCTGTCAATCTCTCCACAAACATCCGAAGCATCTACAAGCACATCTTCGTAACGCTGGATCTTTTGGGCTAGGTCGTAGACGATCTCAATCTCTTTCTCTGTAGATTGTAAAATGTCAGTCGGCCATGATAATAGATGCCGAAATGACTCACCGCAAATGAGACTGTAGATGTCACCCAGTTTCTCGTCCATCTCTCTCATATGAAAGTCTTTGAAGTAAGCACGATTCTCTGTGAGAAACATCATTTCCCACTCATTGTTTGAGCCTGCATATGCCGCAATTCCATGATCGTTGAGTGGAATTGCGATGTTGAACCCCAGCTGAGGGAAGTAAATGACGTTGACATCGACATTCAAGTCGTTCGGAATAGTCGCGGCAATATCGAGAGCAACATGCTTGAGAAGACTGTTCAGGCCATCGTATCTGTCTTTGGTTTGATCAAGATCTCTGTCAATTCCTTGCTTGACAACGGTTCTTCCTTGCTCTTCGGAGTTGTCGATATCAACCTGTCCATATCAGATCTGTTATTAGCATACAGGTAGAGAGCTCACAAGTTCCTGGATCATGCGACCAATTCGATAAAGTTGGGCTGCTTCGAGTGCTCGTAGTGCCTGAAGGTAGTAGTCAAGTCAGTACAGCCTTCGAGCCTGTAAAGCTTGAGCCTGACCTTTGTCCGAAGATCCAGAATTTGGGCTCCCGAAATCTCTTGCAATGCGTCTTGGATATCAATACCGTAGAATGCAAACTGGACAAAAAGCGGTCATTATCATCACAACTGTTCTTTGTGCGTGTGACAATGAGATACATACAGCAAGAAGACTAGCCCAAACTGTAGTTTTGAACCCTGTGATCTTACCACTGCCAGTACTTATTCCTTTTCGTAGATTAACCATGACGGGCCTCAGATTCTTGATATGCTTCAGAGCTTTCGTGATCTTTTCCAAGGCAGAAAGATTGTCCGGCCTTGAAAAGACTGTAATGAAATCATGTCGTCCTCGAATAGTGACTAGATCCACACTCGGACGAAAGAAGCTTTGCTTGAGCTTGGCCCGACCTTGAGTCGTGTAAGCAAAGTGCTGGAAGAGGCCGTAGACAGAAAGACCCTCTTTACCCGAAGCCGATTTGTTGCCTGGGCCTTGGTTGAACATGTTCGGGTGAGACTCTGACTGGATGATTTGAAGGGAAGCAAATGTGTTACTGTTGATCCACATAGTATCATGCAGATTGAACATCTGCAGCGCTCGAACTCGATACTCGCTTGCTTCTCCCAAAGCAGTCGATGCTACGGCTCTTCTCCGCTGCAGATATGTGAGTATGGCGCCTACGCAACCGATAGTCACAGGGTTTTCCATGTCGACAGAGCTGGAAATATGCAACAGTCGTCCTTCTCTGAGTGTGAATCCCATCTCTTCGGAATCCACTTCTTCAGGTCCGGCAAGGCCATTTTGCGGGACGAAGAATCGAATGCGGTCTTCATGTGTCGATGAGATATCAAGTGCAAGGATCTTGCTCTCGGCATTCGAATGGCTGAACTCTGCCGTTGGACGAATGTCAATTTGGTAAGGAAGATATGTCGAAGAAACTACATGTCGACGTCCACTGTTAGTATGGCTTGAGATCAAAAGACGAATTCTGTCAGAAAGATCACTGCCAATTACCATCTTCTTGTGCGAGGTTCTGACTCGGGCTTTGGGGGTCAAGATCGACTCGAGGTGGTGCCAACACCACTGTAGGCTTTATCTGGGCAAGCACTGAAGACCGATTAGCCTCAGGAGGTGTCGCGGAATAGCTTGACTGACATGCATCCACCGTCTCCATTCCACCCAATCGAGTATCACCGAGAAGGTACAATTTCTCCTCTTCGGCTGAATAGTAGGCACAGCCAACAGTATTGTGTTCCTTGGTGTCAATAGCTGCGATGACATGATCGTCGAAGTCATCAACTCTCGTGGGCTCGATCTCTGCCCTGATCTCTGATGTGAAAGGAGTTCGCAGTTGGCTTGCTAATGAGACTCTTGGGGTTTGAGGAGGGCCACTCGAAATGCTAGGTGCTCGACCTGATGATGTCCCAAGGCCGGGTCGTCCCAATGTATGCGGCGTGATTGGGGATCGAGAGGTTGGTGCTCTCTTTCTTTTGAATGAAGGCATTCTTCTGGAGCTCATAGAACTCACTTGGGGGATTGTTTTCGCAAAAGGCTAAGATGAGAAAGGATACAAAGAGTGGTGGGCAGCAAGCACGCGAGTCATCTCTCGGTTCCGGTCTACGGGTTCCCACCTGGGCTGGGTTCCCTCCCAGGGCCTCGGGGCTCCCATTTAGTTTTCATATATAAGCCACAACATCTTGGAAGGTTCCAAGGTTCAAGCTGATTGTTACAAGGATTTACCTTCAGAGATGGAATCCCTCTGGCCCAAAGTTATCCGGTAGATATAAGAATGCATTACTATACAGTAGATAAAGGCGAGATAATGTACAAATTGGAGTATGAGCGAAGGATGAATGAAGACGCAGGTCAAAAAGAGATCAAAAAAGTTGCACCATACCTGCTACCATCAAAACGCCAGATGTCATATTTTCGTTACTCTTGGGAGGTCACGACCAACCCAGTCTTAGTTTCGTCAAGGGAAACCCGGGCAGTCTGACCAGACACGACTTGGCCACGAATGATCTTGTCAGCCAAGCGGTTTCCAATCTCCTTGGCGATAAGACGGTTCAAAGGTCGAGCACCGAATCTTGGGTCATAACCCTTCTCGCACAGCCAGTCTTTGATTTCATCGTCGACCTGCAGAGTCATGCGGCGGTCGTCTAGTCGAGCCTGTAGCTCTTTGATTCGGATATCGACGATGTCCCGCAAGGCATCCTTTGACAGACGCTTGAAGATGATGAACTCATCGATTCGGTTCATGAACTCAGGGGGGTATGCACCCTGGACCACATCCATGACTGCTGATTTGATCTTCGGGGAGAGTTCAGAGTCATCGGAGTCCTTGATTGAATATAAGGGGTCGGCACCAACAAGGATATCGGCACCAAGATTCGAAGTCAGGACAATCAAGGTGTTTCGGAAGTCCACTTTGTGGCCTTGGGAGTCAGTCAGGAAACCCTCGTCAAGAACCTGCAGTAGCAACGCGGAGATATCCCGGTGTGCCTTCTCAAATTCATCAAACAAGAGGACAGCATAAGGCTTGCGTCTGACGGCTTCGGTAAGCTGACCGGCGTCGTCATATCCAACGTATCCAGCAGGCGAGCCAATCAAACGGCTAATCGTGTGCTTCTCTTGGAACTCGCTCATGTCGAAACGTACAACTGCACTTTCCGTGGAGAACAGGAACTCGGCCATCTTTTTGCAAAGCTCGGTCTTTCCAACACCGGTGGGGCCAAGGAACATGAAAGATGCCAGAGGGCGGTTCTCCCCACTGAGACCTGCTCTTTGCATACGGACGGCATTTGCAACGGCGGACAAGGCCTCATCCTGGCCACGGACAGATTTGCGGAGAGTGTCTTCCATGTGGATCAGCTTCTCTACGTCCCCGGCCATGAGCTTGTTGACTGGAATTCCTGTCGTTCGAGAGACGACATTCCCAATATCGTCCGCGGTGACTGAGTCATGAATCAATGTCTGGTTTTCGGGGTCTTGTTCGGCGCCTTCTTTGGGAAGTTTGGCCTCAAGCTCGGGAATGGTGGCATATCTCAGCTCTCCAGCCTTGGCAAAGTCTCCTTCGCGTTGGGCTTTTTCGAGTTCAAATCGGGCACGTTCCAAGTCTTCCTTGGTTCCTTTGATAGTGTCAATCTCGGCCTTCTCCTTTTCCCACGCCTTGGTGAGTTCCCCGGCTTCATCTTTCTTTGTTTTCAGGTCTTCTTGAAGTTTCTCCCGTCGCTCTCGGCTTGCGACGTCAGTCTCTTTGCGCAGAGATTCAAGCTCAATTTGAATGGTCGTGATGTCACGCTCCAACTCTCGGATCGAATCTGGCTTCGACTCTTGCTGCAAACGAAGAGCAGACGCAGCTTCGTCAACCAGATCAATGGCTTTGTCGGGCAGGAACCGATCGGTGATGTAACGATTACTGTAAGTTGCTGCGGCGACTAGCGCACCATCGGTGATTCTGACACCGTGATGCACTTCGTACTTGTTTTTGATGCCACGCAGGATGGATATAGTTGAGGGCACTGATGGCTCGCTTACGAGAATAGGTTGGAAACGTCGAGCAAGAGCCACGTCCTTTTCAATCAATCGGTACTCGTTGAGTGTGGTGGCACCACAGCATTGAAGCTCGCCGCGGGAAAGAGCAGGTTTGAGAAGATTGCTGGCATCAATGCTACCTTCGGCTTTGCCCAATCCAAGCAGGGTGTGAAGCTCATCAATGAACAGAATCACACCCCCTTGCGCGTCTTCCACTTCTTTAAGCACTTTCTTCAAGCGTTCCTCGAAGTCACCCCGGAACTTGGCACCCGCAATTAGTGAGCCAAGGTCCAAGGACACAACCCGTTTGTTTTTGATGCTTTCGGGGACATCCCCCTGTACAATGCGCTGGGCGAGACCTTCGAGGACTGCGGTCTTACCAGTTCCTGCGGCGCCAATCAAGACGGGGTTATTCTTAGTCCGACGAGAGAGGACCTGAATGGTGCGGTGGATTTCACCATCCCGCCCGATGACAGGATCCAGTTTCCCAGCCTTGGCCTTTTCTGTGAGGTCGACACCGTATTGTTCGAGAGCTGCTTTCTCAGGCTCCCCACTCATATCCATTCGGTGGGTACCACCTGGTGGATGTGGGCGGCCCTTGGCATAATTTCGGGTGGTGATTGGGGTGGGATTGAAGGTCGTACGTGCCAAAGAGGCGGCACGGGGGAGGGTGGTTGATCGCGGTATCAGAGCTATCGGGCGAGCCGATACTAGAGGTGTTCGTAGAAGTCTACCACGAGCATTGAGAGATAATCTCGTCGCCATTTTTGTCAATGTCAAGCGTGGAGAAAGTGTGTATCAGAATCCAGGTCGCGCGAGACGTGGGCACACGAGATCATATAGCTCGAGAGCCCGCACCCAAGGTCCATCGGGAGGCTTCTCGAATGCTCCACCTGGTGAACGCTGAGTGGCGCAGGCAGAGCTCCCGCGCAACGAAGGCCAAGCTCCGTCACCAGTCACCTGACCCGCGGAAAAACGTGGAAGACGACAGTAAGAGATTTTCCGCAATAAAAAAAATCCTCCCTTTTTAACCCCTCCTTCAACTTCTTCCCCCTTTTTCCCTTCTTCTTTTCCAGATACCACCACACTTCTCTTTCACAATGGGTTTCACCGACTTTGTCTCTGATGCCGGCCTGACTCGTAGGCGCCCCTGAGATTTTCTTTGGTTCGAATCAATTGGTGACTGACTGTGCCCCTCAGTGGCCAACAACTTCCTGTCCACTCGGTCTTACATCGTTGGGTACGTTTCTCTCCTTCGTTTCTTGCAATCGCTTTCGTCCTTTTCCCCCTGCTTTTATGATGAGAAAAATTGGTCCGTGTTTAGGAGGCGGATTAAGACCCCGCTGGATGACTACAACCAATCGCGAGCAATCGCACCTCTGATCTTGCTTTTCACCAATGAATTATTGTTGATGCTGCATTGTCGGACATTGTACTGACTGTGTCACAGCTCCTCCCCCAGCCAGGCCGATGTCGTGACCTTCAAGGCTTTCAGCGCCGCCCCCGACGCTGAGAAGCACCCCCACGCCGCTCGCTGGTACAAGCACATCGCCTCTTACGAGAGCGAATTCTCCACCCTCCCCGGTGACTCCAACACTGCTTTCACTGCCTACGGCCCCGAGAGCACCGAGCTTCCCTCCAACCCCAAGGACAAGCCCGAGGAGGACGAGGAGGACCTCTTCGGCTCTGACTCCGAGGAGGAGGACCCCGCCGTTGTTGCTGAGCGCGAGAAGAACCTTGCCGCTTACAAGGCCAAGAAGGCCGGCAAGGTCAAGCCCGCTGCCAAGTCTCTTGTCACCCTTGAGGTCAAGCCCTGGGGTATGTATCTGATAGCCTGGTCGCCCAGATCGTTCTTGCTAACAAACTTTCTTAGATGACGAGACTCCTCTCGAGACCCTCGAGGCCAACGTCCGCGCCATTGAGTGGGACGGTCTCGTCTGGGGTGCCTCCAAGTGGGTTCCCCTTGCTTTCGGTATTAAGAAGCTCCAGATCAACCTCGTCGTCGAGGACGAGAAGGTCTCCACCGATGAGCTCCAGGGCAAGATTGAGGAGGATGAGGACCACGTCCAGTCCACCGATATCGCTGCCATGCAGAAGCTGTAAATATGCAATGCCCATTTACGAAGCAGGAATGGAGTGATGGAAACGTGTGATGTCAAGGAATCCTTTACGAACCTAGTCAAAACTAGAGATTGGTCCAGAAGAGACCGGTCATTGATGAAAAAATATAAAAAATTCATGACCACCTGGTTTTCTTGTAAATCTTAACTGGTAAACATGCTCAAAAAATGTTGTCAACCCCTTGGCAGAGGCCAGGTGGGCTCATTGCTGCCCATTGAGGGGTAGAAGCCCTACATCGAAGTCTTGCATCACGTTCTCAGCCACTTCGTGCCTCTTCCATTCTGAGTGCCGACGCCCTGACAAACTTCCTCGCTGGTGAATTGCCTCTCCAAGTAAACATGAATTCACCGAATTCTCATTTGACAACCTTCATCCATAGCCATTCGGTAAAGTGGGATCTTGCTCGAGATCCATGGAGCTAAATCCCGAGCTAGCTCAAGCTATGGTAGTGCATCGCCATTCCCGACACTGTCCTTAAAAAGGAGTCAGTGTGATTTGGGAGTACTAGTACTAGCAGAAAAATAAGCACTAGCTATCACCGGGGTGACCTCACCAGTTTGAACCCTTGGAAGGTGTTCAGGTCGTTCAAGACGTGCAGCAGGCTACCCGGGTATCAAATCACAAGATGAAGGGCCCCTGCAAGCCATTTCACCCATAGTGGTTGCGTCCAAGTTGGTCGTTCTTCAGCTTTAATCAACCCTTGGAAACTTGGAAGATCTCGGAACTCGATTGACAGCGCCTTCGATTCCCAACGCCACGGAACCTAAGTACCAACTTAGCTGCAACTATTTCATGCATGAAAGCCATTGCAGATCTTTGGGTTCGCCCCAATTTTCTATATTTTGGAACCTTGGAAAGGTCTACTCCGTAATACAGAAACTGAAATGTTCCAACGCTCTAGGGCTGCCGCTGGTGAAGCTCTAGTGGTGGAAATATATACCCGAACACCAGCGATTCGGACCAAATTGGTCAACATATCAAAAACAATTCAGAACAGCAAAATCCACAACAAGACATCAAGCAGTTCAAGCTATCTCAACCTTGAACCTTGAAGCTTCAAAACCAGCAGTACTACCTAGTAGGTACGACCACATTGAAAATGACAGGTCTTCACTACCTAGTAAGTGGCATCAAAATGAACCGAAACCAGGCCAACCCAACAACCTTGGAAATAATTAGATGCCTTCCTCAATCCCTCTGCATCACGATCCAACTTGGAAGCCTTGATCTTTCGAGATCCTAGCAGTCAACAAAATTCAGCCATGTACAACCTATCACCGTATCCAGGCATCATCACCAAGAGCCATGCATTCACCCGAGCCATTGGTCGCACCAGACCTGCGAGGGTGGGCAGTCCCAGCCTCATCAAATGTCTGGACTCGACCAAGAGCCTCAACCAACAACCGCCCCAGATGATCGGCATCGGGTGCACCGACCGAGTGCACAAATCGAGGTATGGGAGTGTTCGGAGGGTCCTTGGGTCCACACACAGACAAGGTGGTCGGCATGCCCTCGCCACCGGGAGATTGTACAGAGAGGGAGTTCATTTTGCCTGAATTTACCAGGTGAGGGTATGCAAGAAAAGTGAAAGCACCGACAAGAATGACAACAGCAGAGGAGTTTGGAAACCGGGGGAGAACTATCACTGAAACCTTGGAAGAGGTAATCACAAGGCTGAAAGTCCCCGTGAAAAGGCTCTCAATATATACAACTCTGCCGGTATATTCTAAAAAGTGTCTTATGTAGCATGAAGTAATGTTCATCGGCCTCTCCAAGCCTATGTCCCTGAATCTAGGCAAGCTGGAAGGTCATACAAGGGGGATAGAGTAGTGCGCGTTCCCCCACTCTGTGGCATATCAACTTCTCTTTCTGTGCTACTCTTCTAATGGACCGTTACTAACCGAGCTGATTGAAGCTAGGAATTTGAATCAATGACGAAATTGGATGTGCTGAGTACCCTCCGTGCTCGACTGATCTACCTAGTACTTGCAAACGTACTCCGGGGAACGAATCTCAAGAAAAAGGTGTTGTATTTATACAATAAAACCAGGTATTCTGTATGCTCATCGAAGGTACAGATATCATGCACCAAGATAAGGGCCAGAATCATCTGCTGAACAGTGTTACCCCCATTCAGGGGGCTGATATCTCGCCGCATTATCTGCGAAGTACAGAGCTTGAAGCTTACCGCCTGTCTTTCGGCCGAAAGGAAGAAGATCAAGGCAACACTGTAAGAGATCCCGGCTCTTGCTTTGGTATAAGGAGCAAAGACTAGTGCTCGGTTGGGGTCTTGAGGGAAGCTTCATAGTTAGTTTGATACACACCACGAGCTGCGCCGGGCGGGCAAACAAAATGATTACATAACGGCGGGCCCGCCGCCCGGGGCCCGACCTCTAAGTTCCCACCGTATCGAACGTCTATCGAGGTCGCCTCAAGATCACATCTCACAGCCAAAGCTAGGCTATCATTGAACGGTGCCAATCCCGCGAAGCGACTGTCCACCACCCAACAAGCGAAATCCGGCAACGCCTCGTCGCCTCGGCCACCTCCACGGAGTACTGCAAACCCCCATAAATCACCTCACGATGAGCTTCCTGTCCCGCGCAGTGACGTTCTTCGGTCTGGTCCTGCTTGTCCATGCGTAAGAGCCTTCGAAACCTCACCGGCTCATTCACTCAGAAAATTGACACCTCTACAGAGGCTATTCCGCCCATGAACACACCGTCCTGTTCAGCAACCTCTCGTCCACCGCTCTCCCGCAAGACATCATCATCGAGACCCTCGTTTCCGTACTAGTTGTCTCCGTGGGACTTGTCCTCAGCGCACAGAAACTCAAGCCGGTCAGCTGGCGCGAGTGGGCAGGCGAGATCGAGCGCGATGGTGGTGCACGGAACCCCTACCTGAGCTTGGAGGAACGGTATGGATTCTGGGATATTCGTGTGAGTACTTGGGTCCTTTCTCCTGGAGATGCTTTTGCGGCCCGATTGCGCGTCAGCTGCAGTGATCTACGTCTATCGCGGAGAACAAGCCGTTTGTGTACGGGGGCTAATAGTGATGCAGGCCAAGCGCAGAGAGTTTGGGGATTGGGTGCGTGGTCAGGATGCGACGATCAAGGAGTGATTTGATGTTGAATTGGCGGTTCGGTGCTGCTGTGGGGGTGTTGTATCATATGCATAGCGGAGGGAGTTCAATTTTTCAATTGAGATGCTCGGCTTGTTGATTTGTCGAATCTACCTCGTGAGGACGAGCAGCTCTTGCTTGCGCACTCCATAGTCACTCCGCACGGAGTACTAGTACTTGGGATAACGCAGGGCATAGAGCGTGTACTGGCAGGTGTTGTGTCTCGCCTAATGGCGACTACGGGGTAATAGCACTAGTGGTCCGGAAGCCAAGTGGGAACGTGACCTGAATAGGGTGCACCCACTCCAACAGTATGCAGTACAGTACATACGGAGTACGGGGAGCTCGTTGATGGAGTAGGCGACCCGTTTTCAGGGCTGTCAGATAGAGACCCTTCTGGCGCACATGATGCATGAGCCCCTGCCCAGATGCCCAGGTGCGCCACACCGCTGTATCCTGTACAATATGTAGGATGGGGAGATGCAGTCTGGATTGCGGGCACTCGGATCTAGGCTGGTGACTCGGTAAGGGGGCGACTAGCACCTCGCAAGTGGCGAGCTTATTTAGTAGTCGAAGAATGCTTGGCTTACAAGTTGAATGTTATTGTACTACCAACCAGTGTACTCCGTAAACGGGGTACGGAGTACAATGCTCGCACAAAGACCATGTGCCAGAGAAGGTGAGTCAAGGCCCTCCCTAATTTCCCCATGTTCCAAATCCAAGTGGAACGGGGGAAGTTGACCCCGAGGTATGGAGTAGATTAGCCGGAAACTTGGAGCCGGGAAGGGTTACGGGCTATACGTGACGAGTAGAGCGCCCACATATGATGTCTCGAGTGTAACTTCTACCCCGTACGCCAATATACGCAGGGTACGACCAACGCCTCGAGATGTACAAGCTTAAAAACCTAGTGATGTGCACGATGTTTGTGCCAGGATCTGCGGAACCCTTGAACAGTATCTAACTAGTGTAGAAGTCGTATCAACACAGCCCTTGTGGAGAAAAAGTAAATATAGAGACGGTCCTTTCTCGATGGGGTCAACCGACGGAGTTGCCGTTGGGGTAAAGAGACCCACCGCCGTGTGATCTGAAGATTCTGTTCGAGTGCATTGAAGCTAATTATTTGGGCATTGCATTGGTTCCTTGCATCAATAATAGACGGAATTCTATTACTCAGTATGTACTCCGTATGTACTGGATATGGAGGAAAAGAAAAAACATAAACCTTGGAAAATAAACTGGGCAAAGGCCAGTGCCCCGTTGATTGGACAGGCGAGCGCAAAAGAACCATAACAAGTCTGATGTCTCACTCGGCTGCGGTTCGGCGCTTTAGTGCCAAAGACACGTCGGATCGCGCCATTATGTCCTTAGTACCTTTTTCTTTTCTCGGTTTACTAGTACAATTATTGTGTAGCATTGGCGGTTTACCTGCCAAGAGGATTCGTATGCTTCCACGCGGCCAAGGGTCTCACCCAGGGCTTATGTTGAGAACAATGAGGGTTGCCTTTCGTACGGAGTCAGATACGGGCTGGGGGTGCTCAGACGCGGTAAGTCGGAGCTAGTGTTTAGTGCAGATTGCCACACCCATTAGGGATGGAAATCTCGATTTTAGGGCGTCTCATGATGAGAGAGACGGCAGACCCGTCCTGGAGACCAGAGGAAGTACCCAGAATACTGTAGTAGGCTCCAGACTACTCGGAATATCTCACATTGAGCCCATCGAATCATAAGACGCGGCCGTGCGACCCCAGAAATAGAACTGCAAGACCTTGCAGATCCCAAGGCGCGCTAGATCCAGACGGGCCCCGATGAGTGGAACGAAGTATCCGTCTTTGCACGCCATCAGCCCTGAGTGGCTTGGCCCAAACAGACCGGACAACATAAGATGACCTGTTTCCCTGGACAACGGAGGCATTAAAAGACTTTCGTTTTCCCCTCCACATTACTTACTTCTACACCTTAATCTACTCCCTTAATCATTAATCAAGATGCGTTTCTCCATCGTCTTCACCACCCTCTCGGCCCTTGCCCTGGCCAATGCCCAGAGCTCCAGCGCCGCTGAGACCACTGCTGCCGCCGAGCCCACCGCCGAGGTAAGTATCAACAGGACCCAAACACAACATTGCAACCAAAACACAGCCAACCCATCCCCTCGAATAGTACAGTAACCCTGCAACCCAGTATCTGACCGAGACCAACTCTCTCGGTGTTGTGACCGGCCAGCCTGAGGCCGTCACCAGCCAGGCCAGCGTGATCACCAGCCAGGCTAGCGTCATCACCTCCCAGCAGCCCGCTGCCTCCATCCCCGCCGGTCTGACCTCCGCCGTCGCTGGTGTCAGCTCCACCCTCTCCACTGCCACTCGCAGCGGCTCTGCTGCCTCCTCCACTGGCACCGCCACTGGTACCACCACCAGCTCCTCTTCCACCGGCACTTCTACTAGCTCCTCCTCCTCCGAGGACTCTAGCTCCAGTGGCTCTGCCTCCGCCTCCTCCTCCGCTGGTGCCTCCAGCTCCACCTCCGATGGCGGGGCTGCTGCCCTTGCCACTGCTGGCCCCGTCGGCTTCGGCATGGTCGCCGGTGCGGCTCTCGTTGCCTTCCTGTAAGGGCCTTTCAAGGATGGCTGATCCATGACGTGATCGTTGCTTCTCACCCTTGAGATGTCCCTTTTGGCCTCATTGAGATGATTGGCTAGCTCATGGACCGGTTCGGTTATGCTGATTCGATAACTCGATTAGCGGGAACGAGGGACATGAAAATGCGAGCATTGATTTTGTTTTCCGTTTGGTTTTCCAGGTTTTCTTAATGGGCCTTGTAATCCGTTATGCTTGGGCAGTTAGTTGATACGATTCGATGTGTTGAAACACATGTTGGCGCGCTTGCTTCCCACTTCTTTTCTTCTGTGACCATGATTAGCTTAATCCATACCTGGGTAAATATCAACCCTGATTCCCAACATGAGTTCTGGATGTAAATGTAACATGTGGATATCGATTCCTGGAGTCATAGAGCATTCCAGGTTTTCATGAGATCATTGACGGTACTCTGTCCACGGGTACTCCTTACCATGTGTTGTGATGTTCATGTCATACGACACTAGTGGACATCAACACATGAGATAGGACCTTGCTTGCAAGGCCACTATGATATACAATGACCCAATGAAGCTCGTTAATTTTAGCCATATGTAGTGTTTCTCCTTCTCCCTTTGATGTCTCATTGTATCGCAAGGACCCAACGTTGGAAGGGTTGAGACACAGTCCCAAAGCGGTAATATTGGCTACGCGGGCGCGCCCCGGTTCGCGACCAGCACGTGACGCACCCGAAGCCGGTTAGTGCGACCTCCACTCAAAACAAACCGTCGACGAAGTAACCATCTGCTTATCATTCTTGATTGTGATACCAAACTTGTCGTGGTTCATATCTCTCTCAAATTATTTTTACTTTGATCTATCGATTTCCCTTCTGCATACCCCCATTGGAAGCCACAAATCATGGTAAGTCGATCTGGAGCTGATGGTGCTCGTTTCCCAGCAACCGTTGTATACCTCGTGCTTTCGTATCTGACATGGGTATCAGCCGTCAAATATGCGCCGGCTTGCTGCCGACCATGCCGCTTTGCACCGCAATCTTCCGCCGTACTACCTGCAGCCCTCGGACGGCGATGACCTGTCACAGCTTACCATCCTCCTCGCTGGCCCGCCTGGCACGCCCTTCGCTCAAGGATTATGGAAGCTCCACCTCAAAATGCCCGATGACTACCCAAAGAGTCCCCCAAAGGCAACTTTCATGACGAGGATATGGCACCCGAATATGGAAGAGTTGACCGGGTCTGTCTGTGTCGACACTCTGAAGCGGGATTGGCAATCTAACCTAACACTTCGTGATGTTCTGGTCGTAAGTCTTGGCTCATCCCCAGACAAGCTGTCTGCGGACACCAAGCTAACCGTACTTCCAGACCATCTCCTGCCTACTCATCTACCCCAACCCAGACTCTGCCCTCAATGCCTCCGCAGGAGCCCTCATGCAAGAGGACTATGGAGCTTTTGCAGAGCAAGCCAAGCTTATGACGTCCATCCACGCTCCAATCCCCTTCGATCTTAAATCCGCAGTCACCGAAGCGAAGCTTCGAGGTGAAGAGCCGGGTGCTACTCTCAATGAACAAGAAGATGAAACAACCAACCAACCCGCACAAACCGGTAGACGCACCCGCGCCGCATCAAAAAAGACCACTCGCAAAGCATCGGAGATCCCACCCCAGACTTTCCACCAACCCACGCCGCCGATGTCTGATCCCATGAGCGAAGATGAAAACGACCCCGACAGCGCAAGCAAAGAGAACAACCCATCACTATCGCCATCCCCAGTCTCCCTGGTCCCACCAAGCCCCCGCAAAACAGCACTGGGCAAGCGCCCACTCTCTGTCCTCTCAATTCCCTACCCAGAAGAAGACAGTGACATGATGCTCATTGACGAAGACCCCACCGACACCCAAATGACCGCAAACGAGCGCAACATCTCAGCAAACACCCGCTCACGAACCTCCTCCCCTCTCCGCAAAACTCCTAAACTATCCATGCTCTGCGACGGGGTGAACGGCCTCGGTCGTTTCCGCGACGAAATGCCCATTTACGAAGACGTCCCCCAACTACCAATGGCAGACCCCTTCCGGCGCCTCAGCGGCGACGGCAAAGAAAACCATGTCTCCGCCACGCGCAAAGAAAAGCGCCATCAAAGTCCTTCAAAGACACTCGGAACAACGCCTCTTTCCCCAGCCCATTCGCAACCGCCCACCCCACATCTCTCTTCCATTCCAGACTTTTCATCCAAAGTCCCAAAGAAGAGATCGATGGGCGTGCACAAACGTTCCGCCTCCAAGCCAAAGCCACGCATTGGAATCCGTCGTCTTTAGATCCCTTATCCCAGTGACCATTGGCTAAGCTTGGGGTCCGGTATCGAGACCCGCTCTAGTCTTGACTTGATCGCTTTGATTCTTTGATCACCCCCTCTTTTGAACTTCATACCCTTCCCCCCGTTAGCGACTTTCTTTGATACCCTTGGTCTTTTGGGCATTACCAACATTCAATCTGCATTCAGCGAGGAGCGAGATCCGCATGGCGTTGATTGCTTTGCATTGCATCGAAACGGCTGCAGGGCCGGTTTGATTCCAAATTCATCTGAAAAATGGCGTCTGGCTACATATGAAATAATGTATGTGTTCGTGTATGTGTTGAAATCGTCAACCTGTCAGTCGTAATTTGTATGAGTACATCCTGTTGCTACCTGAGATGGACGCGCTTGTAATGATGAAGAGACCCTGGAGTCTGCAGCTTCCAGGTTGCTCCAGGAAACACGCTGAACACGTTTTCTAAGTCTTCTGGCCGTTATCGTCTCCAGTGGAGCTTAGGCTCACCTAGGCAGACCTTTCATGATGTTGGTTACATGCCTAGTGGAAGCTCGTAAGACTAACGTGGAATGATGGAACCCCAGAACTCCATTATTATAAGCTTGGTAATGCCATACATTAGTGGAAGAGCTTTCTGGGACTATCGAGCTAAATGTGCGGCCTTGGGGCCCCCAAAAGATTCCCCGAGGGGAATAGAAAATGGGCAAGACAAGCTCTGGTGATAACAACTTTCTCCAGGTTCAACTAAAATGCTCAAAAAAGACAAACAACCGCTTCGCGCATATAACAGAATAAGTATAGGAATCCCAGAACGTCGGAACGATAATCTGATTTGTGATAACGCGGTAAAGCCAACCCGTTACCAGGGACCTCGGGAATAGTCTCCCGATAATGATACTCGATCCGCAACTTGGGATGAATTATGTCCGTAGGTGCAGGTGAAACATCATGTTCCACACCACCCAAAAGTCTGTAAAATAGCCATGCAAGAATATATTCCTTGAACAGAACAAAACCGAGATCAACCCTCTTACAGAGCGTAGGGGTTGACGGATCGAACAGTGAGGCATCTGATGATATTGGTTAGTTCAGGCTGTTGTGAGAAAGAATCAATGGGTAAAACATACGGGGGACTCTTGCTCAAGTCAGTCTTCAGAATGATAGGCACACGAGTCATCTCGGTGACATCCTGGATGAGGTCGCCATCCACTTCGCGCAGCTTGAACAAGCTCAGGTACTTCTCCTTGTTGGTCAGCTTGTTCTCGGGGGCGTCTCCTGCACCGGAGGCGATCTTGGGATCGGAACGGGTGCGGTGGGGTCCTTGCTGCTGGTGACCGTTGCGGGTGGGTGAGGGTGGCATGCTCTGGGTGGAACGATCAGTCGAGTTGAGAGAGACGCCAGCTGCCATCTCGGTGACATCGTCGACGTCCTCGTCATCATCGAAGAGAGCGTCAACGTCGTCGGCGGACATTGTACCGGTCTCGGTTTGCTTGCGCATGGCTTCGTCACGCTCACGAGCACGCTCGCGAGCAGCTTCAGCTTCGCGAGCAGCGGCGGCAGCCTGTGCAGCACGAGAGTTGCCAGGCTTGGGACGCTCGTCCTCAGGAATGTACGCAGATGATGGAACACCCTTCTCCCAGTAGAGCTCGAGGACACGGGAGTCCTTTCGGAATTCGGCCTTCTTGAGTGGCAGCTGGTCACAGTGCACACGCTTCTCAAAGCCGTACTCGGGAATGAGAACGTCGAATGCGGATTCGTAGACGCAGAGCACGATACCCTCGCTGATGAGGTCACCGCCAATCTCACGGCTCTTTCGATCCATGTTGCGACAGGCTTCAATGTGCACGCTCTGCTCCTGGGCATTGAGAGCCGAGTCCTTCTTATTGTTGCAGAGATCGGCAGTCTTGGCCAAGGACTCAACGTCATCAGTGAACTCCACAGCACCCTCAGAGAGCACAGCCTCCAGTTGACGGTGCACGAGAACGTCGGTGTAGCGGCGAGAGGGGTTGGTGAAGTGGGTGTAGACTGGCACGTTCAACATGTAGTGCTGGCGCATTTCATCGGAGGTACCGCTGCTGACGAAATATTTGGCGCGTTGCATAGCCTTAGCAAGGAGGGTCTCCATGCCCTTGCGAATATCCACATCCTGGACCTTGCAAAGAGAGCTCTGGAGGCTGCCACTGCTGCTGGCGTCCATCTCGAACCCGAGACGGTTCATGCGCTCAACAAACAGGGTGAGGCGACGGGGGTTGGGTGAGAATTGGCGACGCAGGAATGCCTTATCGGGCATGGCGCTGAAAAGCTTGCGGGCGACGAAGAAGTTAGCCTGATGGCTCAGCTCCTCAACAAGTTCATGTGCGGGAGTGGAATCAAAGATGTTGTATTCGACCGGAACATTCTCGTCATCAAGCTGCTGAAGCAGACGCTGGACAGGAACATCGGTCACACGGTTACCAAAGCGTGCTTCACGGAACTTGCCGGCAATGTTCTAAATATGGTGTCAGCACATGTCATTAGATATCAGATCGAGGGTCACATACGTGGAGCAAGCGGATGCTATCGGCAGGAATGCCGCTGGTGTTGGCGTCAGACTGGCCGCCGATGAGAGCGTTAACCTGTTCGTAGTCAAGACGACCAGCACTCTTAATGATACCCTTGCCAATCCAAAGGTCGTCATCCACAATACCGGTAGTAGGGTCGGCCTTGAAGACAACACTGACAGTGAGGCGATCCTCACCAGGGACGAGGGAACAAAGCTCGGTTGAAACACGAGTTGGCAACATGTTCATGATGCGGTCGACGAGGTAAACAGCAGTACCGCGCTTCTTCGCTTCGCGATCAACCAAGGAGTTGCCCTTAACGAAGTGAGCGATGTCCGCAACGTGGACACCGATCTCGACCTTGCCATCGTCAAGCTTCTTGACGTGGAATGCATCCTCAAGGGCTTTGCTTTCGGCAGGATCGATCGTAAAGATGGTCTCTTCACGGAAGTCATGTCTGGAAGCAAGGGCATCGCCTTCAGAGGAAACAGTCCAATCCTCCCAGCCAATGCTCTTCAAAACGGCGTCAGAGAAGTCGTCCGAACCAAAGTTATTGTCACGAAGCAAGGCATCCGTTTCAACACGCAGGTCACCCATCTCACCGAGCTGCTCTACGAGCGTACCGAAGGGGTGCAGAGAGGTGATAGGCCATCTCTTGATAGAAGCAACGAAGATCCGATTGGCGTAGTCCTGGTGCTTCTCAACAAAGTCACGAGGCGCCTGCTCTGTGGGGATAGCAATCAGAGGGACACGCTTGTCAGTGGGCTTAAACCAAACAATCTTGGGCTTGTCCTGGTGACGGTCATGGTGAGAGCGACCGTGAGCACCATCCCTGGCCTGTCGCTCGGCCTCTTGCTTCTCCTTTGTAGCCTGGCTACTAGGGCGGAGCAGGCCCAAAGTTCCCGAGAACATCTGACCTGCAACACGCTCAATGACTGCAACAACGTGACCAGCGTAGAGAGGCTTCTGCTCATCGCTAATCTCGTCTTCCTCACACAGAAGAAGACTTTGGCCTTCAACCTCGACGTCGTCGTTCTTCTTCTGGGTGGGACGCTGGCGCAGACTACCACGACGGCGGATGCTTCCATCCGGACCAACTTCTTGTCTGTCACCAGTAGAGTCGGAGCGGCCGAGCTTCTCATTGCCCGCGTTGCTGTTGGAGCGGGCATCAGTGATGTCCTTGCGCTTCTTCTTCTCTTCCTTTTCTTTCTTCTGAGACCACACCTCATCGACATCAAGAAGCTCGATAGCGACAAAGTCGCCCTCAAGGGCGCGGTTGCGATCTTTACTTCCACAAATGAAGATATCGGCATCCAGGTCATCAGTAGTCACGTAGGCATCGGAACGGTTCTTCTTGTTAACACGCAAGACACCGGCGACGAGTTGCCCGTTACTGAGAAGCGCAGGGAGGTTGGCTTGGGGAAGGTAAGGAGTGAAAAGAGTCTTCCGCTGTTGCTGCTGCTGCTGTTGCTGCTGAACAGACATCTGTGGAGGGGCGTGTTGGCTTGCCTGGAGACCACCCATTCCCTGGCCATTCTGCTGTTGAAGCGCTTGAAGCTGTGCGACCTGGATTGGGTTCAACTGCTGGCCGCCAAACATCTGAGGAGCCATCATGACTTGGCCCTGAGGAAGCTGGATCAGCTGGGGTTGGCCGATCTGAGGCTGACCACCGCCGTAAGAAAACGAGCCGATGGAGCCCATTGACTGGTTCATGGATCCGCGAGAACGGTGGCCGGGCTGGAAGCCACCTTGCTGCTGACCGGGTCTCTGTTGATCCTGACCTTGGTTCTGGTTGTTAGGCTGGCGCCAGTTGCCTTCAAAGTTTCGCGAAGACGAGCGAGCGTGGCCGGGTTGGCTTCCTCTGCGCTGATTGTCGGTCTGACCCACAGGTGCCTCACTGGCCTGAGGGAACTGGAAGCCACCGGCACCACGGCCAGAAATAGAGCCCCGGTTGTTACCACCAATTGCCATCGACTGGCTGCGACCATGGCCGCCAGCTCGCATGTTACCAGCACGTTGGAATCCAAGCCCCTGTGGCGCCTGTGAGGCGTTGTTCGCGGGCTTGTCATCTGAAGAGGACTGGTTATCAGAGCCACTGGCACCGGGAGCAGGGGCGGGGAACTGGAATCCCGAAGCAGTTCTCTTCTGCTGGGCGAGCTCGGCGGCTTTCTTGGCCTCAGGCAGAGCAAGTGAGTGACGGCGCTGGTGACCACCGCCAGGGGGACCTCCACGACCACGACCGCCGTGACCGGCGTTCTCATTCTTGTGGTTGTTATTTTGGCCCTGCTGGTTGTACTCAGCATAGCCCGATGCACCTGAGGAGGGAGCAGGAGGCGGGCCCATGGGGAGGCCTGGTAGAGCTGACTGGTTCCGGCGGTGCGAGTGTTGGGCGGGTGCGTTCATTTGTACTCCAAGCTGTTGCTGCTGTCCACCTTGTGGAAATTGGAAAGCATTAACTTGCTGTGGGGAGACACCAGCCATAGAGGCACCCGGTTGGAATGAGGGCACCTGGCCCAATTGTTGGGGCTGCAACAGCCCCATGTTAACGTATTGTTGGTGTGTCGCAGCAATTTGTTGCTGTTGCTGCTGGAGCAACTCAATTTGTTGTTGAATAGCCAGTTGTTCCACTGCACAATCGCGAGTCAGCGGGGATCGAACACGATGGAGCCCAAAGATGATGACTTACTCATAAGAGGGGTAAGCTCAGAAGGACTTCTCCTGTGAGCAATATGGAACTTGCGGCCACCAGGGCCTTGGGGCCCGGATTGACTTTGTTGATCCATGATCTCGAGTGATAGGAGCTGACAACTTTTGTAGAATGTATGTGGGTTGGGATGTATTCGGCGACGGGAGAGACTGGTACTATGCCGAAAGGCAAATAAACCGAGTGATAGGTATCACAGGCCGACCAAAAGGAGTTTGTATGTGCGGATGGAAGTCTTGAAGACGCAAAATATCCTGCAGCACCAATGAGTGGATTAGTGAAAGTGAGATGTGAAAGTGGGTAAATTTGACAAGAAAGAGAGGGAGGCAAGTCCAGCGAAAAGTGAGGATGGGGAAGTATGATTCTTGAGGAAAGGACAAAACAAATGGAAGTTGCGATAAGCGGACGTGTTTTCTTCACTCAGGGGAAAGAAGTACACCCCACTCGATGACCTCAGAAACCACAACAAAGATCCATGCAAGGGCGATATATACCAGGTGAAACCATCAAAGCCACATGTGCACTATACTAAAAGGTATCCTCTTACCTGCAAGATGACACTAAAGACAACCTCCGAGCCGTAGCATTCCAAAATGACGTCTGCAATGTCGAAGGTGGGATGATCGCCCGTGTTTTTTCTAGGATATTTCTCCTACTAACCAATATGACGACGGACGAGCACAGAATCGAGAATGATCCAAGCCAATTGTCTTCAAGCCGAGATTAGCTTCGAAGCAAGACGGATTAGGTCTCGAGACAGGAGTTGGAAGGACCGGAGCGGATGAAGCTGTGGCAAGCACGGCTTGACACCCGACAATGGGAATCGACGAAAAGAACCTCGATAGAGGACCGGTTAGGTTAGACTTTTTAGTGACAAGGGAGCTTGCCAGGGTTGATTCCCAAGTTCAGCAAGGGAATCAGAGTTGATCCCCGTAGAGAATGACAGCGGATACTGAGGTAATGGGAATAGACGATGAGAACATCGACTGATTCGACTCGAAGGAACGAGGGGGAGAAGGTAGGGAGATGAGAGAGAGAGAGCAGAGGGGGAGAAAGGAGAAGTGCGGTGATGCGATACAAAGGCAGTCGACGTGTGGGGTACCAGGATAACGGTATTGGTAATGGAAATAACCAAACGCCGGTTTATTACGCTACTGGATGGGCTTTTGGCTGGTAAATTCGCTGTAAATACACTGACCGTCATCTCCAATACACCGTCCCAGCGGGAAGCCATGGGTGATCGTCTACCACACTTCATCATCCTGATGCATCCGCTGGCGTTCAAGTGCCTCGTTACATTGAGGAATCATGATTTGGCTTCTATGCAGTAGGCTTGAGCTGGTAGTAAATAGTGACAATGAAGTGGCACTCGCAGATAACTCTGGTGTCCCCTTTTTGTTGGTTTTTTCTCCGTCCCCAGTACACACAAGATACAGAACAGCTAGTGGTGGGCTTTGAGACCCTTGAATCCAGGCGGCGGAAGTACGAATAAGCTATGCGAGAAGCTGTAGCTGAGACCCACAAATCAGACCTCCTAGACAAGCCCTCTTCATCGTCAAATAAGACAGCAAGCAATCTAGATGGAGAGCAACGAGAGAGAGGAGCTCCTAGAAAAGTGGATGATGCTCACAATGATGTAAAGATCGTGAACCAGGGAACCACCGAGCGCTGACTCCGCCTTATGAGATTGCTGACTCATCGGTTTCTGCCCATGGTAATTTATTTCCCTTGGGCTTCAAGCATGCATTGAAGCGAGAATAGGTACGTGGGATCGCTTATCGGCTTGCTGCATCGATTCTGACTCTAAGATAGCCCCAAAGCCTCATGGAATTTTCTTTCTGTTGAGCGGACGCGCCAACGTCACATTCTGCAGGCGCGTAAATCGATTTCGTTGCTATCCCGGAAGCTCTGATTGCTTGAACTCGCACCACACGGTTCTACTGTGTGCATTATCTTGCAATTGAGGCCGAGTGTGTCTTGCGTGCATCCTTTTTGAAGCCTTGCTTGCCCGGTTTTTTCTCCTTTTGATCTAGGTCCATCCTCAAGTCACTTCGACCTACGGGTCCCGGGCATGACTTGATCAACTCGAATCCTTGACACTCGTTGCGCCGTACTCCGCTGCCAGATCCTCAGCACATCTCACATTTCTTTCACTTCCCACCAGTGTCCCTGACCCTCTCCGCGCCTTGCGGCATACACCCTTCTCTTCGTCAAGTCCAGTCCCTCACAATATCCCCAAGGCCCCTGTGTCTGCGCCAACCGTCGAAACACTCGACCCAACCACACTTGGATCAAACTACCAATCTTGCTTGTGCTTGAACTCCACAATCATGACTCGCCACCGATCTCATGGGCCGCCGCTCATCGACAGCCCCTCCAAGCAGCTGATGCTGGATCTTGTCCGAGATCTCGAGCAAGTTCGACTTTTCGACGAAGATCTCAAAAAGGTCCACGCATATGAGAGAAAATCATACTACGAGAACCTCGACCGGGTCGACCGCGAACGTGAAGCCATCCACACAGCCGCCCTCGATGAAGTTGAGGCCATACGCACCCGTGTCCAAGAAGAAGCTGTCACAACACTGAATGATCACATTCGCGCCGAGGAGGAAGAGCGTCTGCGCAAGGAGGCCATAGCACGAAAGGAAAAGGAACGAATCGAGCGTGAGAAGGCCGAGAAGGAGCGAATTGAACGAGAGGCTGCTGCGCGCGCGGAGGCCGAGCGCAAGGCCAAGGAGGAGGCTGCACAAAAGGCCAAGAAAGAGGCGGAAGCTAAAGCCGCCGAAGCTGAGCGAACACGCCAGGCTGCTCTTGACGAGAAAGCCCGCAAGGAGCGTGAACAAGCCGAGGCCGCGAAGCGCAAGGAAATCGAAGATGCCCAGAAGGCCAAACAAGAAGCTGAAGAGCTAGCACAATCCAAACAGCAGCAGAATGTTGGAGCTGGCATCCTCTCCCCCGAAGATATTCAAACTCAACAACGCTATGTGGAACTTCACAAGACCTTGAAGGAAATGCGCAAGTGGCTGACTGGCATGGCGAAGGGGGAGCCCGCCCTCAAGAAAGCCATGGGAGACATGCGTCGCTCGATCAAGAAATCAGTTGGACAACTTCGAAGTGGAACCGGTGCCAACAAAAACCAGATCAACCAGATCAAAGCAGATCTTCAAAATGCTTTAGCGTTCTCCCAGCCCACAGTGGACATTGCCAAGTTCATCGCCTTCCCTCCCCAAGAGCTGACAACCACGGAAAACAAGGCACCCGCCATGCTCATTTACGGTCTGAATGTCTTCTCTAAGAGCTTGATCTCTTCACTTCTCGCCGAGGCAGCAATCAAGCAATCGCACGCCGAGCCCATCGGTATTATTGCAGCCCAGATATTTTCCCTCGACATCTTCACCTACAAAGGCCTACACATGTCTGATATCCTCTGGGCCAAATACCGCGTCGTCTGCCCTGCCCTGTGGGGCTTCACTGGCAACGACAAGACCGAAGGTGGCCGTCGCACCCTGGGTTGGTGGCGCGAGCCCGACACCGGCTCCTGGATCTCCGAGCAGAATCACATGGACCGCATGACTGCCCTGGGTGCAGGATATGCAGCTATCACTCTTCGAAACTTCGGGAAGACAACCCGCCAGAACCCATTCCCCAATACCCTCTTCTGGGCGACAATGAGCAAAATCATGGCCATTCCTGCTGCACAACTCCAAGAGACGCAGATTGCTTTACTGGCAGCGCTGCTCCGGTCATCCGGGGAGCGCATCATAGGCTTCTTTGGGCAGTATGGTCTCGCTCTCATGCACCATGCCATCGTCGAACTTCCCCGACAGATCGAGCGAGAAAGCATGGCATTGACACAGCTGAGTACTCTTAAGGAGCTCTACATGCGGGAGAAGAATATTTTGATTTGATTTGGGTGGTACGCCCTGGCGTTTAATATCGGGAACATTTTAGGAGTTGCATTTCACCTCCAGCGGGGAGTGCTGGAGACACTCGACAGGCTGTTTAGGCTACATTACCAACGGCCTTTGTTGTCGAACATTATCATACCCCAATAGTCACTACCTGTGCTTGATGTAACAACAGTTATATCCAGGCATAGCCAGTGCACTCGTCTAGAATTAGACAATTTACCAAGTGATCGGAGGTCTGTGCATATATCAGGCCTCCCATATGATCCTTTCACAGTTCAAAGATTGCCATCTATAGTTCTCTAGTTTAAGGCCCCATCTCAGCATCACTTGCGTGTTCAACATGTCAACTCTGGCAGGAAGACTCATACCGCGAAACCTTCCCTCGGTTCGGCCACCTAGCTGCCAACCATTCTCAGCCTGGGCCACATCTATTACACCTCGGGCTTCACCCACGCCCCTCTCTGCCTTTCCTGCCTCCAGGGTAGCAAATTTGACCCGAAAGACCTTCATTTCCAAGGCTAGTCTCCGGCTCAACCACACGGTTCCATCAGGCAATTCTGGTCCCAGAGACCAAAATGCGAAATCTGGCCCGGGTGACGCCGGAGTCGAGCCGCAGATGCCGGCTGCGAGTCTAGAATCTTTGGGTATTGGGAGGAATATGAAAGTCTTTTTGTTTGTTGTTCTGGGTGTGTTTGGGTCCATTGAAACATGGTTTTGGGTCAAGACATTTTGGATTTGGTGGAAGGGCGTCAACCATGAGGCCGAAGAGGTTGACTGACCTCGGAGTGCATGCCCAGGTGAAGCCCCGGTAATGATGGCTCAATGTATGATATTCCCCTCGCCACTCATTCTTATACTTCAGGCAACATCCATTATGAAGATGCACCAAATATGCTGCTAGCCAGGTTTACAATCTGTCCGTGTTCCGATAAATGGCATCGGGCTTGCTCATGGCTAAAGGAAGCAGATAGATGTATACAATCCATGGATCTACGAGATACACCATCTACTTTAAAGAAAGGGAATTCTCCAGTGTCGTTTCTATGTATGAAGTACGGAGTACCTGGTGTGGAATACCTGCTCCGTGGGTAGGAATGCACTGACAGCGTGTATCAACCAACACAAAACTCACCAGGTAATTGTACTAGTATGTAGCAATTGTCGCCTCCAGGCCATAGAGAACTGCAATCATCAAAATATTGTGAAACGCTCGGACGGTCTTTCTCACTGTAAGTCGCAAGGAGGAAACCCATCACAGGCGGGTTCCGGCTCACCGCACTTGGTGTCAACGCGAGTTCCTGGATATTTGCACATGTGTGTATGTGTGCAGCCAAGGCCACAGAAGAAATCACGCTGGATAATGGCTCTCACCCCCGGGGCCTGTGGTTGCCTTGGACCGTTGAGGAAATTGAGCAGGACGATCGAGGTCGAGACCCTTCGCCCACAGTGGTTGTCGATCCACTTGCATCCCAGGGTTCTCGATCACAGCTTCTGGATCTCTGACATCATGGAGGCGATAGATGAGACTCTTGGCATTCGATCTGAAGAGTGTCGGGAGTAAGATAGGTCCGATGTGGGGAAATTGCAGCAAAAATCGAGACGGTGCATCCCAGATCAGAGACCCGTTGCACTAATGCAAGGAGGAACTGCAAATTAGAAAATCCAGTAACCGAAACGCAAAGAAAAAGCAAAGAAAAAGGCCCAGATCCAAAAGGGGAATCCCAGAATAGGATAGCGTGCGCTAAACTCAGGGACCAGCGGGGTCCCAGACCCTTGTCAAGCTGCCCCCGACTTTTCCGTGTAGCTTTCTGTTTTTCCCTTGGCGTGCTACTTTTAAAACATCCGCTCCTTTTTTGTTCCCTTTTCTTCCCTATACACGTTCACATTCTCTACAATGCGTGCTACTGGTCTCCTTTCGCTTCTGTTGGCCGCCCCGGCCCTCGTTTCCGCCAAGGGCACTCTGGGTTTCTCCCTCGGCGAAAAGAACGCCGACGGAACCTGCAAGTCGACCAAGGACTATGAAGACGACTTTGATGCCCTGAAGGGTCTGTCCACTTTGGTCCGTACCTACTCTGGTACTTCTTGCAACACCCCCCAGAACATCCTGCCGGCTGCCAAGAACAAGGGCTTCAAGGTCGTTCTCGGCATGTGGTGAGTATCTCTGTCGGTCTGTTCTCAATTGGGGTGGGGTTCTAACAACGATCTCGATATAGGGTTGGTAAGCCCACCGACACCAATGACCTGCTGTCCGAGCCTTCCTTCAAGGGCGACTGGGCCGCGATCAAGAAGGCCATCCCCGGTCACGAGGACGTCATCCACGCCATCACGGTTGGTTCCGAGACTCTCTACCGTGGAGACTTGACCGGACCTCAACTCCACACCTACATCAGCCATGTCATGAGTGAGGTCCCCAAGGGTGTCTTGGTTGGTACCGCCGACAGCTGGAACAAGTTTGCCGACGGCACCGGTGACGCTCTCTTCACCCAGGAGCCCATGGTGACCTACGTGTAAGTGACCCTTCAAGTGGCTTGCGTATCACGACACTGACGTCTCGGTAGTCTGGCCAATGCCTTTGCTTACTGGCAGGGTACTGCCGCCGACAAGGCCCACAAGACTTACTTTGACGATATGTCCGGTGCCATGTCGCACATTCAGAAGATTGCTGGCAAGAACGCCGACAAGATCAACATTGTCAACGGCGAGACCGGCTGGCCCACCGATGGCGGCTCTGACTATGAGGCCGCCAAGGCCGGCACCAAGAATGCTGAGACCTTCTGGAAGCAGGGTGTCTGTGGCATGCTTGACTGGGGTGTGGATCTCTTCTACTTCGAGGCCTTCGATGAATCATGGAAGCCTGACTCCAAGGGTGACAACGGCGAGCTCAAGGACGAACAGCACTGGGGTCTCTTCACCGCGGACCGCAAGGTTAAGTTCGATACCACTTGCAAATAGAGCTCCCTGCTTTATGACCGGGGGATCTCGTAGATAGCGATTTTTTATTTTCAGATTGTATTGATTTTATTCCCGAGGAGCAACGTCCTACATTGGAAATATGATTTAATCTCTATACATTGGCGGGTCTGATTGGCCTGAAATTGAGGTGCTTAGTCATGTAAATACGGTACGGTGAAACCATGGTTCTGTTACCCCTGAATAGCGGCCCTCCACGAACCATTCCCGAGGTCTCTTTGTTTACCCGTATACTCCAATGTTTCCCGATGGTGAGAGGTGTTTCGTCTTTAGCAAGGGGCTTCCACATCGATGTATCTTGCCTGCTTGCCTTGGAGAGGCAAGGGTCAATGGAAATTGCTCCGTAGGCCCGTAGACCCGGATGTAGAGAGGACAACTCAACGGCCACGCTAGCCAGGTAGTAATCGGTCGTGGATTCCACTTGGGCCTATTGTACTCTGTACACCGCATTAGCACGTATTACCCACTCTCTAGTAGGTAACCAGTACACCGACGATCCCCAACACCCGTGACGTCCTAAGACCTTTTTTTTCCCCTTAGTCCTCTCGTCCTTGCGTGTATTTGCGACATGGTTCAGACTTGATCTCCATCTTGCTCCAGTTTCCGATCGACGTCAATCCGAAGGAGAAAGAAAAAAGAACGAGAAAAAAGAAAAAAAGAGACAGCCTGTACACCACCTTGCTCCAGGTTGTCTAGCCCGTGGTCTTCAATTCCCGTTGCATTTCCATGCGTCAACATTCTGGACAATAAGCGGAGCGGCAAGCAAGTGCTTGCTGCAGGAGTCGACACGGAAGGTGTGTGAGTCTCGTTGATTTATCGCGAATCCCCGTTGCTCGTGGAAACCACTTTCGCGAAGCTCCCTGCCTCGCTGCCACGCGATTGAGTCCTCAACTTGCAACTCCTTTGTTCCCAATCGCATCTACCCCTCCAGATATGCTAACGTCGACATGTCGAATGGCATTGCAGATCTAGATCACCCCGTCTCTTCCGCCACTTCGGCGTTATCTCCGCCATCCCAATCGCGAGATCCGCGAATCCGTGACCAATCGCGTCTTGCGCCATCACTACTCCTGTCATCTCCGCCGTCAGGAAACTCGAGCCCGTCGACCGTCGGTTCTATAGGTCAACGAGCCTCCCCGAGCATCGGTCTCGACCCGCCACCGCTTCCATTTCTTTCATACCGCGGGGCCGACGAATCTCTGACCTCGTCACCAGTCAACCGGAGGGCAGAGAGCAGTATCTACTACACCACCGCGTGGGGTTCTCCGTATGCAGCACCAAGTACTCGGAGACTGTCAGTGACCCACAGCCAACTTACAAGCCTCAACCTTGAATCTGGTCCCGGCTCGCCAGTATCATCGGTAGCCAACAACACCGAATTCCGGAGATCTATCACTGCGGACGACGACACGCTTGAGCCCGTCGACCGCGATATCGATCACGGCGGAGAGCGATCCATCCGGGACTTTACGCAGGATTGGATCAATCAGTACTTGACCGGTCAACCTAGAACGGAGCGCAGCAACTGGCTCAGTGACGACTCGGGAAGTGAAGCGCCGTCCTTCTTTACTGCGAAAAATCATCTTGCGGACGACGCCTCGGACGATTGGCTCGGACTGGAAGACGACTACCGGACTGAAGAACTCTTGCGGACTCCGACGCTCTCCGACTTCGTAGGGAGGAAATCAGCGGCTCGTGCAAAAGTCAAGAATTCCTTGCATAAACGCGCCGACACTTTGCGCCAGGAAGACTTCTGGGGTTTCGCCTACGACAAAGAGCCCCAAACCAACATGTCCGACCAAAACACTACACAGCCTACCATGGAGACGAATTTCCCGGTTGAAAAACCGCTTCCCCCTCCCCCGGCAAATGCGGCGGACGATGTTCCAACTATTGAAGAACGCCCACCATTAAAAACACAAGTGTCGGAGATAGGCAGATCAGCGACTCAGACGCCACGGCGGAGGAAGAAGTTGAACTGGCGTGGAAAGGCCTGCATAATCGAACTGCCACAAGATGACAACAGAGGCTCAGAGGGATCCGAGTATCGTCTCTTGACCCCGGCCGATGTTCAAGAACGGATGCAAAAATGGGAGGAAGAGGGATACGATGTTCGTGGATTCACAATTGGCGATAATGACGATCCTGCTGGGGCGACTGCACTGGGAGGTCTCAGCCGTCCTTTATATCCAGATCCCTACGAGCTCTACGAAGATTCAAAAGCCCAAAGCCTTGTTGTCAACTTCCCAGACAGAGCCAAGTGGCAATCATACATCACCGAGCTTCAGGAGGAAAAGCTGCGGGCCCTTGGAGTATCGTTTGGTGACGATGAGCCTGCAGAATCCATCTCACCCGACTACTCGATCAATCAAACTGGAACGCCTTTCCCTGGTCTCGTCGCATCTCCGCCAATTCCCACTGCCTCCGCGGCGAGCAACCCCATCGGCCATATCCATCCTTTCTCGCCTCACTTCAATCAAACTTCAATGCCTACACCCGGTGCGATGGGTGCATTGGCCTCCCCCGCTTCACAATTCGGCATGCAAACGCCATTCATGGGCGTCGAGCAAAATATGATTGGAGGATTCCCCTTCCAGTATCAACCCACACCTCCCGCTCAAGGCTCAATGACGCCTCAAGGATTCATGAACGCCCGACAGGTCAGTGGTCCCACTGGTCCTGGGCCTATGGGCAACTTCTCCTCCATGCTCTCCCCGGTATCTCCGATGCATGAGCAAGGCTCATTTAATCCTGCTTTCAATGACAAGGGTGCGTTTGATGACCAGTTCGGTCACAATATGCAGCAGGATGGCTTGCAATTCCAGCCCCCCAAGACTCCCGTGAATGGGCATCCCGATCATTACCACACATCGAATGTCGAAATCGCCCACCCTACGCCCCGAGGCCATGGTCATAACCTAAGCGAAACTCTCCAAAGAGGACTAGACCAGATGACACATACCGATTACCATCTAGAGGACTCGATTGACCGCCAATTAGAAGATGACTATCGCGATGTCAACCACGCCGGTCTGAATGCCAGTATGCTGAAGTCCCGTTGGGCACTGCCGGAAAATGCGCACGACCCCCAAAATGCTTTTGCTCAGCTCCACCATCCCCATCAATTCTTTGGAGACCAGTATCAACACAACAACGCTCAAGATGGCTCTGACCTTGAGACGAACCCCAGCGTTGCAGGTACGCCCCACACTCGCCAGGGCGCATGGCAGGAGCCCCAACACAGTGAACACTCTTATCAAAGAGGACACCAGCAGCAGCTCTCCATTTCATCTCTCAATGTGGATGCCAAGGAGTTTGACCCCTCTGCATCCTTTAATACCCAGGCCGCACCGCTTGGAAACGACGCATTCCAATTCAGTGGCATGGGAGACCAAGGCTTTGGCTTCGTTCCGCCCAACTCTTTCGCACCGAATAGCAACCCGAATGATGCGACGGATCATCACCAAGACCGAAACGCTCAAAGCAGTTTCAAGTTCTCCGCTGCTTCGTTCAATGTCGAAGCGCCTGTTTTCAACCCTTCGGCTAGTATAACCTCGAATGTCAGTTCTGAGCGCCCAGCTGCAAACAGAACCAAGATCTTCGGTGACATTGATATCGATGAGATTTCCAAGCCCGCCAAGGCCTCCAAAGCAATCCCCATCGTGCGACCAGACGAGAACGGAGAGGAGGGTGAGGAGGGTGAGCCAGAGGAGCCAGCAGTTGAGAAAGATGCTTCAAGTCATCCTGTCACCACAGACCGCCACAAGCGTGCGCGCCGTGGGGCTGGCCATCCCGAAGGCGAGGCTAGATATAGCATCTCGACTCATCCTCTGGGCGAGGCTGGCAATGTTCAAGCTTCTGGCTCTCTCCACGCAGTTGCCGAGGGCAAGGAGAATGCCCTGCCTGAGGAAAACCCCATTGACCGACGGGGTACCCCTGCGAGCGAAGCTACCACCTGGACCCTGTTTGATGCCAAGAACGAGGTCGAGAACCAGTCTCCAGTCGGGTCACCTATTCGGGCGGAGCCCGTTTTGGAAGCCCCAGAGGCTGAAGAGGCTGAGCAGGATATTCTTGTCGAAGAACGTCAACCCAAGCAACCTGCCGTGGGAGATGACACTTCAGTGACGGTTTCTAAAAAGATTGATCATGCTCCCCATGGATCCAAGAACTCCATCAAGAGCACCGGGCTGTCGGCTACTGCCCCGGCCTTTGAGTTCAAGCCTGCCGTTTCCGAATTCGTTCCTGGGGGTGTGGACTCTGCTAGCACCGCCGAGCCGAAGCCCGTTGAAGAGAAGCCCGCCACGAAGCAACCCAAGCAGGGTGGACTGATGGCTTCTCGATTTGCTGCAGCAAGCCCACCAAGCAAACATTCTGAGCCTCAGTCCTCCGCTCCATCCCGCGACCAAGCACAAGTCATCACCCGACAGCCCAAGCATGCTTCAAGCCCATGGCACTCTGAGAGCGACTCTCCAGACGATGCAGAGTTGAACGCCATCATGGAACAGCTGAATGATGACTCCGATGTTGGCATCGAGCGCCACATGACTCCCTTCAACACGATCCATGCCACTCCCTTCCGGCCCCGTCAAGAACATCTCACAGAGTCGATGGGCGGGCCCACCAAGGAACAGCGCTTTGGCTCGGTGGAAGCCCGCAGTGAGGCTCCCAGCCCAAGTCCCGGTGGTGCACCCAAGTACAAGCTTGATATTCCCCGGCTTGGCTCTGACCTCGATGGCAATAGCAACGCCACTTTCTCTCCTCAGAAGAGTCTTATTTCTCGTCTTCAATCCCCGGTCCACCACTTGGTTACTGAAAACGATCACGTCAGCGACTGGGATGATATGATTTCCGCTGGCGAGGATGAGAAGTTCATGAACAGGAACCGCTTCTTCGACCGCCGTATCAACGACCTTGTTGGCTCTGCCATCGATGACAAGCTGGGCCCCATGGAGCGTGCTCTGGCTGTGATTCAGCAGTCTGTGGCTTCTATCGCTACTGGTGCTTCTAGCCGCCGGGTCTTCCGCAGCACGTCAGCTGAGATGGAGGACAGTGACGCCGATGATGAGGACGATGGCGATGTGGAAGAGGAGTCAGTCCGCGACCGCTCTCCCCACAACATGAGGGAGCGCAAGCTGGAGATGCTCAAGAATGTTGTCATGGAGGCTTTGGTTACCCACGATATCCCTCAGCGTGCCGCTCCTCATTCCAGCCATGGCGAGATCTCCCAGCTCAAGGAGAGCATTGCCGAGCTGCAGGCTTTGACAATCAAGAAGCTCGCGCAGGACCCTGTTGGTGACATGCGTGAAATTCTCGAAGAGACAATGGCCAAGCAATTGGCTCAGCAGGCTGCATTGCAGACCCCGCGTCTGTCTGAGGCTGAGGAAATCGGCGCCGATAGCCTTATGCTCCAGATCGACGGACTCAAGAGCATGCTGCGTCTCGCCGATGAGCGCGCTGAGCAAGAGTACAATGACCGCCGACAGGCGCAGGATTCTATGACCGAGCTTCAGCGTCTTCTGAAGTTTGCCGAGGAGGATGCTGCTCGCCACAGCGCTGCTGCCGAAGATGCCGAGTCTCGCCTTCTTCAATTCAAGGAGGAGAAGATTCCCTACTTTGAGAAGATGCAGTTCCGCACTGAATCCCTCTCTGAGGAGAGTGAAACTCTCAAGGTCACCATTGCTGAGTTGTCTACCAAGAACATTGCTCTCGAGGGAACCCTGGACGAATACCGTGTGTCCAGTGATAGCTTCCGCCGCCAACTTGACACAACCAAGGGTGAGAACCAGTCTCTTCACGAGACCATTGATCACCTGAGAACCCGCATCGAGGACAGCATGATCTCACGTCAGAACCTGACTGAGAAGTTCGACCGCCTACAGAACGACATGCTCAGTGTTACTGCTGATATCACTCGTGATCAGGCTTCATGGCGCAAGAAGGAGCAAGAGCAGAATGCCAAGTACAATGAGCTGCGTGCATCTCACTCCCGTGAGTTGCAGTTGCGCCAGAAGCTCGAGGAAGATGTCCGCATGTTTGAGAACCAGGAGCGGGAATCCACGAAGCTCAAGTTCATCCAAGAGCAATCCCAACAAGAGAATGCTAGACTGGAGGAGCTGGTCAACAGCTTGCGTGCTGAGAATCATGATCTAGAGATCAAGGCAGCTCGCTTCGAGCGTGAGTTCACCGAGGCCCGCGAGAGCAGCCGCATCGAGATCCAACGCACTCGCTCTTCAATGGAGGCGGATGTGGACGCTGCCAATAGCCAGGTCAACATTGTGCGTGCCGAGCTCGAGGCCCAGTTGATTCGCTTGCAGACACAGCTCGACAACAACCGCATGGATACCGATACCTCCCGGGAGCGTTATGAGCTGCTCTTGGAGGAAGCCAGGGATTCCAAGGTTTCTGCCCTGGCTGCGAAGGATCTCGCCATTGATGAGACACGCAAGATGCACGAGCGTGTTCTCAATGACTTGCGTGAACGCCACGCACGCGCCTTGCACAATTCGTCTGAGGATCGTGCTCGGGGTGAGAACCACAACATGGAGCGGATGGCTTTGTCCGAGGAGAAGGCTAAGCACTTGCAAGAGCGTGTGAGCCACCTCGAGGAGAGACTCGAGATTGCCCAATCTGCTGCCCGTGCTGCTGCTGAGGCGGCTCACAGTGCGAAGGCAAGCCCTGCTTCAATTCCTGTCCCGACTGCTGCACCCTCGCACTCACGCTCAACACCATCCATGTCCTTCGGCAAGGGATCAGAGGAACCCGAGAGGATCTCTCCTCAAGCTTTGCGAGAGTCCATCTTCGTGCTCCAGGACCAGCTTCAGCAGCGCGAGACACGCATTGAGGAGCTCGAGCAAGAAGTGTCCACCGTAGACAAGGATGCACCAAACAAGATCAAGGAGAAGGATACCGAAATCACCTGGTTGCGTGAGCTCCTCGGTGTCCGCATCGATGATCTGCAAGATATCATTCAGACCCTCTCCAAGCCTACTTTCAACCAGCATGCTGTCCGCGATGCAGCTATTCGCCTCAAGGCCAACCTTCAAATGCAGCAACAAGAGAAGGAACGCCTCACATCCGGCAACCTCCCCTCCCTCTCTGATCTTGCTGCCTCGCCCCGCTCCCTCCCCTTGGCCGCGGCCGCGGCCTGGGGAAACTGGCGCAAGGGTCGCGATCCCAACTCAACCACCGACTCCACCCCCTCAAAGCCCAGCAACGCCGGTACCTTCCTTTCGGGTCTCTTGACACCCCCGAGCTCCCATGTCCGTCAAAATGGTCCCGGCCAACAAATGAGTGCCGCCCAGCGATTCGCGGAAACCCGACCTCTCAGAGGGTTCAAGTCGCCTAGACGTGCCCCTGCACGCAAGGAGCCTGTCGTTGCGGAGCCCCCCAAGACCCCGCCTCTACTCCGTCGCTCGAGCTATGACCACGATGCCGAGCCGGCGAACTATGAAGAAGGCCACTTCGATGAGAATGAAAGTACAGTCGACGGGGTAGTCTCCGCATCTCCGAAGGAGAGAGACGATGAGGGTCCATTCGGACCTCAGATCGGAGAGGCCGAAGAGGTCGATGCTGAAGTTTCTTCCTCTGATGAGCCCTCCACGGAAGAGGAATGAATTCTCAACCCATCTCTCAACCTGTCACCAATCTCGGTCTCATACTTTGCCTGAGCCCCGCGAAAATTTAGACACTTTGTCTTTCCTATTTACCCCCCTATTTTCTTTTTTTCTCTCGTTACCATACCCTATCGACATACATACTTATCTTCTGGCTTCTTACCCGTTGATCGATGTTTGCGTTTTCGGATTTGATACCACCCCGTTTTTGATATTGCCCAAGAATTGTACATTGTGAACATCCCATTTCCCTCTCGATTTATCTTCTGCTACACATACTAATAGTCAATATTTGTCGCTCTTTACCCTTCATGACTGTTCCATATTACCCTTTGCTATCCTTGGATGTGCGCTTCCAATGCTGGTTTTTTCTGTAGCTTATTACTTTGTTGAACATTGTCAATCTGAGATATGTTGAGATTCATTCTACTACCTAAGTAATGTCTCTAGTTTGAGTACACCTGGGCAGTATTGAACATGCCCAGGTGTTAAGTGAATATACACATCCATGGATGCCTCGGCTGCCTTGATATATACACATTGAGATTCCTTCTTTTTTTATTAGATGAATTAATAAAACAATCTTTCCAAGGATTTTCATACTACACCTACACAACCAACGTCCAATAACCCAAAATCCCCAGTCAAACAGCGAAATCCTAGAGAAACCCAAGGCGGAGGGCGGAGGGCTGTTTATGGTGGTCCGAGCGTCTCCAATTGACACCTTTCGGGAGACGTGAACCTCCGCCTCACCAACGCAATTGTTCTCCAGCTCTCGACAATCTTCATCATGCGATTCTCTACAAGCGCTATCCTGGTGACCGCACTGGGGTGGATCACCGCCGCGACCGCACACACCATCCAACTCAAGGCTCACTCACGAGAGTGCTTCCACGAGGCCCTGCACCGTGACGATGTGATGACCGTCACTTTCCAAGTCGGCGATCGTGAGTTTGGAGGCAGTGGAAACCTCGAAGTTGATTTCTGGGTATGGATTCCCCGCTCCGCACCGCACCCTGAACAAGGGCTCTATGCCCCTTTACGATGTGCCGTTGGAACTGCGCCTCAGACCCTGGTGCCAGCAGCTTCCTTCGAGGGAGGCAAACTAGATGGATTGCAGGATTGGATAGTCCTTTCAGACAGACAATGGCTAACTACGGTCGCGCATCCAGGTTGAGGATCCTCAGAGAAACCGCCAGTACTTCAAGTCCGCCGTCCCCTCTGATGATTATTCGTTCACTGCGCTTTCCGACGGAAAATACACCTACTGCTTCAGCAACGAAGGCTGGACCTCGAACTCCAAGGAAGTCTCTTTCAACGTGCACGGAATTGTCTACGTCCCCGAGTCTGAAATGTCGAAAGATCCCCTCGAGACGGAAGGTAGGCGCTGGAAATGCCGATACAAGAAGCAAATGGATATTAATCGGTGTCTAGTTCGCAAACTTTCCGAGGTCCTCTCACAAGTTAAGGATGAGCAGTCATACATTGTTGTGCGCGAGCGTGTGCACCGGAACACCGCAGAGAGCACCAACGGGCGTGTGAAGTGGTGGAGTATGTTCCAGCTCATGGTGGTCATTGCCGAGGGTGTGTTCCAGGTGTGGTGGTTGAAGAGATTCTTCGAGGTACGTGGGTTCTCCCCTGGAGACTGATACAGGACTGACATGAGATGCAGGTCAAGCGCGTGGTTTAATTGAACGGTGGACATCTCTTGAATCGCGTGATTTTGGCAACGACCCTGTTGATGAGCAAATATATTGTAGAATTGGGCATTCCGGGCGCGTTTCCGCACGCGAATTACCAGGAAAATTTCATTTACGTTTTCACGCTATCACATTCAAAGGCTAGACTTAAATAATACATCTGTATGGACCTCGGAGCATTGCAAAGACGTCCGTTGAAGCGAAAGCGAGGATACGAATGGACCAAAGTACGCCCAAGAATGCCAGCACAGGGAACCTGGGAACTTGCCCAGGTGGAATTGCATGATCAACGCATTTGCATATATATTTGCCTTCTCCAGGGCTGTCGATTTCACCGTGACGAGTGTACTCGACCCCGCAACTTGGCAGGAGTCGAGGTAAGTATCTACTGGATTTCCACGGCAAGGAGATGAGTGCTGATATTCCCTAGTAGAACCTCGAAGACAAAGCGTGCTGATTTGCTCCGGACACCTTACATCGGAAGATGGAGGACACGCTCAGGAACCTCAGTCTCCCCCTGAGTAACCTGAATGTGAATGACCCCTTGTTCTATATATGCTGGCGACGACAGTCTTGTTCCAGTTGTCTGTCGGGCGCTGACCCGTGTAGTTGGTGTGCAATCGTAAGTCATTTCATGTCACTTGTATATCCAGTTACGCAGTCGACGGTCACATGAAACATCATATGATCAACATTCTCCTTCGATTCGAGATGATGTTTCACACCCTTGCATCCCAGCCCCCGGAATGGGGAGGGGGTTTCAAGGCCACGCCAAGCTGCTTTGACATCTCAGATCAGGACCAAATGCTTTTTACAGAGCTGACTCAAATTGATAGTCATCAACCTGTGTGCCAAATCCATCGCGTGTTCCTATACTGGCACCTATCAGCTCGGCATACATCTGCCCCCTGGGCGGCAAGGAACGATGGGAGCTACGAGCACAGCCTTTTGGATGCAATGCCAGTACATTGACTGTCATGTCCGTCTTTGTGGCAGTGCTAGGAACGATGGCCCTTGGTGGGATAGGGGTTCTAGTGGTGCGGCTTGTGCGTCGAGTCCGGCGCCGATGGAAGGAGTTGGAATACGAGGGGGTTGACCCTTCCAAGTGGCGAGATTTAGGCTTTCTAGTCTCCATTGCTAGTCTCTTCCCTAGCTGGGGTCGTCAATCCCCGAGTGACGAGGAAGACGGCGAAGAGGAGATAAGACCGTTGCTTGAGTAAAAGCGTGATGGGACAATCATGGAATAGATGTTTATAAAATGCATATGATCAATGCTTTCCGAGTCTTCTATTTAACATGGAATTTGAACTCCAGCAAGTTTGCAAACCGGAGATTAGGCCACAGAGTTGATCATCTCATGGATGACCAAAGCCAGTTCATCAGTGGCCTTTTTGGCGCGTGGAAGAGCATGGCCTCCTCCGTGGTCAAACAGATCGGCAGTATCCGGATCGCACATGTTGTATAGAGCCATCGAACCATCGAGGAATGGATCGCATGCCCCGATAACATGACATGTCGGTAAAGTGAAGGGCTCTTTCTCGAAATCATCCGCCAGGACGATCTTCCCAGTGACAGGATGGACAGGGGGCCACCCCGAGAAAAAGATTGCGCATTTGATCCGAGGTGTGCGACCTAGTTCCGCTCGTCGTTGTTCTTCCATCAGAAGTGACGCGGCGACCTGGGCGCCTTCTGAATATCCAATGATCCCCTCGAACTCGTCGTCGTTATCCAGGATGCTAATAAGACGCTCCATCACATCTCCAATGCAGCTATAAGTGGGATCCCCGGATATCTCTAGGCCTGCCCTCAGGGCTTCCTCTGGGGTGTTCCGTTTCGGGAAATCTCGCATGTTCATCAAGAATCCTTTATGGCCGTCGGGATGGAGGAATGAGTGATGGGGCGGTGGACCGAAGAAGCCCTGGTAATCGGGCGGGACATACATCTTGACTTCGCCCTGGATGAAGTGGAAGTCGACATTTCCAGTGGCACAGAGAGAGTTGTAGCACGGTGCTGGGAGAATGTTAGATATCCTCAGACCCGGATCTCCATGTATACACACATATCTGAGCTTTGAAACCCTTCAAACCAAGATCAGTGAATGGCAATGATCACAGGAGGTGCATGACATACATTAGCAGAACAATGGCCTCCCGGGAGGCAGAGGAACTTCATATCGATGTGAGTGGCGACCGAGTGGAGATGAAAGCGAATCGGAGTGTTTCTATAAAGAGAATCGTGGGAGGCGTCTGGAAAAGATGATGCCACTGAGAATCTGCCAGGCCAGTGACCCCTGTGTGTGGAATGTTCAGACCCTCACCTTAGCAAGGGTCCTATTGTATATCAAAGGCAGGGCAGGGCAAAACCCTGATATCTCAGACCTGCAGCCCTGGCATCCATAGAAGCTTGTGCCTGCAGGAACCCGTGGAGGCAGCACTGCGCGTAATAAGAGCAGAAAGCGTGGATGCAAGCCAGGCTCAGCCTATCATTGCCCTTAATTCCCCTGTTTTGACCGAACCCTAAAGCCCAGATCGGCATGTGTGCTGTTGATGCAAGGGCGTGTGTTCATACTCCATAACAAATCTCCATACCATGCCCTTCTTTCGTGCCTTCGTGGCTTTGAATAAAAGCCCAATTTTGTTCTCGAATACCATATCATTCTTTCCTTTACTCTCATTCCTCGTATATTTGCTGGCTATTGGAGATTATAGTGCCAGGTACATAATTTGACTCTCTCGAAACCACTTTCACAGCAAAGATGCGTCTGCAACAGCCCTCTGGGACCGGGACTCCGGTCATCGAGCGTACGAACACGCCTGCGCAACAACCCGAACCAGTCGAGATGGAGATCGGCGATGCGCCAAAACGAATGGCCATTATCGGAATGTCCTGCCGCCTCCCAGGCGAAGTCACCACGCCTGATCAGTTCTGGGAGATGTGCTCGAGAGGACGGAGTACGTGGTCAAAGTTCCCGAAGGACCGATTCAATGGCGATGCCTTCTACCATCCGAACGCCGATAGACCTGGCTCGTTCAACCCCGAAGGCGCGCATTTCTTGAAGGAAGATGTAGGTCTTTTCGACGCACCTTTCTTCAACATTACACTGCAAGAGGCGCGGTCGATGGACCCCCAGCAGCGCATCATGCTTGAGTGTGTATACGAAGCCCTCGAGAATGCCGGCATACCGAACCACGAGATCACCGGCCAGCGGGTTGGAGTGTTTGCCGGATCCTCATTTCCAGATTATGAAATCAACAACACGAGAGACATTGAAGCCATTCCGATGTATGCTGCCACAGGGACGGCAGTGTCTTTGCAAGCGAATCGGGTATCCTATTATTTCGACTTGACAGGACCAAGCATTGCGGTTGATACGGCTTGCTCATCCAGTCTTTCAGCGCTGCATCTAGCATGTCAGAGTCTTCGGAATGGAGAATGTTCAACCGCGATTGTTGGAGGATGCCATTTGAACTTGGTCGCGGATGCATTTATTGAAATGACACGCAACAGGTGGGTTAGCGCGAAAGAGTCAGCGAAGTTGAAAGCTAACGGTCTTTTTTGTGATCTAAAGACTCCTCGCAGATAGCGGCCGCTCGTATGCATTCGATAGCCGTGCGACTGGGTTTGGACGTGGTGAAGGTGCCGGATGTATTATATTGAAGTCCATCGAAGACGCAGAGGCTGCCGGCGACACCATCAGATCTGTTATTGTGAATACTGGCATCAATCAGGATGGACGCACACTAGGCATTGCGATGCCTAATGGCGAAGCCCAGGAGGCTTTGATACGCCAGGTCTATAAAGAAGCACGCATCGATCCATCTATGACGGGCTATGTGGAGGCGCACGGCACCGGCACCAAAGTCGGAGATCCTCTCGAAGCTACTGCACTCAACGCCGTCTTTGGAAAAGGGCGCACAGCCAGACAGCCATTGTTTGTTGGATCTGTTAAATCCAATATTGGCCATCTCGAAGGATCTAGCGGTATTGTGGCAGTGATCAAGACTGTGCTGGCACTTGAGCGCGGCTTCGTGCCTCCCAACTGCAATTTTGACAAGTGCAATGAAGAGATTCCCATGGAAAAATGGCACATGAAGGTGAGAACGAATAGCAAGCACAGACGGTTGACTGAATATGCTAATTGAGAGCGCCCAGGTACCCAAGAAGTTGACTCCCTGGCCTCGGGGCAAGCCATACGCGAGTATCAATAACTTCGGATTCGGCGGCACCAACGCGCATGTTATTCTTGAACGACTTAATCGACACGAGGGTGAAGGTGTTGTGAGCAACGATCCTCTTAAGCGAAAGCTGTTTGTTGTCTCTGCATTTGACAAGCAGGCTTGTGTACAAATGGGGCACGATCTTAGCTCGTATGTCGACCTCCACCCCACGGTTTTCGACGACAAAGTTTTGGACAGGACGGCCTACACCCTAGGCCAGCGAAGGAGTTTCTTCCCATGGCGCCTTGCTGGTTCAGCAGAGCTTTCGCAAGATCTAACCGCACTGATGTCGACGAATGCTACGCCTGTCCGTTGCTCGAAAGAGCCAACAGTCGGCTTCGTCTTCACAGGACAAGGTGCCCAATGGCATGGGATGGGAAAGGAGCTTTTGGGAACCTATCCGGTTTTTGAACAGACAATGAAGAATGTCGACGCCTGTCTGAAGTCGCTAGGTGCCACATTCTCTATTGCTGGTACGTTGTGTTCCGCCTAACTTGAATGGCTATTTGATGCTAACGAGCTCAGACGAACTACTCTTGGATGATCCAAGTAAAAGTTGCATCTCTGCAGCATACATGAGTCAGCCAGCGTGTACTGCAATTCAGCTCGCACTGGTAGACTTGCTTTCCTCATGGGGAATTCGACCCAAGGCAGTCGTGGGACATTCAAGCGGTGAAATCGCAGCGGCGTATTCGGCAGGCATACTCACCCTCGAAGAATGCGTGCGGGTGGCATACTCCCGAGGTGTAGCCGCGGACCTTGTTGCTAAGGACAAAACTCTCAAGGGAGGTATGCTGGCTGTTGGGGCTTGCGCATCTGATATCCAACAGATCTTGGATGCCATGCGCGGGAACAGAGCCGTCATAGCCTGTGTGAACAGTGAATCCAGTGTGACACTATCTGGAGATGCTGAAGTCGTTACCACGCTTCAGAATGCGCTGGACAAGGAAGGAATCTTCACCAGACGCCTGCTGGTTGATGTTGCATATCACTCTCACCACATGCAGACAGTTTCGCAACAGTACCGATCATTGCTGGGAAAGATCGCGCCTCGGGACTCTGATGTGCCATTCCACTCTACCGTGCATGGGAAGTTGGTTCCTGGGAGCACCCTCGATGCTTCCTACTGGGTTGAGAACTTGATCTCGCGTGTAGAATTCGTCGATGGTCTGAAGAGCCTCTTGACCCATGAAGGAACCGGTATTGACACCTTGGTTGAACTCGGCCCACACCCAGCTCTCCAGGGACCGGTCAAGCAAATCGCAGAAATCCATGCGCCGAAGATGAATGTGCAGTATCATCATACCCTGAAGCGCAAGGTTGATGGAATTGAGGCAGTCCAAAACATGGCGGGTTCCTTGTTCACCCAAGGCATGCCTCTAAACTTCCAAGCTATCAACTTCCCGACATACGACAAACTTGAAAGAAAACCAACCGTCCTGAATGACCTTCCAAGGTACCCTTGGAACCACACAGAAAGGTACTGGCATAACTCCCGGCTTGCAGACAACCTTTATCGCCGCCGATTCCCCAAAAACGATATTCTGGGCTCGTTGATTATGGACGGTGTGGACTTCGAACCTCGTTGGAGGAACATCATCCGTGTCGATGATCACCCTTGGATCCAGGAACACAGAGTTCAAGGCATGACCGTGTATCCCATGACTGGATTCCTCGCAATGGCCATGGAGGCCATCTCTCAGCACGCCCAAATCCACCATATCGTCCCCGGAAAGATCGATCTTCGCGATATCTTCATTCACCGCGTTCTGGCCATCCCGGACACATCATCCGTGGAGACCATATTCAGCCTCAAGCCATGTCGTGCAGAGACACCCAGCAAGTCTGTTCTCGGCTGGCACGAGTTCAAGGTCTTCTCATGGGTCGAGAGTCGAGGCTGGGATCAGCACTGCCACGGCTTCGTTATGGTTCACGAAGCGAAAGAGCTGAACCCCGTGGATGGGACACGCCAACAGCTCGAGCACACGGCTCGCTTTACCCAGAAAGCCCTGGAGATGCGTCATTCCTGCACTGGACATGTCGACAGTGCGGTCCTATATGAAGATATTTCCAATGGCGGCGTTCAGTATGGTCCTGTTTTCCAGGGCCTGACTGATGTTCGGGTCAGCGCAGCCGCTCAAGCCATGGCAAAGATATCAGCTCCCGACACCAAGACTCTCATGCCCCATCAACATGAGTCTGCTTGCATCGTTCACCCCGTTACCCTTGATCTGTGTAGCCAGGTCATGTGGGTAATGTGTGGTTACGGACAGCCAGGGGACCATGTGACCAATTTGCCATCACACCTGAAGCATGTCACAGTATCTCTGGGCCAAGAGATCAAGGCTGGCACGACTCTCCAGCTATACGGCGAGCGATTTGGTGACACATCCGCCAGCAAGCAGGAGAGTAACCGTATCTTCGCGACTGATCCTAACAACTCCTCCAACTTGCTCATTGATATCCGGGATATCACTCTAGTGCCTCTGTCGAGTGAATCCAAGGTATCAAAGGATAGCTCGCCCGACCAGATATGCTACAAGTTGGATTACCAGCCTTGCTTCGATTTCCTCTCCGCAGAGGACTACCGCCACCTCCCACGCCCTTTGACTGATCACACTGAGGGAGTGAAGCGGATGAGTGAATTGGAGCTGGCAGCAGAGCATTACCTGCGCCAAATGCTCAAATCAGTCCCAGATACTGAGCTTTCCAGCCTCAAACCGCACCATCAACAATTCTATCGCTGGGCCCAGAGCACGATAGAACAGGTTGGACCGGCAGAGGCTTTGACCTTTGACACTCTCGAGCGAAACCGTGCCGCGAATGGTGCTGGTGCACTCGCATTCAAAGTTGGTGAAATGCTGCCTGAAATCCTGAGAGGCAAAGCCGATGCCTTAACTGTGCTCTTGGAAGACGATGGAATAGGCGCCCACTACCGTGATTTGGATGCTCTCCACGAAGCCTATGCCAATGCATCCGTCTGCGTGGATAAGATGGGTCATCAAAACCCGGAGCTGAACATCATTGAGATTGGCGCCGGTACGGGCGGTGCGACCACGCCTATTCTGAACAGTCTGGGCGGGGGCGAGCCGGGATCCACGCCCCGCTTCGGCCACTATACCTACACGGACATCTCGCCCGGGTTCTTCGAGAAGGCGAAGGCCAAGTTCGAGAACTGGGACCACCTCATGACATACCGGACATTGGATATTTCGGCTGATCCCACAGGGCAGGGATTCCATAATGGTGTTTACGATGTCGTTGTTGCTTGTAATGTTCTCCATGCCACGTCGGATATTGGTCAGACGATGGCGAACATTCGAGCTTTGCTGAAGCCTGGTGGTAAAGTCCTGCTCATTGAAGAGACTGTTTCCAAAGCCCGTCACTTCCCATTCGCACTTTTGCCTGGATGGTGGTTGGCAAGTGACAAGTTCCGCAATGCAGGTCCGCTTCTCACCGTCGACGGATGGCATAGTGTCCTGAGGGAGACCGGCTTCTCTGGACTCGATCTTTGTCTGGAGGAGTACCCAGGTGCCTCTTTCCAGGCCGGCTGCCTGATGACATCTACTGCGAGTGCCCCGCTGATAGGCCCAGCCAACCCCGGTGACATTGTCATCCTCGGCACGGAATCTATTGGAAGCCTGTCCGCTCTGAGCTTGGAGCTCGGTCTCCAGGACATGACCGGTGTGTCACCGATTACTGCCACTGACTCCGATGCAGTAGACGTGACAGGGAAATGGTGTATCTTCCTAGGAGGAATGGACCGCTCAATTCTGTCACACATGACTGCAGAGAGATTCCAAGCCCTCCAACGACTCCTCAGCCGAGCCCGTGGTCTACTCTGGGTTGTCCGTCACAGCAAGACCGACCTTGAGTCTTTGGGTGCCAACATGGCCATTGGCCTAGCACGCACAGTGCGGTCCGAGACTGGTCTGCAGTTTGCTACCCTCGATCTGGGAGAGCGGAAGAGTATGTCTGATCCGCAAGCAGTGGAGCATATGCTCAAGGTCTTCAACGGTGTCTTCTGTCAAAAGTCGCAGCTCGCTCAGAATGATTGGGAGTTTGTGATTCGCGATGGAAATATCTGCGTCCCACGTCTTGTCGACAACAATGCTCTCAACTCGAGTGTCCAACAGGAGACACCGGATGCACCTTCCCAACTGCAGCCCTTCAAGCAAGATCGCGCACTGCGGCTCGCCCCTGGAGAAGGTAAAGGTCTTGATGAAATGTATTTCACTGATGATGCGTCTCACAACGCGCCTCTTCCGGATGATCAGATCGAGATCCAAGTCGTTAGCACCGGTCTTAACTTCAGAGACGTCTTGATGGCCATGGGCCAGCTTCAAGGTGACCGTCTTGGACAAGAGTGCAGTGGCATAGTCACCAAAGTGGGATCTGCTGTGAGATACTTCAGGGAAGGGGATCGTGTCTGTGCCATGTCCCCGGGATCATTGTCAACCTTCACCAGATGCCAAGCATCAAGTGCCTGGGTTATCCCGGACAAGATGCCATTCGAAGTAGCAGCCTCAATTCCTGCTGTCTTTTGTACCGCTTATTATTCCCTCATTGACCTCGGTCGACTTACTCGGAATGAAACGGTACTCATTCATGCCGCCGCGGGAGGTGTTGGCCAAGCTTCCATCATCATTGCGCAGAGTGTTGGAGCCAAGATACTGGCGACTGTTGGCAGTGTTGAGAAGAAGCAATTCCTGATGGACACATATGGCCTTGAAGAAGAGCAGCTATTCTTCAGCCGTGATATTTCCTTCGCAGAAGGTGTGCTAGCTGCCACTGACGGCGAAGGTGTAGATGTCGCAATCAACTCTCTCAGCGGTGATGCCTTGCAAGCCACGTTCGAGTGTATCGCGCCGTTCGGACGCTTCATCGAGCTCGGAAAGAGAGACATCACAACTAATTCGCGCTTGGAAATGGCCCACTTCAACAAGAACATTTCATTCGCGTCGGTTGATTTGGGAATCGTCAGAGAGAAGCGCCCACAGCTGACCAAGCGCTTGTTGCGGGATGTTTTCAAACTGTTTGCCGATACAGACGCCCAGTCCAGATGGCCCGTCACCACACTTCCGATCTCGGAGGTAGAGGCTGGTTTCCGTGCTTTGCAGGGTGGACAAGTTATCGGTAAAATGGTTGTGCAGATCACGGACGACTCAATGGTCAAGGTAAGTTCATGAAGATCCCCAGGTGCAAACTCGGGCATTTTCTGACTCAAACATAGGTCCATCCCGCTCGAAGAGATGAGAACCTCCTCCAATCTGATGCCTCATATGTCATTGTCGGTGGCACGGGAGGTATCGGTCTCGACATCGCCGGCTGGATGCCAGAAAAGGGAGCGAAGAATCTTGTCTTGGTTTCCAGGAGTGGAGCTTCTACCGACGCCGCCAAGAAAGCCATTGAAGATATCAAGCTCAAAGGCGTCAATGTGGAGGTTTGTCGCTGTGATGTCTCGGACAAGCAGAGTGTGGAGCAGCAGCTTGTCCCAGTGCTCTCTCGATTGCCTCCCGCTCGTGGTGTCGTATATGGCGCCATGGTCCTCCGGGTAAGTAACTCGTGTCTGACTCCAAAGAAAGCCTTCGTTAACCGTGAAATAGGATACGTTGTTCGAGAAGCTCAGCTTTGCCGACTACCAGACTGTGATGATGCCCCGAGTCCACGGAATTTGGAATGTCCAGCGAGCATTGAACACCACCAACGCCGAAATCGATTTCTTCGTCAACCTCTCCTCCGCAGCCAGCTTCGTCGGAAACATGGGTCAATCCCCCTATGCAGCAAGTGGTACTTTCATGTCCGCGCTGGCGCAATATCCCGAGAGCGCCCAGATGCGCTTCTCAACCATCGATCTACCAGTCGTCCGAGGCGTCGGATATCTCTCCGACGACACCAAGCGCGCCGAAATCACCAAACAACTCGGCACCGAGTCCGTAGATGCAACCGATATTCGCGGTCTCGTGACAGCAGCAATCCGCAAGGAGTTCGACGCCGCCTGTGGAGGACACTGTGTTGCCGGGTTCGAAGCTGTGAAAACAACGCCTGTTTCCGAGCAGCCTTTCTATGTCACTGATACCAAGCTGTCGCATCTGCTTCGTCTGTCTACCCTCGCTGGCGCGGGTGCAGTGGAGGCTGTGCAGCATGGTAATGAAATTGCTCCTGCTGTTGCGATCCGTCAATCTAAGGACCGTGAGACAGCTACTGCTGTGACTGCGGCTGCTATTCTGGGTAAGATCTCGAGCATTCTGATGCGCCCGATCGAGGAGCTGGATCCTGCTGCCCCCATCTCTGTGTATGGTCTTGACTCGCTGGTTGCTATTGAGATTCGGAACTGGATCACGCGTGAGCTGGAGTCGAATTTGCAGATTTTGGAAATCCTCACCAGTGATTCCATGGCTGCCCTTGCAGAGATGATTCTTGCTAAGTCTGGGATTCTTTCCCCGGAGTTGAAGGCCGAGTGGGGCCTTGATGTTGCTAAGGAATGAGTTTGCATTTGACGCATTTTTACCTTCTGTTTATTCCCTGTTGGCATAACACTGTACTTTACCAAATTTTCTTTTTCTGTTATTTCTGTTTTATTAGCTCCCAGACTGAGGTTTCCTATGTCTTCTATGAATTCCACCATTTTTCCAACAGTCAACTTGTGCCAATTTGATTCCCTGATCTCTGATCCCTTAAGCCAATCCCACACATTCACCATTGTGACTCTCAACTGAATGGAGATTAGCCAAATTTCCCATCGATAGATCCGCGGATGTCTCACCGAATCTTCAGAAAAAGTCCGTCGGGTTGGTCCGTCGCGTGCAATCGAAAGGCTCATCAATGAACCAAGTGTTGTGCTGCTGATCAAACACAATCGGGTAGGTAGTCTCAGGATCACAAAGCTGATCGATCTGGGCCTTGTCGCCCGCGCTAATGGTAAACCAATACTTGTTCGTATCGGAGCTGACCTTCTCGCACTTGTAGAAGAAGCCCGTCACGCCGTCGCCGAGAACATCACTGCGGAAATCGACCGCCAGCTTCTTGTTCAGATTGATGTTGTCGCAGTCCTCTTTCAAGCCCTCGGGGGAGGCCGTGTCGGCGGATTGGGAGGTGAATCCCTTCGCCGTGTGGGTCCCGTTGGCGGACCACGTCGATGCAGGCAAGGATAGTTGGTCGGCGATGGAGGATAGTAGCAAGCTATTGGTGATCGTTGCGGCTGAGCAGCCGATGCTGGCGCTCAACAGGGTCAGGGTTGCGAGCATGGGAATCTTGATCTGGACCATGGTGAATAACTTGGAGTCTGGTGTTTTCATGGGGTATGAGATGGGTTTATATGGTGTTTCGTACCTGGCGGTGCTTATAGTGGAGGCTCACTTGTCTCGATTGGAGTGCAATAGCCGCGAGGACTTGGAGTGGTAGGGTGCGCTTCCCCACCCGATGCGGCGGTCATAGCCGCGCCTATGACGCCCGGTTTGTTCTAGCAGCGGGTTAGCAGTGGATTAGCAGCGGTGGATCTGGTGTTGCTACCCCAGATTCTTTTATAAGCTAAGACCCGCATGAATCAAAGAGTCTGGGGACGCCGTAGTTTATAATATCTGCGACATCCCGTGGGATCTGCAATATGCACCGAATTTTCGAAATCCACCAAATCCGCCATTTCTTACGCGAAATGTGAGTATCGTCCGGCTCTAGGTTTTGTCATGTGCCCAATTGACCAATTGCCACTTTTTTGTACTCAGTACATCTCTTGCCCGGAAGTGCAGTGCTCTGCACAGGGCAGGCCTTTCCAGGACCTCGGACGGAACGTGCGTTGCAGCCTGATAATTCAGGCCACATTCCCCCAACGTCCGGAAAGTCAAAATCCATTTGGGATCATCTCTCCAGGGAGCCGAATGCTCTATTCGGGAGAGTTCCGCATTCTGCAGGGATGAGACTCCAGATCGGAAAGTCTTGCCCCGGAGGCTGGTTCACCGGGCGTGCCGAGACCAATGGCCGTGCAGGAAGCCGTCGCCATGGCGAGACAGAACCCGAAAGGAAAAACGATCCCTGCTTGGCGTCCGCCAAGGAGAGGGCCTTTGGGCTAGTGCAGCCTGTACATGACCTCATTTCCGTTAGGTAATGATAGACGAGAGTTACCCCATCCCAAAGCGTCGACGACGGAGCACAAAATGTCTCAGAACGGGGCGCAATGGGGGTGAGGCAATTAGCGGTCACCTGAGGATGGGGTACGATTGGTTGCTGAGCCACTCTGAAGACTGAGTCCCCGTGGTTGTCCCAGAGTCTCCACCCCCAGACTGCGGAAATGTGGTTTTCTGGTTTCCCCGCATTCGTAGCGTCGCATTGGGCCATTAAGGTAACCTGGGGAAGAGTATTTCGAGAACCTCATGGCTTCAGAACAGTCTAAAGAACGATAATTTCGATCTGATGTCGAAATAGGCCCTAACGAGATCAAATAAGAGTAAAGATAAGGCTAAAACCGTCCTGGAGATAACGACCAAGCCTTATCTCTGTACGGGTGGCGTGTCACTCAATCGGTTCCCCTGACGGGCTGAAACCTTGGCTGATGGCGATAAAAAAAATTAAAAACCCGCAGTCCATGCCCAGTCCGAAGTTAGCCGGCTCCTAGTTTATAAACCGCGTGATGCCCGTCCATCAATGCCATTGCAATTGTCTCACCATGTCAGAGAAAGTCGAGAAATCATTAAGCCCGGTCCCTTCACATGAGGCCTCCAAAGAGGGTCAGATGCTGGATGCCCAGCATGATCCCATCTTTGGAGAGATCACCGAAGAAGGCCCCAACTACCGCAGCGTACGTGTAATCTAGACCGCGAGGTCTCGTCACTTCGGACTTCTGTACATCCGTACTCGTGTATCTCGTACTAACCCTCTCCTAGGTAGGATGGCTGGGCACAGCTGTCTTGATGATGAAGACGCAAATCGGTCTGGGAGTTCTTTCGATTCCTGTCGCGTTCAATCATCTAGGCATAGTTCCCGGTGTGATCGTTCTGATCGTGATTGCTGGCATCACCACGTGGTCCGATTACATTATTGGTGTCTTCAAACTGCGACATCGCGAGGTCTACGGTATTGACGATGCGGGAGAAAAGCTCCTGGGCCGCACCGGAAGAGTTCTCCTCGGTGGCGCCTTTGTACTTTGTAAGTCCCCTGATGTTCTTTGATATGATACACTTGCTGACCCACCATAGGGTGGGTCTTTGTGGCCGGCTCGGGCATGCTGGGTCTCTCCATCGGTTTGAATGCGGTTTCCGACCATGCCGTCTGCACAGCCGTCTATGTCGCCGTCGCGGCCATCTTGGCATGCATCCTCGGAAGCATCCAAACCCTAGGCCGCCTCTCGTGGTTGGCCTGGATTGGTCTATTCTCTATCCTAACATCAAGTAAGTACTCGACGTTGACATACATCCATATCAAGTCTAACCATCCTAGTTCTGATCGTGACCATCGCTGTCGGCGTCCAAGATCGCCCATCCGCCGCACCCAAAGATGCCGTCTGGGTTCCCGACTACAAAATCGTCGGAAGCCCTAACTTCGTCGATGCCATCACCTCCGTCTGCACGATCGTCTTCGCCTACGCCGGCACTCCCGCCTTCTTCTCCATCGCAGCAGAGATGCGCGAGCCCCGCCACTTCAACCGATCCCTCTACCTCTGCCAATCCGTCGTTACTATATTCTACCTCGTCATCGGCATCGTGATGTACTACTACTGCGGATCCTACGTTTCCTCTCCCGCTCTTGGCTCTGCTGGTCCAGTCGTCAAGAAAGTCAGCTATGGATTCGCCCTTCCCGGCCTGCTGGTCAGCACATTACTGTTCATCCATGTAAGAATACCACCCAACACAACCTAGATCAACTCACTAACTCCCCCAGATCACCGGAAAATACGTCTTCGTCCGCATCCTCCAAGGCTCACGCCACTTAGCCGCCAACACCTTCACCCACTGGGCAGTCTGGCTCGGCTGCACCGTCACCACCGCCATCGTCGCATACGTCATCGCCAGTGCCATCCCAGTCTTCAGCGACCTTGTCTCCCTCGTCGGTGCCCTGCTCGGTACTCCCATGTGCTTCCAGCCCATGGGTGGCATGTGGCTATATGACAACTGGCACAAGGGCCAGGACGGACGTCGCACCCCCAAGTGGATCTTCATGGTCTGCTGGTGCATTTTCGTCATCGTAGCTGGATTCTTCTTGATGGTTGCTGGAACCTATGGGTCTGTCGTCAGCATTATCAACAGCTATGCTGCATCTGGAGGCTCGGCTGCCTGGTCTTGCGCCGATAACTCCATTTAGATATATACCAATTTGATTTCATTTTCATACCAATCAAGTCGTCATGGTCATAGTAGATTTGGATTGCGTAGGGAAGTCCGGATAGACTATATTTGCCCAGACAGGCCAATCATAACCTTGCATATTTAGAAGATGACAGCAGATCAAGCTTTTCTTGGACGCCTTAGGTCGGCCTCTCACTTGGGAAGGAGAATTGCGGTGCTTAGCACAGCGCTAAACTCTTTTTCGGACGCCGACGCCTATTCAGACCAATCAGCGTGCAGCGTCAGTGGGGGCCATATACATGGGCATACAACGATGAGGGCCGAAAGTGCACCTTTATCGCAAATTGTGATGTGAATTCAGTGTAGATCATTAGAAGAGGTCAGCTATATAAGGGAGAAAAACCCCATCAAATCCAGGACATCATCAACTCTCTCTTTCCAAGTTCTAAGTACTCGACTATGAATCCAGTCAACATCGAACCATACAAGCTTCCAGCCGACGCCACTTGGCTGGGTACGACCTCCCTCCCACGGAACTCGCAGCATTCACTAACGGAATTCTAGTCACCGGCTGCTCATCAGGAATCGGACGTGAAATAGCCACCATGATAGCAAACAAGCCCAACCAACGCATTATAGCCACAGCACGAAACCCAAACGACCTCTCCTACCTGCCGGACGGAAACCTAAACATCCTCAAGCTCGCACTAGACGTGACATCCGTCGAATCCGTAGACACCGCATTCGCCAACGCAGCCCGCCATTTCGGTGAGAACTTCTACCTCGACGTTGTCGTCAATAATGCCGGATACTCGCTTTCAGGTGATACGGAAGGCGCAACGGAAGAGGAGATCCATCGAGCTATGGAAACTGTGTTTTTTGGAACGGTGCGTGTCACGACGCGTAGTGTTGCGGTTATGAGGGAGGGTGGTGGTCGGGGGGGATTGATTTTCCAGATCTCGTCGCTTGCTGGGCTTTGTGCTTTTCCTGGTCATGCATTTTATCATGCTGGGAAGTTTGCTGTTGAGGGCTTCTCCGAGTCGGTGGCTAGGGAGATGCATCCGGATTGGAATGGTGAGTTTCTTTGAATACTTGATGTTGGAAATGGTTCTGAGCTAATTGTTTTAGTCAATTTCTGCATTGTCGAGCCGAGTGGTGTGAAGACTAATTTTGAGGGCCATAGTAAGGCGAATATCGTGCCGCATCCTGCTTATAAGGATGAGAGTATGCCGGCTAGGAAGTTGGAGAAGTATGTGGATGCTGGGAGGAAGTTGGGTGTGGGTATGGAGCCGGCTGCTTTGGCGGAGGTGTTGTTCATGATCGCTAGTCGAGGGGAGCGTGTTCCGCTTCGACTTCCGCTAGGTGCTGTTTCTTGGAAGCTGTCTAAGTCGAAGTTTGAGACTCTTCTTGAAGACTTTGAGGCAGTGAAGAGTATCAGTACGATGGGTCAGGAGATCTGAACTGAATGAGTGCTGTGTATTTTGCTTCCAATTGAATATTTCTACTTACTCAAGATATAGTACAGACGCAGGACCGGATGATGCAACCAATAAACCCGTTATTTCTTGACTTCGTAACTTTTAATGTACATATGATATCGAATTCCGCCATCCCAATCAATCAGTTGCTATCCAGCACAATGACCTCTGCTTCCACCTCTCCAACACTCTCCACACGGAGTGCATCCCCAGAATTCACCATGGTGATGAAAGCACCATCACCCTCTTCAAGGACAGCGTCTTCCCGACCATCGATTTTGATCTTGGACATTCCCTGCTTGGTCATAGGCAAGTGAATGTAAACATTGCGCTTCTTCTTAGACTCAACAGCCTCAGCGCCAACAGTCCACTTAAAAGTCGAAGCCGGAGCAATGATTCCCGCCCCCATAACAAAATCCGCATGGATGGGAATCGTCCCAGGAAGAACAGGCTCAGCAGCATTTTCCTGCGCAGGCGTAGCTTCCGGGCCCGCAGCAAGCGGAGACAAAATCGGAACGAAAGCCTTGCGCTTCGCCTCCTCACTAAAAGCCATAGTATGGTACTGAGGCTTGAGTCCATGCTTCCAGGGCAAAGCCCAAATCTGAAGGAAGTGCACAGACTTGTTAGACTCATTCTGTTCCGAGTGTGCAATTCCTGTCTCACGTCAGCTTTTTTGATTCGTCGGCTAATTTGGACGAGGATGGAGTTCTGGACTTACCCGTTCCACCGGTTGTGAATTGTACATCTCCCCGCTTCATTCGGTAGAATTGCTTTCCTTGTTCGCCTTCGGAACCTTTCTTGATCATGCTGTCTCGGTGTGTGAGCTCGCCACTTAGGATGTAGCTGAAGATCTCTGCGTCGCGGTGGGGATGGGTTGGGAATCCATTGCGAGCTGCGACGCGGTCCTCGTTGAGGACTCGGAGGCTGCCGAAGTTTTGGAATTTGTGGTCGTAGTAGCTGGCGAAACTGAAGGTGTGGAATGATTTGAGCCAGCCGCCGTGTTCAGCGTATCCACGTTCGCTGGAACGGCGGAGGGCAATCTTGGCGTGGGCAAGTGGGTTCGACATTGCTTTGGATGAAATCAAGTACTGTGACTAGTGTTTTGTTGTAGTGTTTTGCTGGAAAGACTTTTTTTTTGTGATGAGAATTGAATTAAGCCTGGGGTCCTGCCCCTTATATAGGTTTTTCATAATATGTCTAGAAAGCGCCAGGGCTTGGGAGTCTGGAAATTGATTTCGCAAAGATTATCCAAGCATTATGGATCATCACTAAGGGGGGTGGACGCTAGTCCGGAAGCGGAATAGTGCCATGTAATACTGATTCATCAATTGGTGATCCATGTTGATGCCATATTCCTCAGGCCAATTATTGGAGAATCAATTGGAAGCCCTGAACAACGGTGGTATATCCAACCTTCCAAGAGTAGGTCAAAATGGGAGATAACATTGCATGTTTCTCATGGCATTATCATTACCTTATAAGACACGGCCTTTGACCCCTTACCATGTCTGTGACTGCTGACCTGATATGTCGCCTAGACTACCTCTTCACACTTATCCCAAGTCTACCTAATCATATGGGCAATATCGACAGATGTGTTGGATTTTTGGACCTTGGTGTGATAAAGACATGAATTGAAGTTTAACGCCGACCTGTCACGTACCTGACATATGGTCGTCACTGTTGTTTGGTTGGTCAACGATGCGTCCTTTAGCTGGTCCGAAGTAGGCCATGCATTCTCTCACTCATGAGAGAATGCGGTGATACCTAGGTATAAATCAGTTCCTCATAAGTTGCTAGACTGCTAGGATTCGGGTGGCCAGGGGGCATCAGGTGTCCCATAATCTGACCATGGCATGGCATGGCGTTGTTATTTAAACAAGAAAAACCGGGCTCTCTGCCTTTTGGATGATCAGTGCTGCTTTTTTGTTATGTTCAGGAGATGCAGTAGATTCCGGGACAACTGAGCATTTGATGGCTTGGATTTGACAATCGAAGATGTCCCAATTCAAAAGAAGAAGGGTCTACAAGTCTCTCAATAAGATCAAGGAGACTACCATGAGCGGTGTTGAATCTTTGAAATACTTCACGGTATCGCCCTGATATGCCCAATTCACCAAGAGCACAATATCTAACACTAAACAGGTATCCAAAATTCCGAGGCAATTTACGAAGACCAAAGGAATTGTTCCAGACGGATTCACCCTGGAGCAGCCTAAGAGAACCGGAAGGCTGACAGGCGCATCAAAAACAACATACAGAGTCTCCGAAGAATTGAACTCGGAGCAACAAATGAGGACTGATCAGTCAGAAAGCGCACCGGAAGCACACCACATTGCTTCCGACCAAATCATAGCTGACACCCCGAGAAGCTGCAAAGTGACGGACAGTGCATCCGAACGACAGGTCCATACTCCCTCCAACAAGTTTGTTGGTAAATCAAACCCCCATAGGAAAGCACCCGTACCGGTGGGGTTCATGGATGACAAGCGCTGGAGGCAAATGAGCCACACTGCCATAACTGCCCGAAATGAAAGAGAGGAAATTACCCGAGGGAGGAAAGGAAGTCGCCCAACGATCTGCGTGAACAACGAAACCGAAGATCACATGAATCAATTGGTTGCTCAGACCCAAGCAAACAGGGTGATCAGACTTCGGGATAGTGATGAGCACATTCATGATCAACTAAGGGACGATAATTCGGAAATGTTGGAGGGCAACAATGCTCCGTTGGCAATTAATTAGGGCGGATGGAACGGCGATGGAATGGACGAGTCCAATGAAGCGATTGCTCTGAGACATGCTAGAACTTTTAGATATCGCGAAGCAAGTAATAAGAGGTGCAAATTCCTGTCCTGGAAGGCACGATAATAATACAGAACTCACAGTCATGCATGCCACTAGCGTATAGTCATCTTCCAAGTTTGGTATCTCATATGGATGATGTAGATGAAAAAATGCCCGCCATTGCCCGGCTCTCTTGATTCTAGATTACTCAAGCTTGGAGAAGCTAGTGGCATTACCAGGCAAACCACTGGACCGTCATCGCCCGTGAGAATGTGAATTGTTTAATTTGGACATGAAGGCGGCAATCCAGTGCAAGCTCTAGGCGTTGGTGATCAACGGCATATGGCGTACATTGCAGATAGGATCATTGATCGATGAAGAATTTGAATAAACGTGTGGATAGGATGCATCTCGAGGTCTGTATAACATTTGGGTGGGCCCAAGGAGTCAGGGATTGATTCCCTTGCTCTGGTTGGTGAGTTCGCATCACACCAGATTAGCGCGCGGCTTCAGAGAACATTCCATAGGACAGAAATCTGTGACGAAGGGCTGAAGGAGCCAAATTATAGTCTCAAATGTCCGTGACAGATACCGAAATACGCATGCCCGAAGTAGAATATTAAAAAAACGAAAGAAAAGACAGGATTGAACAAAAATAAAATATTATTCATGATATCACTTAAGACAGGCTCCAAAAGGGAAGATCGCTTTTATATTCCACACAGGGCCCAAGACCACAAAAAAGATAAAAGAAACACCAAAATATTTACTCTACATCTACAGCATCGGTGATACAGCCTTGGCTGGCATCGCGGACGGTACGGGCGTATTTACCCAGAGTACCGCGCATGGTCAGACCAGTCTCGGGCAGCTCACCGGCGGCCTTGCGGGCCTCCCACTTCTCTCGGCGCTCGGCGAGTTCAGCCTCGGGGACCTCGACATCAAGGAGACGCTGGTTGGCGTCGATGGTGATGGTGTCACCGTCAGCAACGAGACCGATGGGTCCACCGACGGCGGCCTCGGGGACGATGTGACCAATCAGGAAACCGTGAGAGCCACCAGAGAAGCGACCGTCGGTGATCAAGGCACAGGAGTTACCGAGGCCGGCACCCATGAGGGCAGCAGAGGGCTTGAGCATTTCTAAAAAAATTGTCACGTTAGTTTTGTTCATGTTCAGATAGAATGAAAGCACGTACCGGGCATGCCAGGGCCACCCTTAGGGCCGCAGTAGCGGATGACGACAACGGTCTTCTCATCCTTCTTGATCTCCTCGCGCTCAAGAGCAGCGATGAAGAGGTCTTCGCTGTCGAAGACACGAGCCTTACCGGTGAAGGTCATACCCTCCTTACCGGTGATCTTACCAACACTACCGCCGGGGGCGAGAGAGCCACGCAGGATCTGGATGTGACCAGTCTCCTTGATGGGGTTGGTGAAGGGGCGGATGATCTTCTGATCATCGGGGAAGTCCTTGACCTTCTCGAGGTTCTGGGCCATGGTCTCACCGGTGACGGTCATACCAGAGCCATCAATGAGACCCTCCTTGAGGAGGAGCTTCAGTAGAGCAGGGGTACCACCAATGGCGTGGAGGTCAGCCATGACGTACTTTCCGGAAGGCTTGAGATCAGCCAGGAAGGGAATGCGGTCAGACACGGCCTGGAAGTCATCGATGGTGAGCTTGATGCCGACCGAGTCGGCGATGGCAATCAAGTGCAGAACGGCGTTGGTGGATCCACCAGTGATGTTGACAACGACCATGGCGTTCTCGAAGGCCTGGCGAGTGAGGATATCGCGAGGGCGAATGTCCTCAGCCAACAGCCTCTTGATGGCACCACCAGCTGCCAGACACTCGACGTACTTGGCCTGGGAGTTGGCGGGGTTGGAGGATGAACCGGGAAGGGTCATACCCATGGTCTCAATGGCGGAGGCCATGGTGTTTGCGGTGTACATACCACCGCAAGCACCCTCACCGGGGCAGGCGTGACGGATGACGTCAAAGCGCTGGGGCTCGGTGATCTCCTTGGTCAGGAACTGACCGTAGGCCTGGAAGGCGGACACGATATCGATATCGGCGTTGTTCTGAGTGGCAGCACAGCCGGGCTTGATGGTACCACCGTAGACCATCAGACTGGGACGGTTGACACGACCCATGGCCATCAGGACACCGGGCATGTTCTTGTCACAACCGGGAATACTGATGTTGGCATCGTACCATTGACCACCCATGACGGTCTCGACAGAGTCGGCAATCAGATCACGACTCTGCAGAGAGTAGCGCATGCCGGAGGTACCCATACTGATGGCATCACTGACACCAACGGTGTTGAACTGGAAACCGATCAAGTCCTGGTCCTGCACACCCTGGCGAACCTTGTTGTTCAGGTCGAGCAGATGCATGTTGCAAGGGTTACCGTTGAACCACACGGACGAAATTCCGACCTGTGCCTTGTTCATGTCTGCCTCGTTGAGACCGACAGCGTACAGCATGGCCTGGGAGGCACCCTGGGCCTTGGGCTGTGTGATGTGGCGCGAGACCTTGTTGAGGGCCTTGTCGTCATTCTGGAAGCGAGGAAGGGTGGTGGAAAGGGCGCGGCTACAGAAACAGAAGTCAGTAAAGGCATTGACGCAATGGACAAATCGACTCACGCAGTCGTGGTGGACCGGGTCAAGCTCCGGAGAGCAGCAGGCACGCGTGCCCGAGTCTGAGGAAGCATTGTGAGTGTGGTCTTGAGGAGCTGATCCAAATATACCACAATACCCCAAAGATATGAGCAATTGAGTGGAAAGTCTGGAGAAGGGAGGGGGAGCAAGAAATAATAGGTGACTGCACCGACCTCGGAGTTCGAAAGTTGCTCCCCGGGGGTCCACCGCCCTCGGCCACCAATTGCATGCGGCTCGTTGTCAGCGCATAAAAGTCATCGCATAAATCGACTCGGCACGATGTCCGAACTACTATACACACAGATGGCTCTTCTCTATTGGACTTGGAAGCAGATGGATTCAGGGATCATCCTCAAATGAGATGATGGTTCACCGGAAACCCTGCATGGGCCGTGCTCACTTATACACATTTTATGTGGTCCTATACTATGCGTAGTTCGCGTCTAGTAGCTCCTTGGCAATTCAAGCACTTTCTCGCTCACGTAGTTGAGGATCATCTCCCGACTCACGGGGGCGATGCGGGGGACAAAGCACTCGCGCATATACCGCTCCACGTCATACTCCATCGCATAACCCATGCCCCCATGCGCCAGGACAGCTCGCTCACATGCCGTGAAGGCTGCCTCAGCGGCCAAATACTTCGCGCTGTTGCATGCCACTCCAATCTCATGGAAGGGGACTGAGCTGTCATTTGTGTCGTATAGGCGTGCCGCGTGATAGGTTGCTAGCTTTGCCGCTTCTAGCTTCATGAACGCATCGGCCAACGGATGTGCGACACCTTGATTCTGCCCGATGGGCCGTCCAAACACGACCCGATCCCTCGCGTACTGGGATGCCTTCTCCAGCGCGGCATACCCAAGGCCAAGAGCCTCACCGGCCAAGAGACATCGCTCTGCGTTCATGCCGTGGAGGATGATCTTGAACCCTTCGTTTTCTCCGCCGATCAAAGTGTTTGCGGGGATTTTGTAGTTGTCGAAGAAAACCTCGTTTGCATCAACGGCGCGTCCACCCATCTTCTTAATTTTGCGTAGATCAAGGCCCGGGTTTTCACGATCAATATCAATACAGAACATGGAAAGGCCTTCGCTGGTTTTCTTGACTTCTTCAAGGGGAGTGGTGCGGGCAAGAAGAATCATCTTTGATGCCACTTGCGCACAAGTGATCCAGATCTTCTGGCCGGTGATTGAGTAGCCATCGTCGGTTTTGCGGGCGAGCGTTTTCAGTTTCAAGGTCTCGAGTCCAGTGTTCGGCTCAGTCACGCCAAAGCAGGTACGCCATGTTCCGTTGATGATGTTCGGGATTGTTGTCTCCAGTTGCTCCTTGCTACCGAACTTGGCCAATGGTTGCGTCGCATATACGTTGGCGTGTATAGACTGTGCGCCTGCCATGCCAGCACCAGACTGTGTGATAGTCTGCATCATCATGGTAGCCTCGGAGATTCCTATTGCTGTATCAGCATTTTGGGCTTTCAATCACGATGTTCAGATTCCAATACCTAAACCAGCTCCTCCAAGTGACTCGGGTAAAGCAATTCCAAGCCATCCATCCTTTGCTAATGCAACGTGAAATTCCTTGGGATCTTTCTCTTCCTGATCCCGTTCCTGCCAGTAGGTGTTTGGAAATTTTGAGCAAATGTGCGAGATAGCCTCCCGGACTGTGAGCTGCTCTTCCGTGAAACCGGTCATACCCATGATGTCGCGCCGCCCCGAAGTGGAGAATGCGGCACGGGCTTGGAGAGGCACCGTCCGGGCATGGTGTTGTGATAGTCTTGGCAAGCGTAACGCTTTTTGAAGCTGTGTCCGATACATTTTTGAGTATATTTATGGGGTTGGGGAAGCTGCATGGTCGGTTAGACTATATACCCCATCTGCTTGGCTGCATAAAGCCGACTCGCGGTCTTGGCATCATAGGTCTATTCCTCAGTTGAACTACATTCTACACCGTGATCGTACCAACATCTCTAGTCGAGTTATGTGAATAGGCTAATTGCTCATGGATTTTGAAAGCTTGTTCGGAGTGGAGCTCATCGCTGAAAGGTCATTGTGGCTGCCCTAGAATCGACAACCGAAAAGCAAGGATGCTTTCTGTCAATCCATGATGTTGTTTTGAACCAATCGAGCTATTGTTTCAAGGCGCCATCCATGGAAGTTCTATCGTAGCATATTCACGAAAGACCGCAGATCCGATGATGGTAGTTGTAATCGAATGCAGCGAGAATTCCGAAGAAGTGCACTCCAGTTGCGAGCACCACCAAGAGATGGAAAAGTTGGTGGGAAGAGCCGAATATATCGAACTTCCCAGGCATCAAGGATTCTGGAATTCTTGTCTATGACTCATTAGTATTGAAATACTGATCTCATGGGTGAAGCTTACCGCATATATCACCGATCCTAGTATGAGGAGGGCTCCTTCAACCAGGTAGTATGGCATTCCTGATTGTTTTACCATTTGCGAGAAACCAAAGATCCTGATACCGTGCGCCATAGGTGCAAATCCAGAAAGACCCGTTGCGACAAATGCGCAAGTGCGAAAGGTACGCCAACCCCGGCCTGCGAATTTGGGGTTCAACAAAATCGAAATTGTGATAGAGCCAAGGGTAAGAATCTGAAATAGTTAGCCTGTGAGACCAGTGTGCTTCAGACACGCTCTAGCAAAGCCTTCCCTTTATACGTACCATAGCCCAGTAGATATGTTTCAAAGTTCGCTCACAATAGAAAGTCATATTGATTCCCGAGATAAACTTGCCCAGTGTCAAGACAATGATTCCAACGAAATCAAATTGCAACCACATGCCACAAACAGCCTGAGAGTGGCTCATCAACGTGTGATAGGCGGCTGAAAACCCAAGGCATATGGTCGCCGATTGGAGAAATATAGCGAAAATCAATTGATCGCGGAGTGTCACTTGGGGGTACTTGGTCTGCAAATACTTAAAAACACCGGCCTCAACAATGGAGAATAGAACGGCTGGAATCAGGTGCGAGTGAATGTTGACAGTTTCGGTATGTAGAGCGAGCCAACTAGAGATGCACGCGCGGGCTGATCTTGAGACCGGTCGGTAGCCACGATGAATGAACTCGTTATCTTGATACCACTCTGGCAATTCATCGTATGAGAGAAGGCTTGATTGGCTTTCAGGGGAGCTTTCAAGCGAGCTTTCAAGGGATGTCTCTAATTTCGCGGTCGGTGGGACTGGGGACGTCTTGCGCTGGCGTGGATTCGAGTTCGGATTCATGGTGAGTTAGTAGGCACCGTACCAAAAGGAACATTTGTCAATTGCCGGGTTGTAACTCCCTGAAGGATATACTGAGCTTTCGCACACAGTCTTTTCTGGTGAAATCATGGCAGTCAGGGGTCGCTTGCTATAGTTATCTGTTTGTTGGCTCATGTTACTGGTCATATTTGCTGCACCTGCGGGGGGTTCATGCAATATTTTGGAGAAGGAGAGGTTGAGAATCTTCAGAAGTTTATTACAATTCTCAGGGGCAGATCGATCATACCAGTCTGTTAAGACGCAGCGTTTGAAGGTAATTGACTGGGCGATGTTGTCGATGTCAAAGGAATTTAGGAGTGACCGACTAGCCCTGGAGACTTTTTAAGTGTACGGAGTACGGAGTACACCATTAGTATTGCTCTGTAATTGCTTTTTCTGTTTTTTCTTTTTCAAAAAATTGTTGGCTCTTTGCATAATCCTCCGGGACCCATGGGGCCGTATTGTATCTTCACTCTGGTCGAGGGGTCTTATAGAGTGCCCACTGGGTCTGATGTCGGCCTGGAAAAGCACGTAAACCTCAGTTCGTATCACACAATTTCGGCGAATACCAATGGTATTCCCCCGCGAAGGAGTACAATATCCCGGGGGCAGTTCATTCTAATGCAAAAGACCAAAATTTGTACTGCGCTGAGGTGAGGGGTCATCCAATACAAACCACCGACACCGACACTCGCAAGCTCATCCAAATCCACCAACTATGGCATCCAAAACCGAAGAGTCACAGCTCCAACAGCTGACGTTGGGTAACACAACTGCTCCTCCAGTCGAATTTGAATCATTTGACCTGCCAACCGCCAATCAACGTATTCTCGGGCCACCACATCCCAAAGACACACTTATCCCCCTTGCACTTCGCCCCGCTTCATTCAACACAGACATCACGTTGGAAAATGTGGTAGATACAATCAAAGCCCTCCAGGTAGATCGAGCCTTGACCAAGAAGCTGGCAAGACACGGCACTTTGCTCTTTCGAAATCTACCCATCCGGGATGCCGAGGATTTCAGCACTTTTGCTCACGCTTTCGGGTACACACCGCACGAGATCATCGGCATCGTGGTTGACAGACCGATCCTCGCGCCGAATGTCGCACCGGCAAACGAAGCACCCAAGGAGGTACTGATATACAACCACAATGAATCTCCACAAGTCCCCCACGCACCCGGGTATATCTTTTTCTACGGGCATCGTGTCCCTGCTCATGGAGGCGAATCTCCGATCTCCTCATCGTTGGAACTATTCCACAGAGCTCAGCAAGAAATCCCAGAACTCATCGACGAACTTGCCGAGAAAGGGATTTTGAGCAGAGTTACATATCGAAAAGAGAAGCAATTTGAGGGCGGTTCAACTTTGCGTCAGGCTTTCGGTAAAGAAATTCAAGATGGGGACGATGAGAGCACTCAACGTCGAAAGATCGAGGCACAGATTGCTCGGTATGGTAGAGGAAAGCATACAACATGGGAATGGATAGATGATGGACTGGTCTTGACGCACAGACTGCCTGTGATTCGCACCCAACCTGAGACCAACTTGCCCACTTTATTCACTGGGTTGGCGGCATATTGGAAGCGTACCCAGCTTGATACGGAAGCGCGCAAGAACTCTACACAGCAGCTATTTGGGGATGGTACGCCTATTCCTGAAAAGTACTTAGTGCGCTTGGCAGAAATCACTGATGAGATTCGGGTACTGCATCGGTGGGAGAAGGGGGATGTTTTGGTTTTTGATAATGTCATTGCGCAGCATGGCAGAGAGCCCTGGCAGGGGGAACAATCTGATCGAGTAGTTCAGGCAAGCCTATTCGATGCTGAGACTGTGCCCGGGGGATATGGATTTGGAGACTGGGCGCAGGTTGCGGCAGCGCTTCCCTAGTCCAGGTTATACGTCAACCGGTGAGACTATTTGTGGGTTCCAACAGGGGTTGGCGGCTCATGGTTCACATTCATTACTCGAATCTCATATGGCATTATTGAAACAAAACATGGGGGTTTTTTTCTGGGCCCCGAAAGGCCCTGAGCTGTGGTTCATTCTTTGACGCCCGTCGTGAAGCCATGTTGGAGAAGATACTCTTGCAGCTCCTTGTCTTCTTGCTCCAGATCCAAGTCCCTGCTTTCAGGTAACAAGTAGTAAACCATCATACCGAGGACAGCGACACCACCAGCAAGGTAGAAGGTGGAGCTATTGCCTGCGCTGTCCTGCAAGGGAGTAAAGCACTGAGTACCCACCGCAGCGCCGGTCCTGCCAAATGCTGTGGCAACACCGTATCCCATGGAGCGCATAGCTGTGGGGAACGATTCCGTGGAGATGAGACCGATGGTAGCGCCAGGTCCCATATGACCAAATGCCTGCAAAAGACCATACAAGACAACGAACGCCGCAATGTTCTCGGACAGCTTCGAGTACGTGCCTCCAATAACGAAACCCAGCACAACATATCCGGCGAATCCCAAAATACCAGTCCAGCGACGTCCAATTGCGTTCGTGAGCCAGGCGCCAACCACAACTCCGGGGACAGGCAGGACAGCCAGGATGACTTGCCAAATAGCTGTTGTCCGGACATTGTGGTCTTTGACCAGGGAGGAAATGATCGTGCTGGACATGATACTGTTAGGAAAGTTGATGAAGTCGTACAAGAAGAAGGCCAGAGAGGTCGTCAGCAGCCTCCACCAATACCGACGTGCAAGAACGAGGTATAGTCGCAATGGCTTTCGCTGGCGTGTGAAATTAGAATGATGGAACAACGAAGAGTCCACCATGAACAGTCTCAATACTATAATTGAGACCGGAAGGAAGATGGCGATGGAATAGATGGCGTGGAACGTAACAACCAGATTGTTATCAGTGGCGATGAGCGTGATCAAGTAAATGATCATCAGAATCGGACCGGCTAGGGTCGCCATTAGAGTCGTAAAAGACACAAACATCGGCCCCCTGTACTTTCGCATGATCTACACTTCATCAGTATACAGAAGTGAGTGGGCGGCTAAATGCTTACCCAGTCTGTTTCCTCAATACCAGCAGCAGCGCTCGGAGGATATTCACCCCCAACACCGAATCCAGCAATGCCGCGCACAACGACAAAGTACCACAACATGTTACTCGACGGATGAACCTGGAGAGCCAGTGCTGCCATCAATGTGCCGATGGCGACCAGGGAGGATGTGAAGAGCAATCCCGCCCGGCGAGAGAACATATCAGAGGTATAGCCAAGAGCGACGACGCCTAGAATAGCTCCGACAATGACGGCGTTACTGATGCGAGTCTTCATCTCGGACGAATAGCCATCCCCAAGAACTTGTTTGAAGATGACATTGGTGGGATTGGCGAGGGTGTTCTGGAACCCATCGCTGAAATTGGCAATGTACTAGTAGAGTTAGAGAGTTGAATTTCTTAATGTCAAGGAGACTCACACAACTGATAATGGTGATGTTACTTTGCCATCTGCTTGGGCGGTAGGAGTGTGTAGTCACTTCCTCCACGTCTCGGGCGACGACCGCTTCGGTCTTTTTTTCGGGAGTTTCCCGTGCTTCGCGGTCCATCCTGTTTGTATATTCGGCAGAGGCAGCCTGGAGAATGTGGACCAACGCAGGTGTATATAAAAAATCAGCACGGGCGTCGGTCAAGGTCCGGGCCTAGCATATAGCGGGTCAAGTCGATTTTTCACCCGCGATAAGCATTGTGGATTTGTGTCAAGCTTTGATCATTGGAATCCTCTTTGATCCACTCTGACTGATTTCCTGGCCATTTGTACTTCGCACGGAGTACAGTAGATGCATACGGAATAGGCTTGATGGAGCTCCTTAGCTTTCGGCATCCCGTGTTGATAGGAGTTGGCATTTCGTGAATGTCCGCGGAGATGGACAGCCGATTTCCCTTACGTATAAGGAAAACGAGGCCGAGTACTAGTCGGCCACTTATGCAGCCTTAGCCATTAGAGACTCGGTAAATCCGCTCGGCCGTCTGGTCTGCGATCGGACCGGCCCTTTTGAAGCCGAATCACATTCAGGCACAGAGCCCACTTCTCTGAAAGACTGAAGGGTCGTCGCGAAGTGGCGGATGTTGTCCAAGTTAAATGAAGTAAGAACTATGAGAAAGCAGGGAAACAACCATGTGAATTGGTATCGATCAACACTTTCACTGGTCATTGTTCTGCAGAAGACGCGGGAGGCCAAGGAATTGAAATGGGCTTGGCGCGCAACTTGTTTGTGCCACCTTGACTCTTCAACCACCGTCAACATGGGATCTTCACACTCAACAGCAGTACAAGATATTGATACCCCGAAATCCGAGTCACCCCAAGAGGATGTCTATTTCCCCAGAAATACAGATGACGCCCTCCGTACATACAACACATTACGTCATCTTCTCCCCACCGAGCTCGTGCTGGAGATTCTAGGATTCGCTCAGTACTGGCTACGGTCAAAAGCCTTCAAAGACACCGAATGTCACTACAAAGAAGCCCACTGTCGCCTTCGGCAACCATACCTGATATCTGACCCCATTCCAGAGGGACGACTGGAGGAGATCAGAATCAATATCTGGAGCCACGACCAGGGCTGGAGCAGTTACCGAGAGGACCATGGAACATACAGGAACTCTTGGACGTGGTTTGAGCTCACTGCTGAAGGGCCCGGGGGAAGAAAGGTCATCACAGAGGGAGAGGATCTCCGCCTGACATGCAATGTGCACGCAAAAAAAGAGGCTACGCACCATGAGATCATATTCCGACGCCATGAAGACTTGCGGCTGATGCAAGCCCTTCAAGCCGGTGACCTTATTTCAATCGTCCCAATGGCACGATATGCTGGCTGGATGAATACGGTAGAGAAGGCCTCGATTGAAGTCTTCACTGCCCCTATCTTGTGATGGCCCCTATCTCTTTACCGCGACAGAAGACAATGAAGAGCTTCTCTTGATCACACATGAATATCACATACCCTGTTTCCATCTAAATGCCTTGAACTATTGACTTTCAACACACATCTGTGCCCATCTGCCAGAATGTGTCACCAAATTCCACCCTCAGTGGGGGCGTCTGGATCGAGTCAGAGAAAATAGAGTTGACGGTTGTATGAGCCGCCGTCAAAACAGATTCAAATGTTGGTCTGACCGGCGACGCTACCAATATCATTTGGTAGTACCTATCACTGCGGAAATGAATCAATTCTGAATTGATGTGAAACATACTGACGTATCCTAATACCCGTGGACAATATCCATGGACAATATCCATGGATTTTGAGGTTTACTTTTTACATTTACACGTGATGCCAAAAGTTCAGCTGGGTGCAAAACACTTCGTTCATCATGATAAAAAGGAAATGACCAATCTGGACTTGACTGACAAGCTCAACAAAGAAAAACGACCGTGGGGGTGTAGATAGCTAACAGAGTGTCATAATGAGTGAGATCACCCGCAGGAAAAAACGTTGGACCCCAGCTCAGCTTTCATCGGTGCTGTCCGAAAGGTCCCAGGGGAAAGGGTTGGCTTCAATCTGAAATTGAATACCAGACGAAGCAACAACGTCAGCGAGCTCTTCTGCTACCAAGTCGGCCCCCTTCGAACCGATCTCTAACTTGAGAGAGACCAATTTCGGAGTCCACTCCTTCCAACAAGAAAGATACGCCTTGACAACCAAGATGATTTCCTCCGGGAGCCAGTGAGCATCATCCGGGTCAGGCTTCTCGTCGCTGATGGTGAGATACTCCACGTTACTGGGAAGGTTGCGAGCAAGCACGAGCGGGTCACTTTTGTGTGGGTCATGGAGCCCCAGCACGAATGACAAAGGTACGTGGAAGGTTTGAAGCTTCGTAAGAGGCGTGAAGATGCCCAGATTGCCATCGTCGACGAGCTTGGTGAACATGCCTTCGAATCGGCCATCCTCTGTTGCCAGTCGTCTAATAGATCCGGTGATCTTCAGGTGTGTCAACGTCTCACTCAATTTCCCAAGGAGCACGGACAATCTCTGGAGGTTGATATGTTTGTCGGCAATAGGGACAGGGTACAACGGATCCATATCCAGTCGAGAACACCAGTTCCAATCCAGCTTCTCCAGGAGAGGAGTCGCAGCAAGGACTCGGGCCAAATTAGCTTCTCGAATCATGCTAATATCGAGGGACTTGATGTTTTCTGCATTTGGCTGCGTTGGGCGGCCCCAAGAGAAATTATCTTGGAGATGGATCGGTGCCGTGATATGCTCCAACGATGGGAGATAAAAGAGTGGCAGAAGGTCCATCGCGTGGTTTGTACGTTCCCATCCAGGCTCCACGGAGGCACGATCAGTGCTGGTGATGTACACTTCTCGAAGATGTGGGAATGCGGGATCGTGGCCTCCATGAACGGAAGACATGCGAGCCTCCTTGTATTCGGGGCGAGAGACCCAATCGAAGAAATCACAGAGATTATCAAGCTCTTGGAGGGCTCTTGTGTGCACCCGAATCGAAACAAGATTGGGGAGCAAGGCAATGACAAGTGCTAGGAACGCACTGGGGTCACTTGCTTCGATCTCCTTCTTCCAATTATCTTGGACTGCCGGGCTTGATGCGATGAGTGACGGGATAGCGCTCTTGGGGACGTCAAGGGGCTCGACTATGTTGCTCTCCAGGACTTCGTCGTACTCCAACTCTCCTGGGAGATGAATGTTGACGTGCTTCACGAGGCTGGCGAGCCCGGGCTTCTCAATGATCCTTTGCAAGTATTTCACCACTCGAGAGGAACCATCCCACTCGTAGTTGATCCAGAGGTAGTCCTCAACGACCGTGTGCAAAGCTTTGCTTACGCGGGAGAGACTGGCGAGTGTGCTCTGATCCGATGCCTCGCAGATCATGCGGATGAGCTCCATCGGCAAATGTAGTTGGGGCGACATCGTGTCTCCGATTTGTTGATGGTTGTGTTTGACAGTGCTCGCGAAATCTCTGGAAGAAGTGGAAGGTTGAGTAGGATGAATACTTTTTTGGGGTAGAGGGCAGCATCCTCTCTTATAAGATCACCCACGGGACTTGGGTGCGTTGTCCTCACGCGCGCTCTTACTCTTCTTCACTACTCGAAATAACTAAAGGCGAACTGAAACGATTGATTTCTAGGATCTTCTTTGTATCTCCATTTTTTCATTTTCGACTCTCATCTTTGTACTCAGTACTCCGTACGCTCCGGCCAGGATCCAAGGCTTGACACTGACTTGAGAGGCCCTTGAAAGTTGAGCTCTGCAAGGATTGACAATTCATCACGGATATTTTTCAAAGTCAACATACAAGTAGAGAGCGTTCCCCGAAGAAAGAGATGACAAAAGTCCACAAGGATATCTTTCATCTGTGGTTTTCGGCATGACCTTGGAAGTATAAACGCCCTACGCACAACCTGAAATCAGTCAGTATTCTTAGATTTTCTTAGAGCCTCTTAAAATATGCAACATGCTGCAGGTCCAAAGAAGTCCTTTTGGTCAATCACCCCATGCACCAAAACTGTGTAGATCAGGCCCAGACGCTTGGCATCTCCTTTGTCTCCACGCTCTTTCACCTGATTTCCCCATCGAGGCTACGTCACAAAGTATTAAACAGATCGAGGCCAGCCCACTGGTATCTTCTCAATAATAGAACGAATCCAGAATCCCCAAGGTGTTCAAGGGACAGCTGTTTGCGCAACCACATGTTGTTACATGGCTGGGACTGTATATATCAGAGGCCACATCACAGTGCACATGGAAAATTCCTTCACGAATTTCACATTTGCTGATGTCAGGCTTTCAAAATTGTCTTCTCTGTAGGGTCTTGTTGCTTCATAGATTCAATGAGAACCTGGGGTATTTCCGAGTCCACGCTCCGAAAGTCTGACTGGCCGCCATTTTCTGCAACTTGTTCTGCCCTCCGAATTCACCAATGACGGCTTATCATGAAGGCGGACTGACAGGCGGTCTCGCCAGACTTTTGCAGGCGTGACATCCATGGACCTCGGGACGGGGTGCGGGTTACTTCGCGGAGTCTATAGGGAAAGGTTGATGTGTTGATTTGATATTGTTATTTTGGGTAGAGATTCAAAGACTCCAATGCTGTCTGGAGCAATTTTATAGCTCTCTCACTCTCACTCACCTTTCTCTCACACACTCTCTCTAACTCTCTAACACTCTCTCTCACGCACTCTCTACTCCTCTGCCCAAGTAAGCAATTTGCTATCAGCGCTCTTCATCTGCTTCTTCGCTTTCTAGCTTCTCTTTTCTTTCTACAATCTGGAGGGGCTGGTTTCTTTGCAGTTACAAAAAAAATTTGCTTCAAACTCAGTCGCCAACCAATATGGATCTCAGAGATCGCATCATCGATCCCGATGGGGAAGTGAGAATCGTATTACGCAACGCCCGCTTACCTGCACCCAAGCCTGGCAACAATGTCGAGCCTTTCAACATTCGAGTCTCTGCGAAGCATTTGGTGTTTGCGTCCCCAGTCTTCAAAAAGCTATTGATGGGCAACTTTAAGGAGGGCATCACTCTCTTGCAAAATTCTTCGGTCGAGATAACTGCAGAGGACTGGAGCCTTGACACGCTTATGATAGTACTCCATGCTATCCATGGCCAATATCACCTCATACCCGAAAAGCTGTCCCTCGAGACTATGTCCGAAGTCGCGGCTATCACAGACTACTACGATTGCAAAAATGTTCTGCATCTCATCAAGAAAACGTGGATCAAGAATCTGAAGGACGGAATACCCGGGACATACTGCCGGAGCCTCGTGGTATGGATCTGGGTCTCATGGTATTTCCGAATGCCGTCTGAGTTCAAAAATGCCACTTCAGTTGCGATGTCGATGAGTGACAATCGGATTGACTCCTTTGGGCTTCCAATCCCTGAAAAGGCAATGAGTAAGGCCCGAAAAACCCAAGCTGGGAGAACTCTTTACTTACGGGAGTGTAGCAATGATTAATCAAAGAAGAGAAAAAGCTATACAGGAAGCGGTGGCTCCCCTTTGGGAAAAGTACGAGGCTTCCCTTGGCTCTGGTGAGGACTGCTGTTTTGAAAGCAAGGCATTGACCAACGGTGCCCTTGCCATCCACTTGCATTCAAATAACTTGCTTCAGCCAAAGCCAGCGGCCCCATTCTCGGGATCGCATTACAGCAAAATCAGGTCATTCAAAGCACCAAAGCCTTATAATGCTCCTGAATCATACAGCGGCTATGGCCAACCACGTCCCCGGCATAAGTGCAAACCCACAGGCCTCGAATCCATCTTCGGAAACCTTGATGGCCCTACGGACCCTAGCCCTACCTTCGGGGGTGATTATTATCCCTACCCTGGCATACGTATCCACTCTGGTACCTCTATCCTCGGACTAAACCTGGAAGACATTGACAGCAAACATCGAGCTTCCCATCACGCCACTACGTTTCAATGGAAGCCTGACGGGATCAATGCATTTCACAGCCTCCTCTCGGATCATTGAGTGACTCTACCCCAAACTGGATTCAATGGGACTTGGCTCTAGGGTGGTACATTTGAACAAGTTCTCTACATTCTGAGATACTGAGCTTCAAAATTGGCCATAGCAGGGTCATCAACTGTCTTGGTCGAATTTCTTGTGGACTACCCTTAGATGGTGCTAGATCGAAAAGGGTTGGCATTGTATGCAGTACTTCGGAAGATCCATGCATGCCACCTCACAGGGGAATTTTATTCAGTAGCTTCCAGGGTTTTTTGTAGTACTAGCATGTCTTCTTGAGATGGTTCATGCAAATTTCCAAGGTTAAGGTGAAGACTCGGGAGGCAGGCCATTAGGCTGGAGAGCCCCATTCGGCCCGCTTTGGACCCACTTACCCCAGCCCTAGTTGGAACTCACCTGGACCGTGTATCATTTCACACGCTGAATAAAAGGAGAAACAAAAAAGAGAGAGGAAAGGAAAAGAAAGATAGGAAGGATGTAAAAAAAGGTTAAAGAAGGAAAGACCAAGGTGGGAAACGAACAGGGAACCAAAAAAAGGCATTGCTACCCCCATAGCTGGCAGACGGCTCGACAGAGGTGCACCTTCCAGAGCCGCCCTACTCAGCACAGCCTGAAAGCAAGCTGCCGGTGCTAGCTGAATGCCGCTAGACCACACGGACGGGTGTGCCAAAAGGTGATCTCTTTCTGTTCCTCTTGACCTCACTGGGAAAGGTACAAGGTACATGGTACATAGCCATGGAGGAAACTTCAATTCTCCCTTGCACATTGCATTGATATCTCTCTCTGGCACTCCTTCTTTCTTTCTGATGAGTTGGTTTCTGCGCAGGGCCAATCACTGTCCTTGGCTTTGTGTGTTATAGCCTAACACAGCCATAGGGTGTTTGACTTTCTGGATTGCTTTCTCCTTGCCCGGCTTTACCTGCAGACTCCCAACAACACAATATCCCTTTGTTTACAATGATAACTCCAGCATCAATGTGTTTTGCCCTCACAGCTGACTCTTCGACAGATGTTAGATCCTTGAATCTTCCAACACCCGCAAAGGCACATTTATACTCGGATCACAGTCCTGACAGACTTCTTGTATATCTGCCACTTTGGGGTCATGATCAGTCACAGGCTTGTTGGATGATCCATCTGTCCTCTCGCTATCATGCTGACTACGATTGAGCGTGGAGAGGAGTGAGTCTGATTTGGCCTGGTGATGTGGGCGCATTCGGGCTGACCCGATAGTCGGCAGATGATGTTGACGCGTGAAGGTCTTCTTCCGTCGAGAGATCAAAGGGCCAAATGTCGGGACACAGGCCACCCAGATCCCAGCGGTCATCTCTGCTATCATTAGAAGCGAGGAGTCTCGCGTGCACCAGATGGGATCCTCCGATGGGCACATTCTGGTCTGGACAATGCGAGCTAGGTTGATGCCGGCCGTACTGGACTAGGTCAGTGTTGGGGCCATTCATGGACGCTCTGGGTGGCTTACAGTATTCCAATTGCAAAGGATGTGGTCACTCCCATCTTTTTTCGGCTGGACATACGTAATCCCCAGATGACTGGCAGTGGCAGAAGCACGACAACAAGGTCCATCACCATGTTGAAGCCCGCAGATGCATAAAGGATCTTTCGGACATCCCCACATCTTCCTGGAATATTATGGTTCCAGTTGTATTCGATTGGCTGACACAGAAAGGAAAGGACGAAGATTGTTGCTACCCAGTATAGGGTTACCAATGCACCGACGCCAATTGCACCATGTACAAACTTCCTGTTGCCAGGGAATATCTCCATGTACAGCAGAATGATTGCGAGGCGAAATGACGTTGTCGCCGTTGACCATATCCATTCCGAGGCCCAGAATATCTGATGAATTAGCAACAAGAAACGACATTCGTCAAATGAATGCCTACCTTCAATGCCCTCCTCAGTTCGACTGGATGCGTGATGCTCATTCCCTGTGTATGTCCACCATACCCCGCGACCGTTGAACCTTTGCATTGTCCCGTCAGCCAACCTCGAACGCTATGATCAGACTCCGACATACCAACCACCATGTCTGTCACGTATCCAGCCAGCATTAACTGGTTAACAGTCAGTCTATGCGGCACTTTGGCTGGGCTTATACTGACCATTGAGAAGAAGACTAGATAGTCGTGAACTTTGACTTCCCGGCGCCTTGTCCTGATAGATGCAATGCGAAGACCCACAGCCACCATGCCGATGAGAAGCATGATCACGCTCCATATTATCAGCACCGGTGAGCGTCCGTTCATGTCTTCGCTGTCCAAGGGCCCGGCAACCGGGTCACAAAGTATACAGCAGAATAAACAATAGTAAGTGAAACTATGTCAGGGGAGACGGACGAGCATATGCACTTCAACCGCGTAGTGCTTAATATTTTCACAGCAGGTGCTAACAGAACAGGCGTTCTTAAGTCTTACATAGCCCCGTGTACCCTGAGAAACCTTGAAACTACCCTCTTCTGTTCGTCGATTGGCATGGCTTTCCAGGCAGTATTTCAGTGAAACCCTATGACCACAAGTCGGCTCGAGGCACAGGGCTTCATGCTTCAGGCTGCACAATGCGCTGACCAAGCCTTATAGACCCTTGCCCAAACGAGCCAGTCCCACTTTCTGATAGCTTCAAGCCGCATAATCCTGGTCTGCTATCTCCGAGAACCAGCTCACCCGGCTCCGGCATTCACAGTCACAACCACTACATTGGTACGCGGAGAATATGACGCTGATTCCACCGAAATTCAAATCCCCAAAGTGCCATGTTCAAAGTCCCCACGGTTTAAACAGTAAATCCGGCCCAGGTCACACCCCCCGATTGGAAATCAACCCCTTCACTACTTAGGTAGGCATTTCGGCTACGCTTACCCGTCATTTTGTACCAGTTGTGTCTGAATATTTCAGCCAAGATATCCAGACGCGCATTACTTCGGAGCTTACATCATTTATGCAGAAATGAATCGATAACCTTGGAAATATTGACCTTTCGTCCGCATAAGCCTGGCCGCTTACAGCCAAGTTTTACTGTAACCGACTTCGTCGGCCATGGATACCAACCGACAAGCCTTCCCGGCTCACCGTGAACAGCTGGCATGTCCATGTACGACCCAGAGTTTTCAGGTTGCACCAAGGTATCGAGGCCAGAAGGGATGCGGCTGAGATACGCTAAGCTTTGGGATCCGACCATACTTCCAGCGTTTAAGAACTGAGCCATGGAATGGGCGACCCATTGAGTTCCCGGAGCGGGATCGTGGTAGACGATTGGGGCCTTACAACTATGTCTCTTTTAGCATCGGATTCTCCAGACTTGGACACCAGGCGGAACATTGAATACACCTAGCACATGGGCATCTATGGACCTCGGGATGGTAACATGTCTACCAAAGCCCCTGGACTATGCCGCGCCATCGCACCTTCTCAAAATGGACATAGCTCAGCATCCATGGATCCCAGTGCCATGGACCTTTCCGTGGATCTGTATGGAGGTTCCGTAGATGATCGAAGGCTCTTTTGATCGTCGGATTTATGAACCATGGTCGGGCCATTTGGTCTATAGTCCACTCGACACTCGATTCTGACTCTGCACATCCAACTTCTCAAACCACCTACATATGGATACCACTGACATCCCCATGGGTCCTCTATCTCGAACAGGGAAGGGTGAGCATATCGAGGATGCTGCAGATCTTGAATGGGGTGATTGCGAAAGTATCAAAGGCGGGTTTACCGCTTCTGTGAAGGACAGCATCCTCATCCTCAGAGAAAAGAGACAGCGAAAGAGAGATGGGCTCTTGAATCTCGGAGAGAAGGGGCTTATCAAGGCTCTCTGGCTTTCGAAATTCCGGGCTTACTGGGCGAGAATGCGTTGCTGATTATGATGGGCGTTCTGGGTGTCGGTTATGATTGTGTTTGCTGTTCCCGAAATTTTTGACACCAGAAGAAGATATTGCTGAGATCTTTCGTGCTTTATGGGTCATTGCAGAGATTGTTGCTGTTCATCTCCTTTTGCAATAACTTGCTTATGACAAGAAGTTTGCGGATTGGCATTCGACTGTTTCATTATTCCGTTCTGTGACTCGAATCCAAAGAGATAAAATATTGATTTCTTCGGGTATTCATAAACAAGACAATCAGGACGTAAGATTCAAGGCGCGCGATGGCCTTGATTTAAAAAATTCATTCGCTCTGCGAGGTTGAAAAAGATATGGTACAGCAAAAAATAAAAAAGCAAAGAGAAGTGGGTATAATAGGAGTCTGGCAAGTGAGCAGACTCGTATGCGCAGACCCAAAGATGAACAAGAAAAATAATGTGGCACGCCACACACAGGTAGACAAGTCGGGGTAAACCACCCAGGAATCAAGCCCCGTACATCCGTATGTCATCGGCATCGACTTCCTCACGACGACGAAGGAACGTGGCTTCCTCGAAGTCATCCGGTTCCATTGTATGCTGCTGGATTTTGCTGCTGCGCATGGGAAGAATTCGACGGCCCTGGCCCATGTTCGGGGATAGAATGCTGCGGCCAACGGTGGTATCGTCTCTAGCGTCGGACTCGTCGTCCTCGTCGGCATAAATGTCTTCTACATCCAGGGACCGCTTCTGGCCACCCAGAGCACCGGAGAAGGAGGCGTTGGACTCTTGGCTGCTTGGGGGAAGTGAGAATGCGTCACCATCGTCCGTAATGAGGTATTCGTCTCGCCCCTCGCCGGAGAAAGGAGTCAACTCTGAGTGTCGGTGGGTAGTGCGATAGGGTTGGACACTTGGTGCTTGGGCCACGACGGTGGGAGGCAAGACCTTTTCTTGGGCCTTGGCCAGGTCGGTCCTGTGTCCATCGGCCATAGACTTCCGGATCCGCATTCCAACGCTCAGCAGGGAGGACTGCACCTCAGCCGGAACGACGGGGGTCGCAGAAAAGGTCCTTGCGGCGTAATGATGATGGTGGGATACAGCGGGTGTGTCAGAGGTCACTGGCTCTGTGGCAGAAGTGAAAAAGGTGGTGATAGGGGGTTGGAAGCGTCGTCGCTTGGATAGGTCAACTTTTGACATGGCGGAAGGCATGGTGAGAGTGGAGATGAAAAGGCGGAGATACAGTAGCCACGAAGCAGAGGAATGGAGACTTCAAATATGCAGCTCCCACGAGGTGTGACGTAGGAGAGGGGAGAGAGAAAAACTGCATCGGGGATAAGGCCCGTCGTTGGATGGGCAACGCGCCGCTGAAACGGAAACGCGGTTAAGGTCACGTGAACCACTTTACGCGTCTAACCAATCTCCACGCGTCTGATTACTTCCAGTATGACTTGTACAATAGATAATTATGGGATATTTTGAGACTGCTAAAATGATCATCTACTGAAAATGTACTCCAAAGATGCTTGCAATTGACTGTGGGCACAATCCACCTCTAGTCCAACTTTTAAGTGTCAAAATGGCTTCATCGAGTAATCTGAGTAGCGCATGGGGAAAGTATATACTTTGCACCGCCAATGTCAAAATTAACATTCAATTCCCTAAATCAAAAGTCATACACCGTAGATGCCAATTTCAAGGATTCATTTCTGTTCGATATGTAATAAAAGAGCACTGATATATACCTAGTACTAACGGCTGGGTCCAACTGTAGTACCCAAGTTTCCTCTCTTTCCGCCTCTCTTGCCACGGTCATGATGCGCCTTGAGTGCACGAGACACATCCTTCAAACTTCTCTTATTCTTTGATTTCGCTTTTCCAAGGGACATCAAGAAGGGCTTGTGCTTGCGAGCCTTCTCCTTGTTGGTAGTACTCTTGCCCTCCTGCTCCTTGCGCTCCTTCTTTCTTGCTTCCTTGCTCTTGTGCTCGGAGCGGTCTGTCTGTCCCTCCTTGGCGTGGGCGATGCGCTCCTCGCGTGTGGCCTTAGCAGCAGACAGAGCAGCAAGACCCTCGATCTCGTTGGCAGTCAATGGGTCGTCGGTGTGACGAGAAGTCCAGGGCGCGGCAACGCGGCCCTTGTTTCCAGGAAGAGTGGCCTCGGCAGCTGCCTCAGCGCGGAGCTCGGCGAGCTTGGCCAAATCAGCGGGGGTAAGGATTCGAGTGGTAGCCAATTTGAGGAAATCGATTTCCTCTTCAGCCTTGGACTTTTCACCGTCCTTTTGTTCTTCACCCTCCTGCTTGGTTTTCTTTGACGGGCGGGACTTGCCCTCGTCATCTGAGTCGCTCAAGTTGATATCGGCATCATCTTCCACGTTGATCCACTCTCCATCAACATCATCATCCGAGTCATCCTCAACATTCCAGGCGTCCCAGTTGTCTTCTTCATTATCTTCATCGTCTTCAGCATCAGATGGAAGACCCTTCTCGATGTTCTTCTTGCGGCGTTCTTCGTCCTTGTATCTGGCCAGAAGTTCCAGACCTTCAATCTGACCAACAGCCTGCTCACCGAAGCGTCTCTCCGACCTTTCACCCGCACGCAGGCTCATGGCAGCCTCCTTGCCGCGGTCACGCTTCTTGAGCATTTGAGCACCGACGTCACGGTACAGACTAAGCAGACCCTTGGAAGCCATCATGACACCCTTGTCCTTACTCTTCTTGTACATGACGAGATCCTGCAATAGGGTTTCATCCATGGCTAAAGGTTGTCTCACACAAATCTCACGAATGGCATTGAGACCGGCTGTGGCGACTTGACCCGCAGAAGCCTCAGAAACGAACTCGTTGGCAATCTTCTGCACAAGAGGCTCGAGAACATCAGGCGGCACCAGGTCGTGCGTGGCTTGAGCCAGAGATGCCAGGAATGAGGTCACGGACGGCTGGCGCGGTGTGAGGAACTTTTGGAAGTAGGAGTAGAGCGGCATGATGTGCAGCTGGTGCAGACCAACCAGACGGGAGACCAATTGCAGGACCAAGAGCTTTTGCTCCAGGTTCAGCTTGGATTTGCCATTTTGGAGATGCTTGAAGAACATGTTTTCGGAGAATCCTTGGGGATCGTGGAGCAAGTGAAGAGCCGAGAAGTTGAGCATGACGTTGGGCTGGCCCTTCTTCTTCTCCTTGTTCCTGGCAGATTTGATGGCCTTTTCAGCGGCACGAGCCTTCTTTCTGGTCTTCTTGTTGATGGTAAGCTGGTGCTTGACTTGACCAACATTCACTTCATCATCGCTGCTCTCGTCCTCCAGCTCCTCGCGCTCCTTGTCACCACCGAGGAAGAAGCGGACACCGCCAACGACGACCTTCTCATTTTCTGACAGGGCAGCCTCCTTCATGACCTCAACAGCCTTTGCCTCGGTCCAAATCTGGCGCTTCCACAGCTCTCGGGTAATCTTGATTGCCCACAAGCCCTTGGCCGATGTGCGGTCAGAGGTGACCAAGTTAAAGAGCACAGTCTGCATAGTCCGGTTCAACTTATGGTTGGTAGTCTTGGAGTTGGCAGTGCGCAGCTCAGAGAGAATCTTTTGGAACAGCAAGGCCCTCAGGGTCTTACTAGGCGTAGAGACAAGAATGGGGAACAGAGTGTGGAGTAGTCTGATGTGGGGTCAGCATTAATCGCAAAACACATGGACGCTGGTTTATCTACCTTTCTGAGTCAATGATATCCTTCTTCTTCAAAAGCACCAGACTGCCCACCAGCTTCTCGCGCAACTCGGTCTCCAACACCAGGTGGTGCTGCATGAGCATGTCAATAAGCTGTTGCGGGAAGTCCTTGCAGATGTCTGGGTAGCAGTCGGAGACATGGGAAATGAAGTCGATCAGATCCCGAAGAGAAATCAGACCGGTGTCCGTAGCGGACGAAGGCGCCGCCATGAAAATCTCGCGGTGAGACTCATATTGGTAGTGCTGAGCCCGGAAATCTTCAATATAAGATCTGAGCAGCGCAGATGAATGATTAGCATTGATCCGCAGAGCGAACAAGTGTCTTGCTGGCAACTTACTTGGGGTCCTTCTTGATCTTATGTTGTAAGTTGGGCCTTCGAAGCGCATCTGGGTTAGCATTGGAACGAACCCTCCACCGACCGAGCGCAAAAGCCGATTCTCAACAGCAAAGACTCACAAATCAGCCTCAACCTTTTCCAAGGCACCAATCTTTCTTTTCACCATCTTGACGGGGGTCAAATGGCAGGGAAAGTAGTTGGTTGGAGTTGTGTTGGCACGGCTGGTCCGAAACTTTTTCCCTCCTTATCGATAAGCGATGGAAAATCTCGCTCCACCTGAGTTTGGCCCGGGAGCCCTGGAGAACATCTAGGCACATTGCTCTGGGAGATTTCTGGTGCCAATTGATACATGGGTTTTATGTTCTCTATTCTACTGACACTTAAATCATTGAACGAATAAAAGAAATTTTTTCTTTTTAGGAGATAGGTCTTCTCGACCCATGGTCTTCATGATCACATCTCAACTACAAAGAAAGCCGTCCGAATGCGTTCCCTTTTAAGATCGTGCTTCCTTGACTGCATCACATTATGTAACAGCCTTGCAGATGCATGCGATACTGAATCCCGGCTAAAACCCCGTCCACTCCAGTATCCATAAACAGAGGACCAAACGGAGAACAAATCCAACACAACCCCTTTACCGGTTGCTCTTGGCAACACGCTCGAGCTCGTCCTTCTTCTTGATAGCGTAGGAGTTGGAAGAACCCTTGGCGGCGTTGATCAGCTCCTCAGCAAGGCACTCAGCAATGCTCTTGATGTTGCGGAAAGAGGCCTCGCGAGCACCGATGGTGAGCAGAGAGATGGACTGGTTCACGCGGCGGAGGGGAGAGACATCGACGGCTGAGTATATGTTAGTATTGAGTATATTGCTGGAATGGACGATTTCACATACCCTGGCGGCGGACGGTACCCTGGGAACCGATACGGGTGGAGTCCTCACGGGGACCGCAGTTGACAATGGCGTCAACGGCGACCTGGAGAGGGTTCTGGTCGGTCATGATGTGGATCTAAAGCATGGCGGGTTAGTTCCTGATGCGTGGAGCGAGATGGATCCAAATGGCACGTACGATCTCGAAAGCGTGAGCGACAATGCGGACAGCGAGGAGCTTCTTTCCGTTGTTGCGGCCGTTCATCATCAGAGAGTTGGTGAGACGCTCGATGATGGGGCACTGAGCCTTGCGGAAGCGCTTGGCGGCATAGCGACCGGCAGAGTGAGAAAGGTAGACGGGAGTGCGGATCTGGATGTAGTCGCTGTGGTTGCAGGTCAGCATCTCTGATCAAGTTGATAGCCTTGCAATTGTCGATTCTGCTGCGCATTGTTGCTTTCCTGCTGTGTGCGATGCAGATTCCAGTCCCGAAGCCTGTGGTATTCTTTCCATCGAAACCACCAAAAAAAAAATATCGTAGTTCCCTTCAGACCAATTTTTTTCCCTTTCCTCGCCAGTTCCTCCCAGTCGGATCGCATTTTCACACACAGCAGGGGTTGTTTCGGCGCAGACAGGACCTTCAGATGGACTCACGTCAAGGAAATATCCCGGATCTCGACATCATCGTAGCTCCACTTGTTGAACAGCTTAACGCTGCCCTGCTCGGCCAGAACCTCCTTGGGCAGGACAGGGAAGGAAACCTCGACGTCCCCGTTGTCGGACATGTTGACTGTGCTGGAGGGGTGGGAAGGGGTTTGGCGTTTGGTGATTGAACTTCGGGCGTTGAGGTCGATCCAAGATGGGAAATTGAGTGTGGACTTTCGCTTAATTGCAGTGTGCGGTCACGTGTACCCAGTGGGTCTGTTGCCTCAGGCCTGAAGTTGGCCTGAAGTTTCAGGGACCCACTCCCAGCCCGTTCCATCTCTCCAGCTTCTGACGGAGTACACTGTTTCGGCTTTGATGTGTATCTTTTCAATGCTGATTTGTGTGATGTGGGAGTCTCCAATGGTTCAATTTGCACTTTATCTACTTTTACAGATCCAAATCATACCACTTGCAACTCGGGACATATTGCAGCACCCGCTGCACGCTAGTACTGTCTTCCAGCATTCCGAGCCTGGACCAGGGGACACGCGATACAAGTCAGACGGTTTTGGAACCTCTGTCTCTGATTCTCAATTGCTGTCCATGAAAGACATAGATGTAGAAATAAAATCCTATATATAGCAAGCGAAACTAGCATCTCTCGATGTCTCATGCCCTCGGCTCGCTTGACCGCCCTTGAACAGGTGACGTTGCGGATGTCTGGCGCGGAGAGGGTGACTATTCGTTGACTGTGAGTCGACTACACCCCGGTAAATACAACTCGCGGCTATCAGGGCCGTACTCGGGAAAATCGCCCCTCTTTGGATTCCGCGCCTCTGAGACGCTTATTGCGATGAGGCGTCCTTGACTGCGTACTCTCAATCCTCCCCCGCGCTTTCGATACACTTCCCCGAATTGACGCATCTCGACCCGCTGCCACAATGGCGGAAGAATCCCCTGAGCTCCAGGCCGCTTTGCGGAGCCTGGATAAGGAATTGGAGGTATGTCATTCGTGTGCATCTGACCAAGCAGCCAGCTGAACATGTGTCCTAAATAGGAGGGCGATATCACCGAGAAAGGGTAAGCACTCGCACACCGACCTTCAGAGCCCCCGCACAATGGCGTTACAACGTGGACAATGCAATCATTGGGATTGGGAAACCATTTGTGACCACATCGGATTCGGAGAACTGACAGCAACAAAGATACCAGAAGCGACGTACGGTCCTGCTCTCGCAGTATTTCGGCCCAAACAAACCTCTTGAGATCAGTCCTCACGCCACCGCCGGCTATGATCCGTCTCCGACCAGCTCTACCATGGCGCCGCCGGCCATCTTGAATGTCCGACCCCCAACTGCCGAGTCATCTATCCCTGGGGTGTCATCTCCAACCTATGCGGGCGATTACAATGATCATTACAGCGGAAGTCTCGGGTATGACCATGGCCCTGGTATAGATCAAAGTCAACAAAGGAGACCGTCAGGGCCACTTGGAGGGGACGGCGCGGGCATGCTACAAGCCAGTGCCCATGACCGGATGCCTTCCTCGAGTTCCTACGACTCATTATTCCTTCCCAGACCCCCAGTAGCGGGGCCTCCAGGCCAAGATGGCTCCAGAACTGCAACTCTTATGAGCCAAAACTACGCGTTCAACCCTAATTCGCAACCGGAGTATGTCTCACAGCCTGAGTTCGACCAACCCGAATACGCCCAGGCCGAGTATCCTCCGAATGAATACGCCCAGCCCGAGTTTGCGGATGACGGGATGGGCTATTATGACCCCGCGTCTGGTGGCCCAACGCGACAGTCGACGATGCTTGATTCTCAACAAGGTTACTTTTCCGATTTCGCAGGACAGCAACATGACGATTATAGAGATAGCTACGGCGGTGGCTTTCATCGCTACTCTCAGTCTGGCGAAGCCTTCTCACCCACTGCCAATATGGCACCTCCATTGATGCCCGCCTCGGATCTTCAGCATGGACCGGCGATTGAACATTTGCTTCCTCTCGAGCCACGAGAGATTCCTTTTGCGTTGAACGATCCTCACGACAAAAACATTCCAATGTCCAACTTCGACAACCTTCCTGCGGTCCTGCGACACCGTGCTCGAGCCCACCCCAAGCAAGCGGCGTATTGGGTATTGGATCAGAAAGGAAAGGAACTTGCGTCAATCACTTGGGAAAAGCTCTCCGCTCGCGCAGAGAAAGTTGCTCAAGTCATTCGCGACAAGAGTAATCTCTACCGTGGCGATAGAGTTGCTCTCATCTACCGCGAAGCTGAGATCATCGAATTCGCTGTTGCGCTTCTAGGCTGTTTCATTGCTGGGGTTGTCGCAGTCCCAATCAACAGCCTGGACGATTATACAAGTCTCAACTTGGTCCTCACGTCCACGCAAGCACACTTGGCCCTGACTACTGAGAACAACCTGAAGAATTTCCAACGCGACATCACTGCACAGAAGCTCAGCTGGCCACGAGGAGTCGAGTGGTGGAAGACGAATGAATTCGGCAGCTTCCATCCGAAAAAGAAGGATGATACGCCTCCATTGCAGGTCCCTGATCTGGCCTACATTGAGTTTGCCCGGGCTCCAACTGGTGATTTACGTGGTGTCGTGATGAGCCATCGGACTATCATGCACCAGATGGCATGCCTGAGTGCCATAGTCTCCACAGTCCCCACAGATGCCAGTGCCAGGCAATACGCCAGCAAAGGTGAAACAATCATCAGTTATCTCGATCCTCGGCAAGGTATCGGTATGATCATGGCAATTCTCTTCACGGTCTACGGTGGCCATACCACGGTCTGGCACGAAGATCGCGCGGTGGAGACACCTGGTCTCTATGCCCATCTTATCACCAAATATAAGGCGACTGTCATGGCGACTGACTACTCTGGTCTCAAGATCGCCACATACAACTACCAGCAAGATCCGATGTCTACCAGACATTTCAAGAAGAACTCTGAGCCTAATTTCAGCAGTGTCAAAATTTGCCTCATCGACACTCTTACCCTCGACCCTGAGTTCCACGAAATCTTGGCCGACAGATGGCTTCAGCCAATGAGAAACCCACGAGCCAGGGAAATAGTGGCTCCTATGCTGTGCTTACCGGAACATGGAGGTATGGTCATCAGTATGCGTGATTGGCTTGGTGGAGAAGAGCGCATGGGATGCTCTTTGACCCACGAAATGGATCCGGCTGGCCGTGACGATAAGAAGGAAGATGAGACCCTTGTCAAGTCCGGGACCAACACTGGCTTCGCAAGTAGTCTTCTTGGGGGTGGATCACGGGTATCCGTCCCAAAACAGGAGACCAAAAATGAGCTCAGTGAGGTTCTATTGGATAAGGAAGCCTTGAAAAGCAACGAGGTCGTTGTCTTGGCCATGGGCGAAGACGCCAGGAAGTACGCCAGCAGCATGCCACATGCTGTTCGCGTTGGTGCCTTTGGTTATCCCATCCCCGATGCAACCCTTGCCGTTGTTGACCCTGAAACTAACCTGCTCTGCACACCAAACGTTGTTGGAGAAATTTGGGTTGACTCTCCGTCTCTTTCGGGTGGCTTTTGGGCCTTGCCTAAGCATACCGAGGCCATCTTCCACGCTCGTCCCTATAAGTTTGAGGAGGCCAACCCGACCCCCGTTCTTGTGGAGCCAGAGTTCCTGCGCACTGGTCTGCTCGGATGTGTGATTGAGGGTAGGTTGTTTGTCTTGGGTCTCTACGAGGACCGTCTCCGTCAGAAGGTGGAGTGGGTCGAACACGGCCAGGAGATCGTTGAGCATAGATACTTCTTTGTTCAGCATCTCACTGTCAGCATCCTGAAGAAGGTGCCCAAAATCCATGACTGCACCGCGTTCGATGTCTTTGTGAACGATGAGCATCTTCCAGTAATTGTCTTGGAGTCTTATTCGGCATCAACGGCGCCAACGACATCTGGTGGGCCACCCAGACAGCTTGATTCCGTCTTGCTTGATTCGTTGGCAGACCGATGTATGGAAATCCTATACCAAGAGCATCACCTGCGAGTATACTGCGTTCTGCTTACGGCTCCTAATACTCTACCTCGTGTCACCAAGAACGGTAGACAGGAGATCGGCAATATGCTCTGTCGCAAGGACTTCGAAACTGGCATGTTGCAAGCAGTACATGTCAAATTCGGAGTTGAACGATCAGTGATGAATCTGCCCGTCGGCGTCGATCCTGAGGGTGGTATCTGGTCTCCTCTTGCGCTGGCATCGAGGCAAGACATGCTCGCTTACCAAGAAAAGCAATACTCGGGTGTTGATTATCGTGATGTTGTCATGGATGATCGGACCTCCACGCCATTGAACAATTTCAACACTATTGTGGATCTCCTCCAGTGGCGAGTTTCTCGCCAGGCCGAAGAACTTTCATACTGCTCCATTGATGGCCGCGGAAAAGAGGGCAAGGGCATTACTTGGAAGAAATTCGATCTCAAGGTTTCTGCTGTGGCTACCTACCTAAAGAATAAGGTTAAGGTGCGGCCAGGTGATCATCTTGTGCTGATGTACACACACTCGGAGGAATACATCTATGCTGTTCATGCTTGCTTCTGCTTGGGTGCTGTTGCCATCCCAATGGCACCTATCGATCAAAATCGTCTTTCGGAGGATGCGCCTGCATTCCTGCATATTATCAGCGATTTCGGCGTGAAGGCCATCATTGTCAACACGGAGGTCGATCAAGTTATGAGACAGAAGCTGGTGTCTCAGCACATCAAGCAGTCTGCCCAGGTTCTTCGAATTGGCGTTCCTGCCATCTACAACACCACGAAGCCTTCGAAACAGTCCCACGGATGTCGCGAGCTTGGCTATACAGTGAAGGATGCTTGGCTCCAGGGCAACAAGCCCGCTCTGATTTGGACTTACTGGACTCCTGATCAGCGAAGAATCTCCGTCAACATTTCCCATGAAACTATTATGGGCATGTGCAAGGTCCAAAAAGAGACATGCCAGATGACAAGCTCGAGGCCAGTCCTTGGAAGTGTTCGTAGTACCTTGGGCCTTGGGTTCCTCCACACCTGTCTGATGGGTATCTTCGTTGGTAAGTCCACTCATCTCACTTGGATGTGCTCACACTAACCATTGATCAGGCGCCCCCACATATCTCGTCTCCCCTGTCGATTTTGCTACAAACCCCATGACCCTCTTTGTTACCCTAGCTCGATACAAGATCAAGGACACTTACGCCACCAGCCAGATGTTGGACTATGCCATGAGTGCCATGGCTGGAAAGGGTTTCCAATTGCAAGAATTGAAGAACCTGATGATCTCCTCGGAGGGCCGCCCTCGGGTGGATATCTGTATGTGTCACTACTCTAACCGCCATGTGGGCAAATGCTAACTTGACAATAGATGGAAAGGTTCGCCTGCACTTTGCCAACGCTAGTTTGGATCGCACAGCAATCAACGTGGTGTACTCACACGTTCTCAATCCCATGGTCACTACACGATCATACATGTGCATTGAGCCAATTGAGCTCTGGCTCGACCTGCGCAGCCTTCGTCAAGGTCTTATCTACCCCGTCGACCCTGACGCCGACCCAACTGCTCTCCTGTTGCAGGATTCGGGTATGGTCCCGGTCAACACGCAGATCGCAATCGTGAACCCAGAAACATGCACTCTCGCCCACGTTGGAGAGTACGGTGAGATTTGGATTCAATCCGATGCTTGCGCCCAGGGATTCTACAAATCAAAGCAGGAATTCGACGTCGAGCGATTGAATGGCCGTGTCGCGGATGGCGATCCCAATGTTCCCTATGTCCGTACCGGTGACCTTGGTTTCCTTCACACGGTTACCCGGCCTATTGGTCCTAATGGTCAGCCGGTCGAGATGCAAGTTCTTTTCCTTCTTGGTGGTATTGGTGAGACATTCGAGGTCAACGGTCTCAATCACTTCCCTGTCGACATTGAGAACTCAGTGGAAAGGTGTCATCGCAACATTGTGAATGGAGGATGGTGAGTTTTCTCTTCGCAAAGTTGTATACGGACTAAGCTAACGCTCCTTGGTTAGTGCTATCTTCCAAGCCGGCGGCCTGGTTGTCGTTGTGGTCGAAGTCACCCGGAAGGCTTACTTGGCATCTTTGGTGCCTGTGATTGTCGATGCCATCCTCGCGGAGCACCAGGTTATCGCCGATATCGTTGCTTTCGTCTCTTATGGCGATTTCCCTCGCTCGCGTCTGGGTGAGAAGCAGCGCGGAAAGGTTCTTGCCTCCTGGGTCACTCGGAAGCTTCGTACCATTGCTCAATTCAGCATTCGCGACTTGGAAGGCTCCGACAATCCATTTGGCGAAGTTCCTCACCACCGTCTGAGTAGGGTCTCCAAGCCCGGAAGCACCATGGGTGCCAGCATCCGACAGTCTAGCATGAACCCCGACATGGAGCCGCTCCCACAATCGCCGGCTGGAGTGACGTTGGAGGAGACCATCCACCCGTCCGCAACCTATGCTGCGGACAATGGCGGTTCCCTGCGACGACTTGAGACAGCTACCGACAACAGCGTGAAATCAACCCCTGTCCCGGAGCCTACCCCTGGTGTGCCTCACATCAAGGAGCCACAGTCTGCGACCATTGTCACCGAGTTCGACGATCATCACTACGATACATTGGATCACCCAGAGGGCGTCCCGGATGCCAACCGTAACTTCCGATTCAGCTTCGAGACCGCGACTGAGCCTCAGGGCCATGGATACGCTGGAGAGGAGCCGCCGTCAACCGGACATGGCTCTTTTACCGGCCAACAAGGATGGGATTATAACGGCGGACAAGCGATTGGCGTCGCCCACGCCGACGCTGGCCGGCCACGCACGCAGGACAGCGGGCTCATTGATGACTGGCCCCAAGAGGCGCTGATATACCAGGACGCGCTGGGCGCAGAGGATGGTCATCACCAAACTCATGCCCGAAACCCTTACGACGGAAGCGGGTACGCTGCTTAATCTGTACAGGTCTTCTGGGTCAAGTGCGGCTTGGGTGATCTCTTGCCTCTTGACACTACCTAAATACCTGTTTTCCTTTTTGTACATACCCCTTTTTCTAGCAATTGTAGATAGCTTTTGATTCAGGCTACTTGAGCATTGATACACGGGTAGTCCACACATCAACTCGTCTCTGATAAAGTGCCAATGGTGGATGATCGTCCAAAGACGTGATCCCGACCCACAGTTATACCATATGAATATCAACACGATCGTCAATCTATACTCCTCGTATACTCCGCAGTCTGCGCAAGCGTAAACTTAGGGGCTCTGAAAGCAGTATAGTTCCCTGATCAGCCTATCCCGCCTCCGCTGTCCTGCACACTGACCTGCACGCGGTCCCCATATACTCCGTGCCTACTGCTTTACCCGATAGCCGATCACCCTGATATACTCTCAATTCCTCCGTAAACTAGAGGCATGATTTTCGCTGAGCAATTTCGTGGAGAAATGATACCACTTAACGGTGTGTCGATGACGCAGGCTAGATAGTGAGCCCTATATAGATCCTGGGCTTCGTACAACGTACTTTGAAGACTGCCCAACCATGCATCTTTTGAAGATTCTACTATTAGCAACGGCGACTCTTGCCAAGCAGCCTAACATTCTGTTCGTCTTGACTGATGATCAGGGGAAATATGTGGGTGGCTTAGAGCATATGCCCAAGCTGCAGGTAAGGGTATCAAGCGACTCAACGCTGTCTTCGAAGCTCACGTCCAAAGGAAACACTCGTACAACAGGGAACAAGCTACTCCAACCACTTCTGCTCCATCGCATTATGCTGTCCCTCCCGAGCGAACCTGTGGACCGGCCGCATGCCACACAACACCAACGTCACCGACGTCGGCCTGCCCTACGGCGGTTATCCTAAGGTGGTTTCAGCCGGATGGAATGACAACTATCTTCCACTCTGGATGCAAGATGCCGGGTATAACACATACTATGTCGGAAAGGTGAGTCCACCCAGAGCAGACAGTGACAAGTCCTAACGAATCCAGATGTGGAACGCCCACACCGAAGACAACTACAATGATCCCTACGTTCGGGGCTTCAATGGCTCCGACTTCCTGCTGGATCCATACACGTATCGCTACTGGTATGCACGAATGACACGCAATGGCGCCCCGCCAGTGAAATATGATGGGAATTACTCGACCGACGTGATCGCCGAGAAGGCATCGGGGTTCATTGACGAAGCCGTGAAACAAGATCGACCGTGGATGCTGACCGTTGCGCCGAACGCACCACACTCGAATGGCTCGCACGACTCTACGCGAAATGCGAACTGGTTCGGCGAGCCGGAGTTTGCGCCCCGACATGCTGATCTGTTTAAGGATGTTAAGGCCCCGCGAGACGAGAGCTTCAATACCTTAATTGAGAATGCGGTTAGCTGGGTCGAGAATGTGCCGGAGTTGAATCAGACTCATATCGATTATATCGATGAGTTCCAGCGGTGTCGACTGCGGGCCTTGCAGGCTGTGGACGAGATGATTGGGGATCTTGTTGAGAAACTTGATAAACTTGGCGAGCTGGATAATACTTATATTTTCTTCTCGACGGACAATGGATATCATCTTGGCCAGCATCGGATGCAGCCTGGAAAGAACTGCGGTTATGGTGAGTGCATTTGTCCACTACATAGTTCACAGTCAGTCTTCAGCTAACCCTATATGAAAGAAACCGACATCAATGTGCCGCTCATCGTCCGAGGACCTGGTATCGGCAAGAATGTGACACTGGATGCAATCACCAGTCACACTGACTTGGCCCCGACCTTCCTCTCCTTGGCTGGCGCTACCAGAGACGGACTAGATGGCAAGAAGATCCCCACGACAATCGCAGCCAGTACTGCCCACAACAGATCCGAGCACGTAGCCATCGAGTACTGGGGATTAGTGAGTCCCACATACACATCACGAAATTTCAAAACTGACTCTATACCCAGGCTGTCCCAGAAGGAATCTACGGATATGCCAGCGACAAGCTCCAGCAGCCACATAACAGCTACGAGCGCAATACCTACAAAGCCATCAGACTCGTTTCCGACGACTACAGTCTCTACTATGCTGTCTGGTGCACGAACGAACAGGAGTTCTACGATCTCAAGGTATGTGTCTTCAGCCCCAGCCAAAAGCAAAGGCTAACAAATACAGGGCGATCCACACCAAACCAAGAACCTAGGCACACACCCAGCCAAGCAGGCTTATAAGATCGCCAACAGGGAGCTTCCCCAGATCATATCGCGGTTGAATGCTTTAATGCTGGTTCTGAAGTCTTGCAAGGGCGACGCATGTCGAGACCCGTGGCTCCAATTGCATCCAGCAGGCAAGGTGAATAGTCTTGCCGAAGCGCTTGATTCCGGCTTTGATGAGTTCTATGCGAATCAGCCGAAGACTTCGTTCTCTTCGTGTGAAAATGGGTATATCATTTCTGCGGAGGGGCCGCAGGAATTCAATTCTTATGGAGCGCAGAGTCGGAGGGGGTGGTTAGATGGTCTTTGGTGAGCTCACTATGCTCACCCTTTTATCAGCGTGCATTTGCGAGCATCTGGGTATCCACAGCTACGATCTCTTCGTATCTATACCAGGGCCATGGAGGTGATTGCTTGAAATAACTTGAATTGATCATGGTATATGCATTAATGCTATCACTTTTGAGTGCTTTTTGTTTTGGATTTTTACATTTACTGGCTTTCAGCCTGTTTCGTCAGCTGCTCGATGTTGACCTTGGCAGTCAGACCACCACTGGAGGTGGCAGCCTCGCCGCTCAGCTGGTCGAGGGCCTGCAGGTCCTCGTTGGTGAGGGTGTTAGAGCGGATAGGGCGGAAAGGAGCAGGTGAGCCAGCGCGGGAAGCAAGGAACTAGATTTCGTTTAGCGGGGCTCGTACAGTAGACGGAGAGGTGATGCTTACGGAGCTGGCGGCGCTGAGGAGGGCAATCAGAGAGGCCTGGACAACATCCTGGTGGATACCAACACCCCAGACCTGCTCGTTGCTGCCGGCTGCTGTGCACTGGATATATGTGGCAGCCTTGACGTCACGACCACGGCCGATGGAGTGCTCCTTGTAATCGCGGACATCAAGGTCGATGCCGAGAGTGGAGAGGGCGGTGGCCAGGGAGGAAATGGCACCGGGTCCGACACCGGTGATGGCGTGCTGGACGTTATCGATTTCAATAACACCAGTGAAGCGACGCTTCAGGTTCTTGGTGTTGAGAGCCTTGCCAGGCTCGGGGGGAGCGGGGGACTGCGAGCGGTCGGTTGTGATGCTGTAGTCGACCAAGTTGAAGCGGGGGTTGGACTTGAGGTGGTAAGACTCCTCGAAGAGATCCGTGATCTCAGTGGGCTTCAGCTCGCGGTTGACAGACTCGGTCTTAACCTGCACAAGCTTGCTGAACTCGACCTGCAAAGCGCGAGGGAGATCCAGCTCCAAGCTGCGCAGGATGACCCAGGCGGCACCGCCCTTTCCACTCTGGGAGTTGACACGGATGACGGCCTCGTAGGTACGGCCGATATCTTGTGGGTCCAGAGGCAGGTAGGGGACTTCCCATTCGGGCTCTTGGCCAGCGGCCTCGGCATCCTCGCGGAGCTTGAAACCCTTCTTAATTGCGTCTTGGTGACTGCCCGAGAACGCGCAGACGACCAGCTGTCCACCATACGGCCAGCGCTCGTTCACGGGAATCTTGTTGCTCTCCTCTACTACCTTGATGACGGAGTTGATGTCTGAGAAGTCGACCTTGGGTGAGACACCTTGTGTGTACAAGTTCAGGGCCAGGGTGACGAGGTCGACGTTTCCGGTACGCTCGCCGTTTCCAAACAGGGTACCCTCTACACGATCAGCACCAGCCATCTGAGCCAGCTCGGCGGCGGCAACGGCGCAGCCACGGTCATTGTGGGGGTGGACTGAGACGACGAACTTCTCGCGCTCGGTCATGTTTGTGCAGAAGTATTCGACCTGATCGGCGAACACGTTGGGGGTAGCCATCTCTACCGTGGCGGGCAGGTTGAAAATGATAGGTTGCTCGGCGGTGGGTTCCCAGGCTTCCTTGACAGCCTGGCAGACCTCGACGGCGAACTCAGGCTCGGTGTCTGAGAAAGTCTCGGGGGAGAACTCGAATTGCCATTCGGTGCCAGCCTGAGAGGGGTCATCCTTGGTGATGGAGCGAGCGTACTTGGTGCACTTGACGGCCAATTCCAAACTCTTTTGGCGATCCATGTTGAAGACAATGCGACGGAAACAAGGGCTGGTTGCGAGGTAGATGTGGAGGATAGCCTTCTTGGCGCCCTTCAGGGAGTCGACGGTTCGGCGGATCAGGTCCTCACGACAAGGTGCCAGGACCTGCAGGGCAACATCATCGGGGGTGAGACCGGGTTCCTCGACCAGGCGGCGTGTGAAGTCGAAATCAGTCTGGGATGCGGAGGGGAAGGAGACTTCAATTTCCTTGTATCCGATATCCACGAGCATCTTGAAAAACTTATACTTGGCCTCGCCATCCTGGAATATTCAATTAGTAGGGAATATGGGAAACCCTGAAATCGGTCATACCATTGGATCGGGCAGAGACTGGTTGCCATCGCGCAGATCAGTGGCCATCCAGCGGGGAGGCTTGTCAATAATCTTGTTAGGCCATTGGCGGTTAGGCAGGTTCAACGGCTTGTACGGCTTGTACTTTTTTGAGGGATCCTTGAGCCTTCCATGGAGTCAGTACGTGGCACACAATGCGTTCGAACGTTCGACCTACATCGGCATGATGTCTGATGTCGGCGGGGTATCAGTGGGGGGGCAAGGTTGATAAGGAACTATTAGGTATAGGCCAAGCAGACTCGGGTATGGTCTGACTGGAAAGTGATGTTTTCCAAAACACGGATATGTGAGTACTCTTATAGAAGAGAAAGAAAAAAAGAGTAAGACCAATGAAGAATGCTGTGACTCAAATCAACCCCGATCGTCAATGACGCCGAGTTTTCGGCGCCGACAGCGGAGTCACGTGATGACATACATTCGCCGCTCGAGCGGCCAATTGATCTGCAATTGGTGTAGAATTAGGCTGAGATGGTTGCAATGCATCTGGGATCTTTGCAAGCTGCATTTACAGCCATATAATGGCCCATTTCTGTCCTGCTATGTCGATAAACACCTTGTATGGCTCCATACAGGGCCCCCGAACTCGGAGTGATTTGTGCCTGAGGCGCAGATCTCCGAGGATAGCCGGGCAGTGACATCGTAGGGCGCGAGGCCTTCAATATTCGCAGTTGGATATGTCTTTTCAAAACAGATGTAGTATACAAGGTGAAGCGGGTGGGGGTTTATGTAGTACAGGCGCTCAAATTACACAATCAGACAAAGTTCTTTTCGAGTTCCACCAACAAGGGGTGAACATCCTCCACCCCGAGTTTCACGGCGCGGGGATTCTGCAGGGCCTCATCGCCAAACTTGGCTTTGATTAGCGCCTGGAGCTTCTGGCCACCCTCATCTGTCTTGCTGTGCATTTGCCCAGTGACATCAACCGTGACACCGCCATTTGCCAAGTCGCGCGGCCCAAGGATGAAGATGAGGTTGTATTTCATCTGTTTGGCGCGTTGAATCTTCTTGCCGAGGGTCTGCGCGCTGCTGTCCACGTCAACCAAGAAAGTAGAATCGACGGATGATAGCGGACGAGGTGACTCGACGGTGCCGTCATTGAGAAGAGCTCGGAATCCAGCGAACTTAGCGGCCGCTTCCTGAGCCCGTTGCACAACAGCATCATCTTGGTTGACCGTCAAGATGATAGCCTGACGTGGCGAAAGCCAGAAGGGCCAATGGCCACCGTGCTCTTCGATCAGCAACGCCAAAAAGCGCTCGAGGGATCCGAAGATGGCACGATGAACCATGACGGGGGTTGCAACTCCCGGTGTCGCCGGATTGTAGTCCGGTTCACCCTCTGCAACCTGGTACTCCAACTCGAATCGCTGGGGAAGGTTCATATCCAATTGAATCGTAGATAGTTGATGGAATTTGCCCGCTTGGTCTTGGAGCTGAATATCGATCTTCGGGCCGTAGAAGGCACCATCGCCCTCGTTCAAAGCCCACTCGCGGCCAGTGCTGTCCAGCGCTTCGCGCAGTTGCGTCTCAGTATTTTCCCACATCTCCAATGATCCAATATAATCCGTTTCCGGTCGCGTTGACAGCACCAAGCGGTATGGGCCAAGTCCAAAGGTCTTCATCGCCATGTCCACGAATCCCAGTGCGGACGCGATCTCTGCTTTGATCTGCGACGGTCGGCAAAAGATGTGCCCGTCATCTTGGTGAAAGCGGCGCACACGCGTCAGACCAGTGAGCGAGCCAGAGACCTCGTTGCGATGCAGTGGGCTGAAGTCTGCGTAGCGAATGGGCAGGTCGCGGTAGGAGTGGGTTTGCGACTTGAACAACAGACAGTGACCGGGGCAGTTCATGGGCTTCAGACCGTAGGATTCGTCTTCGCCAAGTTCGCCTTCTGTATCGCCGCTGGCTCCGCGGCCAGTCACCTCGTACATGTCATCTTTGTAGTTCTGCCAGTGTCCGGAGATCTCCCAGAGGGATTTTTTGTAGATGGTCGGTGTCAGGACTTCGCGGAAGCCATATTGTAGGTACTGAGTGCGGAGGAAGGAGATCAATTTGTTGACGACGTGCGTGCCATTTGGGAGGAACAGAGGCGATCCAGGGCTGTAGACGGAGGATGTGAAGAGCTCTTGAGCTGTCCCGAGAGCTCGGTGGTCGGTGGGAGGAATCGGAGGGAGTTCGCGCTTGGGATCAGTGCATGAGCAATGGCGGAATGAAGTTGTCGAGAATCGCGGAGCGACCCGCAGAGCTGGTCTGGCAGTCAGCAAGCGCGGTCGTGGTAGGCGCATGGTTGTTGAAGATTCTCGGCGCGGATTCTCCGGTTTCTCAAAGTCGCCGCACCTCTGCTACTAGTATACAAATTAACAAAAGTCAAAATTGACGCAGCTGAAAACACTTCACTTCACTTCAAGTATGTGAAACTTGAAGTCGAGAACTATGTGTAACAGATCCTAAATTCCTAAGGCCATGCAGTGAACAGTGACCCTACAGTGTTTGACTCCGCCTTAGGATACCTCAGCGCTTGTCACATACAACCCACCAAATCCCCCAGGACATGTAGCTATGCCTGAACAGGCCCCCAAATCCCCGACCCTTGGTGAATCATGGGTGATGGCTTCGACCGCTTCTTTGGACAAGGAAGTCCCAGACCCAGAGCCCAGACCAACAATCAGCAAGGGCGCGAAGAAACCCTCCGAATCACTGGCAGCCTCATGGGAATCGGGCCCCGAGCTTGTGATGCCCTCAATTTGCGAAACACCCAACCCGGAAGGATCATGGGTGGAATATGTGCGCACACCACCAAGGCCGGGATCTGCGAGCACGCGCAAGCGACGCAAAGTCTCATCGCCCAGCAAGCTACACCAGCCAGCTGAGCACCCCGCCAAACCAGACGCTGGCTCGTCTGCCAAGGCCTCAAAAGCATCCAAGTCGACAGGGCTGAACACCGCGCTCGTCCGCGCCGCGATCAACGCCATCTTGATCGCCTTCATCGTACACCTACTCGTCCTCCCCGAGCTCGTCCACCAAGCAAACGACCTGTGTCGCATCCCAAGCATAAAATCGATCTACGCCAGCAGCTGTACACACCCACCACCAGCCCCAAACCAATCAACAGCCTCAGACCTTACAAGCTCCCAAACAAACCTCCAATCCATCCTCACCAGGACCCTCACGACCCTAACCCCACTCGCCTCAACCCTGAAAGAAAGCGAAACAATCCTTACCAACCTCTCAAGCCACCTCCGCAGCACAATCCCCGAAGCCCGACACGCCCTCGACCTCGAGTTCAGCGGCAGCGACGCCGCCCTGCAGACCGCAATCTGGGAATTCGAATCCCTACGCACCGACCTACAATCCGCACTCGACAGCCTCCTCTCCCCAACGCAATCCAGCGTCGCGATCCACCTCCGCCGCCGGACCGAGTATCTCGAGCGTCTGCGCACCCAGATCCGCAGCAAGGCCGAGTCCCTGAATGCGCGATTCAGCACGCTAGACGATCATCTCGAGGCGGTGGGGATGGTTGCGCGAGAACATGCCCAGATGGCTTCGTATTCGGTTTTGGATTCGTTGCCGTTTGGTGCGTATCTTTGGGGATCGGCGGGATTGGCAGGGGAGTCGTCAGCTCGGCCTGAGACCCTTGCGCTGGTGCGTGGTGCGGCGTCGCATCATCGTGGTGTTGCTGATTCGGTCCTTTGGCTGTCACGCCAGTTGGGGTCCACTTGAGCGGGTTGCGGTTCCACACTGATCGGGTTTTGATCAGGGTCCGAAGGCTGGGTTTCATGTTCAGGACCAGTAGTACATGATGTCTTCGATTGGGGTCCAATTTTTACAAGGTTATGAGTTATGAGTAATGATCGGCTGTTTTTTGATTATTTGTGATCAGTACGGAATATTGTTAGCAGGGCAAGGTTGGTCTCATTGGTGCTCTCCTTGTCAGTACATGCGATTGGACATCGAATGAAACTGTTGTTTACGCTGTCTCCAAAGCAACCACGTAACCGATCATATTTTACCAGTACTAGTACAAGTGCGCCGAGCACAGGTTTGTACTGTAAAGTAAATATGATGATAACATTGGAGATCTCCAGGGCCAGAAAGACTGTTCACGCCAGGTGTTACGTTACACACAGTACGCGTCTCCTAATTTGGGGATGCAAGATAAAGTACGGAGTACAAAGTACGAAACTATGAGCACAGTACGGAGTAATGCAGATGCAATGCAAATCCATGTCGGGCGAGGCTCTTATCATATGCAACTCGCTCTGGTTAAGTTTGAACTACTGGATATACACTTTACGAGGCGGTCTATGAAATATGTCAAATAATTGAATTGTTAATTGTGTTGATTATTCGCCCTTGGGCAAAGAAGTATTCGCTGATAGATAGATACAGATACTCAAGCTAAACCAGACGATCGATAGATGTCCAGACAGTCATAGGACCGGCAAGAGTAGAAGAAATGGTACACAGAAAAAAAAATATCGCAGCCAAGCATCACGGTCCAGCCCAGTGTCCTTGCAGTTGTCGTTAATAAGGTGTCATAAAAGTGTCAACTCGCAAAGTTTACAGCTGGAGCATAGCGGTGATCAAGCCCAGGAAGGACACGGGTCCCAGGTAGGTAGCACCAAGGGAGGAAGCCGCGTTGAAGGCAGGGCTGGAGCTAGCGCTGGCGCTGGCACTGCTGGAGCTGGCGCCGGAACCAGCGGTGCTGGAACCGGAGCTGGAGCCAGAAGAGCTGGAGCCAGTCTCGGAGCTAGAGCCGGAGCTAGAGCCGGAGCTAGAGCCGGAGCTAGAGCCGGAGCCGCTCTCAGAGCTGGAGCCGGCGGCACCAGAGCTGCTGGGGGAAGCACCGGAGCTGGAGGCAGCACCGGAAGCCTCGCTGGAGGATCCAGTGGAGGAGGCCTCAGTGGACTGAGCGGTAGAAGAGCCCTGGGTGGTGGTGGCCAGGGTGGTGGGAGCGGTGGAGGCCTCGGTGGAAGAGGCAGCTTCGGTGGAGGTAGTGGCAGGCACGGTAGAAGAGGTGGAGGTGGAGCGAGCAGTCACGCCGGCACCGTTGACCTTGATGCTGTCGTCGTTGCCGGAGTTGCCGTTGTAAGAGTAAGACTCGGCAGGGTTATCGTTCTTGATGGTCACGCTCTTGATGTACATGGAGAAGGGAGCCTGGGAGTAGTCGGTCTCACCGCCAGCCCAGTCAATGGTACCCTGGCCATTGCCAGAGTCACCACCAGCCCAGATACCAATGCGGATATCCATGGGGGTCTGGGGGAAGCGAGTACCGCCCTGAGCGTCGGCCTTGTTGAGAGTGCGGACATCATTGCCATCGATGGACCAGATGATGTGATCCTTGGTCCACTTGACGGTGTAGGTGTGGAAGGTGTCATGGGGGGTGGCAACATTGGGCCAAGTATCACGGTCATAGGTGGTGGTGTCACCCTTGCCAAAGTAGTTGGTCTCAACCTGAGCGTTGTTGCCGCCAAGCGCTTCCTATAATTCAGTTAGCAACGCAATTCGGTACATTCGACATTCGTAATTTTGGAAATACGCACCCAGTCAACTTCGTCCAGAGTGTCGGATTCCAACACAATGGAGCTGACCACACCGGTACCGGGGGCGGACTTCATCTCGACGGAGATTTCTCCGTACCAGATGTAGAAGTTGCTACGAATAGTCGGGGCGTCACCCTTCTTGGCGAGAGTGAACTCGGCGCCATCAGAGCCAGTGTTGACCTTGCCGGCGGTGGTCTTCCACTGGTCGAGGGCACTCTCCTGGGTGAAGTCGAAGTGCAGAGTCGACTCGGTGGAGCCCTTATCAGCAGGGCAGTTAGACTGCTTGAGAGGGTTGCAGTCGGAGTAAGTCTGAGCTGAGACGAGAGGAGCCGCGACGGCGAGGGCCGCGGTGGCGAGCTTCAGAATAGAAGGCATTGTGAGTGTGAAGAAAGAAAGATGGGAAGAGCGAATGACTGGGGAACGCGAAGTATTAAAATGGTCGGGTGGAAACGAGTGGACCTGGAGGAAAGAACTGGAGACCCAGTTGCTTTTGTACTTATCACCAATGTACGTTGTACACTGCCACGCTAGCTGCACGGCTAAAAAAAGGAGGAGGCGGGATTGACCGATCCCCTCGCGATGGAGTTGATTGGCCTCGGGTGGCGAGCCCCGGGGGTGAGACGCCGAGACATCGTCTGTGAGTGGACTATCAGTGGACTTTTAGTGGAGCTTTCGCGGACCCTTAGTGCCCTTTAGCGCCCTTCCATGGCCCCATGGGTTGCTGAGCGAAAAAGAAAAGATGGATTTTAAGCTTAGTGCGCCTTAGTTGGGTTGGATGTAAGACACGGGTTGACGCAGCCCAGTTATCAATATGCATATGCGCGTACTGCATATAATCCGAGATAAACATTTGAAATGACCAGGGAGCAGTACATAGTATACTGTAGTACAGATGCAAAGGGTCAGGGCTTTCACGTCAGCGGTCGATCCAGCCGATCACTTGTTACAGAGTGTAAAGTCTGTAATTTGTAATTCTGATCAGATCGAACATCGACCAGATTACATCAAAGAGACCCAGTTTAAAACTCTGTTGCTGTCACAATATTGGGCCGGACCCCGAGGGCAGGATTGATCACTGTACCCGTGGACCCTGAGTGTAAGGCTCCGATGTTGCACGTATCACACCTCCCACAGGGCGTAGCCTTCAGTCCCCCATGTTGATCCACGGTCAGGGTCTCGCATAAAATTGCCCAAAATCTCCCTGAACATAGGGATCGTATTCCCTTAGGGCTTAGCTGTCAGATGACTCTTGAACGGGCGGCCTGTGCCCTCAATGGGGCATAACGTGGCTACTAGCGCCGATGCCTTTTCTATACCTGCGCACTGCCTAAAGGTGGAATTTCATTTTATTTCTAAGACATTTTCTTTTTTTTTTCTTAGACACCTTAAAGACACAGGAGTTATTATTAGGCCGTCATTTCCGGCAAGGGGGTGAAACGCCTTCATGAGAATCAATGAGAGGACAGCAGACTCTTGGCCTGGGGGATCAGATGCAGGAACCAGAGCCACAATCCAATCATTGTGACTAGCGAAGCGACTAAAAATACCCGGAAATTTCCAGCAGCAAATCGAATAATTGCAATAAATTGAACAAGATTAATGCCGCATTTCAGACACCCCGCATCTCCTGGAACGTTCACAATTTGACCTCCGTGGGGCCTGTCAACTCGATGTGCACCCTTGTGACGTGCCTACGACCCCGTCCCTGTCCAAGGAGTGTAACGGCCTCGACAGCCACAGTGGGATGATATCCGAACTTACCAAGAACCTTTAATCTCCCCTGCGCAAACTCAAACCGGATCTCCGCCGCCCGAGCCTCAATCGACTCCCCATCATCGAGATACAACTCCCCTGCCGCCCGCCCATCCGCACCAGGCGCAATCAAAAGCTCAAACCCGCGTTTTCGCAGCTCCCTCGTCGTCGCCGCACTCGTCACCCGCAACGGGATGATCCTCCCACCCCGAATATGGATCGGAATATCCGTGAGTCCAACGTTGCGGAGCGTCACACTCCCTCCCGGCACGACAGCCCCCGTAAACCAATCATAGAACACATCGTCCGGGAAATAAGCCTGAACAAAGTCCTCCCCTTCTCCAACAACAGGAGAAATTAGTAACGCATCCCCAAAGAAGAACTGCAATTCGTTTCCAAAAGTCTTCTCATCCTCGGGATACACGTAGAAGAGAGGCTGGAGGAACGGGGTCCCCGTCACAGTCTGCCTGTGAAAGGAGGTATACAAGTAATCCAGCAATCGGTACCGGATATCGATGATTTTCCTCGCAGCCTGCGCAACAACCGGCCAGCGATAGAACTCCTGCGCAACGCTGCCGAACTCATTATGGTTCCGGAAGAAAGGATAAAAGCCGCCGAGCATTGCCCAGCGCGCGCAGAGCTCCTCCGTGGTATTTCCGGCGAATCCACACACATCCGTGCCTACCATGGGCACCTGGAAAATGGAAGCAAATGCTAGCATCTGGGCAATCGATACGCGGTATTTATCCCATTGGCTGACATTGTCGCCGAGCCTAAACTTGTCAGTTTATTATCCTCTGGTGTTCCCTCTCGGGTTGCAGTCTTGAGACACTCACCAGTGCCCGACTTGCGCCCCGGCGCCGGCAAATGTGCTACGGGTGATGACGAGAGGGCGTGCGTGAGGTCGACGCTGGAGCATTGCTTTGCGAGACGCAGAGCCCATCATTGTGCCGTAGATATTGTGCGTGTCGTATTCGGCGTATCCATCGCCAGCATGGATGATCTCTGTGTCAATGGTCTTGTTGCTGAGGGATCCGGCTAGATTAGCAATTTGATATGCAGGATTTATGAGATTCCGATCCGCCAGACCGATCTTCTTGGCCTTTTCGCTGGTCCGCTTTTTGATGTTCCCCGTTTTTTGGACGAGGTTGTCTCTCTTCGTAGGGATAGAGGGAGACGGTGAGTGACCAGGTTGGAAACTAGCGGGGAATCCGGGGAGACGGCGTGGAGGGGATCGGATGGGGGGAGGTGGCGGAGGCAAGTTGTTCTCTATGGCATACTCTGCTGGATTCTGGCATGGATATGGGCAGAAATTGGAAGCTTCGTTCATGTCGATCCAGAGTCCGTCGATGTCGACGCCATTTTCCTTACTGAAGAACCGCTTGAACTCTTCGTTCCAATAAAACTGTGTGTCTGGATTGAACCAGTCAGGATAGACTGTTGCACCGGGCCAAACAGCGCCTGTTGAGTCTGTCAGTACTGTAGGTTTTAGTTTTCAGGGTATAGTTCACCTTGGTATAGTTCATTCTGCTCATGGTCGCGGTATAAGAAGACACCTCGGTCAGAGCCTCTCCTGAATGCCCCATTGTCTGCAAACATCAGAGATATCACACGGCCTTATACAACTTACTTACCGGAGTGACTGACGGCTGGATCGACCATCACAATAAAATGCTGATCATGTCTGTGAAGGTGTGAAACAAGCTCCTGCATCTTATTCAGAGGGAACCGTTCTTCGTCTAGGGTAAATACACGTCGACGGTCCATATAATCTATGTCAGTCCACATGGTCTCGAGGGGAATACCGGCGCGACTATAGTTGTAAACCACCTCCGCGACCTCAAAAACATCTTGATAGCCGTAGCGGCAGTTGTGGTACTGGGAGAGTTAGCACAAACCTAATATGGAATGCTATTTTGACGTACCCCAAACGCCCAGTAACTCTGCATTGCAGGAAGACCCACGACCTCTGAATATTGTACACTGACGTCCTTGGGTGTAGGACCAGCCAAGAAGTAGAAGTCCAAGACTCCTCCGACAGTGTTGTAATCAAGATATTGCCTCCCATCTTCAGTCTTATTGATCTTGATGTCCATCCCATTGGAGTTCAGGAAGAAAACACCATGGGTGCCGTTCTTTCGGTGGTCAATGTAAATAGGGTGAGTACCGTAGAGACTTGTACCCGATGGGATCCCGTATGCATCACGGTTCCACATGGTGCGCGTGTAATTTGTCGTTGGCAGACGCAGCGAATCGCTATGTTCACCCAAGCCATATAAATTCGGGTCATTCGGGAGCCAGGTACGGAGGTACAGATACTGAGACTGGAAGACGAGGTTTGTACCAGATGTATCGAAGAGTACTTCGTCTCCGCGCAAGACGCGGAACGAGAAGGGATTTTCCTCGTAGTCGAAGCGGAGATGCGATTCTTTTGGCTCTTTCTCACATTCTGGGCGGAGAATGACAGACTCGGGAACTTGGTATGCCTCTTCATTGGCATCGTAGATCAAGACATGGAGGCGGTGTTCTGCTTTGGGTAAGTATCTACTTGCATGTATTGGTGAGAGGAAGATGTACCACTCTGTTCCTCTACAAGGAGCTTCAAATCTGGAAGATCCGAGCCATAGGTGTTACAGGCATCTCCGGCAAGGCTTAGATCGGCTGTCAACCTCTGGCCAAATTGCTGGATGTTGGATGTCCTATAGCCAGGGCAGTCATCAAGGTCAGATCTTGAGGTCAGAACAGCAGCGCCCACAAGGGGAGCTAGGAGAACTAAAGCCCCTCTCATGGTATAGATTGAGTGTGGCACAACAGGTGCAGTAGAACTAGATGCGGTAAAACCAGATCTAAGTGGATTGAAAAGAGTTCCTGTCCATCCTTTAAGTATGCGCTTTGCATAGCCAACTGACAATGGAGAGAGGTGGTGTTATACAGTGTTCTTAGAAGATTCCAGTCAGCAATCCTTTGCGGTTTGATGTTGCATCACATTGAAGCTCAACCCTGCATCGTATATCATGTGAGCAGGTTGACGACTGCCGGCTACTGGCTGTGATAATCCCAGTCCAACACCACACTATTGAACAGGGCAGCTTCGAAAGTTCGAAAATCCAAGGCCCGTTTTTACTCCATTGGGGTTTTGGTTGGACAATGGGACTTTTTGGCCCAGGTCAATGCCGGGGAAATATAGCAAGAATGACGTCTGATCGTCTGGCCCGCCTGCCCAGGTGCTCAGGTGGGCATGCCTTGAATGCTGACTTGCAAGGTCCCCATGTCCCCTGCATCCACTGTCAGTCCTTTACTCGTGCAACTACGATTCGATTCCAAACTTGTCAACCACTTGAAGCAAGGAAAATTCATCTTTCTATTCCGCCCGAGGGCTTCTCTAGACATCGTCATAACCAAAGAAAATCGTCAACGCCAACAGCTCTTGATCCCAACCAGAAACCCGCTGATGCTCTCAAACACTGCCGCTCAATTTTGTATCTCTTTTAAACCTTCTGACCAGCAGTGGCAGCCTTGACATCCTCCTCCGAGCTCATGATCTGCACTTTGATAGCACCAGTCTTGGGGTTGGCGGCAGTCTCGAAGGCCTTTAGGGCATCCTCAAGGGCGAAACGGTGAGTGACCAGCTTGCTGAGGTCGATAGCACCGTTCTGGACCAGGCGAATGGCCCGGGGCCAGGTGTTGCAGTAACGGTACTGGTACTGCAGGTCGATCTCCTGGGTGCTGAGACGCATGAAGGGGATAGTCATTTCATTCTTGCCGACACCGATGACGAAGACCTTGCCGCCGAACTTAACACTCCAGATGGCGGAGTTGACACTGCTCTCAACACCGGTGCATTCCAGGGCCAGCTTGGGACGCAGAGCATCAGGGCCAGAGCCCTTGCCGTCATTGAGGGCATTGATGATACCGTCTGCGCACTGCTCGGCAGACTTGCCAATCTCGACCTTGTATGTGCGAACTTCGGGGACGAGGGATTTGGCGAAGGCGAGACGACCCTCGTCGATATCGGTGATGACAATGGGGCAGGCACCGGCGGCCTTTGCGCTGAGCAAGCTGATCAATCCGATGGGACCGGCACCGGTGATCAACAGAGGGTCACCGAGACGCAGACCGCTGCGCTCGACAGCAGCCAGGGTCACACTCAGAGGCTCCAGCATGGCACCGTCCTCGAAGCTCATGTCGCCGATCTTGTGGCACCAGGTGGCAGGGTGGTTGACGTAGCGTCGGAGCAGGCCGTCGACGGGGGGAGTGGAGAGGAAAGCGACGTTCTCGCAGCCGTTGTACCGACCAGTCAAGCAGGGTTCGCAAGCATTGCAGATAACGTTGGGCTCGATAGCGACGCGGTCGCCAACCTTGAGGTGGGTGACATCAGGAGCAACGGCAAGAATCTGGCCGGCGGATTCGTGGCCAAGGACGTGATCGCCAGTGACAATCATGGGACCAATGCAACCGGCGTGCCAGAAGTGCACATCGGAGCCGCAGATACCAGTGCTGCGGACCTCGACTGTGACCTCGCCGGACTTCAGGCCCTTGCCGGCATTGATGTCCTCAACGGTGGGAGTCGATTCGGCGATCCAGAGGTCATGCTTCGGGTTGGTGAAGACACCAATGTTGGACTTTGTGACGGTGGTTGCGGAAGACATGGTAAAAGATGGGGTATCAAGGGGCTAGGGGAGAAGGAAATGAAAAAAGATATGCATTATGGCACGGAGGGAGCGGCGACCTTTAATACCCCGTGGAAAAATCAGCACGTCGGTGACATTCTACCGCGACCAGCTGTCCATTCAACCCCACGGTCATACATGGAGTAACAAAAGTGGAGCAGAGGGGCACCCCATTTAACCGCGCGGGGGTCAATTGCTCAATTTGTCTCAATCGGGAAACCCTTGCCCGCCCTCAGTCGGGCCGAATGTAGATCGGCTATCGGTTAATATTCCAGTTGTCGGTGTCAAGTGATCTCTGTCGGGGTCAAGTTGCTTCAGAGTGATCAAGTGTGCAGATTCGAGAGCGATTGTTCATGCGTGGTGTACAGAAAGGGGTCTTGTCGATAGTGTAGTGTTCCTATCAACCGAGAATAGCAATTCTCCGGCGGTGCCTTGTGGTTGATGGAGAATTCGGGGAAACGCCTTTTTCCGAACAAAACAGTGCAAACTTTCAGCCTTTCATATTAGGCAGAAAGCATGAAGTCATTTCCAGGCACTAAGGTGTCAAGGTGTCACGGTGTCACGGTGTCAATATTAAGGTGTCGAGGTGCTCAGGCGCTCAGGCGCTCAGGCACTGTGGCGGACACGAATATGCAGGCACGCAGGCCACGGACATGTGCAACACTACCCCATAATCTCAACGGGACTCTCCCACAGATTGGTCAACCCTATTTTAATGATCTTCGCCAATACAACTGTTTCAAGTTCTCTTCGTTTGGTCAGTAGATTCCATTCGTCAAATGGCTGGTGCGAGTACTTTGCGATCCAATGAAAATGCCTCTTCCGACTCATGCTCCTGGGCTCGTCGGCCACCAGCTGTTGATTCACAGGCTTGAATCTCAGTCGAAGCCTGAAACGCTCTTATCAGCATTTGAGGCTTCTATTTATGAGAGACTCCATCCTGGGGAACACCCAAGGAAGCCAACGCCGATGGTACAATGGCTAGGAAAACCTAAAAACGAGTCACCCCACAGTCAACTCCTTCGCTACCTGATCCCCCGGGGCCAATTTTTGTCAGTGTGAAAGGATGACATAATACATGCCTCGGTATCAGATGTATCAGATGCAGTGCAGATTTGGGATTCGCTAATCAAGAAAAAAGCAAAGGATATGCTTCTGCCTTCTCAACAAAAGGGGAACACTCCCAGCAAATGATACCGGGAAATGAGACCTTTGGCACGTCAATCGGCCTTGATGCCGTTGGCCACGAGTGATCTTGTGAAAGTTCACGAACCACTAAGACCAGGGTGCGAAGGGATCGGCGTACCCACGCCTCGGCTCCCAACTAATCTTTTGTTGGCTAGATGACCCACCCCATGTGTTCACGGACACGAACATGGGTATAACATCCTGCGAAAGTACGGACCAAAATGGGATCGAAATTTCCTTGCCCTCCTGCACAGATTATCACCCAGCATGGCTACTCCAATGCGTAACCCAAAAGACTCTATGAAGTCGAGCTGGCGCTCCTGGGATCATTCAGAATGGACCTTCTTCCACTGGTTCCTTGATTACCTGAATGTGCATCATGTCGATCTGAACGAAGAAGTGCCCGTTCATCAGAAATCCGAGAGGGTACCATATGCCCCAGAGCTGCAGTTCCATCGCTGGGTTCTCACCTATGCCTTCATTCCACTCGTCATTCATCAACTCTACGTTAACTTCGTCGGCTACCCGCCGGCGTGGCTAGCCTTTATCTTCTACAGCGTGGCTCTGGAACTCATCGCTGTCAAAGAAACACATATCCTCCGCCGGGTCGGCCACAAAATCGGATTCTTCGATGGGGACAAGCACGCTCGCGACGGTGTCCCCGATGTGGGCGTCAGCAAGACGGCATGGAGCCTTTTGGCCGTGATCGCCCTCCGTCCCATGCTGTCCGTTTTCCTCGCCTACCGCACCGACGAAGCCCCATCATCCATGAGATGGGGATGGCTCATCTTCGAAACCGGCATGTACCCCTTGGCCATCGACTTCTGGTACTACATCATGCATCGATCGGCCCACGAAGTCGAGCACCTCTGGCAATTCCACCGGACTCACCACCTGACCAAACACCCGAACCCTCTATTGACTGCCTACGCGGACACGGTGCAGGAGTTCATCGACGTCATCGGCACTCCCCTTCTCGCGTACACCTCACTGAAACTCATGGGATTCCCAATGGGCTTTTATGAATGGTGGATCTGTCAACAATACGTCGTCTTCACGGAGGTTCTTGGTCACAGTGGTTTGCGAATGATTGCCACGGCGGTTAACCCCTGGACGTGGCTTCTCCGGTTGTGTGACATGGAGCTTGTGATCGAGGATCATGATCTCCACCACCGGAAGGGCTGGAAGAACAGCCACAACTACGGCAAGCAAACCCGAGTGTGGGATCGCTTGTTCAGCACCTGGATTCCTCGTGTCGAGGGACATGCCGACAACATTGATTATGTCAACACAGCGGAAATTCCGCTGTTTTAACGACCCCCAATACCCGAGTCTAAACTTGACTCATTTTCTTTCTTTTTTTTTCAGTTTGATTCAACGGATAGCTTGTGCCGATGTTCTACGTACCAACCTTGGAAGCATGGACTTTGACCTCGGGGTGCACTTGTTATATGATAGAGAGAGATGGGATCTTCGCTGGATGAAATATGTTGATTTAGCTTTGAGCATCATATAGCACTACTAGTAGGCACCTCCAGTGATTTGTTGGAGAACCTTAGAATTCACTTGTTCGATATTACTGGGCGATCCCTCCTGCAAATTAAGGAATAAATAATCCATAATTGCGTCCACGGCTCTAGGATATCTACATAGGTATTCCCGATGTACTAGGTACCCAATTTCAAAGTAATGATTGAGTGCGAAGCTTGCAATGTCCACGGGTTGAAAGCGAATCGTGATCAGTTTGTTGTTCCAGGGGTGGAGTGGACACCTAGTACACATGCCCAGGTGGGCAGGATATATACTTCGAACATGCAATGATATACGTCTGGTACAACAATTGATGCAGAGGAGTTCTTGAGATTGAAAAGCCAATTGGATGAATTCTACAAATTACAACACGAAAATACACAAAGCAATCATACATTGTTCCTATATTTCCAAGGTCGACCTGGATCAGTCACTTACAGTGGATGTGTTACCCGGTGGCCTGACAACCGGCTCAGGTGCATGCAATACCACCATTACTTACAATCATTTTATTTTCGGAAATGAGAGATAATTAAAACGTGTAATACATGCAAGATATTCAATAGATCGGGAAAAACATCATTTAGATAGTATCTAGCACGTATGTTGGAAAACCTACAGGGCTGGAGGTGGTCTCACGTGATCATAATTCCTGAAGTTCCCGAGTTGTCAAATCTTCATCTCTCCGTTGCGCGAGACTTAAGGTCATTGGATCATACTGCCCTCTTCAACAGCGACTGCTTCGGGTGACTTTCGCTAGCTTCTCATTTTCCACTCCTTTCCTCCACTACACAAAATGCCCGCCGCCACCCGTGCCGTCCTGCGGCAATCGCAGTTCCTGACCCGGAGAACCGCCGTCAGACACGCCTCCTCCACCTCTGAGGCTGCCTCCAAGGCTAGCGAGACCGCTTCCTCAGCGGCCTCCAAGGCTTCTGAGGGTCTCTCCAAGGTCTCTGCCTCCGCTGGCCCTGCCCTCTCCAACGCCGCCGTTGCCCTGCGCAAGGTCGGTGGACCCGCCGGCAAGGTCATCTCTCTCGTCGACTGTAAGCAAATCCCTCAATTCCGTCTTGACCCGGATGGATATACCACTTTGTCTTGAATGAGACTTCTATTGGGACGAGAAGAGCGTGATCGATCCTTCCAATTCGGTGGACTCGTGACCCCCCGACTCGGCCTCCTTGTTCATCTTGAAATCGAGCTACACCTACCTGATGTGCATGGCTAACCATCAATTAATATAGCCATGATCCCCCCGACTCTGTACTACTCCAAGGTCGGCATTGAGCTCGGAAAGCTGGTGTTCCGTGGCCAAAACATGGCTCCCCCGTAAGTCGGCACCTGCCCTTCCTTCTCCATCTCCAGCCTAACCGGTCTCTAGCAACCTGGCTACTTTCCAGTCCTACTTCCAGCCCTTCATCACCAACCCCGCCGCTCTCAAGACCCTCCCCTCCCCCTCGGCTCTCCTCGCTCGTGTCCGCAACGCTAGCCCCAAGCAGCTGGCTCTCGCCGGTGTCACCGCCGCCGAGGTCATTGGCTTCTTCACCGTCGGTGAGATGATCGGTCGCATGAACATCGTTGGTTACCGCGGCGAGGCTCCCCACGGCCACTAAATACCAAATGGATAGACAGTCGTCCTTTACTTTTCCTATGTTAATGTGCCTTTGTATGATAGACGATGGAATATAAACTGTTGTCTCAGATAGATCCTTTGCAATTCATTCGCGGTTTGTGCCATTTCGGAATAGCCCCTGGAGGGTGAAACTGTTGTGATATTCAGCTGTTCTCGAGAGCAGTCAAAAGTACCAAAATGCCAATGTATGACCGACCTTCCAGGCGTTTCAATCTGGGCGACAATCCAAAGTAGATGATCCCGAAACCTAAGCAGGCCATAGCATGTCCATGAAATGCGACTTGCGTACGTTCAACATGAAGGTGAAATATGGCTGTTCTGTTGCTATCCAACCGGCGGTGAACCTGATTGGCCCGGGAGTAAAGACGGCGGACCACTTTTTTTTCTTCCTTGCGATCAAAGTCGACATTTTCAACTACCAAGATGGACGCCTTCAGACTGTTGACAAGGTCAACTAAATTGAAGCCGACTTCTGCCAGCGCAGACTCGCGTCTGCCATCCACTGGCAAAGCGGCTAATCCGCAGCTCTTCCGCACCACGGAGACCGATGAGCTCGAAGCCAAGAATGGCAAAAAAAGAAAGAGAGCCGCGGCCGCTCAACAGGACGAGGAAGATGTTCCCGACCTCGACTTCTTCAGCTCAAACAAGCGTCCTGCGACCAGCGTGGCGGAAACAGTCGCTGCGACCGAGCAAGACGCCGAAAAGGCTCCCGTCCAGGATGTATCAGACGAAGCCGAGCCTATGGATGAAGTGCAGCGTCGTACGATCTTGAACTCCCACAAGATCAAAGTGACGGACATGCGTGATCTGGAAGATATTCAGACCCAGTCTGAATCTACTAAGGACTCCAAGAAGAAGTCTAAGAAGTCCAAGAAGGAACAAGCGCCTGTTCTTAGCAAAAAAGAGCAGAAGCGCGCCAGACGCTTGTTCCCAGAGCCGCTACTCAGTTTCAAGGAGCTTCGATCAAAGTACAAGATTTCCTCGCGGCTGGCGGAAAACGTCGCAGAGCAAGGCTTTACAGTACCTACAGAAGTTCAGCTGGGAACACTTCCCTTGCTGCTCGGAGAGTCTTCTGAGCCAGATCTCTTGATTGTTGCGCCTACCGGAAGTGGCAAGACGTTGTCATTCCTGATTCCTGTGATCAACAAAATTGTTCGACACCACCACTCAAACCCTGACGAGCATGGCATCTTTTCCATTGTTGTGGCCCCTACGAAAGAACTCGCGAGTCAGATCGTCAACGAGGGCCGCAAGCTAGTGGCTGGAACCGGTGTGAAGATTACTCTGATGAAAAAGGGTATGCGTGTGGGTGATAGCAATAACGCTGACGTTCTTGAGGAGAAGAGCGACGAGTCATCTGGGTCAGAAGACGAGGATGCCGACAGCAAACCAGCAAAAGAACAAGCCAACATTCCACTCACAAAGAGTGACATTTTGGTCACCACGCCTTTGATGCTGGTCAATGCACTATCCGCAAACCGGACGACTACGATGGCGACCCTGCCTCTTGTGCGGAGCTTGGTGATGGACGAAGCAGATGTCCTTTTGGACCCCTTGTTCCGCGAACAGACCCTCGATATCTGGAAGGCCTGCTCACACCCAGATCTACGAGTCGGCCTTTGGTCAGCCACCATGGGATCAAACATTGAGGACCTGACAAAATCGACAATCAGAGAACGACAAGAAGAGCTTGGACAGAAGCCAAGCGAGCCACATGCGCTGCTTCGCTTGGTCGTCGGATTGAAAGACTCGGCCATCCCCAACATCGAACACAAGCTCGTGTACGCAGCAACAGAACAGGGTAAACTCCTTGGACTCCGACAACTCCTTCGCCCAAGTGCAGCCTCTGCATCTGACATCCGCCTCCGACCACCCTTCCTCATCTTCACCCAAACCATCCCCCGTGCAGTGGCCCTCCACTCCGAATTGAAATACGACATCCCCGCGGAAGCAGGCGGCTCATCCCGGATTGCCGTCCTCCACTCAGACCTCTCCGATATCCAACGATCTGAGATCATGCGGGACTTCCGCAAAGGCGAGATCTGGATCCTCGTGACAACGGATCTGCTCGCCCGTGGTGTCGACTTCCGCGGTATCAACGGTGTCGTCAACTACGATATCCCCAATTCGGCAGCTGTTTACGTGCACCGTGTTGGACGAACGGGACGTGCTGGCCGCGAAGGTGGTATTGCCGTGACATACTACACCAAGGAAGATATTCCCTACGTGAAGAGTATTGCGAACATCATTGACGTAAGCGAGAAGCTACGTGGCAAAGAAGGCGACAAATCTATCCAGAAATGGTTATTGGATGCTCTGCCAAATTTGAGCAAGAACAGCAAGAAGGATATGAAGAAGCATGGAGTTGAAGCCCGCCGGGCTCCCAGATTGACCGATAAGGAGGACGATGGAAAGGGTGCTCGTGGCATGAGAATCAGTACTAAGAGTGGATACGAGCGCCGCCTGGAGAACAAGAAGAAGGGCGCCATTGCAGGCAGTCGGAACAGGAAGGCGGCTGCTGCGAATGATGGCAACGTGAGCGATGCTGGTAGCTGGGCTGGACTGGATTAAGTGTTCATTCTGTACAGTACTATTCCCCTAATGATTATATCATAAAACACATTCAATCGTGGATCATATAGATGATTCTCGTTATTCATTGCTTCCTGTCTGCCTGCTTCTGACCAGCCTGTGCCTGGGAAGCAGCTGGAGGGGGAGGGGGAGGCCTCTCCTCAACGATCTTCCTGATCAAAGTAACGGGCACGAAAGCGCAATCCAACATGTCCTGCTCATCAAGAACAGACTCTAGTTCATCGCCATCGCGATCATAATATAAGGCCCATTCCCCCTCCTCTTCTTCAACGGCATAGAATCGCTTTCGCCACCCTTCAAGAGAAATCACTCGCTCCTCTTTACACCAATCCCAAGGCTCAACGACCTCCTCCACACTCTGTGACCGATTCCCATACCGTAATTCGTGAGTCACCGTGTCGGCATAGATCCAGTTCAACAGAGGCGGGTTGTCCGAAACGTAAGTTGGGAGACCGAAGCCGCGCTCGCGCTTGAGGTATTTCAACTCTTCTGGCTCGGGGTACTCAATGTAAAACGCGAGCGCCTGGAAAGCCGGCGGGTCACGTTTGGCGGGGTTCGGATCTGCAAGATAGACCTTGGAGGTGTGAGCTTAGGTCTTGTGTACCTTTCCAAAATGAGGATTTACCTTCTCGTCTCTTACAACGATTGTCATGCCGTTGAGGTCGCGGTCATCGTCTGTGTCTCCGTCGCACTCAGCAAAGATGTTGAACTTCACCATTCGCCGGGCTTCTTCGCGGCGCTGGTTAGCCTTCCGCTGTTCGCTGGAGGCGAGGGAGACTCCTGTCACCGTTGGGATCGAAGTGAGGGCTAGTAGTCCGATCATTGTGGACGGTGGGGTATGCGCTGGAATGTGGGGTGTGTTTTGAGACCGAGGGAACGAGTATCAGTTGGTGAACCCTTGTATATTTAGAGAGACTCTATGTCGTAAAGTATGTGGTGATGCAGGTTATGAAGATGCGATGCATTGCGCTCTGATATGCTTGGAATTTGGGATACGCTCGTATTCGGTGATTCTAATGTCAATGCTGCTCAGTCACATTAGCATGCCTCCAGCTCGAACGGATCCTTGACTGACCAGGTAGGGTGTCCGGGTATACGAAGGAGATATTGTGAAAGAGCAAGGACAGTGATCAGGGCAGATGTCAAATGAATTTCCATGGATCCATAGATGACACCGACGTCATCTCCACGTGATGTATGTTACGCTGATCGGAGGTTTGAGATCTTCACTCTTCATTCTATCGTGTATCGTTTATTTCATGATTTCGTTCGCATCCAGCCGACCTATACTTTCTCACTCCACCCCCAAATCGACCACCAGCATTTGACCTCCAGCGCGCCTCCATCGGCGCTTTCCCAATCGTCGTAGCCGATCTCTTCTCCCTCCTCCACAACCACTAAGCCCAACTCACCCATCCGCTGCCGGAACTCCTTGACCTGCGGTAAATATGCGTCTCGCAATGGCATTTCTGTCACCACTCGCGCCCCGAGCCCATGGCTGAGCCAAGGTTGAATAGTATTGACCAGCCACTTGGGGTGGTTAGGCGAGTACAACGGGTCGGCGGCAAGGATCAAGTCAAACCGCTCCTCCTCGGTAGGAAGGGGCGATGGGTCGACCGACCAGTCCAGTGTCCCTGTCGTGACAGTCGCCCCAGTCGTTCCGAGGAGTTCCACGTTCAAGGCAGCGTTGTGGGCGAGGTTGGGTACAATCTCCGGCAGATCGGTGAGGTGAACAGTGGCCGAATGACCCCGGAGAGCCGCAAATGCCAGACCGACGAGTCCTGTTCCAGCGCCAAGCTCAAGTGCCCGTAAAGGCTTCCGGGGAGATGTGGAAGATGTCGCCGTTTGTCCGAGTGCCGCTGGCGATTCGAGGCTGTGGAGCCGGCGCGAGAGGAGATAAGAAGACACCCAAGTTTTCATACCCAGGTTGTCGGCCGTGATTGAGGGTTCGTGTAGAGTAAGGCTGTATTCTTCACCCGAGGCGGTAGGGACGTTGAACATGCGCGACATTGCCGGCATGGCTGGAGAATGAGTCACGATCAGCGGAATAACACAATACAGCCGAAAGAACGCTTACCAGCTCGGCCAGAACGCTCACTGAGCCTTGCTCCGGCTGCATCCCAGATGGCCTCCCGCAGCTCGTCGGTCTCAAGCCATGCCAGCGAGCTGGCGATGATGGATGTGAGATAACGAGTCACTCCCGCGGGCTGGACGGCGGGACCCTTGGCCACATCGGCGGTTGTGCCGAATGTGCGCGGCTGGAGACTCAGTAGAGCCAATGCTCTCACCAACTCGGTGCCGGAAGGCTTCTGGTATAGTTGCGGAAGGTCGAGCACTACAACGCTTATCAGCTGCATTATCTTTTGTGGACCGAACTCGGCCCCCAATTGTAGAACGGGGGTGTATTTACCGTGTAGAGGCTCATCATTTGCGGTCATGATTGCAGTCTGTGTGCACTGTACTGGCAAAGTGACACTTTTTGCCCCGAGGATTGGAGATTTGGATCTGGTGGCGCGGAAAAAGGGAAAAAAGATAGCGAAATATTCCCAATTAGGAAAGGTTCGCGCTGTGGCTCCGGTTAGCGGCCTGAATATCCAGGCATATAATAAGGAACCGGTTCCAAAGTTGTTGGGCTTCCAACCCTGCCCAGGTGGAAGACTCAGGCATATCGTATCACAAATGGTTTCTTCTTCTTTACGATATACTAGTTAAGACAGAGTGCGGGTATTGAAAGTAATGTGCCATTGATGGTTAGAATATTCAAGCAAATGGTATCTAATATTCCATTTAAACGCCGTGCTGATGCAACTCGGTATACCGTCCGATTAGTTCAAAGTCGCCTTGAAGCCTTGGTAAGCCTGTTCAATATCAAATGCAAGTTCTCGTGCTTGATCGTCACTCAGTTCCTCGGTGGCCCGCATCTGATTCAAGGCGATCAACCACTGGATGATCTTTCCGCGGTCTTCAAAATCACTGTCGGTGACTTTGTTCACAGATTGAATCACCTCAGACAGCAAAGGGTGTAGAGAATCCTTGGATACCATGTTAAGCTTCAAAGCATCGAGGAAAGTAATGAAATTCTCCGTCGCCGCTAGAATGAGACTGCCAGATGCGCCGGCCGGCCCTGTGGTTGCTGCCAAGGTAGGAGCTGATACACCATGGGAAGCTTGCTCTACTGTCGCAGGAAGACCAATGCGCAATCGCTCGGTGGCTCGAGGGCATTCTAACTGTATGACACATCGACGTTAGAGAGCTTGGTATTTGCAGGGTGGGAAGAGACCCGATACTCACACCCCAAGTATGCTTGAAAGTCTCCAGATCCACAAACTCTCGAGACACTGCCTCATCTCCTAAGCTGGATTTGTATTGTTTCAACAACCGGGTGCATGTTTCGGTATATTCTGCCTCGGTAACCACGTCTTTAATGTATGCCTTCTCAAGTCCATCCAGGGTGACGACGATGCTATAAATCTCCGCCAAGGATTCGTATAGGTCACGCTCTGTTGAGCTGGATGCTAGCTTGACTTCCTGGAATAAGCATTAGTTTGAGTGGCCGTCAATGCGGGGCCATAGATCCATACTTCATCAAGATTGATGGAGGCCGACCGGGCCGTATTGGGTGTGTAGCTATAGGGCGTAGGCGCATAGGACAATGGGCGCTGCGAGTACATATTGGGCCAATAATGCCCTACGTACACTTTGCGAGGATCTGTGAGTTGGAATTGTACCTAGACAGTCAACACATTGACGTTATCGCTGATATCTTAAGACGGAAGGCGGTCGGGAAGGCGGACCCGCCGATTTTCTCCCCGAATTTTTTTTTTGCAACAGAGTCCGACCAAGCTACACAGCAGACTCTTTTCTGCACCAATCCCTCACAATGGCCGGAGCTAAGAAGTCCACGAAGAAGTTCGAGAAGAAGCACCTCGGTGATGTTCTCGAGCGACGCAGGGCGAACCAGAAGGTGAAGCAGCGACACCACATGAACGACAAGCGCAAGGAAAAAAATGCTGCGAAACAACAGGCCGAGGCTGAGAAGGAAGAGAAGAGCCCCGAAGAACTGAAGAAGCAAAATGCTTTCTCTGAGATGAATGTCGACGATTTCTTCGCGGGTGGCTTCGATATCCCCGAAGAGACTACGAAAGGAAAGAAGGCCAGCAAGAAGGACACCACCCCCAAGATCGGCAAGCGCAAGCGCTCTGAGGACAAGGCACAGGAAGACGAGGCTTCTGATGCCGAGGGTGACAATGATGATTCCAGCGACGTTGACGCCTATGATGAGCACAAGGATCAATTGGAATCATTGAAGGAGAAGGATCCCGAGTTCTACAAGTATCTGAAGGAGAACGACGCCGAGCTCCTTGACTTCGGCGACCAAGGTGATCTCTCGGAAGTCGACGCCCTGAGTGAAAGCGAAGCACCTGAAGACGAGGAGCCCGCCAAGAAGAAGAAGAAGAAGTCCAAGAAGGCCGAGGAGCAAGAAGAGGAGGCGGCCGACGACGACACCCTCACGATCCCCATGGTCAAGAAGTGGCAGAAGTTGATGGAGGAGCAGAACTCGATCCGCGCGATGCGCCAGGTTGTGCTCGCTTTCCGCGCAGCTGCCTATGTCAACGACCCCGACGCTCCTGATCAGAAATACACCATCTCCGACAAGAACGTGTACCACCAGGTCCTTGTCACGGCTCTCACCTCTGTTCCCAAAGTCCTGGCCCACCACCTCCCCGTCAAGGAGAGCGCCTCCGGAAAGATCAGAGTCTCATTGGACTCCAAGAAATTCAAGACGCTCACACCTCTGATCAAATCGCACACCTCTTCGGTCCACCAGCTTCTGGTCAACCTGACCGATGCGTCCACACTCAAGATGACTCTCGCGTCAATTGAGCCCATGCTGCCCTACCTTCTTCAGTTCCGTAAAGTCCTGAAGACCCTTGTCAAGATTGTTGTCGGGATCTGGGCGGATGTTGCTACCGCTGACGCAACCCGTATCACCGGTTTCTTGCTCCTGCGCCGCCTTATGGTTCTTGGAGATGCTGGAATCAAGGAGACTGTCCTCAAGGCCACCTACGAGGGTGTCGTCAAGGGCAGCCGCAACACCACAGTGCACACACTCGCCGGTGTCAACCTGATGAAGAACTCCGCCGCCGAGATCTGGGGCATTGATCAAAACGTCGCATACACTGCCGGTTTCTCCTTCATTCGCCAGCTGGCCATGCACTTGCGCAAGAGCATCACCAACACCACTAAAGAATCCTACAAGACCATCTACAACTGGCAGTACGTGCACTCACTGGACTTCTGGTCCCGAGTTCTGTCACAGCACTGCGACGGTCTTGTGGAAGCCCAAGCTGGCAAGGAATCCGCCCTGCGCCCTCTTATCTACCCCGTCGTGCAGATCACCCTGGGTGCCATGCGCCTCATCCCCACCGCCACCTACTTCCCCCTGCGCTTCCAACTGACACGCGCCCTGCTCCGTATCTCTCGTGCCACCGGCACCTACATCCCGCTCTCATCATCCCTCCTTGAGGTCCTGACTTCCGCAGAGATGCGCAAGCACCCCAAGTCCAGCACCCTCCGCCCCCTGGACTTCAACACATCCATCCGTGCGCCCAAATCGTACCTCCGATCGCGCACCTACCAGGATGGTGTTGGTGAGCAGGTCGCCGAGCTCCTCTCCGAGTTCTTCGTCCTGTGGTCCAAGCACATTGCGTTCCCGGAACTTTCTGTTCCCGTCGTTGTCTCCCTCAAGCGCTGGCTGAAGCAGGTCTCTGCCCGCAGTGGTGGAAACAAGAACGCCAAGATCAACCAGATGATCCTCCTGCTTGTGCAGAAGGTCGAGACCAATGCCCGCTGGATCGAAGAGCGCCGCTCGAATGTCTCTTATGCTCCTCGTCACCGCTCCGAGGTCGAGTCTTTCCTCAAGGACGTTGACTGGGAGACCACTCCCGTTGGTGCCTTTGTCAAGACACAACGCAAGCTTCGCGAAGAGCGTGCTGCCGTCCTTGAAGAGGGTCGCATCGAGGAAGAGAAGCGGAGAGAGGAGGCCAAGAAGAACGGTGTCGAGGACGAGGGCAAGGGTGCTGGTGAATTCAGTGGCGATGAAAGCAGCGAAGGTGAAGAAGAGGTGGAGAGCGAAGACGAGGTCGAGGAAGAGGATGAAGAAGAGGAAGAGGATGAAGACGAGATGGAGATGGAGTAGCCGCTCTTCTAATTTGTATATCTTGTTCATGTCCCACGGTTATTGCGCTATATTACCGGGTAGTTACTTAGCCCTACAAAAAGAATCATTTGTCTCATATCAAGGGTCTCATAAATTCCCCGGTTCTACTCCATAATAAATGTCTAAACATAAGGGGGTATCTTAAAAGAAAAATCTAAACACACCCAACGGGTCCACGCTCTTGAGCCCAAGCCCTAGACCTGTCCCTGCGCAAAGCAGCATCTTCCTCCTCTGCCCAAGCCAACGACTCACTGGGCAGCATCACCGCCTTGTCAATAGCAACCGGCAACCCACGATGCCGTCCACGCAGGGTCACTGCAACAAGGATCAACTTGCTGATAAGATGCCAAGCTCCGCAGAATGAGTAATTCTTGCCTGGGAATCCCAGACTGACTCCAACGCAGCCATACGCCGAAACCACCTCGAAGATGATGTTGAAGGTCGAGAAAGCAACAGGCTGGTTCTCATAATGGTCTGACTCGCGGATCGCGATGAATAACACAGCCAGTGCAATCCACCATAGGTCATGACTGAGTTGAGAGCGAAGCTGCTGATGCACGAAGTAGCCGCGGGAGGTCTCGTGGGGGCCTGGTCGACCTAGGTGGTGACGGATGAGGTCCATCAGAACATTGCTCCGGCTTGTGTTTGCCGGTGAGTCTGAAGATTCGTCGTGTGCGTAAATGCCTAGCGAGCGTTCTTCGTAGATGTTCGTGTTGCTGTTCACGTTAGAGGATGTGCTGTTATTTGATGTGGTGTACTCACCGCATGGTCAATGTAACTGGGTACGCAGAGACGTACTAGCTTTTGTTAGTTGAAAATCAGGAGTTGGGACATCCGAAGAAGTCTTACCATCATGAGCACTATAATTTACATGTTAGGATGATTCTGCAGGTTCAGGATACTGGAAAACACTCACCATAAAGAACCAGGAGGCCCTGGCGAAGATTGGCGATTGTAACCACGTAGAAACCACCGGCGCGCACCGCTGAGGTCGGAACAAGTCAGCTGAATTCGGTTTTGTGTTTCTCTGAGACTCGATTGCACATACCCAGGGCTTGGAAAAGTCCGTCTAGTACGCGGTACTCTGTTGGAAGACTTTCAATGTCCTTATTGCCAATGGATAGCAGCTCGAAACCCGCCCAGTCAATGCCGTTCAGGATGATAATGGTGCCTAGCAGATACCAAGTGTGTCGAGCAGGGAAAAGATTCGTGTATACCTGCATACATCGTCAGTCATCAAAGTAGCACATCTCAAAGCAAGCCACTTACCCTCCGAGGGTGTTCTAGAATAAAGTCCAGTGTGACGCGCCATGACTGCCACCTTGGCCGATCTGGAAGCATGACCCGCATGATCCAGATGATGAACCGAAGGAAACATGGGTAAAGAGTATTTCCCGCGAGAATCAGCAATCCCATAGTCAACAGTGGATAAGCACTAGCGAAGGGTAAGTATGGATATAGGTTCATTCGGGTCGCCCACTCACTTGAGCTGCAGAGCAGTCATGTTAGCATCCAGCAGCGACATGCCACTGTTCACGAAAGCCGAAACAGCAAAGAAAGCACCCGTCCAGAAGGGAGAAAGACCATTAGAGCGTGTCACGTCTGGACGATTGGCTTCCAGGAAACCACCCATGCCCACGATGCCGCATAGGAGGAAGAGCGCCCAATAGAGAAAGACAACCACCGACAAGAACGAGATAGCCTTGTACTCCACTCCGCCTAACTCGTCGCGCTCGGCAGGTGTGAGATCATGGAACTGAGAGTTGCGGGACACGAGACCCTTGGTGAATTTTTGGGTGCCACGCAGAATGCCCTTGAAACCAGACACCGAGTCCTTGTCCTCGAGCAGCACATTGGGCACTGCATCTCGAGGATGATTGTTGAGATCTGGCCTGGCACCAATGCCAGCCATGGGAAAGACACGGTGATGATGATGGCGGGTCGCGTCTCCCACCGTGATCTGATCATCGTCCACCCATCGGTCTTCCCGGGGCGTTGAGCTCCCCGAGGCCTCTTGAACCACGACCGCAGCTTTGGATCGTGGCTTACAGCCCTGCTCGAGTTCGAGATCAATTCCCGTGCTGCCGGGGACCGCATCTCGATCTCCCTGTAATTCGATGACCGATTGGCCGCGAGAAGCTGCTTGCTTGCGCTCATCGGAGACACCCTTGAACTTTGCCTCGAAGGCTTGCTTTCGGACCAGCAATACCGTCAGGGAGATCAACACGGCATGGCCCATGATCAGCATCATGAATAAAATTGCTTGCTGGAAATTGTTCAGGGTTGACAAGTCCACCTGAAACACTGGTCAGTGAGTGGCTGATGAGGCTGGATATGATTTCCTACCGTGTTCAGCCCCGCGCCCGTCATAGCGCTGACGCACATGAATAGCGAGTCAATGTATGCCACGCTGCGCCATGGGGTTGAGGTTAGATAGAAGATGATGCTGGCCACGAGGCCGGTGACAATGAAATATGCATAATGCAACGTGAGAAAGTTGCACGGGGGCAGCATTGCGAGTACAGAGCGACCCATTCTCTGCTGCCACTGCCGAGCTGTGTCTGGGTTAGTGAGGAATTCGTCCCGAGTCTCTGTATACTTACGGATAAGCGTTGCGAAAAACTTCATTCGGTCTTCTCCTCGAGGATGACCTCGGGAGCACCTCAAGAATCACGTTTGATCAATGAGGAATCGAAAATACAAAACCACAAAAAGTCAAGAAAAGTGAAATCAGAAAAGGAGGCGAAACAGTTGATTGCAGTGTGGGTTGCCGAGAAAATTCTGGGTCCCGCAGAGATTGTCGGGAAGTAGTTGGAGTTCAGATCTTCACATTTGCAGATATTCAGACATTCGGATATTCGTATGTTCAGCTCAGATCTAAGATATTCGGATATCAGACGTTTAGACTAGTTTAGGCTACTAAGAAATATCTTCAAGCCAAGACCCCAATATGCGGTGAACGGAGTCTTCCCGTTTCATCCGTAGGGCTGACAGATGCCCGACATTCTTGGCCTCAAATGTGTTCAATGAGCCAACTCTGTACGGCGTACGGTGGTCGACTTCTATGTTAGAGATTTGTTAGAGATTTGCCTTTGCAGACATGAAATCTAGTCCCTCGGGCCCTCCCTGACCCAATGTCCGCTCTTGCCGCCCTTCTTCTCCAACAGCCGAACAGCCTCAATGATCATCCCTTTGTCTACAGCCTTCAGCATGTCATAAATCGTCAGCGCAGCGCCCATCGTAGCAGTCATAGCTTCCATCTCCACTCCCGTACGACCAGAACAGCTGACCGACGCCACAACATGCATGGCGCCGTGGTTATTGTCCGGCTCGACTAGTTCCACGCTCACCTCGACGCCTGTAATACCAATTCCCGGATGGCAGAGGGGGATGATATCTGGGGTGCGCTTGGCGGCCATAATGCCGGCAATGCGGGCAACGCTGAAGACGTCGCCTTTGTGGGTGTGGCCCTGGCGGAGAATATCGTAGGGGCGGGCGTTGGAGAACGTGACAGTGCAGGCTGCTGTTGCCACGCGCTCGGTTTCAGGCTTCGAAGTGATCTGCGTCATATGCACGGTCTTGGAGGGGGTGAGGTGGGGGAGATCCGGGTCAGAGGTGGTCGGGAGAGAGTGAGAGGGGCGTGGATTTGGGGTTGGAGGCTTTGATGCATTGTGGTAGAGACGGATTTGTGACATGGGAGATGAGAGCAAGTTGGTGGGAATCCTGGACCATGGGTGCTGTCGAGGCTGGGGTCTCTTGCTCCAGTTATGGTCTAGGATGTCTATCAGCGTGGCTCGGAAATGTTATGTCCATATACATGAATTGTGTGTGTACAAGGTATAAAGTAATCGACAGAACCATCCGAGATGCTTTACAGGTCATAAATCATTTGCAAATCGTGAAAGAACTACCCACCGATTAATATCATGGGCCGGTTCTTCATATCTTTCAGCTCCTCCATGCCCGCGTGTTTCGCCTTCTTGCGTTTCACGGCCATCCCAATGATGTCGAGAATCTCTCGTTCGCGTTCGTTGGTCAGCTCGCCTCCATCGCTGAGGCGGGCAGCTTTCTGGATAGTTTCCAAAAGCTGAAGGTTGTTCATGGTGTCCACGTCAATCGGAGCCCCGTTGTTCTCCTTGCGAATGATATCGCGCAAGGAGACCTCGGAGTTGCCAAACAAGCAAACCTTGAGGTTGCCGTCGCTGGTGATGCGCAACCGATTGCAGGTACCGCAGAAGTTATGCGTCATGCTGGTAATGAATCCCACCCGGCCTTCGAAGCCCGGTACGCAGTATGTCTTGCTGGTGTCATTCTTGTGGTCGGCCACTTTCTCAAACGTGGGATACTTTTCTCGGATGACAGCGAGCATCTCTTGGTATGGAAACATCTTTCCCTGGTTCCATTTATTTCCATCAAACGGCATATACTCGATGAACCGGACCTCAATGGGCTTGTCACGGCCCAGCTCGACGAACGGGAGAATCTCCCGGTCGTTCATGCCTCGCATGACAACACAATTGATCTTCAGCTTGATACCGGCCCCGACCTTGTTCATTTCCAGAATTCGGTCGATGCTCTTCATCACAGCATCAAAGCCTTTGCGTCGCGTCATGATCTGGAACTGGAACGGATCCAAAGTGTCGAGGCTGAGATTGACTCCCGTCAACCCGGCCTCCACCATCGGGTCCAGTTTTCGATGTAATGAGATGCCATTCGTTGTGAGACACAGCTCCCGCAGGCCACTCTGTCGCAGTTTGCCAATGTCTTGCATCAGTGGCACAATGTCCTTGCGGACCGTCGGTTCTCCGCCCGTCAGCCGGATCTTGGTCACGCCCTGTGACACGAACAACGAAGATAAATATAGGATTTCAGGGGATGTGAGCAGTTTCGCGGACGGTGAGAGATCGATGCCCTCTTCGGGCATGCAGTATAGACATCGCAGATTGCACCGTTCCGTGACGCTTATGCGGAGATAGTCATGTTGGCGATTGAAGGTGTCTGTGAGGAACTCGGAGAAAGGCTTGGCAGATTTTAGTGTCGGCAGCCTGGGCGATTGCACTGATCGTTCTGGAGGAGGAAATTCGGAGGTTGTGGCGGGTCTTGCGTAAGTACTCTGGTGACGGGTTGTCACTATCGTCCGGCCCCAGGTGATGGGGCCTAAAATCCGCGTGCGTAGGCCGGCCATAGGGTCAGTTCAAGGGGTGAAAGGGGGCATGGTGGGAGAAGGCAAATATATGCAGATACTCCGCGGAGGAATGAGGGGAATGGCTTATCGTATCGAGGCATGTCCATGCGGTGGACGGGCGCCTCCGGCTGAGTCACGTTATTTTCTTTGATATCGCAGCTTCGCCGTTTCCATTAATATTTATCACGGTTGCCATTGGTCATGTTCTCTACCTAGGTCGATGGCAGCAACTTCTGCACACGCTTCACTAAACTCTTCTCGAACTGCTCCACCCCGTTCTTCTGCTCTGTCATTTTGCCTTGTTTGATCACAAAGACCGACCGGCGTCTTTGCGTCTCCTCGGCTTCTTCTGTCTCTAACCCTTCAAAGTCTTCGTCGAGTTTATGGTCTGTGTCTCGCTTACCCTCGATCACGGACCGCACTAGGAATCGATCATGGGAAATCAGAAGCACAGCACCATTGAAGGATGACAATGCCGTAGCCAATGCAGTGACAGTGTGGAAGTCCAGATGCGTGGTGATCTCATCCAGGATGAGAAGTTGCGGTGCACTCCAGACGATTCGAGCCAACGCAAGACGGACCTGTCTTGAACAGTTAGCTCGTGAGGACGATTCATTTTGGTTCACATACCAGTTGTCCACCGGAGAGCTTGGCCACGGGTACATCAGATGCGATGCGCCCCGCCAACCCCATTGAGGACAATAACCCCCTGATGGCGCCCTCATTTAGGTTTCCCTCGGTCTCAGTCGTCAACAGGCTTAGCGCAGTCATATGAGGTTCCGCGCGGCCACGGTCTTGCAACTCCTCCACCGAATGCTGGCTATAGTAGCCCACCTTCAATCGAGAGTGAGTTGAGACTTTACCCTTGGAAGGAGCGACCTGTCCCGTCAAGACCCGTAGCAGTGTGGTCTTGCCGGATCCGTTCAGTCCCATGATTCCAACACGGTCACCGAGGTGAATCACCAAGTTCACGGTATCCAGAATGACGCGGTCTGTCTTCTTGTACTGAAACACGATATCTTCAAGTGAGACCAGCGGACCAGGGAATCGCAGCTCAGTGGCATCGGGAAGGCTCATACTTGCGCCCCGTTCGTCCTCAGGGACCTCGATCTCTGCCCGTTTGTGTTCATGCCAACCAACCAGGTCGCGATTCAATTTGAACCGGCCCCCGCTCGCACTAACCTGGAGACCCATACGGTCCTCGACCTTCTTCTGCCGTGACTTGGCTTGCCTCAGCTTGTTCTCGTCGCCGGTCTTCTTTCCCAGCTTCATGTTCTCGCGAATGCTATTTTCCATGTGCGCAATTTGTCGCTCCTGGGCCTCCTTCATCCGCCCCAAGTAGAGTTTCTGTGCCTCGAAATCTTCTTCGTACGCTGCGAGGTTTCCTCGGAAATAGGTCACCTTCTGATCTCGGATAATGGCAATCTCCTCACAGACAGCGTTGATGAAATCCCTGTCATGCGACACCAAGACAATGGTTGTCTCTGATGTGTCGCGAAGCTGTTTCAGATAATTTTCTAGCCACACCACTCCAAGAAGGTCTAGGAAGTTGGTCGGCTCATCAAGGATCATGATATCAGGATCTTGAACAAGAACACTGGCTAGCATACATCGCATGCGCCAACCTCCAGACAGTGTGGAGATCTTTTTCTCGAATGCTTCCTCCTTGAAACCAAGGCCAACAAGGATTCGCCGAGCCTGCTGCTCCAAGTCCGCGAGTTTCATCTGCTTTGGAGTCAGTGCATGCATGGATGGAGGCTTGTATATTACCTACATCTTCCAATTGGGACTGCAGACTCTGCAGTGTCTCGACAGCGGCTTGTGTGTCTGACTGAACCACGTCCGCATCAATAGCCTCTACATCTTGAGCCAACCTAGAAAATGTGAGAAAGCATCGCCAACACATATGCCAAGCTCCTTACATCTCCGCACTCGCCTCGAGTTTCACTTCCGCGGCTTTCAATTCTTTCCTCGCCTGTAGGCCTCGAGCACCACTCTTCAGGCTTGCGTTCTTGTGTGCGAGGAACAGGTGTTTCTCTGCTTTTTGGTGTCTGATTTTGCGAATGGCACGCACAGGTTGCATGGGATCTTCAGTCTCGAAGCTCTTGGAGAGAACTAGGAACAATCAGCAACATCCAGATTTGATGAGGTGATATACTCACAATCGGCCATTCGAACGGCCTCGTTTCGAGACTCGTCGCTACTAAGCACAGATTCCAGAACAGTCTTGTCCTGGTTCAGAACGGCGCCATAGGACTCCTCTTGTTCATCGGTTTGTTGTAGGATAGCGATGCGGGTTGCATGGGGAATGCCAGGGATTAACTTCTCAGCCATGGCCCGAAGAAGTGCTGTAAGGATGAGCAATCTTGACATTGAATTCAAGCTTGGTTCTCTTACTCGACTTTCCAGTTCCGTTGCGGCCGAGCAGACCATAATGGACGCCGGCCTTGAAGCGAAGATGCGCATCTGAGATGAGTTCTCTTCCTGCAGCCTTGGCCTTGGTTTTCCCCTTGGATTTTGTCTTCGTCTCTTCCGTATCAGGGGTGGAGGATATTACGATGATGTTGAGTCCTTCGACATCAATCTACCAATTGAGAACATTAGCGGCAGCACCCAGTAGATCAGAAAAATCCATACCTCGGATGAGGGACTTTCGTCCAACAAGTGGAACCGTGTCTGCTTGCACGTCGCAAGGATTGTCGGTGCAGAAGTCATGCTTTACAAGAGCTCAATTGGCAACTAAAGTCCAGTGGCTCCGGCGGAGTTGTTAAATAAAATCTTCAAGGGTAGCATCGGCAAGCCCCTAGGGTCAATGCACTACTGTGGCACTGTTTTTCGTATTTGGAGTCATCAAATCAAATCCACGGGGCCACATCGATGAATTTCCGCTTGATGTCTATCCTCGGGGTCCGAATGAGGAAATAGTTCATGCCTCAGGTGTCTTTCTTCTGTGGGGGAATGACATCATGGTTCACATTCCATCTGCACAACCTTGGGTTCGGTCTGTTCTTGAGTCACTTCTCGGTCTCCATCTATCATCTTTTTTGACTCATACAGGTTCTGAATCCCAGCACTGTAGGCACAGCCCTGGATTCGTGTCAGATCATGGAGAGAAGCCGAAGTATCTAGGTAGGTATGGGTTATACACACCTCGGCACTGCAGGGCACGATATATATCACACACCCATCTCGGAGCTTCAAGGTTGGAACGTCGGAAAATCAATTGAGTCCGACAATCCCGGAAATTCCCAGTCCCGATATCGTCCCGAGGTCACCGTACTATACAGTGATATCTTTCGACAACCTTTGAATGTCTTCTCACAATTTGCTGACAATTACCATTGAACGTCTTTAGAACATCCAGTGGTGGGATTCGGGAGCACTCAGCCCACCTGGGGACGGGTTCATCTATATATCCAACGATTTGGCCTGCGTGCCATGTCGCTGAAGTGCATACGGCATACTAGGAACCTAGGATCACCCAGGAGAAGACTGGCTTGGAAAGCGCTTCAAGGTTATTGACCAACAACCTTGGAATTATCCATGATCTACTGCCCAGGTGTCTGGATAGTGCAGACCTGCGATTTTCAAATGTGCGCGAATCGAGGAAATATCAGAAATTTCCTGAGCCGCACGTCGACTCTAGAATTCCGTCAAGTCAACACTGCCCACGTGGGCGAAATCATGTTCAAATTTCTATGCCAAAGAACAACCTTGGAAGGGACCTCGGGAGTCGCAGACCTGGAATCTAGACCATCAATGAAGATGTGAAGACATTGAAATGGCGTGTCATCCCGAGGTCCCTTTAGAAAGATAACATGGAATGATGAATGAGACGACACGTGGAATATCATCCTTCAGACTCCATGGCCAAAGACCATCCTGACCACAGAAACACAGGGAAAAGAAAAGTCCAGAGCGATCGATCGAGAGCTTGAGATCCAGATCCCCCATAAGAAAACTTTGCTCGTCCACGATAAGCATCAATCTAGATCTGGACTCCATGATGAGCCTCAATTCAAGATCCATCTAGATCTCGACCGAAGGGTTCAAGAGTTTGGAACGTGCTGGTGCTCATTTCGCGATCTAGCGGAGCCCAAAAGCTTCGTCAGACAACCATAAAAGATTGAAATTAGTGAAGGGTCCTGAGGCCTCGATGGCCCGGGCAATCAGGGCTATAGCGGGTCAAAGGACTCGTCAGACGACCATATAATGAACCTGGGGAAGACAAATGGTCTGGACCAGGTTTGTTGACTGGATCCAGATGAGCAATTGCAAGATGAGTGTGATCTTCCCATGGCTGCACGTAATGCAGCAGATAATTCCTTCAATCCACGTCACACGTCAGGAACAAGGAAAAACCTCGGGATGAATGGTAGATATTTGCCAATAGACCACCTGAGAGAAAGAGCCGATGCCCTGGATCCACAGTTCGAGACCCGGAACGGTTTGATGAGGGCTCCGCACAAGAGCCGTTCCCCGTGGATGGCAATAATGCAGAGACTAGTATTTTGTACTGATAGTTTGCCTCTCGACGAACTATTTCATTGACGCTAGAGAAAAGTTATACAGTCTATTTTTATGTAGAAAGTTGACATGTGGCACTGAGGCGCAGGATAAGCTCAGCCTCTTCAATTGACGACGCGGATCAACGGCACGAGATGCTGTCTCAGCCCTAGACGATCGTGAGCCCATAAAAGCGGGCTGTTCGAGAGTCGAGGCTATTAAGATTCGCCTGGCAAGAAAAAGCGGGTAGGACTTGACCCGCCGAGTCTGCCCTGTTGAGTATAAAGTTTTTTGAGTTTCAGGGGTGTCCCGAACGGGCAGGCCTGAATGCAAAAAGAGGATCCCATGGCAAGTCTAAAACTTGTCGAAAAAAAAAAGCGAAGGAAAAAAATTAGACTAGCCAAGTATGCTGCATAAAGCAGACCGAGCCCACACTGTGCGTCTCGAGTAGGACTAGCCCGGCCTTTTGGGTTTTTTTAGGGTCGGGTGAGCTAACCTACTTCGGACTAGACTATCACGTGTTCGGATTCCCACCGAGGTTCGAAGGTTCTTTGCCGACCTCCAGGCCTGTACCTCGACACAGTCAGCGCCTTTTCGATACCGAGTCTGAGACGACGGAGAACCGGACTTGATACTCCGACTGGTTCACCGTGGGCGAGCCGACGTGCCGTAGACCTTGTATGATCGAGACGCCGGCGTACGTATGTCTCGGGCGTGATGAAACAAATGACAACGGAACTGCGGTCATTGATACGGCGGATTCTGTCTAGACTCGGTTCGAGATGCCATGAGCTCGTACGAGTAAATACCAATGGACCCCAGGTTCTTAGCAGGGTCTCTTGGCTCTTGGTGAGGGCGAAAGGTCGGCTTTTCCAACAGCCCACTGGGTTAACCGTCTAGATTTCCCAAAGTGGACTATACGGCCGAGCTTCCTTCAGTTAGCTCAGCCCGAGCGCTAACTGATACAAAGTACTGTACAGTACTCCGTATGGCGAGTGCTGCGGTCTCGTACAGATTTGAGTCTTCAGAACGATTTCTTCCCAAAGTTGCGCATCGTAAGACTTGTCTGAATTAAGCCCATTTTTGTGCATCTCCTGACATGTGTGGAATGCTGTTTACCTAAGCAGGAATCTCCGACACACAGAGACATGGGATAGCCACTTGCGTCATGACGGGAGCAATTACAGTACTCCGTACGGTTTCAGGACCTGGGGGGATGTCCGAGCCTGAGAGTGTCGAGGACCAATGGGAGTTGATGGCACTCTGTAGACGGCCCACCCTCGGCTTAGGAAGAAGTATTATCAGTCCGGGAGACTCAAGTTACAGACTGTTCAGCCATGTCGCAGCGCACACAATATGACCAGATGCATTGTATTGTTGAAATCCGTACAGTACGGAGTACTCCGGACATCTGGTGGCAATAAAGGAATGGCTGAAAATACCGTATGGTGGACTATCCCTAGATACACGCCGTGGACATAAACAAACGAGCAGCCAATCACGGGGCGGCAGGTCAGGCCGCCGCTGACTGATCAAGGCCACGCAAGCCCGTTTCTATTCCGGAACGCTCCTCTCCTTCCCCTGTTTCCTTGGTTCTACTTTTCTCCATCGATTCTCACTAAAATCTCCTTCTAGAGCATCTCTAGACCTTCGTTTTTTCACCCTTATTTTATACCCTGATTTTCCCTCTTTTTTAATATTGGATTTTGATTAAAAAAATAACCTGTGATCCTATATTCCACTCGCTCACATACATCACCACACCCGACAGTCCAGGGACAGGTTTACCAAGATGGCAACCCTCACAGAATACCCGATGCAGCCAGCATCTTACGAGCAAGATCTGGACTCTTTCATCAACTTTGAGCAACTCACACACACATCCGACCCTTCCCGCTCCAAGATCGCCATGACCAGCCAACCCTCGGTCGCAAGCACAGAGTTCAACACCAGCGACTCCCGCAGTGCCAGTTTCGCTTCAAGTGGCCAGTCTCCTCTCGCTTTCCAGGGTCCTAGCCACCAATACGACGAGCACCGACAGCAGACTGGCTTGCCCCCCGGGGCTTTGTCCATGACCTACAACCAGGTCCCGATGGGCTTCACCAACAGCCAAGGTTTCCCCGTCAACGCTGACATGTATGCCGGTCATCACATGAAGCGGGAGGAGGGCCCATTCGATTTCAACGCTGCGCCGGGCAGGAACCCCTCAGAGATGGACATCGAGTCCGACAGCATGAACGCCTCGCCATACTTCTACCCGGCCAACCCCGCTAAGGGACAATACGTCGACCCCAACGCTCTCGGAGGCCATGAATTGGCTCAGGCCGGTCCTTCTACCCAGGTCGGTCGCATGTACCCTGGTATGCATCAGCAGCAGGCTGCGATGGCCAAGGCCCAGCAACAAAAGCAGAGCGATATGGCCCGCTCCCAGGTTCAGCAGCGTGCCGAGCCCACCCCCGCTTTGCCCCAGGCTCGCGGTCCCCGCAACCCCGACCCCGTGGTCGAGGAGCGCATCTCTCGTTTGCTCCAACAGATGCGCCAGAACGCCATGGCCAATGGCGAGGGCTCCCCCACCCCATCCAACGGCATGCCCCAGATGGCCAAGTCCCGCAAGGATGAAGCCGACATGGATGAGGATGAGCGTCTTCTTGCAAGTGAGGAGGGCAAGAAGCTCAGCAGCAAGGAGCGTCGCCAGTTGCGCAACAAGGTCTCCGCTCGCGCCTTCCGCTCTCGTCGCAAGGGTACGATCTTTTAACTTGACTGTTCGATCTTCAATCGCTAACATACCATGCAGAATACATCGGCCAGCTCGAAAGCGAAGTCGCTGCCCGTACCAACGAGGCCCACGAAGTTCGTCTCCAGAACCGCGCTCTCTACGAGGAGAACGCTCGTTTGAACGACCTGGCTCGCATGCTTCTCGGATCTCCCCATTTCAACAACTTTCTGAACGAGATGGAGGGCCCCCAGCAGCAGCAGCCCGCTCAGCCCCAGCAACAATCCCAGCAGCCCGCTCAGACCAACATGCAAGCTATGCCCAAGGAAAACACCAACCGTGGCCAGGAGTTCCAGATGCAGCAGAACGCTCAACCAAACATGGTTATGATGCCCAACCAGGGCATGGACCCTAACATGGCCATGAACACTGCTGGCTGGAACACCGGTATTGACATGAACTTCGGCAACACCTCCGTCTTCGCTGTCATGGAGGTTCCCGAGGGCCCTGCTCTTGACGCTGAGATGTTGTCCGGCAAATCATCTTCCTTTGTTCCCGAGAGCTCCAAGAACGAGGCTCCCATCCTTGAGACTCCCACCAGCTCACCAAGCCAGTCTGACATCGGCGTCTCTAACCCTGATGTCGAGATTGACGAGTCTGACCCTGCCTTTGCTTTGTTCGTCGATGCTCCCGCTCCCGCCTCCAACGCCGAGACTGCCTTTGAGGGCATTCCCGGTGAGAAGGCCTCTGAATTTGAGCTTGTTCTCGATACTTCCGACGTCAGCGACTCCGCCAAGAGGAATTTCAACGCCCTCTGCCACAGCATTGACGCCGCTTTCGAGCGCGTGTCAGCTGTTACGTCCCACCTTCAGTGATTCCCCCACTCGCGTCCGCCCTTCGGCCTTTTTTTTGTATATGTGATCTTTTTACTTTACCCGCCGGTGCTATCGCAGCCTGATACACTGGTGTTTGCTGCCAAATTTTGCGAATGATTGGACTTTGTTTCAGCAGTCCCGGGGAGTTCAAGGCGCCCACAACTATATAGTCCTCCCTTGAAAGGATTCACCGGGTGGCATTTTCTTTTCTCTTTTTTTGGAATGGTTCCCCATTGGCGTAAGGATGGACCTTTGGGCTTCAGGTCCAATTTGATATCTACGGCCATATGATTTTATTTTATTTTGCATAGCCCTTTGGATGTAGTTTAGCCCAATAGAATGCTTGTCGACTCAGTTACTATTTGCCATGTAATGTCTTGTGGGTAATAATGAGTACACTTCAAATAATGGGAAAAATCCTAGACTCACCTACCAGACAGAACATATTAAATCATGTCGATAGAATCTTTGAACTGGCTAAAGAGGCTTTAAGCCCCTTTTGATGCGCAGAAAAGGGCGATCTCCTGGGCGATTAGAGATTTGCGGCCCGCGCAGAAACCGACGTTCACTTTTTTCCCCAACGCGGGATCCACTGCTAAGCTCGACGTTGGTTCACTTGTGCGATTCTTACAAGTTTTCCCCTCGAAACCCAATTCTCTACCCACGTTGGCTTCCCTTCGCGTGCGCGGTTTGTTGTTAACCGCGCCCAGTCGCGCATTCGCCAGCGTACTCTTCCGACCCTCGATCTCAAGGTCGACCTTCCTACGAAGATACAATACAAACCGCCAAACGACAGCCTCCCCTGGTCCAAGTTCAGGACCAAAGCGTCCCGGCCGACCCGTGCCATCTCTGAATCCTAGCAGTGACCTTCCACTCCGAGTCAGACAGCCCGCAGTCGACCCTCAGGCATATATCATCCCGGCCCCGCTCAGACACAAGTTTCCGAATAAGTACTTCATTTGCGACCCGTCCAAGTTTGAAATTTCCTCGGTGCCACCCAAGGCCTTACTGGGTGTCAACCCAATGAAGTTCTTCTACCAGGTTATCACTACCCCGACGGCCGACACGCCCGGCACGGCCATCGCCCTCAACTTCCCTGACAAGCGATATATTTTCGGCCAGCTAGCAGAGGGCACACAACGTGCGTGCACGGAACGTGGAGTCAAGGTTGCCCTCCTTACCGATGTCTTCGTGACCGGGCGGGCGGAATGGGCCAATACGGGAGGAATGATCGGAATGATCCTGACACTTGCCGATACAATTACGACGTCAGTTAACGCCGCGGAAGAGGAAAGAAAGAAGAAGGCTATTCGCAAGGATGGAACAGTGAGGCCGGAAAAGCCCAATGAGAAGTTTCATGGAACGGCCTATATCGAACGAAACGGTGAAACCGTTCTCCAGCAAGGGAATCTCACAATCCATGGACCTACCAATCTCACACACACATTGGCTACGGCTCGTCGCTTTGTGTTCCGCAAGGGCATGCCGGTGTTCGTGAAAGAATATGATTCTGAGACCATGGCTAACCAAGTGCCCACTGGCACCGAAGATCCGTTCGCCGCCCCTTCCTGGTCTGACTCGAACATTAAGGTCTGGACACTTCCGATCAGGCCTAACGATGCCAAAAAGACTGGCGCGGCGGCGCGGTCCCAGAGTCCTCGGAAGCGGAGCCTGGATGAGTTCCAGGAAGCTGAGACTGATGGATTCTTGGACCAGCGTACCAAGGACCGAATGGTCACGCAGGCCATTGTGCAGGATATGTTCAACTCTTCATGGAAGATGGATACCCTGCACGAAACTCGACTAGCTGATGTCAAAATGCCCGCGGCCATCTTTGTTCGAAACCCAGAAACCAAGGACCTCGAGCAATACAAGGGACCCGTCCCGGGTGACGCGGAGCCGCTCCCTGATATCACGGTGCTTGTGCGAAAGCCTTGGCCTGGTGCTACTTATGAGAATCTCCCTCCCACTACCCCATCGAGGGAGGCAATCTCTTACATCGTACGAAACCATGATATCCGCGGAAAGTTCGACCCGAAGAAGGCCCAGGAGCACAACGTTGAGAAGGGCTCAAAGTACGCTGCTCTTACGAGGGGCGAAAGCGTCCAGTCAATGGATGGAAAGACTATTACCCCCGAGATGGTTCTAGGAAATCCTCGAACTGGCAAGGGTGTCGCTATCATGGACGTGCCTTCGCCTGAATACGTTGAAGACTTGGTCTCTCGACCTGAGTGGAAGTCACCTACTGTCACGACTGGATTGTCAGGTTTCTTCTGGATTCTCGGTCCTGGTGTTGCTGAACATCCCAAGCTCCAAGAATTCATCAAGAATATGTCGCACTGCACACACACGGTGTCCGGCACAGACCAGTGCCCGAACTACTTGGCAATGACAAGCTCTGCAAACACTACTGTTCAACTCGCTATCCTGCAGCCTAATACCTATTCCGTTCCCGTTCACGACAACACCACTCTACCACAGCCTGGTTCTTCGAATGCCGGCTCTAAGTCTGCCGCAGCAGCCCTCGAAAACTCCCCACTTGTCCCTCTTCAGCCCGGCACCATCCTTGATATTGAGCCCAAGTTTGGCCTGAATGACGACGAAGTCATGCGGCGCTTCAACCCCCAACACAGCAAGGTCCGGATCCCACGCTCGGTCCAGCAGCGCTTGAACGTTATCAACCAGCGCGTGGCCAAGCCTGCCTTCCAGCAGAAGCTGCAAGAGGAACGGGCAAAATGGCCTGGTGCGGATGCCGAGATCATTGCGCTGGGTACTGGCTCCTCTGTTCCTTCAAAGTACCGCAATGTTTCCGCGACATTGGTCAAAGTTCCTGGATACGGTTACTACATGCTTGATTGTGGAGAGAACACCTTGGGCCAGTTGAAGCGAGCATTCGAGCCGGAGCAGCTTCGTGAAATCCTCCAGAATCTGCGAATGATTTGGATCAGCCATTTGCATGCTGACCATCACCTTGGCACTGCCTCTCTGATCAAGGCCTGGTACGAGGAGAACTTCAAGAACGGAGCTGATCCCACGTCTCCCGAAGCAACCATCACAGAAATCCTGAAGGAAAAACGGTTGGCCATCGTATCCGCAGATGCAATGATTTCTTGGTTGGAGGAGTATTCTATGGTCGAGGAGTTTGGATTCAAAAAACTTCTTACACTCAGCGCACACGCCTCTGATGCCGACCTTAAGACCACTTTCTCCCACCGCCTTCCATCTGGATATCGTACCCAGCTCTCCTATACAGAAGACCAATACCCCACCACCGCCCTCCTCAAGTCCGCCACTGGCCTAGAAGACCTCCTCACCTGCCATGTGAAGCACTGCAGGGGGGCTCTAGCCGTCTCTCTCGTCTTCCCCAATGGATTCAAGGTCTCCTACTCAGGCGACTGTAGACCCTCTGAGAAATTCACCGCCATCGGCAAAGACTCGACAGTTCTAATCCACGAAGCCACTTTCGGACCCGACATGGTAGGAAATGCTATGGCCAAGCGTCACTCCACATCCGCCGAAGCCATCGAAGTCGGCCGACGCATGCGCGCACGCGCCATTCTCCTTACTCATTTCAGCCAACGGTACCAAAAAATAGCGTACACAAACCACCGCAAATCAGACGAGCCGAACCCCCGCGATGCTTCAGCCAAGGAGCCCGTCGATGCGGACATTCCATTCGATGATCCACAGGAAGTGATCGCCGGAAACACCCTTTCGGATGATTTGCGCCTTGAGAAGAACTTTAAGACCGCTCCTTTCGATGGCCCGATCGCTGGTGCCATGGATTTCATGCGCATCAAGGTCGGCGACTTTTCCCTTGCGCATATTTATGCTCCTACGCTAGAGAAGATGGTGGAGATCACGGAGCGCGCGACACAGGAAGCGGCTGAGCGTGCAAGACTGCTCAGACAGGAGCAGGAAGATGCTAAGAAGGCGAAGAATAACAAGAAGTTCGCCAAGCATGCTGCCACCGCTGCCGCGGCCGCGGCGGCTGCAGCAGTGGCCGAGGTTCAGACCGAGGTTCAGCCTGAGGCTAAGGAGCCTTCTAAGTCTATTTGGAGCGCCAGTGAGAGTGAGAGTGGATGGGAGACCAGTGATGCTGAGCTGTGAGACTCCCTCTGTATATTAAAACGAAAATCTCTATAGATGCAGTGGTGTATCCGAGCTCCTGGCATATATTGGACTTTTATCATTTAACTACGCCGTAGCCGCGCTCATGTGTGAGGCTAGGACTGTATATAGACTCTATAAATCACGTTGGAATCCTCCAATGTTCGAATGCTGCAGCTCGGCTATCCGAGGCAAGGGGCTTCGGGGAGATGCCCGAGATATTGGCGAGATGCGGAGATCTACTCCGTACTCCGTCCGTATTCTGTGCTGATTCACTGCAGAGTTACTAGATGTATGTAGTTCCCCGAAGAGCATTAACAGCAAGGATCGACATAGAACAAACGAGAGCTTCGAAATGTAGAGCTCGAAACATAGCCCAACCTGTGAGGCCATTGGGCTGCACACGCTTATCGATTACCCCAACTGATTGGCGTCTCACCGCCCCACGGGGCAGTCAACCTGACTCAAAGTGGTGTATACACCTCTCTCTCTCTCTTTGTGCACTCTCCCCAAGATGACCACTCTGATCCCACGTGAGCCCTATACCCAGGATGAGCTTGCACGCCTCTACCCTCAAGGGCTGCAGCTGCAACTGGTGCAAGTGGTACGTTCAATAATTGACTTTCAAGGTACTCGAGCTTAAGCTAACGGATGCCAATACAGTTCCTTCGCCATGGTGAGCTATCTCCCTCACAAAATTGTACTTCCGGAGTATTTCTAACCGTACACAGGCGAGCGAACACCTGTCTCATCACGTTTCACAAATGTATGCTGCCATTGACTCCGATCCCAACCCCGATCTCCGACGGTCTCCGCTAACACTCCCCAAAGACAGGTCTAAACCCATGTATGCCGAACCCCCAAGACCGATATCGGGTGACACAATACTGATCTCGCAAAAGACTGGCCGTATTGCGGCGTCGCAAGGCGCATGGTGCAGATGGCCTCCAGCAGCAATGATCTCTCCGCTTGGAACGGGTTCCAATGGCGACGCAAGATGGAGTCATTTGGCGCCAATGACAAAGCAACAATTGCCCGTGGAGCTGGCGGCGAAGCCGAGGCTATGTGGTAGGTCACTGTGGAATGCAATGCTTTAATTGCATAGCATGGGCTGACACATAACCAGCTTGCATGGCGAGCTCACAGATAAAGGTCGTGAGACGACATATGCGCTTGGACAGCGGTTGCGCCATCTCTACGTTGACCAGCTTGGCTTCATGCCAGAGATCAAGTCCGACTCTGAGGACATGTATCTGCGCGCGACGCCGATCCCTCGTGCTCTGGAGTCGCTCCAGGAAGCGTTCTGGGGTATGTACCCGGCTAGTGCGCGGACGCTTGATTTCCCACCACCGGTGATTGTGGCTCGCCAGGTGAACGAGGAGACTTTGTTCCCTAACGAGGGAAATTGTAAACGTTTCCGACAGCTTGCTCGGCTTTTCGCTGACCGTGCCGCTGTGCGATGTAAGAGTTTGCGAGAAGATGTAGAAACAACTGCTAACGTACATCGCAGGGAATGACTCAGAACAGATGTCTTATCTGAACAGTCTTTGGTCAAAGTACATGCCCGAGGAATCACCCAAGGTTGCAGTCGATGCTCATCCCCGCCTTTCTGGAATCATGGATACTATCAATGCAACCGATGCCCACGGGCCTGCCACTAAGCTTCCGTCTGAATTCTATGATAAGAAGGGGCGTGCTGTGCTCGACCGCATTGCGGTTGAGGAATGGTTCGCTGGTTACGGCGAGAGCAGCGAATACCGCAAGTTGGGCATTGGAGCTCTCATGGGCGACGTGGTTGATCGCATGGTCAGTACCGCCGTGGAGGGTGGCTGGCGCAGCGAAAGCAGTGCATCCGGCTCCCAAATCCCGGCAACTGGCAAGGCAATTAAGTTTGCTATGAGCGGCTGCCACGACACCACACTTGCAGCGATGCTGTCCAGTGTGGGTGGCTTCCAGGACGAGTCATGGCCTCCCTTCACTTCGTCCGTGGCCGTTGAGCTGTTCTCACAGGCCCCTCGCTCTGCCTCTCCTGCTGGAACTATGCTCGAGGAGTTCTCTAACCCATCTGTCGCTGCCAAGAAGCCTGGTGTGCTCGCCAAACTGTTTGGTAAGTCCGCGCCGAGCCAATCAACCTCCGAGAGTGCGCGCGCCCCCCTCTCGTCTTTCCCAGAAGGCTCTCGCGAGTCTCTGAGCAAGCACTACGTTCGTATTCGCTACAATGATCGTCCCGTCACCATCCCAGGCTGTGCTGCTAAGCCTGAGAACCACCTGCCTGGCGATGAGACATTCTGCACCTTGGACGCCTTCAAGACCATTGTTGACAAGTTCACCCCGAAAGACTGGCAAGTCGAGTGCACTCAAAACATGGGCGCCGGCCTCCACGGCCCAGCTGATAGTGCCAAGTCTGCCGCCGGCTTCTAGACCTCATAGACCTACTATAATGATTCCTTCAAATGCAAATATCTTATATGTTCAATATGACAATTTCCACAGTGTTGGAGACTCCGGCAGCAATCAGCTGCTCTTAGCCTTCTCTGCCATGTCCGCTCTGATGGCTTTGAGCTTCATCCCAGCAAACTTGAGCATCAGCCATCGCGGCAAGATATCAAACGACAACCCCTGCAACCAATGCCAGAAATAAGCACACACGATTTCCTCTCCGCACCCAACCCGATTCAAGCTGGCCCCTGCGAGCACCCTCGCCTCAGGAACGAACAAATTACTCTTGATATCATATCCAGCCGTCTTCACCTCCGCAACTCTCAACCCCATCACCTCAACCGCCTTCCCTTCCGCCCCGAACTCCGCGCGCAAAGACCTCGTAAAAGAATCCACGAACCCCTTCGTCGCACTATAAGCACTGATATACGGTAACCCAAATGCCGCAACCGAAGAAACATTCAGCACCAAACCCGGTGCATTCTCCTCCAACAGGCCAGCAAGCACACGGGTGATTTGAATCGTGAAGGTAGCATTTCTCGCCACAGTCGCCTGCACCTCCTCAAAAGTATACTCCTTCAACAGCGTCGAAGGCCTCGTCTCCCCACCAACATTATTAATCAAAACCGTCAGGGCGCCCGCGCCAATGATCGCGCGCACTTCCCCGTCCACATCATCAATGTCGCCGGTGATGTTCTGTGCATCGCGCACGACGATCCCGAGCTTCGCCTTGGGAAACTCGGCCTGGAGTTCGCGCTGTCGGCGCTGGAGTTTCTCCGCATTGCGACCGTGCAGTATGACATTGAACCCGCGGGCGCATAGCTCCTGTGCAAATCCGAACCCTATCCCGTCCGTGGCGCCTGTCACGAGGGCCCAATTGGTGTGTGTTGGGTTGTAGGTTTTCACGAGAGTGCTGGGTCGGAGGAAGTTGGTTGCTTGGCGGGTGAATGTGAGGGCGGTGCTGGCTAGGGTGATTAGGCCTAGGTAGGCCAGAGGCTTGGTGTAGGTGCCCAGGTCGGCCATGGTGGAGTTGTGTAGTTGGGGAATCTCGGGGAAGTTGGTTCGAAGGGGGGTGTTGAGGATGATGTCACCGATTGACCTTCCCAGGTTGATATAATTGATAGGCGAAGGATCGGGGTCAATTGATACTATAGACTCGTAAACAATTGAATATATTCGTGTGCTCGATCCCTTCTTATACTGCGATCTTGTAAGGTCGTGACTTCGCGCATTCTCGCGCCGAGGCCGTCCATCGGCCTTTGTCAGGCCGACCTCCGATGATCGATCCCGACCTTGCGAATAGGTGTGAACTTGTTTAGCATAGACGACAAAAAGCCTTGTACTCGGGTTATTCAGTTAGCTGGACACTTCAAAAGACATGGAAATTTCTCAGACTAGCCCGGGTCTACAAAAACCACCGTTTCGCGTCTTTGGTCGCTTCTCTCCGAGCTTGAGCAACTTTGGGAAGAGCCCTCAACACCAGTTGACCTGGGCAGCCCGGGAGGCGAGGTAATTGAGTAGAGCCACGCTGTCAGCATTAAATGATTCACGAGGTCTCTATCTATGTACATGGAGGTGTCTACGCACGGTGACGCTTGCAGCTTGCAATTGGCAATTGCTAACAGGACTGTAATAGCCCTAAGGTTAGCATCATCACCAATCCCCAAGGGCTGCTCGCTCTTCTCCACAAGACAAGCACGGCCCAGATTTTGAATCGAACCCAATCAGGGTCGCCGTAATATTGATTTTCAAAACCAATGTCGTCAAACGAGGACCGTGAAGGTCAGCGACGCCAGCTAGGTACCTTGCGGACTACTGGCCTTGACCACTCAGAATACGGCGTTTATCATCAGAATTTGATATCAGGTACATAATTGGATGGTCATATGCTCCACTGGTATACTCCCAACCTTGGGGGACCTGTATTGGTGTCTGTACGGCATCAGAAATGCAACCGTCAGGGCTAAGGGTTGAGGAACTTGGAGGCCGGGCGCTGGAAGAGATAAAAAGGCATGCTCGCAAGGTGTTAAGAGTGATAATTCCAAATTCTTTCAATAGAATCCTAAACGGGCTTTTTTGTTTCTTTGTTCAATTGTATTCTTGTCAAAAGTTCTGCCACGATGGTCATCGACTCTGGAAGGGAGCCGGTTGGGTACTCTGCCCCTATGCCCTCTGAAGAGAAGCCCAAGACAAAACAAATGCCCGTGACTTTATTATCAGGTTTCTTGGTATGATTATCAGACAAATGGCATGTTTTTGAGCCAAATGAACTGACTCTTTGTACAGGGAAGTGGCAAGACGACACTTCTCAAGCACATTCTCAAGTCCCCAGACCATGGACTGCGGATTGCTGTCATCGTCAATGACATGAGCCAGTGAGTACTCCATGAGCCAGATGCCACGGATCTGATGCTAATCGTTTGGTCAATAGGTTGAACATCGACGCCGCCCTTATCCAAAACCACAAGGTTTCCCAAACCACCGAAAAACTCATTCAACTCCAGAACGGATGCATCTGCTGTACCTTGCGAGGCGACCTGTTAGCAGAGCTAGCCACATTGACCAAACAAAATGAAGTGGACTATGTTGTCATTGAGTCAACAGGCATTTCGGAACCCATGCAGGTGGCCGAAACCTTCACGGCCGAATTCAGCACTGCCATGCTGGAGGCTGAGGATCAAATTGCGAACGAAGACGCCGACGCAAAGAAGATCCTGAATGAGATGTATGTTTCCTCGCCACTTCCCTTTCGAGAACATAAGAGGCTAATTGTATTACCAGTGTGGATCTGGGTGGCTTGCACACAATGGCTAGACTGGACACCACAGTGACTGTTATCGATGCTTTCAACCTGCTTTCCAGCTTTGACACAGCTGAATTCCTCTCTGATCGCTATGGCAGAGAGGAAATTGTTCCGGAAGATGAACGCACAATCTCCGATCTCATGGTGGATCAAATTGAGTTTGCCGATGTATTGATTGTCAATAAGATCGAGACAGTGGACGAAGCAACACGGACCAAGATCTTGCAGCTTCTGAAGTTGTTGAATCCCGGTGCGAAGGTTCTCGAGTCAAATTACTCGCAGGTCGATGTCCGAGAAATCGTCAATACCAATAGTTTCGATTTCATTCGGGCTGCTTCTGGTCCTGGGTGGTTACAGAGTCTGCACGAAATGACAGTTCAGACAACAGGAAATGGGGAGCGGATGGCACCGAAGCCAGAGACATTAGAGTAAGTGCGCTGGTGCCGATACACGGAAAGATGCTGACTCTGCCACAGATATGGCATCAACAACTTCGTATACACCGCACGTCGACCCTTCCACCCTCGTCGCATATTCGCCCTTCTTCATGACAAGTTCATTATTCTGCAGAACAATGAGCTTGAGGAAGAAGAAGGAGACGAAGAGGACGAAGAGGAAGATGCGATGGACACAGAATCAGACTCAGAGTCGGTAGAGGACTTTGACCAGCCCGACCCAGAAGACATCTTGAAAAACAAGCGCACACACCCGGCCTTTGGGCCGGTTCTCCGTTCGAAGGGTTTCTTCTGGCTCACCACCCGACCCTGGCAATTTGGTGAATGGAGCCAAGCAGGCGGTATGATGACCGTTGGCTGTGGTGGCCCCTGGTTTGCCGAAGTCCCCGACGATGCTTGGCCCGAGGACAAGGATGTACAGGAGTCCATCCAAAATGACTTCCAGGGGCCCTGGGGCGATCGGCGCCAGGAGCTTGTGTTTATCGGAGAAGGCGTTGACAAAGAGAAGATCAGTGCTCTGCTTGATGAGTGCCTTTTGGACGACAAGGATATGAAGAAATGGGAAAAGGTGATGAAGAACAAGAAATTGAGCAGAGAAGAAAAGACAGACAAGTTAGCCAAGATGTGGGAAGATGGCTGGGAGGAATGGCCTGCTTTTGAGGTCGATGAAGAGGACGAAGAAGAGGAAGAAGAAGCTGCTCCTCAGCAGGGGAAGCACCGGATCAGTGAATACCTGCACAAGGATGGTAAACATGCCCATGGACACAGCCACGGGCAACGAAGAATGATTGCTGCATGAGATTTTTAGATGCTTGAGGCTTTTGGCCTCCAAAAATTGAATCAATTGAATTTTCCTGTCTCGTTTCCATTGTAAAAATCTAAAAATTAGTAAAATTAGCAACTTCAAAGACTTTTTGCTTCGACAAACCACCTGCAGTCGTCAACCCCAGTGGCAGAATACCAAAGGCGGTGATGTGATTAACAACGATAAGAGATACGGCGATCATGATAACGGCTCCGCCATCTTCTCTCCTCCTCTCGACCACAATTCCCACGACAAGAAGGCGTTCATACCGGAGAGAGCTTGAAAGATCCCAGGACACCACTCGTCGAATACACGCCGTGCTATTAGATCTTGTTACACAACGGTACCATCGTGCATCCCTCTGTCTCGCAGCTCCAACCTACTCCAAACCCCCGCATTCCTCACACAGCACAAGCGTTACTCAAAAGAACGCCCCAATTTAACCTGCTGGGGACCGAATTTGAAATACTGGGGCCATGATACAGGTCTGACTGCAGATACCCGATACTGTATCACCATCCCAAGTAAACTGTGATCCTGCGACTTTCATTCCTGGGCGAGATCGGCACATGCGGATGTCAGTACTCGGTCTTTGCCGTTAAATTGAGCTCGGCCAGTTCCTTTCACCATTTCTCTTCGTGATAACGGAGACATCCTGATCTCGCATTGGCCTGGTTTTCCCTGTCTCCATCAATCATAATTCCTCGGTAAGTCAACATGCCGCCGGATGCTGCCTGCCCTACCTTCTAACCTCCCTCGCGCAATTAGGTATCTACCTGTCTAATGGAGGTAAGAGTCTTTTCCAATTGCAATTCATAGCCCCCCGAATCACCACATCCCATCATCCCTCGAACCAAAGTTGCCCTATTCTGCGAAGCCCGGGTGGTCACCGTGCCGCTGCATCTATGCACGGGCCGTTGTGAGACAGCTGCTTGGTTCCGGGCCCTTTTTCTCTTCCCCGGGCGGGTAAAGAGCCACCAAGTGCGTCTCAGCAGCCACCTGAGCTTCTAGAATGGGCAAGGAAGCGGGATTTTCAACTTGCGAGCATTTGCCGCAGTTGTTATCGCAATCAGCCCTCACAAGATGACGCTGCCTTGAAGCCACGGGGCCCTATCTTCAGCCTCAGAATTCATTTGTGTTGCCGTCCCGAGGAATCCCAGCCTGGCCGGGTTCGCTGACTGCCCAATGCCCCCATTTCCCAACATGTGATGCGTTGATTCCTTCACCTATATGCCCAACATATATTCCTCGGTCTCGATACCTTCGCGCTATCTCCCAATCCCCCTTTCCTCTCCAAAATGCGCCGCCCCTTTCTTTGATACGCATGTCCGACTCATCGGTCGCCCGCGCGAGCCGGCCTCATGGTCCTTTCATAGGACGTGAGTTCAGGTTTTGGGAGCGACGACGTCAACTTCCATTTCGCAAATCAGAAGCTGAGCTGAGCCTTTTGGGGAACTTACAGGGAAATAATCAAGTGGCCGCCTCGACACAGGCCAAGTCGGCCTCTGTGCCGAACACTAAAGGCCCCGATGTGAAACCACGCCTCCTTCTAATGGGACTCCGTCGGTAAGAAGCAGCCGTGTTGGCCTTTTGGAAAAGATGGTTGTTAACTTTTCGAAAAGGAGCGGAAAGTCCTCAATTGCTAGCGTGGTATTTCACAAGATGCCCCCAAACGAGACACTCTTTTTGGAATCTACCACGCGCATTCAAAAGGATTCAATCCAGTAAGTCTAGCGCAAGTGAAATTATGCGCAAGTGGCTGAATCTAGTACCAGCTCTTTTATGGACTTTCAAGTCTGGGATTTCCCTGGTCAACTCGAGTACTTTGAGTCGGCATTTGACCTCGAAGATATCTTCGGCAGCCTGGGCGCGCTAGTCTGGGTTATTGACGCGCAAGACGATTATTTGGACTCGGTAGCACGGCTCAACCGTACCATTCTTACCGTCCAGCAGTTCTACCCCGGTATCAACATTGAGGTGTTCATCCACAAGGTGGATGGACTATCTGACGAGTACCGCACCGACACTTTCCAGGACATTGTGCAGCGCATTTCAGACGAGCTGAGTGACGCTGGGTATGAAAATGCACCTGTGCACTATTACCTCACCTCCATCTATGACTACTCCGTGTTCGAGGCCTTCAGCAAGGTCATCCAAAAGCTGATCCCGAATCTGTCTACACTGGAGAACCTCATCAATACCTTGGCCAACAACTGTGGCTTTGAAAAGACCTACCTCTTTGATGTTCTGAGCAAGATCTACATTGCCTCCGACACTCGTCCCGTGGACATGGCTTGCTATGAGATGTGCTCGGACTATATAGATGTGATTGTCGATATCTCCGAGCTGTACTCGTGGGATCATCCAGCTCGCAAGCGCCTGGGTGAACAGATTCAAGAAGCCGAGAGTCATGTAGTGCTACATGACCAAACCATGATCCATCTGATGGAGATGAATAAGTACGTTTTCTGCCCTCTGCTTTACAATCATCGACATGCTAACAGAGCGCAGATACTTGTGTCTGGTTTCTGTCATCCGGAACCCCGAAGCCAAAGACAAGCGAGGTTTGATTGATATGAATTGCCGCACTTTCCAGGATGCCCTGAATGAGGTTTTCTCGCGCAGCTGGGAAGAGGAGTCTGCAGCCCAAGATGGATCTTCTGCGGCCGAAATCAAATGAACGTAGCGCAGACACCTCAATAGGAACCGAGGGTGTTATTCCTGCGCAATGAAGCCAAATATTATCTTTAGCGATGTTTCCTCAAAAATCAATGTGAATTCTTAAATCCAAGTTAAATCCCCGGATGAGCAATGTGTCGCATCTGATGGGCTGTACATTTCCCGGCTAAATGTGGATATAGTCCTTGTTCCCCCATATTTTGTCAGCCCACGATTTCCCCTGCACCCACCTCAAGTGCCAGACTCAATCCCCGACGGCACAGCTATAGCTTGCAATAACTTCGAAAAATGTCAGAGCTTCGCCAGCGATCGACGGCGAAAGCCAGCAAAGCCTCAGACACACCACCCAGACAGCAACGAGACGAAACAAACCATGGGATCGGCCTGCTGGATATCATCCGTGTTATTGCGATTTTAGTCATCGGATCCTGTGGTCTCTCCTATTATATGACCGATTCCGAATCCGTGTTATGGGGGTACAGGCCATGGTATACACGGTGGCCAGTGGTGAAGCAGTGGGTGGTACGAAGCTTCCGTCTTCCCCGAGAGGACAAAAACCCCTCCAACTTGCGAAACAAGCCGACAGTACTGACATGATTACAGCAAGGCCCAGTGATACTCACGCCTAGCCAACTAGCGCTCTACAATGGCACCGACGCGACACTCCCGCTCTACGTGGTCGTCAACGGGACGGTCTTCGACGTGTCGGCAAACAGAATGATCTACGGCCCGGGCGGGAGCTACAACTTCTTTGCGGGACGGGACGCCACGCGCGCATTCGTCACAGGTTGTTTCCAGGAGGATCTGACGGCGGATATGCGGGGGGTTGAGACCATGTACGTGCCTGTCGAGGATGTCGAGGAATCCTTGACGTCGGGTCAGAAGAAGATCCGCCGCGAGAAGGAACTGCGAGAGGCCAAGGCCAAGGTTGAAGGTGCTGTGAGGCGGTGGGTTTTGTTCTTCCGCAATCACAAGAAGTATTTCGAGGCGGGAAGAGTGGTCGAGAACGAGGTGACTGGGGAGCCGTGGCCACTTTGTGAGAGCGCGCAGAAACAGCGACCGAAGAGGAGCACGTTGGAGTCGTAGGCTACTTTAGCAGTTGAGCGAGAGAATACTACGAATGCGTCGGATGCATCATTGTTTTTGGGTTTTTTTGAAGAAGTTTTGTAGATTTTTTGATTCAGTTCGCACCACCTGACGGGTGGACCAGGAAGTGCGAATGTTCCACACTCTTCAAGAGACGTTTAACCACTATGCATCACGCCCAGCCGGGCTTCCCATGGTAAATGATATCATTCGTAACAAGGAAAAAAAAACCGCGAGAAAAGACGAGAGACGGTACGTTTACTCGGCGGTGACGGCACGGGCTAGAAAGACTGATCAGTATTTGGGGTCGGAAGGCAAATCCGGGATGGGAACGCACTGTAGATGCTCAGGCTGGAGTGTCCAACGACCTTCTTGATCTGGCCGTTGGCCTCAAGGTCGTTGAGAGCCTGGCGGGCAAGGCTGCCGTTGATCTTGAGACGATCGACAAGGGTGGCGACAGTGATCAGACGGTAGGACTGGACATCCTTCTGAAGCTTGTCGTTGGTGGCCTTGTCGAGGACGACGGCGTGCTGGGCCTTGTCCTTGACTGTACATATTGTTAGTAAACCATGTTTCTCGAGATCTCGGTTGTATATGCTCGTCCAACGATTTCCAACGGTTTGTTCGCGGATGGTCGAAACTCGGCGGAAATCGTTCACGGTCGCATGGATGGTGGTTGCGTACCCTTGCCCTTGGACCACTTCTTCTTTTGCTTCTTGCCTCCGGTTGCTGCGGGCGCCTGTCACATATCGATTAGTTCTGTATTCGGATCTGGTAGATAGGCGGGACTCACCATTTTGTCGGATGGAGAGGATGGTTCAAAGAAAGAGAGCGCTCCCCAGAAGGCCGCTCAAGTGCGAAAAAGCAGTGGGGCGTGACTGAGCTGAGCCCTAAACCCTTGATCGGTTAGTGTAAGTGATATGATTGGTCAGGTCATGGATTATGTCATGAGGCTGACATCATCTATCGCTGGATGGATCCATGGGTCTGGACAAATGGTCACTCTCTGCCTTAGGCGTCGAATGCATTTGCAGCTCGTTCATCGACTCTTGCGGTGACGAGGGAAGCGACTGCATTGTGCGCATACAAGTTGCTACATTGGGGGGAGGGCTCTGAGTTATCCGACCGGATCCTGATGTCATGGTTCCTTTCCGCAACAAATGGATACCCCAGCTTGGTGAATCTACGACGACCTAGAACCCGACTTCTAACAGGCCCCAGCGCCATCGCGCAAATGTCACTTCGTCGAATCGAGGGGGGCAATCTACTCATAGTGACACCCAATCGGCTTGCTACATCAATGCTGCCCTATGGCCAGAGTCGGCATCGGAATCGCAGTATATCACTTGCCCTGCCTTCTCCAGGTCTCTCTGCGTTTCCATTGACCCACTCAATACCTTAACACAAGCACTGCGCTATGAGGAACAATTCTTTAACTCGAATGCTGGAATTCTAATCGCTGACAGCGCTACGGCACAAAGTACAGTACTGTTTCTCGTTGATTGAGAAAGCTAATGAAAAAGATACTCATATATCAACCCATGCATAGGCCTCCACCACTCGATCTAGTTTAAGGGCTCAAAGCAACTGGAGAATTGCAGGTCTTCGCACAATGACCGATGCTCCTCTGCTGGGAGCTGAACAAACACTTCATATACTCGTGATGACGAGCGACTGAAATTCGGAAGAATCAAGCAGCAAGCACCGGTATTCGGCCGATGAGTCCGCAATGCAAACGGAGAACCAATGCCGATATCGTAGTTCTCGGCCTTGCCCGAGTACCAACTGTTCATCAGTACGTCCATGTTATGAAAGTCCATGGGAACCCCCAACCGCTGCGAGGGCGAAAAAGATCGGACCAAGTTGGCTAGATCTTTCATAGACTCCAAAGTCGACTCGTTGATTGATTTGCGGATCAAAGAGGCTGCAGCAGAGAGGCCATTATCCGCTAGGAGAGACTGCACATCTACCGGGCCATTCCACGATAGGAGAACCGCATTGCCAAAGTAATCCTGTGAGGTTGCGTGTTCTGGATCTCGGAGACGCGAATTAATCGGGTTCGCGAGGATAGAGTGAGATGAGTGTTTCTCGGGGTGATGGAGGAGCCGAGCGCGGGTGATTGATGTCCAAAGAAGCGCAGAAATACAGTCATAAGATGTCAGATATGCAACACCTACGGGTGAACATTGTTGCTTGAGGTTCTGAATAGATGCTTCAGTTGTCCGGTATATCCTTGTCTGAATAGGCGGCGGTGGACTTTGGGTCGTGGTGGTAGGGACTGTTATGTCCTCTACTGAGAACTCAGGGCATCTTGCTAGCAACTCCTTTTGGTCGATGGATCCAACATTCTCTTGAGCATTGAAAGGGGCTCTGTTCAGGTCGGGAGTATAGACCGGCATCGAAAGACCATGATAATCTGCTTTCGCTCCTCTGCACAAGAGAGTCAGGAATGCATTCATAGAGGTCCAGTCCCCAGCAGCATGGTGCATTGCAAATCCCAATATGAGACCACCCTGGATCACGCTCAGCTGTAACGCGCAGACTCGTCCAAAGCTGTGCTCAGGTAGCAGCATATGAAGATGCAAGTCTTCAGCGGCAAAGAAGCTTTGAGCAAGCTCAGAGTAAGGCTTGTGCTCAGTTTGCGATAAGTGACGAATGTGCAGCTCCAGGGGCTGATCTGGGGTTGTCTGGATGTAAGGCTTCCTGGAGTCGCCAGTCATGACATGACCCTGCATCAATGGCATATGCAGAATTGCATTCTTCAATCCTTCTTGGAGTGAAACGATCACTTTGTTCACATCAACAACTTGTGGGAGCTCGTATAGGAGGAAAGCTTTCACCATCGACGGTGGTACCACACTGTCAATATCAGACAACTCATACCGTGTTGGTTCCATTCCTGTATTGATGGCTAGGCTAAGCTCAAAGAATTGATGGGTAAATACAGAACCAAAAGTGCAGCCCCAACTCTGGTCTTAAATATGCCAAAGAAGATACGCAGCCATCCCATAAGCAACGTCCGAATTGTAGCTGCCTATTAGCAGTATTGCTGTACGCAGCAGTTCCCTAGCGAGGATGTACGGCAGGAATCACGATCTAGTGTCAAGCCACTTGGTCCACTTTTAATTTGGGGGCCGTTTGAGGCAGTGCAATCACGCCCGGATCATGGCTAGGAGCGTGAGCCATGCGACCCAATTCTTAACGACCGACGTAGGCTACCTGTATTAGACCCACCCTGCTTGCTGCTTACCGAGTTCAGCACCTCGAATTCGACGCCACCGTTTTGAGCAGAGAGATATCCAATGACGTGTTGTTCCGTTGAACCAAACCAGAACACCGAGTCAACACTTGAATCTGTGGCCCATTTCACGTCGTATTTCCCAGTTTCACTTCGTTGAACAGGGACCTGCGCAATGACAGGATGGTCCTGGGGTGACCACCATCGAATGGTTGGAAGGCCATTGGTAAGAGTGTTGATGAGCAGCTGTGGAGTCGAAGAGTGCCAGGAAATTTGTCGAACTGGCTGTTCATGAACCAGAACTGAGGCAATTATTGGAGGGGATTCCAGCGACCAAATCCAAACGACATTCTGTCTTGAGGTGTCGACGCTTGCAAGGAACTGACCGTCCGGGCTAAAAGCAATGGCCAAGACACCGCGCGGTGGTCCAGCGGACTCAGGGCTCATGTTGAAAGCGGAAGAAGCGGATGTCTCGGCATACTCGGCATCTCCTGCAGCACCAATATATCGCTCGCGCCAGATACTGGAGTATTTTTGATCCGTCTGGAATACGTGGGAAAGGGTGGTTGGGGAGGAGAACTGCCACACGAAAATTAGCCATGGTTGGCGTTTGGACAAAGTCATCAACTTACCGTTCGGGTTCGGAGTAGGTCAATGTTTCCATTGACTTTGCCAACGGCTAAAGTATCACAGGCCCCTGGCTGGGATGCAGGGCTCCATTCGAGTTGTTTGACACCCAGATCGAAGGAGTCATCCGATTCAGTTGACCCAGTGTAAGTTCTGAAAAGCTGTCCATCAGCCGTGAAGATGAGTACCTTCGTTCCTGCACTTGCGGTATCCCAGACAGCAATCCATTTGCCATCCGGGCTCCACTTCAAGCCCTGAGCATCTATCGTGGACAGAACAGCTTTGTTGACGAGATCGTAAGAGCCTGGTTCATGGACAGTCAGGACATCAGAAGTCTCTGGTTTGAGCAGGATAGCGAGTTGTCTGGTTTTGGGACGATAACCGAACCCAAGATGATGGGCAAACTTGGGCGTTTTGATCACCGAAGTGCGCCCACTCTCTAGCGAGTGAATGCTGAGTTTTGTATTCCATGCGTGAAAGACTAGGGCCTCATTTTCGTTGGACCCAAAATCAACGGACAGTGTTCCTGGCTCAAGATGCTCGACCTCGGCAAATATCTCCAATGGGTTAATTTGCCAGAGCGAGATACGGCTGTCATTGGCAGATAGAATTCGTCTTCGAGAGTCAATTTCATCGGACGACAGGCTGTGATTGTTTATGAAATTGAACCATTTGAGAGTTTTGACCCCGGTTTCCTTGAGCCTTGCGATCTGCACTTCTTTGTTTTCAGAGGCTACATCTGAATGCACAACAAGTGCCTTCCCACTGACATGAGAAGCATAGAAACCGTCTTCAGATATGTGAAGGTTCAAGGGGGCTAGGGAGCTGTCAGATTCGGTCATATCTGGATTGGGCAAAAACCTACCTCCAGGCCCGGTCGACGCGTCCATTGTTGACATTGTAGACGTTAGGTTTTGTTGCTGAATAGAAAAGCTATACAAGGTTCCAATTTTTCTCAATTTTTCATGCTGAGTATCATGTCGCACCAAACATTATCGCATTGCATCGAAATTGAAGCTTGTGTTGTTCCAAAGCGCTCTGGAGTCTCGAGGTGCTCAGGTGCCGGCACCAGATCACGGGTCCAACCTGCCAAGGCGCAAGAGGTTGTCAAGTCAGACTCAAAGGAGCTCTTTCGACTCGGTGGTGCTTTTTTTTTAATTGCACCAAACATGCAGACTGGACAATAGATGCAAGTTGCTCCCGAGTTCCACCTGCCCAGGTGCAGGCGTTGATGCTATCGATAAGATAAGGAAAATAGTAAATCCGAAATGGCATTTTCGCGAAAAGTTGCGGCGTCGTCGTTTTGCGACGCGAGCCACTTGTCCCTCATCTCTAGGTCTCTCGCCCCAGCAGCCAAAATAGGTCTCCTGAAGCATTTCAGCCCTCGGCTGGGCCAAATTTCTCAACGTTTCTTCCGCCCAGACACCTTGAAAATGACCACCGAAGCGAGCCCCCGAAAGGACGAGACCTCCGCTGGGTCCCCGCAGCCCGAGAAACTTTTTGGCAGAAAGTTCTATGAGAGCATCGGCAGTCCCAAATATGTTGTTGCCCCAATGGTGGACAGATCTGAATTCGTGAGCATGCTTCCCTCACTTGGCTGCCCGGCGAGACTAACAAACCCAAGGCGTGGCGCATGCTCACTCGATCCTTTATGCCCCCGAACGATCCAAAGCCTATGCTAGCATACACACCCATGTTCCACGCCCGCTTATTTGGTGAACAAGAACGTGTCCGGGCCTCTCATTTCCAACCAACGCGGAAAGCTGTTGGAGAAAAGAAGGAGGATTCATACCTTGATGGAAATCCCGCGATTGATCGACCTCTCTTCGTTCAATTCTGTACAAATAACCCTGATGAATTCCTCGAAGCCGCTCGTCATGTCGTTCCCCATTGCGACGCCGTGGACTTGAACCTCGGCTGCCCCCAGGGAATTGCACGAAAGGGACACTATGGGGCTTTCCTTCAAGAAGACTGGGATCTGATTTACAAGCTGGTCAACAAGTTGCATACCGAACTCCCGATTCCCGTTACCGTGAAGTTCCGTATCCAAGAGACCAAGGAACAGACGTTGGAATATGCCAAGATGATTCTCTCCGCCGGCGCGAGCATCATTACGGTCCACGGCCGCAGGCGGGAACAGAAAGGTCATAACACGGGAGTCGCAGACTGGACCTACATTCGCTACCTCCGCGACAACCTCCCTCCAGACACTGTTATTTTCGCCAATGGCAACATCCTCAACTATGACGACATCGAAACGTGCCTCGAGGCGACCGGTGCTGACGGTGTAATGAGCGCAGAAGGCAATCTGTCAGACCCAACAATCTTCAGCAAGCCACCTGCACCTGGCACTGAAGGAAGGGACTTTTGGCGAGGCCGGGATGGAAAGGGAGGATACCGGATCGATGCAATTGTCCGTCGGTACCTTGATATTATCTATAAGCACGTTCTGGAACAGCCTGTCCCAGAGAGGAAGCCTTTATACCTGCCATCCGACCCGGTCGATGAGTTCGCAGAGACAGACCAAGCTGAAGAGGATGATCACGCGGACGGACCGCTCAAAAAGAAACAAAAGCGAGGCAAGGCAGAGAAGGGAAAGAAGAACTCTTCCCCCAACCTTAGCTACATGCAGGGGCACCTGTTCCAACTTTTGCGCCCCATGGTCTCAACCCATACAGATGTTCGAGACGCGCTTGCGAAATCACGGCCGAACGACATGGCCACATTTGAGCACACTCTGACCCTCCTTGAGAAGGCCATCAAGGGCGGTCTTCAAGAATATGAAGCTAACCCAGAAAAATTCGAATCTCAGCCAGATGAGAATTTGAAGGGATCAAAGGCAGTCATCGCGGAATATGGACGTCCCTGGTGGATTTGCCAGCCCTATGTCCGTCCTTTGCCCGAGGAGGCTTTTGAGCTCGGCGCAATGCGGGAAAAGGGCTCTAAGCCCCCCGGGCAAGCCGCCCAAGAGGAATCCAAACAAGAGACCAATACATCTGCCACCGAGAACAGTGCTACACCTGTCCCGAGCACAGCGGCCGGTACCACTACGCTCACCACCGATCCTCTCGTGAGTGGCTAAACACATCTTAAACGCTTATATCATGTATACAACCCAGCATTTACAAACCCGCAATTAGAAAAAGATATTGCCCATATGAATTCGGATAAGCAAAGCCTACCAAAAATACTTCTTCCCATGCACACAACTGGTCTCGCACCTTGCCTCGCTGAGGCTTCACATTCCGAGGTCGTGTATCCATCCCTCTAGATGTCTAACTCCCCGGTGATACTGGTAACGGCAACTCCATCCTGCGTCGCTATGTTAGCACATCCGAGAAGTCGTTACTGGATTCGAAACGATACATACCCGACCAAAAGCGGTATCAAACTCAGAAACAACGGTCTGGTAGACAAGTTTGGGATTGGGTGCCAATGAACCGACATCCGACTCATGGACGAGCTGCTTTTTTTCCGATGGAGTCGACTGCACCCATTGAAGATACTTCGGCGCACCTGGCATGATCACATTATCCGCAATCAGCAGTGACGAGCCTGGGATCAAGACATTCAACTCCTCGAGCAACCATAGATCGGGCAGGTAGAGCTCTTGCCAATGATCCATGAAGATCAGCTCGACCTGAGCGATCTCTTTGGTCTCGCAGATCAGTTCCTTGAGCACCTCATCACTAGAACCAACCACGACTCGGACAACGTCACATAGGCCAGCTAGATTGACAAGCTGAGTTGCAACAGCTGCCATCTCAGGGTTTTTCTCGATGCTGATGTACTGTTTCCCTTTATTCTTCTTGATGATATTGCCGAAAAGAATCGCCGAGTACCCCACGTAACCTCCAAGCTCAATCATCACGGACGGTTTGCGTTCCGCGAGAATATCAGCAATGAAGGCTCCTTTGATTGCGCCGATGTTTATCAGTTTGTTGAACTGCTCATGGTACTCGTCAATGGCTGCCAGTACTCTCTTGGGGTTCCCCCGAAGCTGCTTGATGTCGGGGCGAGCGAAAATGTAATGGAGGAGGTCAACCTCTCTTCCATCCTGCGCGTTGTCAGAGTGATGTAGTCTGAAATAACAGGGTTTATACTTGCCAATGCATGAGGGAGCGCACTAGGGGTGTTTGGCTTCGACATTTTGCTGACTTGTTTGGGGGATGGGAATGGAGTCGTTGGTGAATTCAGACACGTAACTTCTATCTTACTTTTATACTTCTCTCGAGTTTCTTCACTGCATGTTCCCCGAACATGATGCACCTGGAGGGCTATATCCGAGCAAGATATCTATTACCCCAAACGGTACTCCGTCGTCCGACCTCGGGGGTAAGCACTAGTGAGTCGGACTTAAGCACCTCGGCCGACCTAATCTTCGCTTTCATTTGCAACATATACGAATTTGAAAAGCCCGATGCATGTTTGTGGGTGTTTTGCATCCTATGTCTGACTAAGTTGAGAAACGCCAAAGACCAATTGATCATCGTCAGCTTAGTAGTATTCTTGTGGTGATATATGTTTGCCGCGCATCCCGACGTCCCAACTCAATCAGGCAAAAACCAGTGAAAGTAAAACCAGCGAAACTACTGCCCAGTGCGACCACGAATATACCTAGGTATCACTGCACTAGGTGAGAAACCTTGAAGGTGAGCCAAACATACAACCTTGGGAGGCAAGCGTGGATCACGAGATCAGATTGGAAAAACCTTGGAAGCCACGGAAGAAGATCAAAGGGACCCGTACCAGGCAAATCTATGGAATTCACAATAAAGCTCTCCAAGAACACCCAATACCATGGTTGAAGGAGGCTCGAGACGAGACGCTCGTACCGCGCGGAATTGTTTCGTACTCGTGTGGTTCTCCCCGCTGCCGAGTTTGGCCCGTTTGCACCATGTCTGTTTCGGGCTAGCGCGGTGATCGTCCGCCTCGCCACTTTCGGTTAGACTGGCGGCCATTGTAAGCCTCATACTCTAACTTCAAGACTTAAACGAAACCCAAACTCGACAGTAATGCACACGTGTAAAGAGTCTAAGAATCTGTAGATACGAAAGCCTTGAACTCACAACATTGAGGGCACAGGCCTGAAATAATTGTGCCACTTCTGGTCCCTCAGCGGCATAATGTTCTCGAATCTATCCACTACACTTCTACCGCCCTTTTTGGCCACCTCTTGCCAGATGTAGGGGATTTTCGGCTGGGTCGTACTTCAGCATAATAAATTCACTTCGAAAATCTAGATATATATTGTATCAAGTACCTAGCACTCAAGCGCGGTGCTCGCAGACGGCGAAGAAACACCATGGAGAGACTTCCGCCAAATTTTACAACACATGTATAACACAGAAAAGCAGCAAGTTTAGGGGTAAATGAGCTAAAACTAAGATAGCAAGTTGGAAGGGAACTGTCTTCAGCTAAAAAGAAAGATATCAGGCAGCTCCGCAAACACAGAGAGCAGACTAAGTCGTGTAAAAAAGCTCGAGAGAATTTGAACTACGACAAGAGTCAACCTCATGTCACTAGTCCGGGAAAAAGAATACCCCACAGACATCCAAAGTGCAATGCAAGCGTCATTTCGATGAGGCTTTTGCTAGTCGACCACCGGAAACCTGCATTGAGCATAGAAATGGAGACGCCCTCCTAAATCTAATTTGATGGGGCTCGCGGGCCGCGAGATAATTTTTGAAATGTATATGAAACGAGTGATGTCCAGTGTTGATATCATAGTGGCACTTCATAAATGACAGCAATAACAAACATTTCCCCTTCATTCCAAGGTGATGTCTTGACTTGGGTGGTTTGTTTACAAAACACAAGATATTGAATGGATTCTCAAGCCTAATAGTAAACCGTGGTCTTAAAAACAAAGCAATGTACAGTACTCCTTACGACCTCGGACAGACTCAATCGTCGAGGATTAAGAGAAGTTTACCCTATTTCTAGTCAGACTTGATTTAGGAATTTTGAAAGAGAGTAAATTGAAAGAGCAAACATGAGCCTCTCGTTTTCCTGCAAGCTCGGCGCTAGCCTCTTGGCCTTTTCTCAAAATAAATAACGCACTTTCTAGGTTTTTGATGTTACCTCGCTCTCTCCGATGATGGCTTGTGCGCTCTTTGAAAAGAGAAGTAATTTTTGAATCACGAAGACAAATTATCTGGCCATTTCGTCTGAGCTGAATGCCCTGCGCAAAATCAAGAAACGCTCAAATATGATACTCAAGCCTCGTCGTCAAGGTCTTGGCGAATCCGTGCGCTGGGCATTGCTGCAACCTCGGAATGTGATTTGGAATACGACAACATGCTTTCGGGGCCCTCCCGACTATCGTTCTAGAAAAAGTAGCGCCATGGTCATAGCCATGTCGGCCTAATGCCGGGCCTCCTATAGGCCATTGCTTTGAAGGCATGCATACGAATCAACCTTGGAACTTCCCAGATCTTGGATCTCGGCGATTGGTTGGGAAAAGATGAAACAGATTGGATTTCGGACACCGAGCGAGGTCCTTGGCGGCTGTCCCTGAACCCGAAAACTTTAAAGCAACTCTAAAACAGGGCGACGGATGATTTTAGCCTAGTGAAAATCCTGACAGACGAATTTATGAAACGTACCAGTGTTGGTAGGGCGGAGGTGGACCGGGCGCCCAAATTTGAGGCAATCCCCACACCTTTGGGCATGTATCCAGAAAAGTCTTCTTGATGTCATGTTGGGGTACGAGAAATACTTGGACTACGATCGGGCGTAGTTCACAGATACGAAATCTGTGAGATCTTGCCGGGCTTTTCAATAAGCACTTTGCAATTGGTTCTAGTACACCTGCAGTAAGCAGTTCTGACACATGCAAGCATGGAAGCTATTTTCCGAGTAGCCCGTGATCAAATTGTCATTCTTTATTTCACAGCTAGGGCTGAGAGGCTAATATCTCGCCTGTATGAAGTCCACAAGTGAATATTTGTTTGCATTGGTAAGTACGAGTAGAGTACGGAGTACGAGTCTCCACGATCGTGGTGTTCTCAAAAGTGCACAGAGGGTCAGCTCCAGCCCTCCAGGGCTTCTCTGATCTACAGTGATATGCAGGACGATGGAACACAAGTAGCGTCAGGCAGAAGTGTGTTCAGAGCTGCATGACCCTCAAATCTCACGTAATTCACATTTAGCTCCAGGGCTCAGGCGCCCAGGGTCATCTGCAAGGAGGACAATGCTTTGCATCTGGCAAGATGCATGCTCCCGTGGATGATTACGGACGACGTCTACAGTATACTGCTCGACGAGGTCTAGGGGGACGAATATTGCGTCATCTCCATTCAGTACTGAATAATCGGCTACGTGGAGCACCGGGCCGGAGTACAACACAGACGAGACAAGCATCATCCGTGCCGACGGTGGCAAGTAGCGTGAGAGGCGGGGACACGGCGGTCTAGATCAATGGGAAAAGTCCCTCACAAAACGAATAGTCGCAGGGACGGCGGCGGGGTCTCCCATAGCCCCACAAAGGACTGTTCTAAGCCCGAAGAGGTATGAGAGAGAAGATGTGCAGAAATCCCCCTTTCGAGGCATAGGGGCGAGAAGGTATGCTCGGATTACAGTACCCCAATCAATATTCCCTGCCCAACTTGCGCAATTCCAATTGCTAATTTCGATTCGAGTACAGATGGTTAATATCCAGTGAGATTACCAGTCCTTCATGTACAGTATGTTCGTATAGTACTACATATATCCGAAGTACTCGTACTCGGAACGAACGAACAATCCGGAAAAAAGAATCGCGTGCACAGAACAACGTGGAAAGGGTCTCCTATGTGTTCCACGGTTGGCTTGGTCAGTGTACAACTCCTGCACGAACAAGAACTGCCGATCTTGACATTTCTCAAAATTCGGGCCTTATCGGGCTCCACTCGTCGCCAAGGAGCCATGTGAAAAGCTTGGCAGTCGACCGTTAACCAGTCAGGCGAGGCCATTGGGTTGCATGCCATAGCCGAGACCAAGTACATCATCCATGGGTTTCCCCCTCGGGTATGTTTTCCACACGGTAGCGAGAAGAAAAAAAGAAGAAAAAAACCTCTAGCCGAGCTCGGAGCGTAGGTTCCCGCCTCAACACCATCAGATAAGATAGATCAGACCCGCTGACTGGCTCGTAGTGCAGATCGTTTACACAACGTTGGAAGGCGGTTACGTGTACGAGCGGATCTTACTCCTTTTGGTTTGACGGCCTCCACGAGGTGATGTCGAATCTGTGCAATCTCTCTACATATTGCCTGTTTCATAGTATACTACTAAGATCTGCAGGCCAAGCACAGCATGCAAGATAACTCCACTGGCGCTCGGAATAAATTAATTAGAAGAAGATCTCGTCAAGGGCGCTTGTCCAGATTATATTATCTCGATGCGCTTGCGCAGGGTGACAGGGAAACAGATTGCCCATCGCTGATGAGCTTGTGTATCTGAAACTGACAGCCATGAATATCTTCACGTCTCACGTAAAACAATCAATTGACACACGTCAACGTTGGATTACGAGTACAGTACGGTATACGAGCGGACATGCATAGATTAATTCCTTGCCACGCTCGGGACCCCGAGACTCACGGGAAATGGGCGAAATCCCGAAAGAAAAGTCTAATTGAAGCCGGAATCGGCCGGATCGGGAATTTCCCACGTAAACAGTAGGAGGAGAATCACGCTATGCGCGGAGGATGCGAAGTACGGAGTCAAACGCTGTAATTGGCAGGAACCAGGCTCATAGGGCGCCAGACGGTCGAACTGCTGCCAAGCCGAAGCCCTGGTGATCCCTGCGCTTTGGGGTCAAGGCCGGGTCTTGGCAGAGGAACTAGGGGATTTCCCGTTGCCTTGTGGAGCCTCGCCTGATACCATGGAAGCTTCAGGCCTTGGAAGATCGCCGCCGTGGATTACTCTTCTCAAGTAAAAGGGGCGAGCGAAGAGCCACTGGAGCCATTAGTGGCCAAACGTTTGCCGTTGAGACCCACGTGGGGCTAGTCCCAGTCTGTCGATCCACGACGATCTTGCGAACCTATACTCTGTCCAGTACTTCGGGCAAGTAGGCTGGGCGGACTTGGCAGACCTCAAATTTGCTCTGAAGAGGTGCTATACGGGCGAGAGAGATCAATTACTGGTGTGTCTCATTTCCCGCAAAAGTGTAAGAAGAATAGATCCTTGTGTAGCCCAATTGGACTGGAGAAGAGAGAACGCACCCTGAAAGGGCTCCGGGCTTCGCGATAATGGAGGACCCACGGATGCGAGTGCTACATTGGGTAATATGCACAGCCGCGAGAGCCAACCAGCACCATGAATCCGATATCATCGCTCCGAACAGGACCCGATTGTCGTGACATTGGGCCTCTGCGGGACTCCAAAGGATGTCGATCAAGGTTCCAGATTTCCACTACCTGCCGACTCTGGAACACTAGACGACACACAGGTACCTTTTGGTTCAAAGTAAGTTTTCCCGTGGTCTGTATTCCAGATGAATTCAGCCGTACCTGACGGCTGAGCCGGGCAACGTGATTGGTGCTGGTCTACTCCGTGCCTGGGCAGTGTGAATATCCGATGCTGGAGTTCTATGGGTCGAGATTCCACTGGGTCAAGGCTGAGGACCTGATGCGCGTGCGGGTCCTCGCCTCTTGATCCAATATCTCTTTGGAGAAAAAACCCCATCGCCGTGATGTAACTCCGTTCTGGTGGATCGTCGACCTCGTCGGGGTAGACTGATACCCATATAAGATCCCAATAGCCCCTCTCCTGAATGGAGATGTAGAGAAATCTGTCCTTGAGAAATATACACTATTGACCATGGCGGATCAGTCAAGAACTGCGTACGTGAATATGATTTCTTTTTCCTCCTTTCCTTTTTTGTTTTCCTTTTTTCAATATATGATTTTTCTTTCCTACTCCATTTTATCGTTGATCTATGATTCTAACCAGTCCACAGTCTCGTGGAGCAGCTCCAGCGCTTGCGCGGAGAAGCATCACTACCTAGCTCTCCTCAACATCTCTCCTCCCTCCTCTCCTCTCACTCGGGCCCATGGCCCATCCGCGAACTCAACCTCACATTCCAAGAAATCTATAAATCTCTCCCTGAATCCCTCAAAGCCAACAACGACGAAGCAACCTCACATCTTCGGGCACAAGTCAAGGCTGCCACTCCGGACATTGCGGAGCTCATTGGCACTGACTCTCGTGCTGGCTTTATTGATGCTACCACCGGCCAGAACCTGACCCACAATGCGCTACGACAGTTCGTACAAAACTTCTCAGTGCCCGTGGGCCCTTCCAGACATGGAAAGCCCCGCATTGCTGTCATTCTTCCCAATGGCCCTCTCATGGCTGTTGCAGTCCTTGCCTTTGCCAACAGATATACCATGGTACCCATGGCATCAAACACTGTACCAGAACAGATCCAGCTGGACATGGATCAGGTGCAAGCTGACGCCGTTGTCGCGCTGGACGCTGACATTGGCAAGTTGCGCCTTGACAATGGAGCTCGGCCAGTTTTTGGTATTGAGCACCTGGCCGACTTGACTTTCAAGTTGGTTTCATCAAAGAACACCACCGAGGCATCAAGCTTCCCACCAAACACTGGCAATGATATTTCCATCATTCTGTTTACCAGTGGTACCAGTGGTAACAAAAAATTGGTTCCTATTACCACTTATAATCTCATCTCGGGTACTATGGCCACCATCGAGTCGGTGGAGCTGTCTGAGGCAGACACTTGCCTGAACATGATGCCACTCAACCATGTGTATGTTTACCTTGATTTCAAAGCACTGAGAGATATACTGACAGAGCCAGTGGTGGAATCATCCGTAGTATCCTCTCTCCTATCCTGGCAGGTGGTGCTACAATTTGCTGTCCCGCCTTCGATCCTAGCATGTTCTGGGATGCCGTCCAAAGCCCTCTGATGACACCAACATGGTACTATGCCACCCCTACCATGCATCAGATGATTCTTGGTGAATCTGAGCACCGCCCAGACGCTTTCAAGCAAAGCGCCATCAAGTTTATTTGTAACGCCGGTGCCGGTCTTCCCCCTTCATTGGCTGGACAGCTTCGTGATACTTTCAACTGTGTCATTCTTCCCAGTTATGGTATGACGGAATGCATGCCTATCGCTGCTCCTCCCAAAGACTACACTCTTGATCGTCATGGAACCTCCGGACGCATTGTCGGCCCCGAGGTTGCCATCCTGTCAGAGGGTGGCAAGCCTGTTCCCCGGCCTGAGATGCTCGGACACATCTGCATTCGTGGATCCCCCGCCTTTGAGGGATACCTCACTGCTGATGGAAAGATCGACACCAGCGCCTTTGATGAGTCTGGTTGGTTTGATACCGGTGATCTTGGATACCTTGATGCCGACAACTACCTCTACATCACCGGTCGCAGCAAGGAAGTCATCAACCGCGGTGGTGAGATCATCTCTCCAGTGGAGGTTGAAGATGCCGTGTTGACCACGGCCAAGCACCCTGGCTCTCCGCTGTACGGACGTGTCACCGAGACCTTGGCTTTCTCTGTTCCCGACGAGGTCCTGCAAGAGGTTGTTGGTGTGGTCATTGTCACCACCCCTGGAACTGTGCGACCGGATCTTCGCCAGCTGCAGGAAGCCCTGCAGCCTATCCTCCACCAGCCCAAGTGGCCCACCTTGGTGGTCTACATGGACCGTGTCCCCAAGTCGAACAACAAGATCCAGCGAATCAAGCTGGCGCAGCGATTGTCCTTGGAGCCTCTGACTCCAACAACCCCTCTCGCAAACCGCCACTTTGAAGCCGTCTGCCCGCCCAATGGTACTCCGCTCAGCGAGCCGATCCCCAAGAAGGCTTGCACAATCAACGACCACATCATCCGCTCGGCGCTGACCGAGAAGGCCAAGACATCTGATGTGCACATTCAGATCAACCCGCGTGATGGTTTCACTCAGGCTATTCTGTTTGGCCAAAACCCTGAGGTTGATAACGTCAAGCCCAGTGATTTCCAGGAACACCTCGACGGCTACCTCATTCCCAGTCGTATCATTCCTCTCAAGGAGCCTATGCCTCTTGATTTCTATGGAAACCCTGACCAAGCTGCTATTGATGAAGCCGTTCGCGCTCTCCACTCAGATGGCGACTTGACCCCTGTTCAGCGCCGCACGCGTGAAATCTTCGCCGGCGCCTTGTCTTGCGGTACGGAGGACATCTCTGGCCTTACCGACTTCTTTGCCGCTGGCGGTGACAGTCTGAGTGCCGGTCGTCTAGTTTCCCAGCTTCGCCGTGAATTCGGAATCTTCCTGGCTGGTGACATTTTGTTCCACTACCCCACCATTGGAGATGTGGAGCGCAAGATTGCGGAAAGCGTTGAAGTCAAGGCCGCCAAGGGTGATGAGGAGGAGGTCCCATTGCCTGGCTGTGAGAAGACCTACAGCAGCACGAACCCCATTGTCATGTTCTTCAACATTCTTCCGGTTCTCTTCTTCTTCCCCATGAAGCGTGCCTTCGAGTGGCTTATCTTCGCGTACGTCGTGGCCGAATGTTCCACCATCTGGCCTATTCGCGATCACATTCTTGGTCGTGTCGTCTTGATTGTTCTGGCAGTACTGTCTGCCCGTGTTGCCTCGAACTTCCTCTTCCCCTTCCTTGGTATCTTGTTCAAATGGCTCGTCATCGGCCGTTTCAAGGAAGGCATCTACCCCATGTGGGGACCATACCACACGCGCTGGTGGTTGACCCAGAAGGCGTTGCAGGTGTGCGGAAAGGGCTACTTCAAGAAATGGAACTGGTCTCGCGTTGCATTCTACCGCCTCCTTGGTGCCAAGATTGGAAAGAATGTCACCATTGTCCCATCTGCCAAGCTCGGCGAGTATGACTTGATCGAGATCGGCGATAATGTCACCTTGGACACCTGCGGTGTCCGCCCATTCGCTGTGGAGCGCAACACTTCTATGCTTCTGAAGAAGATTCGCATCGGAAAGGACTCTTCTGTCGGCACTAAGGCTATCGTTGCTCCTGGCGCTGATGTTCCCGAGAACACTTGCATTGGTCCCAACTCCTCGAGCTGGGAGCTTCACGACGCCGATGAATCTAACCGCGATCTCCTATCTTCTCGGATCCCCCAGCCCCACTGGATCTGGACTCTGCTTATTGTTGAGCCCATCAAGCTTATCGTCTGGGTCTTTGCCCGTATCACCTGGATGGCTGCTCTCATTCCCATGGTCCAAAACTACCCGGCTCCTTCGGAGGACATGTTCCTGTCTGTCCTGACATGGTACACCAGTGGCCAGCGAATCGGATTCCACATTACCGCCCGAATCTGTCGCTCTGTTGGAGGTCCTATCGTACTCTTCATTTCCCTCTTGGTTGTCAAGAAACTGCTGGATCTCTTCTGCGGCAAGCCCCAGCCTGGTCCAGCCTCGAAGCAGAGTGAACGCCAGAAGATCCGTGCCGCTGTCCTCGCTCAGATCCTCCCTGCTGGTGACATTCACGACCTCACCCGTCTGGTTGGTCGTCACTACGAGCTTGTTTCCATGGCCATCCGTGCCCTTGGTGGCAAGGTCGGCAAGCGTGTCTACTGGCCCAGTGTTGGCCCCGCTCTTCCAGACTTCGATCTCATTGAAGTCGGAAACGATGTTGTGTTCGGCTCCCGCTCAACTCTTGTCACATCTGACGGCTATGGTCGCGACCGTGTTGTCATTGGCGATGGTACCATGGTTGGTGACCGTGTCGTTGCTTTGCCTGGTACTAACATTGGTCGTGAGGCCATGATTGGATCTGGAGCTTTGCTTCGCCGCAATGGTGAATACCCTGCCAACACTGTCTGGACTGGTAGCAAGGGTGGTGATGCAGTTCAGTTCCCGAGCTCCACCACTACTTCCACCGCCCCCACTGCTGTTGGAAGCAGCAGCAACAGTGCCAATGGCAGCAGCAGTGACGATGAGAAGAAGGTGAAGGAAATGATTGACGAGAAGAACTCTGTCCGTGTTGGAAAGAGCAAAGCAGTCAGCGAGAGCAACGAAAAGGATACTTGCAAGCCTTTCGGACGTGCCTTCTACCATCACGAGGCCAACTACTACGTTCTCCGCATCTGGCAAATTGTGATCTACTCTGTTCTTTCCGTCGTTATCGTCACCGTCTACTGGCTGTTGCCGGTTGTGTTCTCTCTCTTCGTCCTTCGTGCCATCCTCACTCACGGCACCGCATTCGCACTCAGCATTGGCCCGTGGCGTCCATTTGTCCTGTACGGCTTGCTCGCTTCCATCCTGTCCGTCATCAGTTGCGTCCAGACCTTCCTGGCCCTCGTCATTGTCATCTGTATCAAGTGGGCCGTCATGGGTCGTCGCCTGGAAGGCCAATACCACTGGGACAAGAGCAGCTACAACCAGCGCTGGCAATTCCTTCTCTCCTGCGAAACTCTCATCAAGGACTGCTATGGTGGCTCTGGTCTTCTTCCCATGATTACCGGTACCTCCTACCTGGCTTGGTACTACCGCATGCTCGGTGCCAACATCGGAAAGGACTGCGCTATCCACGCCAACGGCACTCCCAACGTCTTCTTCACCGAGCCCGACCTCCTGACACTGGGAGACCGCGTTGCAGTTGACGATGCCAGTCTGGTCTGTCACTTGAACTCGCGTGGTGGCTTCGAGCTACACACTTTGAATGTTGGAGATCGTAGTATCTTGCGCGCTGGATCGCGCTTGATGTCCGGTGCTTCCATGGGCAAGGATGCTTGTCTTCTTGAACACACCCTTGTTCTTTCGGGTGACCATGTCGAAGATGGTGATACCCTTCAGGGATGGCCCGCTGAGGGCTTCGAAGGAACGCGAGTTTAGAGATTCTGCGTTTTCTGTTTTGTTTTTTCCCTAATTATTGCATTTCCAGCCTAGATGGCGGTACTTTTATGTCGCATATAGATTTGACGAATCTCTGAAAATTTCACGCTTTCATTGACATCTGCTCCCAAACTATACCTACTTGTACTCCGTAGCATCTCATCCTTCCAAGTTTGGCGCCTCTAGGCCAGTGCTTAGGATATCTGTTCAGTACGGCGATACCCCTTTCCCACTTGAATAGTACTATAGTAATACTACTGGGGTACGTTACCTGCTTCATCCTACTTCAAGACCATCCATGTGGGTCATGTGGATCTCTACTTACATAGACTCTAGAGCATCATAGTACGTCCACGGGTGCTCCGTAATTCCCATGCTGGGCATCGTTGCTGCCCGGGTGTCAGATCTACTATCCACTCTTGGCAACTCCTCTCATTTCGCCTAGTTACTTGGTGATTCGTCAGATTGGACTCAGATCTCCCGATCCGGAGCCCACAAGTTACACCGAACGGAGAAATGTATTTACTAATACGGAGTAGACTGAGACTTGAATAGCTTCGTATGTACAGGGGTGATCTCTCACTCAAGGCATGCCACCTTGGAATGTATCCCGGTCATCCATCGCAGAAAATCCAGATATTTACCCAGAGGTAACATGCAGGGGACCATTGCCATCATCAACAGGGCAGCCATCACTGTCGGAGTCGAACTCTACGACACAGCTGGCGTCTTGGCCAATGGAGATACCAATGAAGGTCGTATCGGTCTGGCCATCACCCTTTCCAAGGCTGTTTCCATCGCCATCCTTGACCTCACATGTATCCGGGTGGCCTCCAAAGTCCGCCTTGCACTTGAACTTTCGGGGAGAGCTCCAGCAGTCACCCTCGATGGTGAATTCACGGCCGTCACCAGTGTTGTAGCAGGGCGAGTGGTCATCAGGGAAGCCCTGGTCGTAGATAGCTTCACCGGCATCGTTGATAATTGCGAAGCCACTGTAGTGACCGTTTGTGTTGCCGCCAGATGGGCCGGAGATGGTTGAGAAGCCCCCGGATGACCAGACGACCTTGAGGTGTTCGGCGTAAACAGTAGCGGATGTTGCCATCAAGGCGAGGAGAGCAGTTCGAAGAGGTGCCATGATTGTGGATTTTTCAGGTATATTGGTATGTGTTTTGAAGTGAAATTGATGGGATTGATGCTTTTCGACGCCATCAGGAACCTCTTTATAGCTTCTCGATTGAGGGATTTCTTTGAATAGCTGAATCCTGCAACCTATTTGGCAGTTGATAGACTGTCAGATTGCATCATGAGTTGGATTGTCTCTATGTGAAGCTGTCACAATATGCCCCAGTCCGCCCCCAAAAGCTAACCTTTGGTGGCGGCCTTGGCACCAAGTAAGCACCGAGCCTCGTTCCTCACGGACTCCTCAACGGCCCCTGAAACCTGGAGCACATCTGACTATTTGTCATTGAGCATATTCTACTACGAAGTAATCAGATTCACTACTCTAGAGTATAGGGCAATGCCTATGACTTTTCGGACCCAAATGGTCGATATGATGTCACTCCGACCTCGGAATGACCTTGAAAACTATACTACAGTACTTCATTCTTGGTGAAGACTCCAAGTCAACATCTAGAGTGCAGGATATACTGCGGGATCGTCGGAACCTGATGACTCCCCAACCTCAGGTCCTTGTGGGTCGTGCATTTAGCCGGAATTCCAAAAAAAGCTGTGGCGACGGTGAAGTTCCGACCCAAATCCAACTGAACAACACCCTTGGAACATACGAATCAAGGCTCAAATTTGCGATCGCCCGGGGAGAACATGCACTTCTGCCATTGGGCTTGTCCATCAGGAACAAAACTCTTTTGAAAAAAATCATCGGCCCACCGTTGACGATATCCGCCCCCACGCAGCGCCCCCAAACGCGGGTCCCCATGAAGCGTTTCCCCGTCTGGGATTTTGGGGGATTTTCAGGGACTCAGCGTGACGCGTTATGTGGAGCTGGGGCATCTATTCGCTGAGGCTCCTACGGCTCCTACGGAGGACTCGGGGTTTGAAGGGTTTTAGGGTCAGGTTTTGGACGCTAAGCCTCTCGGTATTTGCAGCTTCCCGTGACTGTCGAGGCCCTGATTTCTCTTCACACTTCTTCACACTTCTTCAGCCCTCAATTCTGCCTTCCAAGGTTGACCTCGGGACAGGGCTCACACCCTTGGAAGTCATGTGATTTACGTGCATCCGCGTAGCGCCAAGGCCTTGGCATTGCGGGTAGTATCACCCCCGGGCAGCGAGATCCGACTTAGGGAGATCACAATATTCCAAGGTTGTGCGTCAAGTCATTATGATATGATTCCTAACTGATTGAAGTATTTATACAGTTATTATGAGCTCCAAAGAGGCTCTAAGGTAAACTCTCGCCAACTGGGCCAGGCGAAATGAAGCCTAGATGCTGTCGCTGGTCGTCTTGTACACGGGCATATCTGCGATGGCATAGTTAGCAAAGTTCACAACACATCACCAGACAACAAAAAGGGAGATCATACTCTAACATCAGCCGGAACATATAGACATCCATGTCATCGTTGCGGAGTACCTTGGCAGCCCATGACTGCCCTTCTTCGCCAATAGACTGAGCAATTTCCTGGCCAGCAGGATCCTGCTCGAAGCGTACGATCTCGGGAATCTCATTGACATCTTTGTTCAATGGGACATAATGAACCCACGGGAAAAGCAGTTCCTGGTGCCATTCCCGGAAAAACGTCAGCTTCAGCGGAACGCTCTTGCTTCGCATGAATGCATAGAATCGCCCGCTATATGCGTGCCCATCCATATCCAGTATGTAACGGTAGCCCCACGCCTCATTGTGATCTTCACGATCGACGACATTAAAGTGTTCCCACTCCGCATCGCAGTCCTCCTCACAGTCGACGATGTCCACAAAGTGGGTATTAAAGTAGTCGCCGAGATCTGTTTGATTTGCAATGCGTGCTTTCCAGCCTTCATCACCGCCAAACCTGCAAGTGGATTCCTCCTTGCGCTCCAATATCTGATGCCGGTGCTGGCGCTGCAGGTTGTGCCACGATCCACCATGGCTGTGGCCTCCAGTTGTGGTTCCTCGCCAGTAAAGTTGGCTTTTCCTCCACTCCCACGGAATATCAGGCTCTGGATCATAGCCTCCAACCTCTTCGTAGTACCATGGTGAAGGGATAGGGATATCTTGAAACAGAGAAGGGCGCGATATCGAAAACATAGGGACAAGCTCGTTTGTGAGCTTGAATGCATTCGGCCACTCGAAAATTCTCAAACGACGATGTAGCGAAGGATTGTTGCATATATCGCTGGATGCGGATTGATTGAATATGAAGCCCAGCGGCTCGAGAGCGAAAGTACTGGTATTGTCCGGGGCGTTACCGTCGAGGTCCATAGTTGGGCTATCCGGGGGACAAGATAGTCGAGAATAAAGCCAAGTTTCCTGCTTTTCGATATTCAGGAACCTAGTGGTCAAGACCTCTGGAATAGGCTCCACGGTATCATTATTGCTAGAGAACCTATCCACTAACGGGTTACGATTCAAGTCAGCGTGAGCTGCATGGCCTTTGAGTACCAATCTGTGCAGATCCTGATGAGGAACCACGACACGGGGCTCGTCATGAACGTTAAACTCCAGATCCATATCCGGCAGCCATTGTGCAAACTGGCCAAATTGCTTCATCGCTGCATCCCGCTGAAAATTTCCCTGGCCATTTCCCAAGTGAATGGGCTCGCCATTGCGAATTGAAATCCCCATCACCACGTTGTCGAAACCGAGGTCTTCCTTGACGCGTGACCGGATCGTGCTCGGGGAAAGTCCCCAGAAGGGTAAGAGGGCATGGTAGATAGCATCGTATTCATCGATCAACATTGTATTCCGCTGCTCCGCAAACTCGTACCATCTATCGAAGTGGGGCGGAGGCGGCATGTCATAACGCCGCTGGTATTCTGGAACGGCCTCTCCCAAAGACTTGGACTGGCGCATCAAGGTCTCATTGAACACTTGTCTGGCATTTGAAGCCAATATGGAAATTGGATGATCGCACAGGTACTCATCGGCAACGCGGTTGTAGTTTGCCGGCAATAATGGGAAACACCACAGGAAGAATATCACTGCAGCGACGGCGCAAGCCACAGTTCGAGTCTTCTTGGTCGTACGACTATAATAGTGTTGCGATTTTTCGCGAGCTCCGCTCAGAAGATTGTAGTTGTGTTGACCCCGAGGTCCTGCCCCAGGTATGTCGAAAATAGCCATGACACCCGCTTGTAGGGACTGAAGCAAGTTCATGAGCCACGGTCGAAGGCGAAGAGCGGTTAGCCACCATCTCTCATGCGCGCAGTCATCTGCAGAGTCGCCCAAAGTGAAAAGAAAAACTCGCGGGCGCGAACTCAATCGTGGGATTTTCAGTGGGGAGATCGACAGGGCATGGTGCTCAGCGTTACAGGGTGATGGGGCCAAATCGCGCAGCCCCTGTATCCCATTTCATCTAGTAAAACGCAGTAAGCGCGAACCATCGGGGAGAGTGTCTCGAGACTCCGCTTGCGGTGGACTAGTAGTCCTTTGATGGAGTCGAAAACAAAATTAGACTCCCCGGGCTGTCGACGGGTGGCTTAAGCCTTCCGAGGTTGACGTCGGGATTTAGCGCGGGCCCACGCGATAGCTTCAACATTGCCCAGGTGGTGAGATCGTACCTTGCTGTTGGGAGTCATGTGCCCAGCACATGGTCCCGTCTTTGCTCGATCAGTTCCCTCTCATTCCGGTAGTTAGTCTTCCTTCCCCTCAGTCTAGTGAATGAGTCAGTTTCTCCCCTCTTTTCTTGGCCCTGGGGTAGCATATAGCATTCCCAACACTTGCTCCTATAGCTCTAAATTTCACCTGGGAATATTCCATACGCATTCCCTGAGATACCTCCAGAGAATTGTCAACCTTGGAACTATTCTTACGAGACGTCTAGCCCAACTCGTCTAATGAAAATTGTGGAGACCGACCTCGGGGGGCCTGATGAGGGAGGGACTGCCCAGGTGAGAGAGGAGAGATTAGGCTGTCTCTACTTAAAAATGCCGATAAGGAATCATTCAATCATTCAATCTGAATCAAAGCTCAATTTTGGCCCATTGTCCCTGTTAGAGACAGTGGTCATGGAGACTGAGTCCTAGTCTGACACCCCGCATAGTTGGCCGTGTTGATAGCATTTCACATCACCGTACAGGCGTCTGTTCCGGATGGAATCTGGTCCTCTGGGGACAGATATTTTTCCATTTCCCTTTGGTCAACCAAATCGTCCCAGTAAATGTGATCCATAAATCCACAGCGCATTTTCTCAAACTCTTCGGCCATTATTGACATGCACTCAGGGTCTTTTTCGGTCAAAGCAAAGGAAGTGAGCGAAAGTCTCTTTCGGTTCATGATTGCCAATTCACTTTCGTAGGCTATTGCCCAAGTCATGTTGCGGCGTGCTCGCAACTTTTCCTCGAGTCTCGTGAACAGGATGTAGCACCGTGCAAGGACTAGGAGATAATTGAGACTCGAGAGAGGACGATTCTCACCAGAGACATCTGAAACAAAATCCGTCTCAAGCAGCCCCAGATACGTTCCCAGGCTGACCTTGCGCTTTTCGGTGTGAAGTGAAGCTTCATTCATTGTGTATCCTTCTGGCACTGATGCCTTCAAAATCTTCACCAATTCGGGCGCGAGGGGCTTCTCGAATGCCATGTTCGATGCAAGGTCAATGATGCCTTTGTCACTCAACCCTGCGGCTCTCAGGCGCTTGACCAATTCAGAGTCTTCCAAAGTGACTTTCCCTGTGACGGGATCTTTGATTTGCTTGCTGTCTGCAAGTCGAAGAAACGCGAGCGTCGATTGAGTGGGTATGTCTTCATTCGGAATGCGATCAGGAATCCAATCGGCAGCCTTGTAGACTTCCAATAGCGATTTGGTTGTGTAGAAGCGATTCTCGCTAGGATCGAGGGACCCCTTCAGATCCGAAGGTCGTCTTCCAAGATTCTTACTCTCGCCTGACTTTCGGAAACCTGCGCGACGTTCTGAAGACTGGCCGGCCACATTTTCAAAGGCTTCGTGGAATTTGGAAGTTGGAGGTTTTCCATTGAAAAAGCAGTTCTCAAAAAGAGATCCAAGGCTGTCCCACAGGCCGATTGGTCGCTTGAGGAGGCCTTTCTGGACCAACATATTGTGGAGGTGAATGACACATATTGGTTCAGGAACACTATCCCAGACCACCAGGCCTCTGCCGTAGCTCAGCTCAAGCGCCTCCGATAAGCCTGCGCCGCAAAGAAAGGGCGAGTATTCCCAAAGGCCATTGGCGTTCGTATTTGAGAATCGCGATGGAGGGATATCCGTCAGCCCATACTTGTATTTGCTCTCCCCGAGCCAATTGATGAAATCGTGAAGCAGATTCCCCACAAGCTCTCTGATAACCCCATTTCGATTGGGGTTCCCGTGTAACATGGCATCCCTTTCAAAGAGTTGCATCAAAATATCCACAGAGTCGATGTAGCCTCTGAGCTTTCTCTCATGGCGGCGGTCCATGAACATGTCGACATCCCGTCGGGGTTGGAAATTGTTAGCGGGTTGTTTCATAACATGTCCCGCAATAACACCGATCGACCAGCCACGAGAGACAGCCAGAGCATCCACCATGCACTGCAACTGGAAGACATGATGAGGGAGAATCTTCGGTCGAATGTCCGTTCCTTGTTTTGGCACCGCGCAGTGGGTAATGTCAACAGCGAAGTCTCTGATACCATAGATTCTTTGGCCTTGGCTCCATGGTCCATATTCTGACCAATCAACTTGCTCGAGAGGAATGTTTTGCTTCTTTGGTGCTCGGCGTTGGACAACAATTGAGGAGAAGACATTAACCAGATCATAGAGCCAGTTGATCGTATACACACGGCGCCACTGCAGGCGTTCCTTTTGAGTAGCTCGTGCAAGATCCAGAGTAGGATTCCAATTTTGAAGGACCTTGAGCATGGACTTAGTGGGCTTACCACTGCGCGTGTGCTGATAGTCTGTGATGAAGTCGAAGAGATCCTGGTAACCATTCAAGAAGAACTCTTCTCTCACATCAATTTCGTGTTGTTGTTGCGATACACCGCAAGATCCACCTGGGCCTTGTTTGGTAGCTTGCATGTGAAATCTCCCTTGGGATTTGTCTGGGTCTCCACGAGTGAGAGTCTGCATGACGGTGTCGAAAGAGTCATGCCCAGGGAAATCGACGAAGATCTGCGATTGGGTATGCTTTATCATGCCGATTGCAACCTTTGACACATTTGCGGCGACAGCGCTATTCATGTTGTTGTAAGCGACTTGCCGCCAAACGCCCTGTAAGTGGTGGCGAAGCTCTATCATCTGCTGGACCAGCGAGTAGACAGCCATGAGGTAATCGGTGACGGTGCCATTTTCATCCTCCTCAATGATGCGGTAACTCTCCAGAGGCAGGTCTGGGAGATCGATGGCGGCTGTTGTATCCGCCGGCTTCCCCTTTGTCTTTGGCATTCGTCCTTTTTTGCCCTTTTTCCCTTTCTTCGAAGGCTTCTGTCGTGATCTTGCTGCAGCACCTGCAGCTTTTTGTGTGGTAGACTCAATCTCCTCGGCTCCACTGGTGTCATGGTCTGATTCTTCGCCTTTGGCATGCGCGTCGTCCCCCAAGCTCAGACTTGAAAATTGATTTGCAAAAATCACCTCCTCCTGGTCTTCAACGGGGATCTCGGTTTGTGAGCTCCTTGCCGCTTTCCAAGCTTCGCCTCCTAAGGCATCGAAAGCTTGCACCAGGCCATCGATCCAGTGCTTGTGAGACTCGTTGCTCTTTTGTATTTCCGGGTCTTTGTCTGAAGCAGTTATCTTCAGGAATATCTTGTGCGTCTCCTTTCGAGATTCAATGATGGACTCGAAAATACGAAAGATTGTTCCCGGGATGGGATCGAGATGCTTGGCGATGAGTGTCGATTATGACCGGAGTGCTGTCAACGATAGCTCTCCAGTGGTGATTCCGGTAACTGAGCTCTCGGATGGGAATTTCTTGAGGATAGCAGCGGACGTGTTGATAATCCAGTAGACAAGATGTCTCTGGTCGCGCTTGTACCTAAGGTACGTATTGTGGTCCGCCATATTGAGCCCACGCTGACCGATCCAGTTCGGTCTGGTAAATGCTGGCGATATGCGGCTCCCTGGTCTCCCTGCACAAGAGACGAACTTCGATCGGGATGTTCCAAGGTTTGATGATCTTGTTGTAAATTGCGAGAAGATGAAGAGAAAAAGAGGAGGGAGAGGGAAAGAAATAAAGAGTCGGGAAATATATCCTCGGGACACTGCAGGGAAGATGACTTGTCAAGACGGAAGCCCACAAGTTGCAACTAAGACCTAAGTATTTCCCTTGTTTGCCCAGGCGCATTAATCAAACAATTGCCTGCAGGGTGGCCCACTTGGTCAGGTCCACGCATGCCTAGTACTGCCCATCCTACCTGTGGACATATTTGACTTGCAATTCAATTACAGTAGACCAGGTGCATTTATTCAACCTTGGAAGGGCAGATCTTTCGAACTAGATTATGATCATACCCCTCATTGGTAAGAAAGATGACTTCCAACGTTTTGGCATGGGATTCATGCAGGTCGACGGGTGCCGGCAGGCATCACGGTGGAGATCATGTGGCGTCAAACACTTCATACCCCTGCCCAGTTACGTACCTAGGTACCATGGCCTTGGAGGGGTAAAATGGACTAGTAGAGACATGATGTTTCATCTGAAGTAACCTTGCAAGACTGATCGCGTTTGAAGCAAGGACGGGGTACTATGTATGCGGTTATATGCCCCTCCTGGGGCAAAGCTCTAGAGGTCACAAGTAGTACTTCCCATGTACGTATCGGCAGAACAACCTTTGGAGGGAAAACAGATTATTCCAAGGATATTTTCACAGAATAGGTGATCTTTTTGTCAACCTTGGAAGGCAGGAAGATTTATATCAGTATATCACAGAATTTGATTCCTAACTGCTTCCCGGTTTTCATGCGCCACGCTGCAGCCCTGCCCAGGAAGGTCGAATCTTGGCTCTTTTTTTTTTGTAATTAGTGTTTTTCCCTCTTAGTGTCTTACATGACGGAACAATTTATCAATCGCCCGGGTGGTCTAGTGGTATGATTCGCGCTTAGGGTTCACCCAAAGCACAATTGCGCGAGGTCCCCGGTTCAATCCCGGGCTCGGGCCGATTTCCTTTTTGCTTCTCTGATTTTTCAGTCGAGTTCGTGTTCCCATGCCGTAACTAGCGCTTTCTGGCCAGACTTAGCCACCAGCCCGGCTGGCGCAATGGTAGCGCGTCAGACTTCTACTCAGGAGTAATCTGAAGGCTGCGGGTTCGACCCCCGCGTTGGGCTTCAATTTTTGTTTTTTTACGTTTCAGTGCCTTCCTTCCTTCCTCTTCGATTCTTCAGCATAATCGATTTTTTTTTATTGAGTCAATTCAATTGAAATTGCTTGAACAACGCGCCAAATCCAGATTTGGAACACTGGTGCTTCTGCGGATATCCTACTTTAATACGCCTAACTGGCTTCTGGTAAATTTTCTACATTTCAAAAATGGATCATTCTCCAGCGCTGCTTTGTTTCTTTTGGTTATGGAAATGATCATCTCGGTGCTCGGTGCGTCTACCACACGTTTACACCAGCGTGGGCTCAAGATAATTTGGAATTCCAGAATTACAATTTTATTGTTATTCTTTTATGTTATTGTTGTGAACTCGGCCGCTGGGATTCACAGTCAAACGCACCGTTTGGCTGTATCACCATCCAAACAGCCCTCTTCAACAGTTTCTGTAGGATAAAGTAGCTCTCTTTCCCCTAATAAAATGGAGACGCCTTTTTCTATCGTATAGCTTCTCCATTAGTTGTCTTTAGTTTTCCCTTGATTCGTAACTATATCTTGATAGTACTAGCTAGGCCACCACTGCGTCATCTATGAATCCGTACACCGCATGTGGGCGTTTTTCTTTATGCCTCGGGCGTCTACGCTAGACCAAATGAGTGTTTCAACTATTTCAAGGTTCCCAGGATGTGTCACGGGTTGGCCCGGGGTGCAGCAGAGAATGAGCGGGTTACACACTCTCCAAGTTCCAACATCTGCTTCCTTATATGGAATCCTACTGTATCCATGGATCTATACTGCCTTCCAAGTCGTGGCACCCAGCATCGCCCTGTCTGCGACATCAGACCGCTATCGCCATTTCAGTAGGCATTCGCTCACTTGTTCTCCTAGGCCATTCAGATATGTATGTAGTGTTTTTGATGCGTATCGCCACGCTGCTATCAAATCCACTGAGGTCCACAGGTGGATCTGTATCACATCACTTCCTGAAATTGGTGTCAGCTTGGCTTTCGATTGTTTTCCGAACACCAAGTCGAGCCTTGAATTGAGATTGATGGCTGTACTGGGCGGCACCCTTCACCGTCCATCCCAACTTCAGTCCCTGCACACTATTAGAATCCCTAAGTGCGGATTCTCTTCTTTTACTTTCCACTCTTCTTCTCCCCTCAGCCCGTATGCTTTCTTCCATTCCTCTCCCGGGAGAACCTCCCGTCTCCATTCCAGCTTTCCCTTCATTCCCCCATCTCTAGCCGCCTGCTCGTACACCTCCTTCCTCAAATGCCATGTCATAACGTCCGCACCGTCATCATCGAAGTACACGTGTAGACCCCACCCCTCCCCGGATTCCAATTCCTCGGTGTACTCGTTCCGGGGCCACAGCTCTTTTGTAAATACTTGCACGCTTGGATATATCCTCGCTAGAATGTGGCACAATCCCCACGAACACACCGCCAGGCTTCAGGTTCAGCGCAATATTGGTGAACATGGCCGTTAGCTCCGCCTTACTCTGGGTGTAGTTCAGAAGCCAGGCGGCCAAGACCAAGTCAAAGTAGTTGGGACCACCCCCGGGTGCGTATGGTTGCGGCTGTTTTCCATCTACGAGTATTAATCGGGCGCGGCCAGATCAAAGGTTGGATGTTAACCGAGTAGAGGCGGGAGACAGCATAGAGGATGAAATGTCTGCACCCGTTACCGAGCTAGCCCCTAAGGATAGAAGACGGGAGCAGTAGTAGCCTGTGCCACACGCCAACTCAAGAACATTGGGACTGGAAGCGAGGAGGGGACGAATGGTTAGAAGAAGGTTATGCACTTCCAGGGCTTTGCAAGGAAGAGTTTCCAAAATGTCGTAGGAGGACCCGAGTGCATCGTACTGTGCCATTATGAATGGTTCTGTCACAGCCAAAAAGGATTTTGGGACCTCGGAAGCCGTATCACTTGGGGTGGCTGGTGGGATGCTTCTTAAAGACGTCTGGAGTGATATTTGGAGATTGCATATTTTCCAAGTTTGTAGATCAAGTAGTAGGGCCGAAATTCTCAACAAAGGGTATGTGTGGGACGCCTAAGAGCTTTGATGGTCTTGTGGTTCCACAAAAGCTCAGGGCTGTACTGATTGATCCCTTGCGCTCTAGCGGTCGGGTGAGCATCATTTATGCAGGATAACGAGTGATCATATGGTAGTCAAAGCGAATCAAATATATACGCTTAGCTCGGTATGCTATTAGGTAGGAATCAAGAAGCGGTCAACACGTACGACTACCTATGTATACTCTGATCAACGCCTGACCAAATGAAGCCAATCAACTCTTCAATGTCATACTTGTATGCATGTTACTACCTAGGTAATAGGTACGTATATTTATGTCATTGCTCTCATTGCTTTTGCGACGCGTATAAATTTCCAAGGCTCCGGCGCCTGTAACATTGAATGAATTGATATGTCACTTAAGATATCTCTCAAGGCCCTTGTCCCATTTTCTAAATACCGTAACTGCAACCAAAACCAGAACTCTTGGAAATGGCGCAATACGACGCCACTGGATCACGATACGACATTGTCAAGATCACACTCTTCAAGTGTCCTACTCCTACCACACCCCTCTACGGAGTAGCTCTGTGCATGTGCATGTGTCTTGGCTCTTCTAGATACAGATTTGGCATGACATCATCCCTTGGGACGATAGCTCAGTTGGGAGAGCGTGCGACTGAAGTTCGCAAGGTCGCTGGTTCAATCCCGGCTCGTCCCATCTTTTTATGTTTTTCATCTCCCTCTCTATGAGTGTTAATCCCACCCCAAAAATCCAGGACCATCAATCAGTCTTTACCGCTCTGGTTTACACAGTCTACTAGTATTTTGCCAGTGTACAAGTGGCGTATCTATAGTCTGTGGCCCCCATTATTCACCGCTTTTATTCTGCCGGATTCTTTCTGCCGGTCCAAACCCTCATGAATTTCTAATATTTGGTGTACCACCCATTGGAGTCAATAATAGCCTGCACCCTCCACCAGGGCGCTGGGGTAATGGTCTCACACTTAAATATAATATTATTACCAAAATGCGGACGCGATTCTATAAACCAACGCGTGGGGACTAGGCTATTTTAGGGAGGCGGAATCAAGGGCGGTCAGAAAGGGGGCCACAGACTTTAGATACGCCACTGAAACAAAATATTAGAGTTTGTAACAGACCATACATACGCCTGAATATTTACGGGGTAGATTAGGGATTTAGAACCAAAAGCGGCTAATAGGGTGGTCCTCAAGACTTTATTACAGCGCCACTACATAATGACTAGTACTTTTTTCATGTCGATATGAGCAACATGCAAAAATATGGGACGAGCCGGGATTGAACCAGCGACCTTGCGAACTTCAGTCGCACGCTCTCCCAACTGAGCTATCGTCCCAAGGGATATTTCCGACGTCATTATTAGGAACTATGTTCTAAGAATAGTTTCAGCTCACCCACAATCCCCCACGTTTCAAGAATACACGATTGGAGCCTCATACAGAGTTTCAAATTGTGAAGGATAACCTTGCAACTATAAGTGCGCAGCCTAGAGTTCCGGAGCATGAAGTGCGACTGCAGGTGTAGAGTGGTGCTTAGTATATAATGCGGGGTTTGGGATAATCTCTCAGTCGAGAGATTGTAGTGGTCTTCTACCTAAGTTTTGGCCTACGCGGAGAGACTGCCCCAAACCTAGATCCCTTACACGAATGTTTCAAGATTTCGAAGATTCATTCACCTGGGCG